TAGCTGCAAGTGTGTTTCGTCAGTATCTACAATGCACGACCGGAGGTACCACTTTAAGAAGCAATAAAAATGCGCCAAGAAATGCAATGCGACCGACCATATCAAAGTCAGAGTTTGGGGTAAACAAAAATCAGAAACTTACTGATGGACTAGGTATTTGGTTATGCCCCGTGTGTCTTGCCCAGATGTACTCTGGTTATCATTGGAGGGACTGGTAAGGATAAGGATTACAGTTAAGCAAAGTAGAACTCAGTCTAGTGGATTCTTATCTGCACTTCCGGCACAACTTCTATCTAACACTTTAATTGCCCTCGAACCATGGATACTCTCCTCAATGATAAGCCCATGATAAGACTCAAGATAGGGGCAACCATGGACTCAGTTTTGACCCGTTTTTGAGATCAACTTTTACCCCGCACGATCGTCATTCCAGAGTGATACTGGACGGGTTCACAATAGTTAGATTCTCAAGGGGGTGGTGCAACGGGACCGCTTACCAAAAATGGGGTCTACCATGGCCTCACTGTTAGCACTTGGGGGCTGGGGGAATCCTGCTATGTAGGGCATGAAGCAGATAGGTTGGTCGTCATGTACTCCGTACAAATCTGCGACTTGAGATAATGATGAGATCACTCTCCTTATCTGAATTAGTATCGCCCACACCTCACAAAGCTAGCGCCCCCAAGAACATACTAGTGCCTCGTGTTTTATCATTACATATGATCGTAGCCGGGGGGGGGGGGGGGGGTCTGGTTCTCACACTAACCCACTCGAGAATGGCGCAGGTAGGGGAAATGAATGGCGTTTCACACATGTCCGATCGTCGTACCAGTCAACTGGCCTCGATAGTCAAAGTCAAAGTCACCCCGGATTTTGTGTCTGCCCCGAAGTAAACAAAGGAAAACATGAGCATTGACTTTTTGCGATCAATGGCTGCCTCGTACTTTCGGTATTCGGCTGGGTTGAGTAATGACCCTTTCCGGGGCTGAATGCGTCCATCATTCTTGGTTGCCACAACTATACATGTCTACGATGATTTGACATTTGACATTCCCCCTAACATCTCTGGGTTGCATGTTGTCGTATCCGATCTCGGAATAATCGTCTGAAAGTACACGCAATAATTCCGACGTGCGGAGTTATTGTTCACGTATGCGGGCTTGAAGTCATGTTGATATCATTACGAACGAAACTGATGATCCGACTGTCAACATTCCCAAGTCCGGGGTATGCTCCGGTCCGTCTTTGCTTTTTGTCCGGCCGTACGACTTGACCCGTTGCAGCTTAGAGCATTCAAGAGCGATTTTCCAGTGGCGATATATGCACTTAAACGACATGCATCTGCAGCCGGGTCCAGTTCCATTTCGATGTGGGCACTCGGGTCCAAGGCAAGTCACCTATAATCTCAGCCATCGGGCAGCTGCATGCAGACCCCATGCCTTTCGAATTGAAGAGAATCTTTAGTGATAGTTCATAGATGCGGGACATCCAGTTCGGATATGATTGTTAGCCGTCGAGATCTAACGTAGTTTTTAGATATGTGTAATGCCGAATGGTATCGTAGTGACTGATATTTCTTTTAGAGTACTATGCTGTTAGGACATGGCAAATTGTAGTCTCCAGAGGATGGTCCGGTGTGTAACCTGGTCTAAGAAGACCACCTTAATTGAATGTCTTCCAGTTTGGATGGTGAGCACACTACTTGCCACCAACATTACGTTCTATAAAAGTACTTGTCTTGTATTTGAAGCTTCGGTTTTGCCACTGCGAGCGTAGTTGACTTATATCAAAAAGCGAACCAAATGATTTGGGCACGCTTCCGGTTCTTTATGCAAGCGGCTTGAGGCCAAGAAGCTGAGCCTTTTTTTTTTCGGCTAATGTCCTCAACAAAATGACCACTTGAAGGACATTATTGCAGGCAGCGTCCTAATTTTGCAGACTACCGCATAAAACTCTAAGAAAATCTCGGAGAGTTGATCTCTTCAACATGTCGGATTCGGAACCACAAATTCGGCGCTTCTCGTAATTTTGCCAGCCACTTACTCGAGCATGATATAGCCGAAGCAAATCTGCCTCAGAGGTCCTCCATCGAGGGATGGCCTGACAGTCAATCCTACGAGAAGCTGTAGCCCAGGACTGGATATGAGGTCGAGATCAGAGGATAGCATGGATGGTGCCACCATCAATAGACACAGAGGTCCATATCCGGGTGAATGCCGTAGTCGAAGAGCCTAATTATACTAATTTTTATCAGGATGCTGCACATGAGGCATTACATGTCAGCTTTGGCGTCTCTCTTGGGGCCTCGTTCTGGTTTAAGGGGAACTTCCCTGCCCCAAACAGTGAGGGGCGATGAACCTACCAACCTGTAATCAGGCCCCTGGGCAGGTGTAGCATAAGTTCATGATATGTTGATACCTGCTAGGTTTTTAGCGCCCATTTTGACGACCTGGGAATGTGGGAGCCTGTATGGGTGATCAGGGCAAGGCGTTGTAGAGTGAAAGAGATCAAATCGTATCTTCTCTGGTTTATCGCTCGCAGAAAATATATCACAGCACCTTGGTAATGCATAAATGTTTGATACAGCTAACCAGCATATCCTTCCTCTCGTGGGTTGTCAGTCCGTATAACGTATCAAGGAAAATATAGGGCTGTCCAGCTCCACTATGCTTTACTAGAAGTTGGTTCACCCGGATTTTATTTCTTTTCTCAAAGTCTAGAGTATCGCTTAAGCAAAGTACTTGTAGCCAAAGGCATACACTGTGTCAGAACAAAAGGTAAAACTCCGGATCATTCCCCTGTTCTTCCTTGATTTCAAGACCTCAAAAAAGAGACTGCCTCTGGGGCGCCCATCCTCTCGCCCCGCCCTTTTGATGCTTTTCGTTTTTAACCACCTATGGGCATGGACTTGTAGTCGACTACCAAATTCGGATATATAGTTTGTCGGAATTGACTTTCAGTTCCCCTTACTCAAATAACTCGTCAGGTCGCTAGAGGACTGGGTTTGGGGGTTGATGTGCAAGAGGAGCCGGTATTCTATAAGGCTCCATTCAAGATCTGACACATTCAAAGTAGTGATGGGATTCTGAAATTTCCTTATCCAGGTAATTTTGAAGCAATTATGAAATTATGCATCTGAGTTGGGTCGTCTTTGGAGGTATGACCTCGGATGCATGAGAGATATATATCCCATACATCTTGGCTTTTATGAACGAGGTAATTCGGCTTTTGAAATGTCCTATTTTTCGATGAAATAATTGTTTCGAACAATGGATCAGCGACTTGCTTTCAAAAGAATAAGATTATGTCAAATAGATATTGTTTATTCAGTTTTCCAAAAGTCTGACGATGTTGACATCTGGGAATTAGACTTCCTGATGTGGATGTTGAATCCCCAATCGGGCTAGTGACATTCTGCCCTAACACTGTCAATGTTGTTATTATTAGCTTCCGAGCAACCCGACGCCACTGATGTTTCCATGATTGAACTGCAATCATTCAGTCACGATTATTATGATGAGATTCAACCAGAACATTTTGTATAGGGGAACAGGGCGACAAAATTCAAACGCAACCAGCCAACCTTCACGACATGGATTCAGCTACAGAACCAATTGAGACACACGAGCGGTGAACTCAAAATCCAATGCAGGATAACGAGGGCCAAGGGAAACTCTGTGATGGCAAACAGAGAGCCCTGGAAATGGCCAACCGTAGCTCTCGTGAGCTCTGCACAAGGGCCCGGAATCATATACCTATGAACATGCCCCAATTAATATGACGATAATGGCGAGGTAAAAAGCCCCTTCAAACATTTAGAAGATCTTTATCTCTTAGATTCAATCATACCTTGAATCTAAATACCCACATTCTTTCCAAGGTGTGATCTCATACCGGCCATCACCCGGGTACCAGGGTTTATCTCCCCAATACTACCATCAACATCTATGGAATGTGAGCCTCCACCAAGGATAAAGATATAATGGGCATGGATTGCCCTACCTACTCCCCAAGAACCTCTGACCCTTGACCTTCCTCTCTTCCAAAAGTTCATATAATCATACCCCTAATATATTAATACCTCAAACCAAAATGAAGCTTTCCATCTTCGTTCCTCTGGCTACATTCCTGGCCTTTTTCGCCGTTGCTGAAAAAACAGATGAGTCTCCTAGCATCTGCCTTGTGAGTCTACCAATCAGCCTAAAGAGAATCAATGCTGGATACTAACAGAGCTGAAATTAGAATAATTGTTTGAATGAGGCTGCTTCGGTGGCTGGTTGCACCTCACAATGGGATCATACTTGTACCTGCCCAAGTAAAGCGTTTAAGGATACGCTTGGAACTTGCGTGACAGATGCTTGTACAGACCAGGATTTGGAAGGTATGTTTTCGTATTGAGCTTGAGTGATTTGAGTGAAGCTGACATTGTCGATAGTGGCGAAAAAGTTACATCAAGAGCGTTGTGTAGATGATGGTGATTCTGATGCCTGAACCTCCTATATAAATTAATTTAATTTCATTGATACATATTTCGCAACAAGGGTTTATGCTTTCATGGCTTCTTCGCGTAGAGATCATGTGAGGAGTGTAAGTGTGATGGACCAGATTTTAGACAGGCCATTTTCACCTAGCTACGAGTCTTGCAGAGCGGATCTAGTAAACGAGTGAGGCTCTGCAGGGCCTAAGACACTGTTGCTCAGTAGCAAAAGCTCTGCTCATCAAGCTATGCAATCGTGCTGGTCGGCAGGCTGGTTAATATCGTCACAAGGGGAGCATATGTGCTGTGTTCTGGACTACGCTCAAGGAAATTTACATAAATCCAGAAAAGACTAGAAGGAAGAAGATCAAGTTGACCCATGGAAAAACTCCATTGCGATTGAGACACGAGATATCAAGGTAGGTGGTAGAGAGGAAGAACAGGAAGAACAGGAAGAAGGTTAAAAGGTCCGGAAATAATTTTTTCGTTCTTGAATTCGTATTCTGAATCAACCAATAACCATCTAAGCCTCAGCAGCGAAAGCCTCGGGGAAGCGGCGCATGTTGTCCTCGATCTTGCCGTGGCCAGTCAGGAACTGGACGTAGGCACCATCCTGCTTGAGCTTGCCGGCCTCGCGCATCTCGACGTAGTCCTCGCGACGGACGGGGGTGAAACCCCAGTTCTTGGAGACAATGATCTTTTGGCGACCGGGGAACTTGTACATGGAACGGCGGAGGGCCTCGATGGCGGTAGCCTGGTTGGAGTCACGGGTGCGGACGGACAGAATGACCTGGCCGATGTTCACACGGGCGACAACACCCTGGGGCTTACCGAAGGCACCACGCATACCGGTCTGCAGACGATCGGCACCAGCGCACGACAACATCTTGTTGATACGGACGACGTGGAAGGGGTGGACACGGACACGCAGGTGGAAACCTTCCTTACCAGCGATCTTGACCAGGTACCTAGGTGAAGATGTTAGAATTTTTGACAGGTCGAGAGAAATATGGTCGGACGGTGCGGTTATAGACGTACTTGTTGGCACAAATACGGGCGGCCTCGAGAGCCTCGGAGGACAGCTGCTCGTACTCGTTGGAGACAAGGTGGACACAGGTGGGGAAGTCGTCCACGTTGGCCTTCTTACGACCGAGATCGAAGATACGAATCTTGGGGTCGGGAACACCACGGTTGAACCGGGACTTAGGGTAGGGCTGTATGACGAGGAAGCATGTTAGCGATCGAACTTGTCAAGCCGTGACTTCATGTGCCCATATTCAAAGATCCTCCCAGATCTGTAAATCTGCAAATCTGCAAAGATTTTTTTCCCAATACGCGTGAAACTCCAGGGAATTTGAAGCAAGCCACCAGAATATCCATCGTCGTGGTTCGCCATCGGATGCGATCATGGTGTCCAGTATTCCAATGTTCCCCCACAACCGAGCTTCCACACACAAAAATTCACAAGATCGAAAATCGGCAACGCACCTTGTTCTTGCAGTAACGGTAGCATCTCGCGGGACGACGGGCCATCTTGAATGCTGGAAATTAGGCGGACTGCACTTCCTGCGAACTGGGGATTGTTGAGTGTCGGTTGGTGTCGAGGGGCCGAAGGGGAAAAGAAGAAAGTGCCCGGCGGGTCACGGGATTGTTTGATTTCCAAGCAGCGATGTGGCGAAGAGCCCTAAGCCCTAGTAGCGGACCAATAATATTGCTCTCCGAGAGACCCACTTTTATGAGTCACTGCAATTTGATTACTGAGCATTACGCCTTTATGTACGATAACGGGCTTGATAGGGTTACATAGAATCTTAGAAATCAATAATCACGTCAATTGGATGCCTAGTTAGCAGGTCAGAGTCAGACGATATTATCGGCCTGGTATCGACGAGCAAACGGAGAGCTTTTCCTCGCCGATACCAAACCGATCATCCCTCTTACTCTTCTCGGTTGGTTTTGATCTGCTATGGATCATGTATTTGATACTCATACTTCATACAGTATGCATAAACATACTTTATATGCGCCGTGGGATCCTCCAATTAAGTGGTCCCTGCACATACTCCCAACCCAACTTCATCGTCACCAATTGCCCCAAGTCAATCTACTTACTGGGTGCCAGTAAGGATGTCCGAGTCACCAGCATCAAGAATAGCCATGGTAGAGCAACGGAAGAGCTTACCGCAGGCGGTACCGAGCTCAATCTGTTCAGGTTGTTAGAAATACTGTAGCCAGAAAGCGAGTCATTCCCCTTTTAAACTTACGTTGTTACCCGAAAAGTGGTGAACGGGGGTCTTAGCCAGCATAGCGTAGTACTCGAGCTCACTCTTGCGCAGAGGAGGCGCATTGCCAGCGATGATAACCAGCTTGGCTTTGCCAGAGCGCAGAGTTTTCATGCAAGAAGTAGCGCCTAGGGTGACTTTACCGGACTTCATCACCAAGGCGAGCTTGGAGTTGACCTGAACCGGTTATCAGCTTTTGATATCACGGGATTACTGTAACAATTACTCACATTGTCGGAACCCTTTTTAGACTTGGGGGCCATCTTTGCGCTTGAAGTTCTTTACGGACTTCAAAAAGAGATATGAGGGAATTGAGGATGCGCTCCGGCGTGATCGTTGATAAAGAACATGACCGGATCTGGATCTGAAGCAATTGTCTGCATGTGCGACGGGCATACAGTTGATCCGCCCCGACAGTCACGTGAAAACAAAAACGGGTCAGACAATATTGACACCCCAGGCAACCAATATGTTTCACCCTTTTCATCCTGTAATCTCCATCTCGTAATAATACATGCAGCCCAAACGATTGTTGTTTTTGATGTTGATGGATGCTCATCTTGGGTAATCTCGGACTATTGTTCCCTCGTGGTCTTTGGATTATCTCTTAAAGTCAGACAATTTCACTGTCTATTATTTACTCTTCCCCCCACCTCATACAACAGCCCCCAATTACCTACTTTGGCAGTCAGTGTTTTGGTATTTTTAGATACCAGAGTAAGGGACTCCGCCCGCATTCCTACTGTACCAAAAAAAAAAAAGTTCAAGGCCTCCTGCAATCGGCTCTCCAATCTTTCTACTGTCAACATTCCAGTCCGCGCTCAGACAGAGCTGTCTTCGGTGCTTCTCTGGCTTCCATTAGCCATGTGGCAGACAATCAACCTCTGACAGTTTTACATTCCTCGTTCCATACAACCACTCATCTCCACTAGATCCACCCGTTTTGACCGCTCCCCATTGATACACCTTACACAACCCTTTACACCCATTCTGACCAAACCGACCCTCTGATTCGGCTGAGTTAGCTGCCAGAACCCTTTGTTTCTTTATATACTTTGCCTAGTCCTTCTGGGCCTTGGGTCCCTGCACGATGTCAGCATCGCCTCGAAAGCCTGGAACCCCCGGCAGTTCCAGCAAATCATCGCCCGCAGATCCGCACCCAGCCAACGGGTCCACCACACGAGGACATGCACGCTCGCCCAGCGCTGCGACTAACGGTCTCAACCGCTCCCCCTCCTTAAGAAACTCGACCCCTGTTTCTGCCCGTGCCGCTGCGAGAAAGCCTGGCCGATCCAATCTGAGCATGTCCAACGTCCCACGGATTTCCAACGACCCTTCCGAGGAGGAAGCGCGGGCCCAAAATGCGGCCCTCATCGAGGAACTGCGGGAGCAACTCCAGAAAGCCGAGACGGCCTCCGAACAGTATCAGAAACAACTTGGCGTTCTGCAAATGCGCTTGGACGAAGCGATTAGCGAACAGAGCAAGCTAGAAGACCAAGCTCATGAGCGAGACACTCGGATTGAGACTCTGAGCAATGAGATCCGGGATCAAGGTCGTCAAATCCGGGACATGGAACAAAATCATGAGCAGGAGCGGAATGCGATGTTGCAGGAGAAGGAGCAACAGGCCAGCCGGGAGGAAGAGTTGCAGGCCACTATCCAGCGCCTGAAGGGAGCGGTGGCGCAGAAAGATATGCGCATCAATACTGAAGGTGATCGCCACCAAGTCTCACGATCGTGTAAGTTATGACATGCCCGATATTGTCAGTTTTCAAAGACTAATACTGCGTATAGCAAGCTTCCGCAACCGAGCTTCCCCGGACTTGGATGCTCAATTTGCCCCCTCCTCCCAACTCGAGCGCAGCCCCTCCCGCAATAACTCCAATCTTCTCCTCCAGAAAGATAAGCTGATTGAATCGCTACGCCTGGAGCTGGCAGAGTCGCAGATCAAACTTGTGGAGATGGAGAATAAAGGTGGGGGCCAGCAGCGCGAGTTGGAGAAGGAGCTTTTGGAGGCTCGCATGGCTAATGCACGTCTTATGGAAGATAACGAAAGCTACCAACTTCTCCTCAGTGAAAAGACGCTTACCGGTGATTTCACCAAGGGCGACTTCATGCGTGATGTCCACCCTGGAAAGAATTCCAGTGGTGGGCTAGGCTCCTTGGCCGACGAGCTCGAATCTGTGGATGAAGAAACCGCTGAAGGAGACCCGATCCGCAAGGTTGACGGAGAGTTGAAGAGTCTCAAGGACCAAAACAAAGCCTTAACACTTTACATTGAGCGTATAATTAGCCGTGTTCTACAGCATGACGGTTTTGAGCATGTCCTAGATCGGAACGATGACGATGAACCCAAGAGCGATAAAGCAACGGGCAGTGAAAAAGATTTGCCTCCCACACCCCCTGAGAAAGATGAGCAGGCGAATCAGACCTTCCTGCAGCGGGCCAAATCTGTGGTTTCGGGACCCCCTCGCTCTCAGCCCCAACCCCAACCCCGATCTCGTCCGACCAGTATGATGCCCCCACCTTCTATTCCGCATACCAATGCCAACGAGAACCCGGACACCGCCCCCAGCATTCCACTTCGCGCTCAGTCAATGAGGGCAGGTCATCGTCGCGCCCGCTCCGAGCAGGTCGATCCGAGTGCTGCTTCTGTCGTAGGTCAGATGTACCGTGGACGAAACTCCGGCGGCCCAATGAGCCCTACGGCCATGGGACCAGGCTCGCGCCAGAGTATGTTTTCGGGAGCTCCTAGTTACGTATCTAGCATGAGCCGTGCCCCTTCCATGTCCAGCCAACCAGACCAAGTCGGACGCAGCAGCTCCCCAAGCGTTACAAGCGATATGCTCGGAGACAATTCCTCAACGGGAGCAACCTCCAGCCCTCCCCGTTCAAACAGCGGCATGACCAATTATACCGGCGCTGTGATGACGCAGAACAAACTGCGACCCCTGCGTCTTGTAAGCGATGCAGCCAAACTCGAAGAAGAGGAGGCTGCGCGCAAGAGGGCGAACCGCGCGAGCTGGATTCCGTGGTTTAACAAAGCCAACCCGGAGGAGCAGACCCAGCCTTAGCTGGCCTATGTTTTGCTGCTGGAACTCTATGATTTGATGTGATATCGGAACTGTCTTTACCATATTTATCATACCCCTTATGTGATGTACATAATGCGACCCATGTCACGGATGGCCAGGATACCGAGTGATCTCTTGCATAATTTGAACTTTTTTTTGTATGATTGATGCTTGAACGATTTTACATATGAGGAAGAAGGGGAGGAATGGCCAGCTGGGCATTGAACCTTCGAAGTAGACGTGGTAGCTTTCCTCAGTACTTTAGAGAGTAGTATATAGATCCAATGTTCGTATATTGTGCTACTACATATGACAAATCGTACTATACCAGACCATAGATGGCAACCAAAGAAGTTCTGTAACAGGTAGCGACCTTGACGTGAATCCTTCGGATTGAAAAAGATCATGTTGCAACTGTAGGCTTGTTTTAGTACTCTGGATTACCCTCGGAAGAACTTTAGTGCGTCTCCGCCTGCGGCCAGATTGGCTCCTTCACGCATCAACAAGCACATCTCCCACACATTGCATCTCTCGAGAACTCAAAACAGATAGACAAAATGCCCGGTCCTTTGTCACTCTTCTCCGTTAATGCGGTCCTCGTCATGTCCGCTGACGATGGATCCCGAATTTTCACCAAATACTACTCGGCACCTCATCCCCCCGCCGGGACAGCACCCAACTCCACCGATTACCCCGGTGCGAACCCTTACCCTACTCTCAAGGAGCAGCGAGCATTCGAGAAGGGTCTTCTGGAGAAGACCAACAAGTCCACCAGTGATGTGATCCTTTACGACAACCGCATCGTGGTATTCAAGATGGAGAGCGACGTGATGCTCTACGTGGTGGGAAGTGCTGATGAGAACGAGGTTCTGCTTTACAATGTGGTTCTGTCGCTTCGGGATGCTCTGGGAATCTTATTCAAGTGAGTTTTGCCTGAGATCGGAGCGGGTCGTCCAATGCTGGACCATTGAGCTAATATAGTCTTAAACAGGGGTGCCACCGACAAGCGCACCATTGTCGAGAACTACGATCTGGTTTCCCTTGCAATTGACGAGATTATCGACGACGGCATCATTCTCGAGACTGACCCTGTCATGGTTGCTTCGCGAGTCAGCCGTGCCCCGGCTGCCGATGCGCCGAACATGAAGAGCATCGATCTGTCGGAACAGGGTCTAATGAATGCATGGGAATTTGGCAAGCGGCGTCTGGCCGAGGGCTTGCGGCAAATGTAGAGGGCATACCGCCGTTTTTATCTTTTTTTGAATACCTTTCTTCGGGGTTTAGGTGCGGGTGAAGTATTGCCCAATTGCCTGGCCTTCGCCTTCTTTACCTTTTTTCCTGGCTGGCCCTGGCGTGATACGGTTCCTTTTATTCACTGTTGCTCCTCGTTTGTTCTTGGGATGGAGGACACCATAGATGTTTTGCATGTTTTTATTTCTTTTCTGCATCCTGCAAAAGCAAGCCTCATTCTGTCGCGTGTGATCTCAGCCTTATGGCTTGAGCTAATATTCCCAATGGCTGAAGCGCTGATGACTGCAATGAAAAAGACAAGTCCAATAATAAATACCCTACTATTTAGAAGTTGCATAGCGAATATTTAGACCAACATATACTCCGTAGAAAGCTATAGAAGTGGGTGGCTTTACCTATTATAGAGCCCGACTTTGGGTCCTGCCCCGCATACGTCACGGCCGAAAATTCCTTTCTCTCTACAACTCCCCACAACCACGATGAAGCAGAGATTCTCGTCGCTAGACGTCAAGGTAAATGATGGAATAAATCTTCAGACAAAGGCATATCACTGATCGGTCTCAGGTTATCACCCAGGAGCTAGCCTCGGAGCTGGTCAGCCTTCGTGTGTCCAACATCTACGACTTGTCTTCGGTACGTTCAATTCCCTAGACCGCGAAATAACCCTTAAAAGCCCGAGCGCTTACCAGGAGCTGGGAATGTTTAGCGCATCTTTCTCTTCAAATTTGCCAAACCGGACCACCGCCGCCAACTCATCGTCGACTCTGGCTTCCGCACTCATGTCACACATTACTCCCGCACAGCAGCCACCACCCCCTCGCCCTTCGTAACACGACTGCGCAAGTTCCTCAAATCGCGTCGCGTTACTAGCGTCAATCAGATCGGTACTGACCGAGTCATCGACATCTCCTTCAGCGATGGCGCATACCACATGTTCCTCGAATTCTTCGCGGGCGGCAATATTATCGTGACCGATAGCGAACACACCATTATTTCGTTGTTCCGGCAGGTCAATGCGGCTGAGGGGGAAGAGGCCAAGCTTGGAATCAAATATAATGTCACCAACAAGCAGAATTACGCCGGAGTTCCTGAGATCACGCCGGGTCGGATCACGCAGACGATAGAGAGTGCGCAGGCGTTGTTCTCTCAAGAAGGCAATGCTCCTAAGAAGACGAAGAAAAAGAATACAGACATGCTGCGGAAGGCTCTTTCTCACGGTTTCCCTGAGTTCCCCCCTTTACTGTTAGATCATGCGTTTGCCGTTGTGGGGCTTGATGCTGCGACTCCGCTTGACCAGGCCCTAGCCAGTGCGGATATACTGCAGAAAGTACGAGAGGTCTTGGATGAAGCCGAGAGGATCTCCAAGAGCTTCGATGTTGGTGAGAGTCATGCCGGCTATATCGTTGCCAAAGAGGACGACCGAGTATCAGCACAAACAGATGGCGAAAGTGGGATGAAGACCCCAGGGTTGCTGTATGAGGACTTCCATCCGTTCAAACCGCGACAGTTTGCGGATAAGCCGGGGATCAAGATCTTGGAGTTTGAGCGATTCAATGCCACTGTTGACGAGTATTTCTCGTCTCTGGAATCGCAGCGACTTGAGTCACGATTAACCGAGCGAGAGCAAGCGGCCAAGCGGAAGCTAGATGCCGTTCGAGATGAGCACCGGAAGCGTATCGATGCCTTGAAGGACGCACAAGAGCTTCATATTCGCAAGGCTGGTGCCATTGAAGACAATGTTTATCGCGTTCAAGAAGCAATGGACGCTGTAAATGGCTTGGTGGCCCAAGGAATGGACTGGGGTGAGATCGCGCGATTGATTGAGATGGAACAGAGTCGAGGCAACCCAGTTGCTCAGATTATTAAGTTGCCTCTCAAGCTGTACGAGAACACTGTTACTCTATTACTGGGTGAAGGCGAGGAAGACGAGGAAGACGAAGATCCTGAATCCAGCGACGAGTCTGATTCTGACTCGGAGGCCGAAGAACGGGAGGATCAAAAGAAGAAAGATGTTGCTTCGCGTATGCTCTCAATTGATATTGATCTCGGCCTTACTCCCTGGGCAAATGCTTCCCAATACTATGATCAAAAGAAACAGGCATCGGAGAAGCAGCAAAGAACCGCCCAGTCTTCCACCAAGGCCCTAAAGAGCCACGAAAAGAAAGTGACAGCTGACCTCAAGAAGAGCCTGAAGCAAGAGAAGCAAGTTCTGCGACAGGCTCGTGAGCCATTCTGGTTCGAGAAATTTATATTTTTCATTTCTTCCGAGGGCTACCTCGTTCTTGGGTATGTTTTATCATTTTATATGCATGTTCTTAGCTAATAAATTTGGTAGGGCTCGGGATGCTATGCAGAGTGAGATGCTCTACCGGCGTTATCTGAAGAAGGGTGATATCTTCATCCACGCTGACCTGGATGGCGCTCTACCTTTTGTGGTCAAAAACCGCCCTGGAAATCCAGATGCTCCTATTTCACCAAGCACACTCTCCCAAGCAGGTAATTTATGCGTTGCGACCTCTGTAGTCTGGGAGTCTAAGGCTGTCATGTCTGCATATTGGGCGCACGCGACCCAGGTCTCAAAGATCTCCGAGACCGGTGGTGGAATGTTGCCTACGGGTGCTTTCCAAATCAAGGGTGAGAAGAACTTCTTGGCGCCATCGCAGCTCGTGCTTGGATTTTCTATCTTGTTCCAGATTAGCAAGGAGAGTTTGAAGAACCACAAGATTCACTTTGATGCCGGTGATATCCCGGCTACGGAGGCCAAAGAAATCCAAGATCAACCTTCTAGCACTCCGGCGCCCCCTGAACAAAATGATCAAGTGGAGAACGTCGAGGATACCGAGAAGCAAGAGAAAGTGTCAGATGAAGAGGAGGAGGATGACGACGACGATGCCAACGGAGCTGCCAGAAACCCTCTCCAACGTGGCGACTCCGAGGTTTCTCCCATTAAAGCAGAACAGTCTACTAGACCTGAGCCTGAATCAGACTCTGAGGATGAGACTACAAAGAATGAGGAGCTAGAGTCTGAGGTCAAGGCCGAGGTCGACCAGGATCTGACTACCGAGGAAGCAGAAGAGGCGGAAGAAGCAGGAGACGAAAAAACCGCTTCCAATGCTCAGGAGGAGGCTCCAGCAGAGAAAGACGAAGAGAAGCTTTCGGCCCGAGAGCGACGCACCTTACGACAGGGCAAGCCCCTCGATCGACCAGGCCAAGCCGAACCCGCACCAACTCGTATTGCACCAACTCGTGGCAAGAGAGCAAAGGAAAAGCGGGCAGCAGCGAAATACGCCCACCAGGATGACGATGAACGCGAACTTGCCCTCCGCCTCCTCGGAGCTGGCAAAAACAAGACCGCAAAAGCAGTGGCCGCCGCCGAAGCCAAAGCCAAGTACGAACAAGAAACTGAAGCCCGAACACAACGACGACGAGCGCAGCACGAACGAGCCGCAGCCGCCGAACAAAAACGGCAAGCTGAGTTCGCCGAAGGCGGCGATGAATACAATGAAGAAACCGCCGCCGCCGAAGCCGCAGACCTGAGCTGGCTCCCTGCTCTCGTCGGCACCCCAACTCCCGACGACGAGATCTTGGCTGCTATCCCCGTTTGCGCACCATGGGGTGCTCTTGGCAAGTACAAGTACAAAGTCAAGTTGCAGCCTGGTGCTGTGAAGAAGGGCAAGGCTGTTAAGGAGATCATTGGCCGTTGGGTTTCTGAAACTACTACAGGCAAGGTCAAGAAGGATCATGCTGAGGATGTAGGTATTCCTCGTGTTGATGCTGAGCGTCTGCGCTCGAAAGAGGGTGAATTGATTAAGGGGTGGAAAGATACTGAGGTCATTAACACTATGCCTGTGGGCAAGGTGCGCATCATGACTGCTGGTAGCGGTGGTGCTGGCGGTGGTGATAAGAACAAGGGTAAAGGAGGCGGTGGTAAAGGTGGTGGGGGTGGTGGAAGGGGTGGAAAAGGTGGGAAGAAGAAATAAACCGCCTGACTCTAGAGTTTGGACATAGATATATCTCTGTGAGCTTGGAAATAGATCTCGAGATGGAATGCGAACATACAACCGTTCGGCTTTCGCCTCTATACCCGGTTTATCATAGACTACAGGTGCCTTGTGGAACAGGGACAGGAAGTCCCTGAACATGTCAAATCCAGGTACGGCTGCGAAATCACTAGGCCGCAAGCTCGGACTGTATTGATGTTTCACCAAAAAAGGTTATGTTGCTCTTTTCCAATGTTGTACTATATAAATATGCAGGCCGTGCAGGCGGCAAAGTGCCCTGCTTTTAGTACCTTGGCATAGGGTGTTACAACAACCCTGGAATATCCACAAAGATCTTGGATTATGTAAATGAGATCTGACATTTCATGCAATATTTTCTTTTCTTCTATCAAATAAACCTCGTACCCTCACTTGGGCTGACATTGATCTCATCGTGCAGCAGCCCGATCGGATGAGTCATCCGACGTCATGGAAAATCGGCCGCTCTTTTTTTTGCTTCCGATAGAGCCACAGCGAGATCAGGGAGATTGCGCGGGATGATCGACAAATCTATGCCCTAGATCAGGCCGTACAGAATACATACAACGCATACATCCCAAGAAAGTGACGAACAGCCAATTCCGTCTACAGAGCTCTCAGACACGTGCCACAGACCAGCATCCGTTTACGCCCCTCATTACGTCGCGATAGTGCGTCATTGATCCGGCCGCATATCAAGCTGCAGTTCCCCCGTGTTTTCGCTGGCAGTCAGCGCATACTCGCCAGATTCATCACCATGGCGGATGCCGAGACACGGGTCGTCTCCGTCCAACGCCTTAACCAAGGCCCTGGGGCCCGTTCCCTAGCAGAATGGTGGGCCGACGAGCGCGAGAGTCAAACACCAGAGTACAAAGCTATCGAAGAAGCCGCGAATTTACTCCGCAAACATGATATCCCCGTTGCGTTCCCTACAGAAACGGTTTACGGCTTGGGTGCCGATGCCACACGCAGTGGCGCCGTTCAGGGAATCTATCGCGCGAAGCAGCGGCCCTCAGATAACCCGTTGATCGTTCATGTCGACTCGGTTGATATGCTTGATCGACTGTTGAACCCCTCTCAAAGCAGCCCTAGTTCAACCAAGACACCACGAAACCCTCTTCCGTCGATTTATACGCCTCTTATCGAACGCTTTTGGCCAGGTCCGTTGACTATTATCCTGCCCAACCCGTCTGGCTCGGATTTAGCCCCGGAGGTTACTTCGAACCTAACGACCTTTGGTGCTCGCATGCCTTCCTCTCCACTGGCTCGTTTACTTATTCATGCTACTGATCGCCCACTCGCCGCACCGTCCGCAAATGCGTCTACGAAGCCCTCTCCCACTACGGCACAACACGTCCTCCATGATCTAAAGGGACGCATTGACCTGATTCTCGACGGGGGCCCGTCGGGCGTTGGGGTCGAAAGTACCGTTGTAGACGGTCTATGCGATCCACCTGCAGTCCTACGACCGGGAGGCATTGGCATCGAAGAATTGCGCGAAGTTCCCGGCTGGGAAAACGTCACAGTGGGCTACCAGGATGGTACCCTAGACGTGAAAGAGATCCCCCGCGCTCCCGGCATGAAATACCGACACTACTCACCGAAAGCGCGAGTGGTCCTTTTCAAAGCAGGATCCAATCCGGCCGGCGTGACACGTCATGTTCAAAATGACTTGAAAGATACAGCCATTGGCGCGCACAATATCGGTATTGTGCGAACCCGGGAGTGGGCGCAGGGATTAGGTCTTGCTCCGGATGATGTGATGGCCAGTACCATTACGCCTATCTCCGCGCCGATCAATGACCTGTTTAGCTTTCCCATCCCCGTGCAGCCTACTGGCAGCTCGAATAGTCGGCTTAAAATTGCATACGATTACCACCTGGGCTCGGAAACGGTATCTATTGCACAGGGGCTTTTCGCAGCGCTGCGGGCGCTCGATGAGCTTGACGTGGATGTGATCTACGTGGAGGGAATCTCCGACAGCGACGGTGACCTGGCGGCGGCGGTGATGAACCGACTTCGGAAGGCGGCTGGTACGGAGATGAAGGTGTAGATAAGTAGGTATTTCTCGGAATTGCGGGGAACCGGATAGAGTTTAAAATATGCACATTGGAGCTGGGATTAATACCATTGCTTTTGAATCTCTTGGACTTGCCTGTTCTAGCTTCTCACGGGGATCTCCGGTGCATGAGCATTGGAACCCTGGATGTAATAAGATTTTCAATGCTTTTTGTCAATTAGCGATAAGAAAATAAGAATCGACGGCCCCGCTTCAGATTGACTCATTCGGGGGTGCAAAGCCGTTCCTCGATCCACGTTTCTTGTTCCACGTTTCTATCGGCGGCTCAGTTTCACTTTCTCTCCCGCTTTTCCTTCCGTATATAGTTCATCGTCCGCTCTACGGGAAAAAGAAAAGAAAGAAAAAAAAAAGATTGGCACTTCTTCCCACTTTCCCACTCCATTCTTTTACAAATCTCACCATGTGCCAACACCCTCTCCACGAGTTCATCGCCGGCCTCCCAAAGTGCGAGCACCACGTCCACTTGGAAGGCTGCCTAACACCGGAACTCATCTTCCAACTCGCCGCACGCAATGGTGTCACCCTCCCAACCGACGACCCAGCTTTCACCTCAATCGAAACTCTAGCAGCGCGCTACGAGCGCTTCACTTCTCTTGATGATTTCCTTCACTACTATTTCCACGGCATGGCCGTCCTCCAAAAAGAAAGTGATTTCGCCGATCTGGCCTGGGCCTATTTCCTGAAAGCCCATGCAGACGGTGTTCACCACGCAGAAGTCTTCTTCGATCCTCAGGTCCACCAGGACCGCGGAATACCCTACGAAACTATCGTAGCGGGCTTCTCAGAAGGCTGCAAGCGCGCCGAACGCGAATTGGGTCTGAGCACTAAACTCATCCTTTGCTTCTTGCGCCATTTGCCCGTTGAATCGGCTAATGGGCTTTACAAGAAGTTCCTTGCTTCTGGTGACTATGAGAAGGGTACTATTCATGGTCTTGGATGGTCTTCGTCTGAGGTTGGACCTCCCAAAGATATGTTCAGGGAGATTTACGCTTCGGCAAGGGAAAAAGATATTCGTCTGACTGCGCATGCGGGTGAAGAGGGCGATTCGACTTATATCAGTACGGCGTTAGAACTTGGTGCCACCCGCATTGATCATGGCATCAATTTGGTTCAGGATCCTGAGTTGATGAAGAGATGTGCGCGGGAGGGTGTCCTTATGACAGTTTGTCCGGTTTCGAATGTTAAGCTTCAGTGTGTGAAGTCCGTGGCTGAGGTGCCAATTCGGAAGTTCTTGGAGGCTGGTGTTAAGTTCTCCATTAACAGTGATGACCCGGCTTACTTTGGGGCGTATATTTTGGAGAATTATTGTGCTGTGCAGGAGGCGCATAAGCTTTCAGTTTTAGAGTGGAGGATTGTGGCGGAGAACTCGGTGCAGGAGAGCTGGATTTCGGATGAGAGGAAGAAGGAATTGTTGGAGCGGATTGAGGTGCATGTGAAGAAGTACCTGTAGATAGTGCGTGATGGTGATACCCCGGGATTGTTCAACATGTATATATGATATTTTCAACTTTATATCAATTAGGGCTGGATCGGATCTGATTCTCCCAAGTTCCTCAAACCACGAACGTCAGATTTCCTGGCCGGTTAGCAGATAGCTCAGTACCCACCTTATTGTGGTATCTACTGGCTTAATCAACAAGAATGAGGGAACAAACGATAGCGAAAGCAATTACATAAAAAAACGTAGATTTCATGGACGAGATAAGCTATGTGGTGCCTGAAGAACCAGGCAACACCCAATCTCTATAGTAAAAAAGGTGGCGGATAACGATTCAATTCTCACACCCACGATTCTACGAACTCTGTCCCGCAGCTCTTAATACCTTGATATCTCAAGTCATCCTTGCACCTGGAAAGCAGCCAATTCCACAAGTCAATTGTAAGTACTCGAACACCTGGCCGCCATCCTATACTCTGCGCGCCTTATCAGTGCAGACCTAGCGCCTACGCCTCCATCTCACCAGCCTCAGCTACCACCGACAGAAAACTGACCCTCCTGTTGTACTAGCTCGAGTTCCACTGCAAGCACTACAATCCATTGCATAATGTCGACCAGCACCCCCATTCCCGACCGCTACAAGCTTGTCTTCTTCGTCCCTCCCTCACACCTGGAAGTCTGCAAGGAAGCTATCTTCGCGACAGGCGCAGGCACCTTCCCTGGCGGCACATACAGCAAAGTTTGCTTCCAGACCACTGGGCAAGGCCAGTTCCAGCCGAACGAGGGTGCGGTGCCGGCGATTGGCAAGGTGGGAGTCGTGGAGAAGTTGGAGGAGGTGAAGCTGGAGATCATGTGCCTTGGACGGGAGGTGATGGTCAAGGCAGTGGGTGCTTTGGTCAAGGCACACCCATATGAGGTGGTTGCGTACGAGGTTTACCGCATGGAGAATGTATAGTTGTAGCTGGGTGGTGGATAGCCGTGGGGCGGGATATAGAGCATTGTACGGGATGGATTTCTGTCTGTTAGCTCCTGATGTTACTATCGGGTAGATTCTTCGTGTAAAATCGCAGAATTGAATCAATTGATGAAAAATCGAACATGTTGATGGAAGATGCAGATGTTGTTGCAGCGGTATTATGAAGGGAGTAATCTGTCGACGCTGATTGGCTGACCGCCCGCAAAACGTCTTGCCAACTCGATCCGTCATTCTCCTCCATCACCAACATCCCCCAATTCACCTCCATTCTCGCCATGGCGTCGAAACTCTTCCCCGTTTCGCGGGCCAGCCGGGTGCTGCGCCAGACTCCCTTCACCTCCTTCAGATCCTTTTCCGCCGCCCCGCAGCGCCGCAGCGACGCCCTGAATGTCGTACGTGAAACCCCGTTCCCACGGCATGCCCGGTGCAGCCCATGCAAGAATTCGCGAAGTAAGGCAATGGACTAACAAATATCTCCTATAGCACCGCAACACCCCCACCAACAACCCTAGCATCCCCTTCGAGTTCTCCGCCCAGAACCTCACCCTCGTCGAGGAGATCCTCAAGCGCTACCCTCCCCAGTACAAGAAGGCGGCTGTCATGCCCCTCTTGGATCTTGGCCAGCGCCAGGCCGGCTTCACTAGCATCAGCGTCATGAACGAGGTCGCCCGCATGCTCGAGATCCCCCCCATGCGTGTCTACGAAGTCGCAACCTTCTACACCATGTACAACCGTGAGCCCGTTGGCAAGTACTTCCTGCAGATCTGCACTACGGTATGATTCCCTCCCAACTCGAAACCAAGAATCAATCGCTAATGTTTGATATAGACCCCCTGCCAGCTTGGTGGTTGCGGTTCCGACGCTATCGTCAAGGCTATCAACGAGCACCTCGGCATCACCCCCGGCCACACTACCGAGGACGGCCTCTTCACCTACATCGAGGTCGAGTGTCTGGGTGCCTGCGTTAACGCTCCCATGGTCCAGATCAACGACGACTACTACGAGGACTTGACCCCCGAGTCCATCAAGACTCTCCTCACTGCCCTCAAGGAAAGCGCTACTGCTACCGGCGCCGGTGCCTCCGCCAAGGTTCCCGCCCCTGGCCCGCTGAGCGGACGCGACACTTGTGAGAACAGTGCTGGCCTTACCAACCTGAAGGAGGTTGTGTGGAACCCCGAGACCATGATGCGCACTGACGGTGCATTGGATGCGGCTCCGCAGCAATAGACGGGGATCTCTGAGATCTCGTTGAAGTGCATTTATGATTGGTATGGAAAGTCGTGTATAATCGCGGGTCTAGCGAGGTGGGACCCCGGATGCTCGGACAAAAAGATTAGAAACCGCATCGTCTTTCCAGGCGTCTTATTTTGATTTGTTTACCATGTACAGTATACGTGGCTCCGAAGTTTTTTTTTTTCTTTTGGAATGGGAGCCGGTGCTCAGTCGGCATCAATACAGATATCTTTAGTTTTCCACTTGATTTACACATAAAGTAAGGCGTAGCTTGGGATATCCCGAGTAATATACCTCCACAGTCCATGAACCTAGTATGAAGGTGATGCAAAAGTGAGCCTGAGCCGCTCTTCTTAACGTCTCGGCTCAGATTGAGTGAGACCCGCTCTGTGATACCTGATGAGGTGCAACACTTGCTCCGCTCAATATGTGCTGCGCATTAAATTAGGTCAGTGAGCTATCCCACTCTTCGTGGTCAATCAACAATCTGAATACCACAGACCCGGTATCTGAGGTTCTGAACGCGGCTCAGGATGACCAGTGTGGGCTGCGCAGCATTACGTTGACAGAATATTTCCCATACAGCCTTGCTGTTGTCATGCCTCGACTTTTGGCCTTCAATGGATTGCCGAATCCGCTGAATGAAACCTGTTTCACGTCCCGGGCCCGATGGCTGGGGCAAGAATCTATATCATTCAAGTTCCGCTTGGGGTGCCTTTGCCAGTTGAGAAGGCTTAGGCTCGAAGCAAAGGTGTCGGTATTTCGACCGAAAGATGTCTCGACTGTTGGAGCTGCCCAAATTGCCATAGGCCTCTTGCTGAAGCATATCACGCAGTAACAATGGATCCTATGACCTACCAATGGACTATATCGGCCCTTTCTGTATGACCTCTGTAACCTCGTGAGGTCCATGTACAGGTTCTATCAGCATAAGACCGAGTAGCTATTAAGCCTACAGCCACGAAGGATGACTAGGGTTATAGACAGCCATTTTACAGTTACAATTTGGAGAAACACGATCTTTTCAATGTTTTTCATTCTTTGACATTATCGTTTATCAGCCCCGAGCTCTTCCCCTTCACACGGCTCAAAGCCGGCCATCTCCTCATCGTTCAAACTGTCCACAAACTTTCCATGATCGCCTGAACAGACGAGAATCTGTCCGAGTCGTTCTTGTACAACGTTGACTTCAAGTGTGTTTTTCACAAGCATGTGGTAGACATGTACAGTCTTTTCCTGTCCGTAACGGCGAGCTCGCCCAATTGCTTGCTCCATGCCGGATTCGTAGTCATGTTTGGTGGATGTGTACAGTGGTGTCACGAAAATGATATGGTTTGCACATTGGAGGTTTCTGCAGAGTAAACTGAGGGTTAGTAATGTTTGGTATCGAAGGATTGGAGTAAATGGGACATGTTGGACAATCGGAGTAAGAGGGAGTAGGAGCTACTTACAGTCCAGCAGCCATTGCACCGCCAAGAGGAAGAATTAAAGCCTTAGGGGGCTTCTTTAACTTTCCCGATATGTTGACGAAGTCTTCAACTCCGCTGACTTTCTGGGAACGGATAGTTCGGAAATCGACTTTCTCGATCTCGAGTGCTCGGGAGAGAAGACCGATTATCTCATCATATTGAGTAAAGACAAGGACTTGTTCGTTGTCTGGGATGGAGTGGATGAGATTGATAAAGCGGGTGAATTTGCTGCTTTCCGTGATAATGGTTGAACTTTTTAGGTCGGCGCCGTCTATGCATTTGGATGGCAGGGCAGAGGCATTGCAGCCTTGAACAACGCATATCCCTGGCGCGAGGGTGTTTGGTAGACAATTTTTGCAGAGAAGGTGGCCGCAGGATCGGAGAATAGTTAACTCGTTGATGCATGGAGGTATGAACTCGCAACTTGAACATGGAGGGACGCCATCGGATTGTATGGCTTTCATTGCGGTGTGAAATCGGATATCCCTTGAAGTCTTAACGCAGTCTTTGATTGCGGCATTGAGGTCGGTTCCTAGTGATTTGACTAAAAATTCACCAGTCTTTGCTTCTAGCATTGTATCAGCGGCGATTTGTGCCAAAGTCCTTTCGCCTGATACCCGGGGTTGCTTTCGAGCTTTTGGTTGTTTCCGAGTTTTGGCTCGCTTTCGGAAAATAGATCGGCTTTCGTCAGCAGAGCTTTCATGTTCTGAAGAAATCGGGTCCGTGTCATCAGCTTCATCGGGTTTAGGCGCAGCAGTAGATTTCTTTCGATATTTCATTGCGGTTTCTGCCTTCCTGGTTGCTTTGGTAACTCGTTCTTCGCAGCTTGCTTCAAGGTCTTTTTGAGATTGCGACTTCGCTAGCGGTGGGGTGCTTCTTTGATCTCTCATCCACTGGTCGTGAGCCGTGTGAAATTTGTTGATGAGATTCTCGTTATGCGTTTGACTCTCTTGGTCACCGCAGTCCCTGATGGAGCTCCTCGACATGAACTGATCCCAGCTAGATAGAATAGGGTCTTGAAGAGATCTGAGGTAATGGAATTGCTGGATCAAACTCCTCAGCTTGAAGTTCTGAGTCGTTTTCTTTCCACCTAGGGCCGTGATTTGGGAGTTGCATTTCGAGATGGTGTATGCGTGATCATGCAGTCTGCTGGTGACGGAAGCTTTCAATAAAGCTTCAAATGGAGATTGGCTCGAAGTCACAAAGTCATTTAAGCGGTCGATCGCAGGATCATTGTCGGGGTTGCTGATCTTTTGGGCTCGATCCATCTCCCCATCGAGTCTGTCAAACAGACTCTCATAATTGGCCCGCTCCTTATCGAATTGCTCGGACAAAGTGATGTGGAGCTCGAATGGAATATGATCGATGACGGCGAAGTTCTGGCGGGCAAATTGGTCGAGGAAGCGCTGAGCGTGTCGATTGCGATTCTGGTACCAGTCGTTACTGTGGGGGGCTTGGTACGTCAAAAATTTCTCGACACGCGTCAGTTGGCTTTTCTTTGTCTTCAGTCTCGCGTTGTGAGAGGGAACGTCGGCGTCATCATCAATTCCTAGGTGAACGCCCAGGTGCCGTGCAATGCTCTTAACGTCCGCGAAATCCCTAAGAGCAGGTGTGCCGGAGAGTATCCACCTGGATCGGGCAGAAAACCGTAGAAACGCGGCTTGCTTGTCCTCATTCGCATAAGTGTACTCATCGATGACAAGTCTGTTGAATTGGAAAGCGTGGAGGAATGGGTATTTCACCGAGAAATTGGGCTCGTCACCTAAAGGGATGTCGAACGCTGCCCGGATTTGCTTCTCGGTGGGCACCTCGCCCGCTCCTTCAACGCATGACATCCCTTGGGGTTTCGACTCTTCAGTGTCCCCGGCAAAGCATCTTTCCCGTCGCGCTACCTCTTGCAATCTCTGATTGGCGTCCGCTTGGAATCGGAGGCCACGGAGTCGACGGGACGGCTTATAGTTAGAACCATCCTGATCATTCTTCACCGCGTTGTGGCGATCCAATACCTCCTTAAGAAAAGCATTGGGACCAGCGGTTGCAAGAAGACCATTCAAGTCTTTCAAAGAGTCCTGCGCATCCGAAAGCCAGAGGTCAAAGGCGCGTCCATTCTTCCCCTGATTTGGCACCGAAGCGGCCCCTGTGAACAGCGCAAGTTGGCTGTAATAAACTGGACTTTCCAGAACACGCCAACTGACGAGAACAATGTCCGCTTGCCGGATGTTTTCAAAAGACAGCGCCCGGAGCTTGGCGACACTAAGAATGGTAATGACTCGGTACTTGGTACCGAGGAACTTGACGATCTCTGTTTTCCATTGTATGCCAACGTTGCTGGGCACAACAATCAGAGTTGCATTAGTGATCAGTAGTCCATTTTGCAATGGACTAGTTTTCAGATCCCTGGTTCTCACTTTGTCCCGCTCGTATTGGGTATCTATCAAGCCAAGCACAACCGCGGTTTTTCCAAATCCGACTTCGTCGGCGACCAATCCTCCATGAACGAGTCTCGGGAGTGAGACTTTCACTTCCGCTCGCCAGGCCATCATTGGTAAGAATGCTTCCTCAACCTCCTCTTCAATGAATGGTCTAGCATCGTCAGCTTCTTGCGCGATCATCCACGTTAGTGATCGCAGCTGTTCGATGCGCAGCGTTTGAGTGAAATTCGGTGGTTGCGCGTGAAGGGCATCACCCACGTTGTCCCGGAGGGCGAACGGAGGATGACTTTCGCGGCCCATATCACGCGCATTCGGGACCAGCCGCCACGTAAACTGAGGCCCGTTGAGATCGCTGATGTCGATGAGATTCCCCAATGCGAAATGCGCCATCGACTGCAGGTTGACTGCAAGTCTCAGCTCTCCCCTGCCGAAGGTATCGACATTCTCGAAGATCAGGAAAGGTGGTGGCCTTTGCTTTACGGCACGCTCGTAAATGGCCGCCTCCTGAGGATTTTCATAGAGGACAACTCTCTCTTTCTGGTCACGACCCCAAATAAGAGAAGGCTGAGTTGGTTTGCAAGTCCCGCAACTAGTGCTGAGACCTGCAAACTCAAGGATTCCCCATACTTGGTGGGAAGCCAGCGCATCTCCGACCCGTTGAAGCGCCCAACAGATTCCTTGGAATGCCTTCGGGGCCTTTTCAGGGTTGGTAGACGACCACGACCCCCTGTGCCCAGTCAGGCCCAAGGACACGGCATCGTCTGTTGAGAGAGAGATTAAGGGGGATATACGCCTCACGACAGTCTCCAGCACGAAGGACGAGGTCAGTCTTGAGGTCTAAGTGATGGTATGTAATTGGTTGCCCTTCATAGGGGCCCAAGACCGTGCTGGGAACCCTGTGGAGCCGCCGTGCGTAAGCAAAGAGCTTGTCTTGTGTCATTTTGACAGACACTGGCCGCCAGGTAGGCGGAAGCTCAGCAATGGTTCTTCGCACCTCATAACCAGGGTTCCTTCGGTGCTCGACAGAGAACACAAACGCATCTTGCGTGATTGGACCAGCCTTGCGAGGATCAAGGAACAAGTAGACGGAGGGCTGACGATTCGAGCAATCTTTCTTGTACAAGCATCCTTCGGCGGTTCCGCAATCAGCAAGGAGTTGATATTTGCCGCGCAAATCCCGATCAAGATGATTGACATCCGCTTGGTCGCAATCGATCTCAAGATGCGTCCACACCTGGGATTTGAGGTATTCAGATCCGAGCAGGCCGCAGTTAACCAGGTATGTCGGAATCTGGCGACCCGAACCACGTACTCGGAGGGCGAACTCAGTGCTGATGGGGTCCAGCACCTCCCAAATACCACCAAATAACCGCACAGATTTTGCGGGGCGCATTCTTGCGATAGGCTTTGCGAGTATCTCTCTCAGCACGCACTGTGCCGGAGAACTTCTAGGAGCTTTGGCGAACAGCAGCCACTGGAGACCGTGACCACCAATTTCAAGGCGCATGCTCGCGGACTCACCTTCATAGAAGACAGTCCACACCTCTGTTCGTGTGATGTCAATGAAACGCACCTCCTCGCGAAGGGCGCTCTGAACAGAGGAAATGTACTGCTCCCAGGTGTCGTCGTAAGCCGCCTGGCGTAGAGATTGGGGTCGGACTGGCTGGAAGTCCTCATACCCAAGCTCAGCAAATTTGAGCTGCATGGGCAGAGTCTTTCTCAACATCCGGTCAAACTCCAGTGGCTGGATCCGTTCTTCGTCAATGACCTTTGACTCATAGGCGTGAAGAGGATTCCCAGCACATGAACTGCAAGCCGTGTGCCCACAGAGATGGCACTGAAGGAGATCATTAACAAGCCGGGTCTGTTTCTCGCAAGAGCAGAGACGGGCGGCTAACAACGATCGCGCCACGATGGTGGACAAAAAGTCTCTGGCATCAGCGTCCGAAGGGTTATAGTCTTCCATATTAATACCAACGAGGCTGTGACCTGCCTCAATTGTGAATAGGGGAGGTGATGGTGTACTTTTCGGACCAGCATCTACTTGCAGAGGACTCCCTGCGCCCTCACTCAACACGCTCGAAGCCGCAATCAGGGCGGAGAGCATGACTACCCCAACGGTAGTTGTGGTCATGGCATTGCCTGCAAGGTCCTGGAGCTCCCGGGATGATTCATGGGACAGAATCAAACGGTCTATGGGTAGACCTTGGAGGGACAGAGCTTCAAGACCTGTCAGAGGACCACCACGAGTTGTGAGGAAGGGCAAGCCACATGGAGTCAGGCAGCCAGTCACACCAAACCGAGTGGTACCATCTGAGCCGCGGTCAGCGCCTTGCGAGACATCGATGAAACGCTCTTTGTAGTTGTAATCATGTCCATTTGTCAAGCCGACCAAGAACTTGATGTCGAGCGTTTCCCAGATTCTCTCCACCTGAACTTTGAGCCACCGGTGCCAGTAAAAATCTGGCCCGGTACAGGTAACTCCTCCAGCCTTCGAGCGACTTATTGGTCGCTGATCACCCGCAGATATCGAATCACGACACTCTTGGTGCCGAATCTTGTATTTCTCCCAGGGAACCTCGGCACGGGCCGAGGTGGCGTCCAAGCGAGTAGAGAGATCCTTTTCAATCTGCTCCAACCTCCGATCGTCTGCACCCAACAAGAATGAACTTGTGGGAGAGCTGCACGGGCGAGTAAATTTGGACACCAAACTTATTGCAAGGGAGGTGATAGTGGAGTGATCCGAGTCCGGTATCTCCAGACGACGGTCATCAACTGCAATCAGGTAACCACGCTCACGAGTTTGTGGAATGTAGAACTTCTTGGAGTCGACAATGGTGTACGCCGCTGTATAGCCAACACCCGACCATGCGGCAACGAAGCTTTCCCAGGGGGCCCCTTTTATGTTCTCACAAATGACCAGTCGGGGTCGGTATTTGTCGCAGTACTCCAACAAGGCGTTGAAAGTGGCGGCTGATTCGCCTTTTTCTTTCTGTGCCTCCTTGTTGTTGTTTAGCAACGAGAAGTCGACGCACGCGGTCCCGGCGATGAGAATGTCAGGATCACCGGGGATTAATGCCAATGATCCATAGGCCGTTTGGGCTTTCTCGCCACCCAGGTCCCGAAGGTCCCGGAAAAGGAGAGGCGGCCCAAAGTTCCGTTCAATGTAGGCTTGTTTGAACGGAACGATCTCGCAACTAAAAAGATGCTCAAACTGAAACCGCTCACCATTGGTACCTAGGCCTGTGTAAAAATGTCAGCGAGTCGGTTTATTTCAGTCAATTACCAAACCAGGGGAACCAAGCGAGAGAAAGGTGACGGGATTTTGAGTATTGAGAACAAAATAATGGAATGGCATAGGCATAACAGGGGAGATAAAAGTGAAAGTAGAAACTGCAAGGCAATGAGGTACGGGGCAGTGAAGTACATGTATGAGGCCAGCGAAGTATACAGTAAATTTAGAAGCCAGGCCCGGACACAAGCACGAACTGGTGTTGATGCGGCTGGACCATGCGCGGGGCAGTGGGTCCATATGACCCACAGCAAATCGTATCCCGGGTTTTGAAACTTAGATTCGAGAGGGAAATATCAAAACAAAGGAAAGCTTACCCTTCTGGATCATTTCAAGGGCGAGTAAAGGACTCTCTGTCCCCGAGCATACTGTCGCAACGCGGAGTGGTCGACCGTCCAGTCGCTGTAAGACGCGCTCGAGTCCCAGCCTCATGGCATTTTGGGCAAGATCAGTAAAGATCTCTTCGAGATTGGACATCGGTGGCAGGTCCCACGCGATGTAGCGGCCTCGGGCTGGGGTAACCCCGTGGACGAACTCCGGTGCTACTGGTAAACCATTCTGAGCGTTGGCCATGCAAGCAGCTGTGACGTGCTGCGAAGAACCCTCAGCTGTGGCCGGCTGAGGGGCGTTTTTATCGAAGGCGTGCCTGGCAGGGCCAGGCATCGCAAGAAAGAAAAGACTAGTAAGGCCATTATATCAGTAATCAACATCAGCAATGGCAACATGCAACGAAGGCGTTCTCACAAGATACTAGTGTCGCTGGCGCCGAAGGATATAGGAAGCACGTGACGAAATTGTGCGTGGAAATATGACAAGCTGCCAGGCACTTCGAGGCTTCTTGGGACTTGATATGATTTTGTGCGTGGCAAGAAGAAATATGTCACGTGATCTGGAGTGCTCCTCAAGTTATGGAGAGGAAATCGGTGAAGATGTGCGTGGCACGAGGGGGGAAATATTGGAAGAAGAGAAAAGGGGACGCACCTCCGTATTTATAGGCCAAAGGGAATCGGCGCAAACCACGTAGGCACTATGTAACGCTACCTTAGATTCCTAGGTGAGAACCAGCACATTCAATTTCCACGGCCACGCACTTGTACGTAAGCGTGAACCCATTTTTACTCTAATCTATGTTCATTGAGGTATATCATGCCGAAAGCCCGTTAATGACACAATCTCTAGGAACACTCAGTGATATTATGATTTGAGTAACGTTCAGTGGTGAGTATGCATGTATGGGCCGTGGAGGTAGGTATCATGCCCTGCACTTTTACAAAACAATGGGAAAGTAGTATGTACAAGTTTCAATGAAATAAAAGGGCATCTATTGAAAAATTCAAAGATCATTTGACCAACTATGACTAGTTAATGTGCAGTATTCGAGGTTCGGAGTAACAATACCGAGTATATTTCCAGGTATCTACTAGCTCACAATGGAGTACTCTTACATATGAAGGTAATCAAAAAGGGAAACCCACTGAACCAGACTCTTTGATCAATTAGGATTGATGTAGGATATCCCTGCTCGATAGTAGCGTTATCTTACATGCTGGCTTCAATCAAGAGGCTATAGGCTCTTTGATATCGGAAAATTAGGCACAGTATTCCAAGTCAGAATCATTACATAACACCATATAGATTTAGGGTTAGGGGGGTGTTCGACTAAGTTTTGTGGCGTTCGATTGTCAGATTACATTTAGAAATGTACTGATTTCCAGGTTGTTCTAGGAGGACAGCTAGATAAAGCTGATATGCAAAAAGCCCGGTAAATAAAATCACTCCATGCGCCATCCCTCGCCAGATATAAACCCAAAGGAATTGTTGAGATCGTCAAACTCAGCCCCCCGAAAGAAAATGGATTAGAATCAGTTGTTGCAGGTTGAACCTTCCACGCCTTGAAATCCACTACCGCATACCACCTTGCATCAATTGTTGACGGAGTAGCATAATCTGGTTTCGTTCCATCGGGGGTAATGCATCAATAGCAGATTGTGGCATGGCAAGGACTTGTTGGAGCAGCTCGTCTTGGCCAGCCACAGGTTGAGGTGGTGCAGCCTGCGTGGGTGGAGGCGCAAATGGTGTGGTCGCAACCGGGGGAGTAGAAATCGCAGGGGTACCATAAGGTTGGTAATTTTGATGGGCTGCAGGCTGCGGTTGGGCTGCCTGCTCAACAATAGATCCAAGAAGCTGGTATTCGACCAGGTTCATTAGCAACAGCGCTTGGAAGATCGCATAAGCGAGCTGCGGTGCTTGACGGAGAAGCTCAGTCGCGCGGGCAGGGTCAGCCACTGCAAGAGACTTCATCTGTGTGAGGACGTCGAGGAGTTGATTTGGGGGGAGAGAGGCGAGAGTATGGGAAATAGCATTAGGGCAGTCGAGATGGGGGGGAACTTCGACACCTGGTGGAAGAGGAGGCAAGGGCGCAGCACCAGGAATCTGTTGCATTTGTTGTGTAGGATCTTGAGCTGTGGGTTGCGACTCTTGTGGGTAGTCTGTAGGAATGGAATCTTTCTCGTTGTTGTGAGGCCAGTCGACACGGATCTTGCGACCCATAATTTCGTAGTCATTGAGATTTCGGACAGCCGAAGCTGCGGCATCGGCATCGACGAAGTCTGCAAATCCATATCCCTTGGGCTTCCCTGTCTCGGGGTTCATCATAAGGCGGAACTTCGTGACGGTTCCTGCTGTGCTGAGGAGGTCTTTCACTTGCTCCTCAGTGAGGTCTGCGTGCATTGTCAGCAATCCGTACGGAACCATGAAGGGTTTCGAGGCATTTCAAAGCTTACTGTAGGGAATGTTCCCCAGGAAGACGCTTTTTCCCGTGCGATCAGGCGCCATGGTTGCAATGTGTTGATGCAAAGGAAGGTTTAAGGTTGAGGAGTGAAAGAAGCAAGATATTTTGCCGGACTTTGCGCTGACCGCCTAACTAGCATCTTCTTCGAACGTCCCGTCTTCCTCCACACCATCAAACCTACCTCTACTAAACCGTCACATTATGTCTCAGAATCAACGAGAGGCTTGGGAGCGATTGCAGCTCATGCTGCAGAAACGCAAGGGCAGTGTTGGTGGTGGTGGCCGCGGTGGTATGGGCCTGGCCGGTCTTATCCTGATCGGAGCCGGCACTTGGGCAGTCTCGAATTCGCTCTTCAACGGTATGGTAATACAATGCGCGACGTCGGAGGTAGTATCTAATGCATTTTTACTTAGTCGACGGTGGTCACCGTGCTATCAAGTACTCGAGGTTTAGTGGTGTGAAGAAGGAAATCTACAACGAAGGTTTGATGTGACATCGACTCCGACAAGAAAGAGAGCTAGGAACTAACCTCTGCATTTGCTTCTAGGAACCCACATTCGTATCCCATGGTTCGAGACTCCCATTATCTATGATGTCCGCGCCAAACCGCGCAACATTGCCTCCTTGACCGGTACCAAGGACTTGCAGATGGTCAACATTACTTGCCGTGTCCTGTCCCGGCCCCGCGTGGACGCTCTACCCCAGATCTACCGCACTCTGGGCCAAGATTTCGATGAGCGTGTGCTGCCCTCGATTGTCAATGAGGTGCTGAAGAGCGTCGTGGCTCAGTTCAACGCTAGCCAACTGATCACCCAGCGTGAGAACGTTGCCCGTCTGGTCCGCGAGAACCTGGCTCGTCGTGCCGCACGCTTCAACATTGCTCTTGATGATGTTTCCCTGACTGTAAGCAGCCATCGAAAACCTGTTCGTATCCTGACTGACACTCATCTTTCTTTAGCACTTGACCTTCTCTCCCGAATTCACTGCTGCCGTCGAAGCCAAGCAAGTGGCACAGCAAGACGCCCAGCGTGCGGCTTTCATGGTTGACAAGGCTCGCCAGGAGAAGCAGGCTTTCATCGTGCGCGCACAGGGTGAGGCACGTTCTGCGGAGCTGATCGGAGATGCGATCAAGAAAAGCAAGAGTTACATCGAGCTGCGCAAAATTGAGAACGCTCGTGCGATCGCCCAGGTCTTGCAGGAGAGCGGTGGCAAGAACAAGCTCTACCTGGATACCCAGGGCTTGGGGCTGAACGTCAACACGGGCAGCGAGGAGGGCAAATAAATTACATTAATTTGGCGCCGTGGAGATATATCTGTACAAATAGCTTACTTAGGAGCATCCGAACGTGGTCTCTTCTCTTTCCTTTTGTTCTCGAGTTCCATAAATGGATTTAGTAGACGTGCGAACTAATTACCGAGCGCAGATTTCCAAACTCCCAAGGTTGTTCGCAGAGAATATATATTTTCCGAGTTGACGCGGGGACAAAGGCGGCGAGCGGGAGCTCCACCAATTTTTTTTATCAGTCCGGTATACCTATCTCATCGTCACATATTCAAGAGCATATTCATCTCTCTTGGTAAGTACAAGATAACCGCAAATCCTCCAGTGGAATGTCTCATGATTTCAGAACATATGAACCCCCAAACGCAGCAGCTAACCCCAATTCCTAGAAACCATCAAAATGGCTGACCCCACCAACGACCCCGAAATCTCATTCACCCAGATTGACGTCGACCTCGACGTCCAAGAAATTCTCCTCGCAGCCTCTCAACACGACATCCCTACTCTCCGCCGTCTGGTGCGCACACAATCCGCACTACCAAATGCCGCAAACGTCAAAGACCCAGAGACAGGCTACTCGCCCCTCCATGCCGCTATCGCAGCCTGCGAGCCCGAGGCCGAAGAACAAGCGAATGGCGTGAATGGCGCTCACGCAGACGAGAACGCAAAGCTGATCAAGTCCGGTGTTGAGACTGTCAAGTTCCTTTTGCAGGAAGGCGCTATCTGGAATGATCTTGATAACAATGATGAGACGCCTGGTTGTATCGCGCGAAGAATCAATGCACCGGAGCTATATGAGCTTGTTGTTGATGCTGGTGTTCGAGCTGAGATGCTGTTGAGCCGGTTGGAGGGGTATGAGGAACTGTCTGATGGGGATGACGAGGACGAGGACGAGGATGCTGAAAACGCAGAGGCCCAGGCTGACGTTGAAGACGAGGCTGCTCCCGAACTCGTCGATGCATCCGAGACAGATGTTGCAGATGCTGCATCTACCGGCGAGGGGACAGGCCTTGCGAACCCCGAAGTCTCAAACCCGGGTTACCTTAACTCTTCCCTCAACATTACCAACGATCGGATCCTGGACGCAGATCAAAACGGTGTGATGATGAGTTGGGAAAGTTCCATTATGAAGAACTCTGCACAGAAACTGCTCCCCCGGCCAGGTATGAAGGTTCTAAACGTCGGACACGGCATGGGTATCGTGGATGGATTCTTCCAGGAGCAGAGCCCTGCTTCGCATCATATCATTGAGGCACACCCTGATGTTGTTGCGGAGATGAAGAGGCGCGGATGGGACTCTAAACCTGGTGTTGTGATCCATGAGGGCCGATGGCAAGATATTATGCCTGGCCTTGTGGGTGCGGGCGAGACTTTCGACGCTATTTACTACGATACGTTTGCAGAGTCTTACAATGATTTCCGGGAATTCTTCTCGGAGCAGGTTATTGGATTGTTGGAGCAGGAAGGAAAATGGGGTTTCTTCAACGGTATGGGCGCCGATCGACAGATTTCGTACGATGTCTATCAAAAAGTTGCGGAGATGGATCTCTTTGAAGCTGGTTTTGATATTGACTGGGAAGATATTCCGGTGCCCAAGCTGGGTGGTGAGTGGGAAGGCGTGAGGAGGGCTTATTGGGTTGTGGATAATTATCGGTTACCGTTGTGCCGGTTTATGGATTGAACCCACTAAAGGAAAAAGAACAGAATGACCCAGATGTACAATCCTTGGATGGTCTATGGACAAAATAAATGCGACGCTTGGAAACGCTAGACATGAAAACGAATAAAATACAAGAATGCTCATGAAATGCATCCTCTCAAAGTTGAATCAGATCCACCTCTGAGAAATCCGGTGGACTGCGGCTGAAGATCGTCCGGCACTTGCCATCCAGTGCTTGATACTCGTTACTAATCCAAATATGCTTGCTGAATCGTTGTGTCCGGTAAATTTCGTCATCGCTCACTCCAAGATCATCCCGAGGAATCCATATTACCGGTCGTTTAGCGCGGAGAGCCTCGTGTTGGAATGCGCGTTGCACCAATTGGTCACGCTCATCAGGGGTGAGATCTTCCAACTCATCATGAACACCCGCAAAGAGAGCATGCCCCAGTTTGTTGGAGGATGGCCCTTGATTCTCAGCATCATGGGCCATCTTCTCTCGTAAGGACTGCATCGTGGGAGTAGAAGTTGCAGAGTTAACTCCAAAAAACTTGGACCGCCGGTTCGATGACCGGGAGGCCCACGATGGCCTTTTACTACCCAGCTTGGGTGTCGAGAGTAAATCCTTGGATCCCTTATGCTTGAGAGCCTGATCTGTATCGAGGGTCTTGAGTTCAATGTCTTGATCCTGCTGTCCATTCTGGTGTCCATCATCTCCAGGCTGGACAATACCATGATCAACAAGCTGATGTTCCTCCTCCTCCTCCTCATCCATAGGAAGTCCAAGTCGAGCATGTTGGGCACGCTTGAACTCTTCATCTCGACGAATGGCAGCGTCTTCCAGAGTAATTGGCAGATACCTGAGCAGAGGCCCAAATGCATCGCTAAGGAGCATTTGATATCCAAAGGTGAGAGCAAGGACGAAACACATGATGATGCCTTGGCCTTTGCAAGCCACCTTCCCGTCCTCGTTCTGTACCAAGAAGAACAATCCGATCAAACAAATCTCCATGACATAGAGACCAGTGAAGAGTTGGGAGATGGCCCGAGGGAATAGAAGGCCTCCAGTATCGAAGCGAAACTTGGTGACATAAAGCGTGTTGTAGCGATAAACGAACCAGAAGAGGCCGAAGGTGATCACATTGAACACGAGAATGAGAGGTGCAACTACACTGTAAATCAATCCTAGAACAGAGAATTAGCAAATTATTGGAGTCAAGTGGATATGAAGGGTTACATACCAATTGAAGCCAAAGTTGTATAAACAGGGAAGAAGGTGCCCCATTGCATCTGATTCAAGTTGGTGGTGCGAGCCCATTTCTTCCTGGCGGTTTTATCCAAAATCGGAGCAAGGATAAACCAGCTGATCAGATTGACGATTTGCACGAGTGCACCTGCACTCACCGACATAGCTTGCAGAATCATGTAAGAGAAGAAGTAGTTGCTAGATTTGGGGATGTTCGAGGCCAAAAGTGTCGGCCAGCTAGTCACATTGGTAGCATTCTCAATAATGGTCGAGAAGCTGGATGCAATGGTAACAACCAAGAACAGTTGCACGAACAAAAAGGCGAAATAGTACATCTGGACGGTCAATTCGATTGCCATGCCGTTGTGCACGCCTTGCTTTTTACACAGGAATCGAAGGATCACAGGAAGTAGTGCCATTAATATAGCAAGAAAAAGTGCAGGCAGAATACCTTGGATGGCTGAAATGAACCATGACGGTAGCTTTCCAAGCCAGGCTAGCCATGAAAAAGCGCCTTCCAGGTAGGATAACTGCGATAGTAACCCGGTAAAAGCAACGGGGAAAGCCCACCCAACAACCATTGCACAGACAATCGTGACAATACTGAAGGTACGCAGGTAACGCTCCCACCACTTCATGGACATATTGTCCCAAATGACATCATCAGGAGAAATTTCCACAATTCGAGGGGCCATCTGCTTAGGCAGATGATGGCTGACTGCCTGACAAGCCATGTGCGCAGCGACTTGATGATTGAATTGGATGAATGCCGAGTTCATCAATGGGAATCGCTCGGGGTTCTGCTGATCGATTTCAATCTCCAAATTCAGGCGGGCAAGCTCTTTTCGACAATAGTCAATCGTATCGACCTTTCTGCCAATGAGCCAAATTGTTGGCCACTTTCTCCATTTAAACCAAGGAAGACGCCAAGTCTTCCGGTCCTTGTGTTGAATATATTTCTTCCATAAAGGCTCTCCATAATCTTCTTCTTTGAAATTCTCGTTGTATGCGACTGGATACTGTTCTCCATTGCTCTTTTCTTTGTGCGAGCTTGCTTTCTCGCTTTCAAATCCTGCTTTACCTGTAGCAGCAGGGGTATCGGGTGCAGTGAGAGGGTGCTCATCCGGCTCTGGATCATGTTTAGAATGCTTGGAGTAAGACGAGCCGCGTGATTTCCAGAATGGCCGCTTGGATTGCGGGTTTCCGTTCTGATCCACAGTGCTGCCACCATGGGTGGGTTCTGGTGTTTGGGGTATGGGGGTGGGCGGCGCGAGTTCAGATCCAATGGTGTCGGCAGGAGAGTAACCCGGAGGTGTGGGTCGGCGAGGTGGCAATCCACCGTCAATGGATTCAACGTACCCTCCAGTCCGGGTCAGTGTGTTGTCGAAACCACCTTCCACCTTCTTCAGACCACCCAAGACGCCTTTGCCCAACTTTCCAACACCCAGGCCAACTGCCCCAGCCGCTGCTATCGGATTAAATAGCCCATTCCGACCCTCCGATGTATTTAGTTGATGGCCCTCTGGCTCGCGATGTAGGACTTCCTCCAATGTATGAGCCTGGTGTGGATCGCCGGAGCTAACACCGGGTCCCATGGCCATTTCAGATGCACGCTTATCGGTAGCCATTTTTTCTTGATCTTCTGCATTGATCTTGTTGTCCTTGTTGTCCTTTTTGTTCTTTTTGTTCTTCTTGTCCTCCGCCTTCAATTGCTTGAGTTGGGCCTCCTTGCACTTTCGAATCAAGGAAGTTTGGGCTGCCTCAAGCTTAAGAGCAACCTTTGTCCGCCTTTTCACTTTGTGGTTAAGTTCATCAAAATTGCGGTTGATCCAAATGTTTCGAATTCCACCCGGAAAGACGTCAAAGAGATTTTCCAGAGCTTCGATATTGAGCCACTCTGACGGGATAGCCGTGACCAGCACGGTGGTTGCGGAGGCACGTAGTCGGTGTTGTGGGGAAGTCAAGTAAGCCTGTCGCATGCGGATATAACCGCGCAGTTCATCGAAGAAGATAAAACAAATATAAACGATAACAAGAACTGCCATAATCAGATGGGCCCAATACCGGTGGGTGTGCTGGGGTTTGACATTCCCCCATGCCAGTTGATCAAGGCCAGTGACATCCCAGCGTTCTCCGCTGGTGCCATTCTGATATGTGGTCCCCTTGCCACCCACACGGTTGATAGGGAGTAGTACTGGTAGTAGGATGAATGCAAGAGGAAGGAAGATCTTCAATAGCATGCGTAAATACCGCAGGAAGAAGTACGCATCCAACCCACTTTTTTGGATGAATTCGGCGCTGGATGTTCGAAAGACTGGACCCACCCAACGAAAGAGACCCGGGGGTGATGGTGCAGTACGTTCACGATCCGGCACAAGGTATGTACGTGGTTGACTATCATGGTTAGCAGGGTTGATGCTTTTACAATTTGAAAAGAAGACTCACTAGATACGAGTCAATTTGCCTTTGAGTATGATAAAGAGGCAGAACTCGACTGCGAAGACGATAAAGGCCGTCGCCAGCGAGGCCACGAAGGTCGAAACCGACTCTCCCTCATCCGCCTTGCCATGTCCGCCTGCTTTCTCCAGGGCCTCTTCCAAGGCGTTCGTCATGGTTGATAGTGACGGGAGCTGCAGGCAAATTAAAGCCACAAAGTCAAGGCGGTGCAGTGTGTGGGGTATCAAACAAGGTTGTCAAGCCCCGGTAGACCTGGGGTACCTCCCTCGCAATTATCGGAATCTTTCTCGCTGGCTTCAAGAGTGTCGGGGATAAATTTTTTTCAGGAGATCGGAGTTTGAATGGGTGAAGTGGACATGGTCGGGCGACGACCAACAAGTATGTGGTCGCAACAATGGGCGAGCGAAGAAAATTGACAACAAAGGCGCTAGGTTGAGAGTGGAGCAGTCCTATACCTGTTCTTGTGAATGGTCACACAATGACCGCAGTGGCTAATGTTTGGGCTGGCGCCAGGGAACGTGACAGCTCCCCGCCGAGTTCAAGGATGATGATTGGAAGATCGTGGGTATGCCGATCGGCTGTAGAATGACATCAAGCGCCTGATGAAACGGCCAAGCAGATTCCGGCGGCTTCAGAGAGATTGTGCACGCTTTCTTCCTATTCGCTTTGTGCTGAGGCAGGTTTTCAAAGTCCGTTCTCTTTGACCTGAAAAAGGAGAAAAAGCCAAATGTTTCACCAGAAGGAAACCGCGACCACGACCGACCTTGGCAAGCGACCTTTTAGTCCCTAATCTAATCTCCACTGTCGTCAACACCAGAAAAAGGGGATGTGCTGCTGATTGGTGCGATCTGGCTGTGGCGGTGCGAATAGGACCAAGAATGAGAGAGATTTCCAAGCACCGCCACTCATAAACCTGGTTCGGGGGGATCCGTTTTTCCTTAGGGCTGAAGCTATCCTCGAAACAGAAGAGTGGAACGGGTTAAGTGGAATTGCCTGCTGCTAGTGAAGCTGGTGGATTCCATATTCAATTTTACTGGATGATCGATTCCCGATTTAACAAAAAGTTAATGCCTGAGGTTGAAAACCCTGTCATGTGACTTTGACTGTGGCTACTGCTTATTACATAATACAAACGCGTTCCCAACCAGGAAACCACTTAACGCGCTGGACGCGTTACTACCGCGTCCCATCAATTATCCTAATTAGATAATTTTGCTCTCCCTTCTTTCCACTCCTAATCTCATCCGTCACCACCATAAACCCCCCACCCCCTCCACACCAATTCCCTCCATACAATAATAATGTCTTCACCAGCAAAACGGAGGGGTCGCTCCTCTAAACTAGCGACTTCATCGCCAGCCCCTTCCCATGAGCCTCCCAGCAGCCCAACTCAACAAGCCACCCCACGCGCCGCCGCACGCTTGGCAGCTGAGCGAAATGTCCCATCATCTTCTCCTATGCATTACCAATCTTCCCCGACCAGAAGCAACTATGGCGCAGAGACACCGGATGTTCGTATGGCGGAAGCAAGCTCGACTGTGGATGATGGCGAGCGCACCCCTCGTGCGGGTGCAGGAATCCGAGGTATGCCACTAAAATGTCATGTTTTAGTGTACCGACGTCAAATTAACTCAATGTTCAATAGACTCATCTCCGATCAACTACGTTGCCAGTTCTAGTCCCACTCGCGGCTTCGGCCGATCAGATATTCGTTCCGACATTCGTTCGGATGCAAACAGCATAAGCAGCGGGTTATTCGTCTCACCAGGTGGTCCGAGCCGTCGTCGGACTGCCCCTCGCCGCAGCGACCTCCATTCCAGTGGGTTTGAATCGTCTCCGTTCCGCAGAAACCGAATTCTCGTGGATGCTCAGGGAATGCCCTCGGGCTCCGATGCTCTTCGCTCCGATGCCACTTTCTCGAACATCAACCCGGGCACTTCCGAGGCAGAGGCCATGGCTGGCAACTCCTCGCGTGTGATTTGGGGTACCAATGTCTCAATTCAAGACTCCATGTCCGCTTTCAAGAACTTCCTGTATAATTTTGCCACAAAATACCGTCTGTGGGCAGATGGTGCTTCGGAGGACGAAACTCGGAGCTTGGGAAGTGCCGCTGAGAAGCGTGAGTATATCACCATGCTCAATGATATGCGACGACTTGGTGTGATTACTTTCAACCTTGATGCCAAGAATCTCAAAGCCTATCCCCTGACACAAAAGCTGTGGCACCAGCTTCTTGCATACCCACAAGAAATTATCCCGTTGATGGATCAGACTGTCAAAGATGTGATGGTTGATCTGGCCTTGAAGGAAATGGACGTTTTGCGTTCTGAAAGCCAGCGTGGGGCCGCAGGCCAGAACCGCCGTGGCCAGTCCATTCTTACCTCCGATGCCGTAGTTGCCCAAGACGACGTGCCTGACCTTGTAGGCGAAGTTGAAGGGTTGTCCTACAAAGTGCTTCCATTTGGTCTGGACGAGACCGTGAATATGAGAGATCTTGACCCAGCTGGTAAGTTGAATCCAAAGATTCTGCCAGGCACGCGTTAACATGATTCTTAGATATGGACAAGCTGGTCAGCATCAAGGGTCTGGTCATTCGAGCCACCCCCATCATCCCCGATATGAAAGAGGGTAAATCAATCCATTCCACTGTGCTGGTTTTCGTTGGCTAATTTGGTCACAGCTTTCTTCCGCTGCAATGTCTGCAATTTTGGTCTCCAGGTTGACATTGACCGAGGCCGTATTCAAGAACCTTCTGTTTGCCCCCGAGACGCGTGCAAGTCCAAAAACTCCATGCAGCTCCTCCACAACCGCTGTTCCTTCGCGGATAAGCAGGTCATCAAGCTTCAGGAAACTCCCGACAGCATTCCGGATGGTCAGACTCCCCACTCCGTTTCTCTGTGTGTGTACGACGAGCTAGTCGACGTTTGCAAAGCTGGTGACCGTGTTGAGGTGACTGGTATTTTCCGTTGCAACCCCATGCGCGTCAGTGCTCGCCAGCGCTCCCAGAAAGCCCTTTTCAAGACCTATATCGACGTTCTTCACGTTCAAAAGGTCGACCGCAAGAAGTTGGGCATTGACATGTCGACTGTTGAGCAAGAGATGTCCGAGCAGGCGGCTGAGGCTGACCAAGCCCGCAAGATCTCTGCCGAGGAGGAGGAGAAGATCAAATTGACTGCCGCTCGCCCAGACGTCTACGAGCTCCTCGCTAGATCGGTGGCTCCTAGTCTCTACGAAATGGACGATATCAAGAAGGGTATCTTATTGCAGATGTTTGGTGGCACAAACAAGACCTTCCAGAAGGGTGGTAACCCTCGGTATCGTGGGGATATTAACATCCTTCTCTGTGGTGACCCTTCGACCGCCAAGTCCCAACTCCTGCGTTACGTTCACAAGATTGCCCCTCGTGGTGTCTACACCAGCGGTAAGGGTTCTTCAGCGGTCGGTCTTACAGCCTATGTGACCCGTGATCCCGAAACCCGCCAAATGGTGCTTGAATCCGGTGCTCTTGTTCTCTCTGATGGCGGTACCTGCTGCATTGACGAGTTTGACAAGATGAACGAAGCCACCCGATCCGTCCTCCATGAAGTGATGGAACAACAGACTGTTTCGATTGCTAAGGCCGGTATCATCACCACCTTGAATGCCCGTACATCCATTCTAGCCTCCGCCAATCCTATCGGCAGTCGATACAACCCCAAGTTGCCTGTTCCCCAAAACATCGACCTACCTCCCACCCTACTTTCCCGTTTCGACCTTGTCTATCTCGTCTTAGATCATGTGGATGAGACCGAGGATCGCCGGTTGGCGAAGCACTTGGTTAACATGTACCTGGAGGACACTCCGGAAAATGCAAACTCAGAGGAGGTGCTGCCTATTGAATTCCTTACAGCCTACATTACCTACGCCAAAACCCAGATTCAGCCCGCTCTGACCCCGGCCGCCGGTACCGCACTGGCTGACGCTTACGTCGCCATGCGCCAGTTGGGTGATGACATCCGGGCTTCTGAGCGCCGCATCACCGCGACCACCCGTCAATTAGAGTCCATGATCCGTTTGTCAGAGGCACACGCTCGCATGCGCTTGTCGCCCGAGGTGACCGTCGCCGACGTCGAGGAAGCCGTGCGTCTGATTCGCTCAGCCATCAAGCAGGCCGCTACCGATGCTCGGACCGGTCTGATTGATATGGGTCTGCTCACGGAAGGCACCAGCGCTAGTGAGCGTCGTCTGCGGGACGATCTGAAGAAGGCGGTCCTGGCTCGTTTAGAGGATCGTGGAGGTGTCAGCCATGCCCCCGTGCGCTGGACCGATCTGTATCGTGACATGACCGAACAGAGCGACGTGCAGCTTGAGCACCAGCAATTCTCTGACGCCGTGCGATCGCTCGAGGCTGAGGGGGCTGTGAACGTGCTAGGTGAGGGACCCCGGCGCAGTATTCGCCGGGCGGCCTTGGGGATGTAGAGGTATACGACGATTTATTCCTACGAAGCAATGATTGGGGGTGGCATATTGATACATGTTTCATGATAATATTTCCTTTTGATCATAGGTGTTGGTAGTTTTCTTTTTCTGCGAGGGGTATATTATCTCATATATGCGCTGCAACAGTCGCGTGAGTACCTTCCCTATTGGACCAATGGATCCGCATACCTCTGCATGTGCAAATATGCAAGGCGAAATAAAAATGTTTTTTAGATCAGCCTGGTACTAGTATATTCCGTTTCCAGGGTCCTTTCCATAAATTTCTTTTGCCGTTGCCTCCATCCACGGAAAGTATGCCTCGTTCCGAAGTTTTGCCCCCGCTCGGGATACTTGTGGGACTTCGGCTTCACAGAACACGGCCAGTCCCGGCTTATATTCCTAGTTCGTTCGACGCGGCTCGGCTAGGTTGCGCTCATGCACCTTTTCTAAGGTAGTATTAATAAGCTTTAGTATTGTCTATTTTGAGTTTTGGTTAGTGCGTATAGAGACAAGGAGTACTGGTCGTCGGAACACGAAAAAAGTAATGTGTCGCGTGCCTCCCTGATAATAGTTTGTTGGGTCTCAATTTGCGCTAAATACCTTTTGCCTAAATCCGGAGCAGAGAATCCGCTTGACAGCTCCACTGGACGGAGACATATACAGTTTCCGCTGAATGCCCACACCTGGAGGGCCACAATTAGCAGCCAATGAACACTGGTTCATTTTCCATATACCTGTTGCAGGAATTGAAGTATCACAAACCCTTGTAGATACCCTATCAAAAGGCACCACCTCGAGTTGAAAGGGCAGATTTCTTAGGATATATGTTCAATATCAAATAAACAACGAGGCTCTTGCGTAATCGTAATCGATATTGAAAAAGACGATTTAATTTTTTTCTCACTAAGATTTAGCGTCAAACAGATCAATGAGCACGTGCGTCAGTGACTGGTCACGATGTCAGTGGGGAAATGGCTGACTCATCTATCGTGCATCAGCTCCAACCAATGAGACCGATGGATCTGCACAGCTTCAACGGTGCACGACTCCCAGTGGCTGCATGTTCCTCGAAAATAATTGTTGGTCGCCGATTCTCCTCGCACCACTATTGACTTCTCGGGACACCAAAGGAGACTAAACCAAGAAACCTTCGGTGTGTTCCGCTCCGCATACATCTGGACCTCGTTTTTGCCCCGAGCGGGTCCATCTAAGCTAGACCGTTCTCGGGGGTGATAAAGTCCATCGCCTTCCCTTCGCACTCTCTCTCTCTTTCCCTTCCTACCGTTCTTCACTGTGCTCACCAGTGGTTCTTATTCATCATGAGGTGCGTTGTATTCAATTCCAATGGCTACTAATCGCTGGCTATATTCCATTTTCTTCCTTGCCCATCCCTTGCCGTCGCAGATCTCCCTCGGAAATGCTTCCCCGCATACTGACCCAGCCTCCAGGTTCGGCGAACACCTCCAATCGTCTATGATTAGGGAATATCACCCCTTCTACATCGCATACGATCAGCTCAAGGAAGCTCTTAAGACTGAATACGTCACCGAGCCGACCCCAGATACTGCCAAACCACCCCGTCGGGAATGGACCGAGGACGATGAGAAGAACTTCGTAACCCTGCTGGAAAGCGAGTTGGAAAAAGTATACCTATTCCAGAAGCGCAAGAGTGAGGAAATCGTTGAGCGAATTAAGGAAAGCGAGGTTGAGGTCACCGATGTCGTTGAGCGGCTTGACAACTCGGGCGCTCGCCGCCCGAGCATCATTCGCCCGCCCCGACCGCCGCCCACGGACGATGACTTCTTGTTGTTGGAGCAGATCCTCAGTGATATCATTGCCGACGTTCATGACTTGGCCAAATTTACCCAGCTCAATTACACGGGCTTCCAAAAGATCATCAAAAAGCATGACGTATGTGTGAACTCTCTGGTGATAATTCTTGATACTAATTTACTGTGTCTAATAGAAAGAAACAAAATGGTATTTGCGACCAGTCTTTGCTGCGCGCTTGAACGCCAAGCCGTTCTTCAAGGACAACTATGATGCCTTCGTTGTGAAACTGTCCAAGCTTTATGATTTGGTCCGTACCAAGGGTAACCCCGTCAAGGGTGACTCGTCAGCCGGTGGATCCCAACAGAACTTTGTGCGACAAACCACCAAGTACTGGGTGCACCGTGACAACATCACGGAGTTGAAGCTGGTTGTTCTGAAGCACTTGCCGGTCTTGGTTTTCAACGCTTCCAAGGAGTTCGAGGAGAAGGATACCGCTATCTCCTCCATCTACTATGATAATCCTGATACGTGGGAGCTTTATCAAGGGCGATTGAAGAAGACCGAAGGTGCGGAGGCTATCCGTCTGCGTTGGTACGGAGGCATGGAAAGTGATCAGATCTTTGTGGAACGCAAGACCCATCGCGAGGACTGGACTGGTGAGAAATCCGTCAAGGCAAGATTTTCGCTGAAGGAGAAGAATGTCAATGCTTTCCTAGACGGACGTATGACCGTCGAGGAAGTCTTCGATAAGATGCGCAAAGAGGGCAAGAAGAGTCAACAAGAGATTGATGACCTTGAGCAATTGGCCCGGGAAATCCAGTACCGTGTCATCACCCGTCGCTTGGTGCCTGTCACGCGTACCTTCTACCACCGAACTGCCTTCCAGCTGCCTGGTGACGCCCGTGTGCGTATCTCGCTGGACACTGAGCTGACTATGATTCGTGAGGACAACCTAGACGGTCGGCCTCGGGCTGGAAGCAACTGGCGCCGTATGGATATTGGAGTGGATTTCCCCTTCTCTCAGCTGCCCCCAGAGGATATTGACCGTTTCCCCTATGCCGTGCTGGAGGTGAAGCTGCAGACCCAGGCTGGCCAGGAGCCGCCTCAGTGGATCCGAGACTTGACTGCCAGTCACCTAGTGGAGGCTGTTCCCAAGTTCTCCAAGTTCATTCACGGCACTGCCACCCTTTTCCCCACACGCATTAACCTATTGCCCTTCTGGTACCCCCAGATGGATGTCGACATCCGCAAGCCTGTTAATCAGCGCTATGGTATCCAGCGGCCCTTGGCCAGCACTTCCATGTCTGCAAACGATGAGGATTCCGACGAGGAGTCGCCCGACACACCTGATGCCCCGGCTAATGGTTTCTCTCGGGCTGGCGATGATCGCCTCCTGTTTGTCGAGACCAACGGCAATGAGTTGGACATTGAGGAGCGTATTGCTGCGCAGCCATTGGCCGGAGAGGAGGATTACCCGCTCTACGATTCCGATGACGAAGCATATGATGAAAATGAGCTTGAAGAGGCCCGCCGCGTTGGAGGTGCTTATTATGCCGAGCAACTGGCTATTCATTATCTTCGCAAGACGGGGCAATGCGTCTGGGCAGGCCTGAAGGCAATCATCCCTCGCCCACGACCAACATCCATGCCTCCACAAGAGCAGCGTGGCATTGCAGTGCTACAGGGTACCCGCCGGACTATGCAGCGGTTCCAGGCACCCCCTGGCAAACGTGAGTTTTTCCAATCTTCTATACACTACTACACATACTAACCTTTCCCAGGTATCTTCGTTCCTGTCCGTGTTGAGCCAAAAGTTTACTTCGCTGCCGAGCGTACCTTCTTGTCCTGGCTGGAGTTTTCCATCATTCTCGGTGGTATTGCTGCTACCCTCTTAAACTTCGGAGTCGACTCGATCACCCTCGCCTCGTCCTGGGCATTCACAATCCTGGCTGCTATGGCTTTAGTATACAGTCTGGTGCTTTACCTCTGGCGTGTGGACAAGATCCGCAAGCGCCGTGATGTCAAGCGTGTGTACTATGAACGATGGGGACCCACTATTCTCAGCCTGGGTCTTGTTGCGATTGTTCTAACGAACTTTGGATTCCGCATTAGCGCTGGCGGTTTTATGGCTGGTGGTGATCAGAAGCCCCGTCATGGTGAGCTGTAAGCTTGGGTATGCATTTCCGGCGTTTTCTTTTGTTTGATAGCCGAGGCGTTGGAATGGGTTGTATGTATGCAAAATCAATGAAAATATTATGACTACATACCTGACTTTCAGTTTGAGACGAACATTATTGGACATGTTCGTGGGTATGCTCTTGATTACAATGAGAGTAATTGTATGGAGTACATGAAGGCTCCAGTGAATGACTCTGATAACAGGCAGCTAATGATCAAAATAATGGAACCGGAATTCGCCGGTCGACGTCTCATTCACCGTCTATCTTCACTTCTCGTCTTCCCCCCAATCTATTTCTCTTCATCCCCCGTACCTTCAGACTTCCACACCGAATTTCGTACCGATATCACAAACCTCGCACCGATTTCTCGGCTTCGAACCCCGGGACTTGACTCTCGTGAAATTCTTACTGTCTTCGTCCTCAGCTTCCTGGCTTTACCATGCCTGGTGGTGACAGACTCCCCATGCCGCCTACCGGCGAGCCTGAGTCACTCTTTGATGACTTCAGGCCCGACCCCTCGACTCCCAGAGTGTTAATTATCTACAACACTCCGTTTGCCTCCGAGTCTGGCACCCTGCAGAACGTGGAGCCGCACATCCAACGCCAACCTGAGGCGTCTTCCTCCTCTTCTTTCCCTCCTCCTCACACCACTGCCCACACCTACCACCACCGTCGACCAACAATCGTCGACTTTGTGGATTCTGTATTCCGTCCCCTCCCCTCGCCAACTGCGCCCACCATGGGCCCCAGCTTGAGCTCCGCCGTGCCTTCTGGCACAACCGACGGGCAGACCGAGGTGAGGACCGAGGAGGAAGCCCGCGAGAAGTACGTAACACCTCCCCACCCCACACAAGAAGCCACGAGATACATGAAAAACTAACAGCTCACCACTCATAGGATTAAACTTCTCAACGCCGAGATCGGCAAACTCCTCGGCGGGTGCAAGGAGAACCAGCAGGAGCTTGTTCTTCTGCGGCGCAAATTGTTGCGCGTCGAGGAGTTCCTGGAGATGGTGGCCTTTGAAAAGGTCCTCTCCCGCCTTGGTCATGACTGGTTCACCAAGTAAGTCATATCTGAAACTCCGATTGCTTATTTACATGCTTTGAAGTGAGGTGAATTCAGCTGACTTTGCCTTCTTTAGGGAGGAGTTTGGCAGTGCTCTGGAGATCTACCAGGAGCACCTGGAGGTAAAGGAGCCTGCTGCTCCCGCCGCCGACCAGGAGGGCAAGGAGTAGGTGGGTGTACTGGGTGTCTGCGTTCTTTGTTCTTTGTTGTTTGCATTTTTGTTTTTTGTTTTTCTTTCTTATACACCACTTGCCAGTTTGTAAGACAACTACCGTCTCATATTCTGGCAAGTGGTGTCTTATCACGGGTTAATGGGTTCTTTTCTGGTCCCGGATAAGTTGCGTTGCGTTGCTACTGTGTGGAATTGGAATTTCCTTTCCTTGAATTTCATTTTGCTGGCGTGTTGTTGTTTTTGTTTGATTTCTTAGTCTTTCTTTTCTTTTCTTTTTTAATTTTACTAACAAGCAGATACCCCTAATGCCTGCTCACAGGCTTTATGGTAAGTATTAAACTTCGCACGTTGTGATGTGTTGCGCGAGGCATGAGACGTAAGGCGAGTGCGTAGCCCTAACTTTGGATTTCTAACCACCACTCAGCACAGTTCGCATCAAACAACGCAGTGCGTAGACGTACTGAACTAACAAACAATCCTAGAGTAAATCACCGATCATTTAACACAGGTTTTCTCATATAAAACAATGAAACATGGACTGAATTATAGCTGTTTAAGCAACAAAGTATGCCAGGCACTTAGTAAGTGAATAGCTTCACTCCACCAGTCCGAGCATCATACTTATCTCAAATAAGCTACTTGCACCACAAAGACCTAAAAACATTTAATTATCGCCTACAGTACGTTGGTTAAAAACCTCGTATCCATACGTCATGATTTCCAGAACAAACTAAGTTCCCAATTTCCCGCAGTCGAAGTCTCGCGACCGCAAACACGAGCGGGAGGCAATTTGATGATGTAACCAGCCATAGAATTGAGGCACATGCACACCTACCTTAAATAATTAATAGCCTCCCCGGTTCCTTCGCTTTTACTCAATCTACTCTGTATGCTATACCTGCAACCAGATCCACAATGAACGTTATACGTCTATATGCTCGCACTGGCATAGTGCAAACACCGATCTCCCGCTCTCTCTACAAAACCAGGACCTACGTTACCAGCGCGCCACTTCCTCAAGGACTTCCAGGACATCATCCCCACACGAGACTGTAAGGAGGGATCTTTGGTTCGGGGAACTTGACTGAAATGCTTGAAAGGTACCTACTGATAGCCGCCATCGGTGTCCCAGCTGCATTCTGGCTATCATCTCGACGTCCCAACCCGAAACCAATCGGTACTTTTGAAGAGCGGCACGGACTTAACCCAGAATACAGACAGGCGACTGAGGCCGATACGCAGGGAAGGGATCCTGATTATTGTGAGGTTCGTTCTTGAGACGGATTACTTAGGCTGGGCTGATGGTTGTAGCATCGGGCTTGGGGAGCGCCCAAGGGGCCGTCTTAGCATCTTTGAAGAAATAGTGCTCGGTGGTACAGGACCTACTGAGAGGGGATGTTAGGAGATCGAAATTGAGCGTGAAGCTGAGGGTCTCGTTTATCGATGTTGAAGAATGGGATGATGGATAATGGATAATGGTGCTTTTATTGTCAGATACTATGGAAAAGAAAAATTCTGTTGTTAATGATACTGATCTATTTTTAAATCTACAGTGGTGTGATCTAAGCTGTAATCCATCAGCTAACGGCCGCGGAGATGCTTTACCGGAGCTATGGAGGTATCACGAAGAAAAGGAATGGATGTCATTCTTCGGGATTTGATAATAGCTAATCCTTGGTTGAGAAGCTCAACTCATATCCTTCACACGTATCTAGACTCGAGGAAATAATAGCGATAACAACAAGAAGAGAGATAAACACTTAAGCCGAACATGGCCAGCAAAATACTATAAATCACTACCTGGGCATGAAGCACCACGAGACCCAGACTTTGATCAACCTTTGATGAGTATGGATTGTGTGACTGCAAAACAAGATCTCAATGACAATTTTCCCCACCGGTACCTTCGGGTCCGAAGTGTGCATGGATGGTCCCCATCATCATGCATGGGTCTCGGTCCCGGAGCGATTTGTAGACGCATGGACACTCACGAATTTCCTGAGAGACATTGGCGAAAATTAATGCGCAGGCAACATCCTTCATTTGCATCATGTCTCTGTAGAGATCATCGGTCGTAGCCAACATTGTAAGTTCATCTTCCACGATCTCCCATACTTGATGCATGCGAAGCTGCGTTTCAATGGCAGAAAGCCAAGATTTGAAATCATTCTCCCCGACGAGACGGCGGATCTTCATATCAATGATATGCTGCGCCTTGGCTGAATCGAGAAAATCCCTGACGAACTTGCGGGTTCGATCGCGTGATTTGGCTTTCCATTCAGCCGACTCCATGTGATACTCATCGTCGTCGACATCGTCATCATCGCCTTCGCCCTGGTCATCATCGTCGTCTTCGTCTTCGGTCTCAATGTCGGACTCGGGGCTGGCGGCAGGTAGGACTATTGGCAGAGAGATTCCTCCTGGGGTTTGTTGAGAAGAAGGAATTTCTAAGCTCAATTCATTAAACTCCTCCAAAGTAGACTTGGGATTGGGACCCTCGGTTTTTTCGGTGCTGGCTGATGCCTCAGTCGTGTTTGAATCGGTATGATTGTTTACTGGGCTGGTGAAGATTGAGAGGTGAAAAAGGTATGAATCAATAGAGCCTATAACGTACCATGCCTTCTCATAAGGCAACTTCATCTGATGACCCGGTGCCTTCTTGGGAGTCATTGTGTAGGTTTAAAAAGGAAGCTGTCGGTGGGAAGAAGAAGATGAATGATGGGGAGACGATGAAAGGTGCGAAGGAAGGAAAAGAGAAAGCGAGAGAACGTGGGGTTTTGTAGTTCACTTGAATCAACTTGTGCAACAAACGACACAAAGAGCACAAACACTGACAGAATGCAATTGAGATATCATGTGGTGAGATTCATACCAAAATTGTCTCTCCAGAATTGTGGATTGCGACCCATGAGCAGTGCTGAGAGGTCTCAAGACGTTGGCTACTTCTCTTTACGACATATGATTGATAATAGAATAATCAAGAAATAGAATCACTAAATGATTCGTGTTATATATGGTTGCATGCGCATAATGTAGCTTAGTACTCGAAATCATCATCAACGCCTCGCTTGCCCGCATTCTCTTTAGCCACAGCCTCCTGCTTCCGGTACATCTCTGCCACGGCACGAGTTGTCGTAGCTTGCTCAGGCTTTTTATCATCACGAGACTTGATGAAGCGAGGGAAACGCAGTGAGACACCCTTACCACCGCCAGTCGTCCCCTCAAACTCATCCGCAGCTGCTTGGTACCGAGGGCTGAGAGTCAAATCCGCAGTCTTGACTTCCCACACCAGGCGAGGCTCAAACCACACATCTGGTTGGTCCTTGGGCACATTTGAGTGGGAGTAGAAGGGCTTGGGTCGATCGATGACCATAGGCTTCAACTCTTTGTGGAATTCCTCCAACACAGCCTCTGAGAAACCAGTACCGATATTACAGATTGTCTCGTACGTATCGTTATTCGGGTTGTAGGCGGCTAGAAGGAAAGCACCGTACACGGAAGTACGTTTTCCACGACCATAGTAAGCACCAAGCACGACAAGATCAAGCGAATCACCCACGCCGGCCAGATAGTCTTTCTTGACCTGTTCACGGGTTAGATCAATTGAACAGGAAAGGGTAATTAGGGGCATACCTTGAGCCAGTTCCGACTACGCTTGCTAGGCTCGTATCCACTCTCATCGGTGTCCAGCATCTTGACCATCAAGCCCTCACAAGATGACTTGACACTATCTTCGAGCAAATCTTGAATCTCATCAAGGACGTTGGTATCGCCATACTGAGCGAACTGGAACTCGCCTTCAACTGGCTGGAAGCACTGGTGCATCAACTCCCGACGTTCGCGAAGAGACTTCTTTACGCAAGGCTATCGAATCGTTAGAGCTGCGAAGAGGGTTTATTGTAGATAAATGACTTACTTCTCCGTTGAAAAATAAAAGATCAAAGGCAAAAACGCACACTTTGACCTTGACATCCTCTGCCTTAACGTCCTTCCGCTTCCGAGTCATCAGTTGCTGGAATGGGAGGACTTTCTTGTTGATAGTATCCCAAGCAACAGTCTCACAGTCCAGAACAAAGCTTGTCACGTCGTTCTTGACCCAAGTATCTAGCTTACCCAGCACGTCCGGGTATTTCTTTGACAGATCCTCGGAGTTTCTGGAGAAGATTGCAGAAAGACCCTTTTCATCCCTTTGTAGCGTAGTGGTAGATGCGGGGAATTGCTCAATGGCACTTGGAGCCACGAAATGGATCTGGGCTCGTTCTCCATCGTACTTGTACTCGCAAGTAAACTCCTTCCCTTCAAAGCGGTCAAGGACTTCAGTGATTGATTTTGTCGGTTTGGCAAGCATCGGCTTGAGAGGAACACCCGGTTGCAGCTTACAAACAGTGGGAAGTTTAAACAGGCCGTGTTCGAGCATAGCAGGAATAATAACTTCGTAGGAGGGAAGCTCGCTGTACACGGTTTTGAGAATCTGTTCCCCCTCGGCCATTTTTTCGGCAGAGGCTTTCTTGCCCTCCACCGCGGCCTCATGAGAGACGATTGCTTGAGCCAAGGACACAAGCACAGTTCTCTCAGCTAAACCCAGTCGCAGCTTACCCTCCAAGAAGCGGACGATGAACTTGGCCTCGCTTGGACCACCCTTGTTGTGGGTGATATCCACTCCTTTGTTGCCCTTGCCTGCGGTTGCAGCATCTGCTGCAGATAGAAGCTTTTTGATGCCCGAGATTTTCTTATCCTGGGATCCGTGTCCACTAACCTTGGCAATACCAAGCAGACCCTCATGGACCCCTCGCACTGTAAGGGCCTTGGGCTTGAACATTGTAGGTTGGTTGGATCGACTCTTAGCAGCCACGAGTCCCAGGTCACCGATCTCATGCTGGTCGGTCTTGATAACAGCCAGACTGCGGCCAGTACACTCACCGATGGCCTTCATGATCAAAGACTCTCCAATTCCCAGTTCGATCCCCGCATAGTCTGCAGCCAGCTTGTTAATCATCAACTGGACGGTTGGGAGCAAATCCCCTGGAGTGAGGCGTAAAACTTGTTGAAGGAACTGAGAGCAGTAGGCCATGATGATCAGGCGTTTCGTGGTCATCTCGACCAGAGAGAAAGTAGTACAAAGTGCTGCATAAGGAACTGGATCTCCGGCTTTCCAGTCCGGGTATGGATCGTTGCCGCTTGACTTTAGAGTTGCCTGCACCTTGGCCATCGTCTTTTTCTTGACCTCGGGCTTAACTTCTTCGTCGCTTTCTGACAGCACCTCGTCCTTGTCTGATTGACTGTTTTCCTCGGCCACCTCTTCCTCAGATGATTTCTTCAGGACTGGTTTGGGGGACGCGGGCTTGGTGGGCTTGGCTGCGGGTGACTTGGGTTGTTTCGCAGGGGATGACTTCTTTGGGCTTTTCTTGGGACTTTGCTTAGGGGATGGAGAGCTCTCTCTGGAAGTCTTGCGCCGGCGTTTTGAAACAGGCTGGACGTCGGAACTATCACTCTCCTCCCCTTCGTCGACCTTTTCTCGTTTCAAGCTTTTTGAGGATTCGGCTTCATTTGTCTTGTCGGGGACGGTTTCGGGCTCCTCTTCGATCTTCACATCTATGCCATCTTTTTTCTCAGCAACAGGAGGTCCCGTTGAGCTTTCTGCAGCATCGCTCTCTTTTCGTTGTCTTTTTCCACCGAATGCTAATGTCGTTTGTTTCTTTGGGGCCTGATTTCCATTCGCGTTTGAGCCGAAGAACCTTCTGCACAAAAGGAAAAAAGAAAAGAACAAATCAGTAACCAGAAATGCAAAGCGCACCAATGATGCGCCAATCCAGGTCGACGCACCCGATGGTCGATTGGGAATCGCGCACATACCCCAGCGTAGCCTGCTTACTACTCTTGTCATCCGCCATGATGGGGCGTGTATTGAGGAAAGACGTAAAAGTCAATCCGCGGCGAAGACGAAGAAATGAGCAGTTTCGAGATTGGCGAGGTCCTAGGTAAGTCGTGGTTTTGTAACAACTATAAGAACGTGCCGGTTGGATGCGGTGATGAGATTGGAAGCACGAGAGCGATGTAGGCGCCAATGCGAAAGATAGAGGGCGCATAGGCGTGTTTATTATTCACAGTAGTTCGAGAGGTGAGCCAAGGACCGCTTAAATAGAAATCGGACAAGAGACACGATCAGGCAGCATGCGCCTTGAATCTTAGACTTCAGGCAACATCCTGCCAATGTTCTCCACGCGACGTGACGCGACAGTCACGTGGTAGCTATCTTACTACATCGGGAAATATTGCTCTCGCCGCCCTCAAAGACTGGCAGAATGATAAAGGCGGCAATTTATCCCACGCCGATGGGTTTCAATCAATCCAATCAATCACAATCTACATGGCTTCATCTCTGCTCCACTGATCCTCGGGTTGATGATACATTTAAATGCCCTGTATTATATCTGAAACCCACTGTAAAACCTACCACAATGGAAAACCAGCGGCAGGAATCATTTAAGCGGGTATGTATTGCCCACGGCGTCGTGAAATCATACTAACAAATCCAACAGCTGCGTACACCATGTGTGGAGCTTAGCTCCGCTGGTTTGGCCTTTCGAGGTAATCACAACTCGGCTGCAGATGTGACTCGAGCTCTTGAACCAGTTCACTACGTCTTGGAGGAGCTTGAAGGGAAAAATGCGCTGGACGAGAAGCTTGCTGAATACGCCTTCTTCCCTCTCTCACATATCTTCAATGAAACACAAAGGCTACCGGCACGCTGCCTTGAGCTAGCAGTAAAATGTTTACAGATACTGGTTGCGGAAGGGTGGCGTCAAAAACTATCGCCAGCATTGGGCAAGCAATTGATTATATTGCTGACACTGATCGTGGGGGGATCCCCAAACAAGGTTGATGGCAAAGAACCTCTGAAGAACCAAGCAACAGAGGAGCTCTCAACAGCGGGGTTTGAGTGTCTTCGGGTGATCTTTGAGGTGCTGGAAGGCACAGTTGCAGAACAGACTATCTTCCATGAGATCGGCACCGCAACTGTAGTCGATCAAACGGTCTATCTCCTGTTAGAAGGAATTGTGGATGAGAGATCGGATGATCTCTGTGTCGCAGCTGCAAAGGCATTAAATGCCCTTTATACTCGAATCTCAGACCGTGTGGTACTGGCAAGCATCATGCCAAGAACGGTATCCACGCTAGCCAAAGTGGTGAAACCTACAACACAGACTCGACGGTCATACAAGTTGCTGGAGATATGCTTACAGACTTTGAATCACCTCCTGCAGGCGGTGCTAAATGACCATGTGACTGCTCAGACAGAGAAAGCGAAGCCTTCCCAACCCAAAACCGATACATTGGCGTTGGACAAGTCTTGGCTGAAAGCTACAACCACGCAAATCAAGCTAGCGTTGGTCAACGTGATCCAGGTCCGGCGCCATCAGCGACCAGAAGTACAGTCTGCAATGTTGAAGCTCTGCGTCATGGTGATAGAGGACTGCCAAGTCACTCTTAAAGATGCTGTTCCTTTGATGGTTGACACGATCGTGGTTCTAGCCGATAAAGAAGACGAGTTACCGAACGAGGCCTATAAAACACTCACTCATTTTACTACCACATATCCAGTGGTGATAGATTCTCTCAAGGAATCACTTCATAACTGGCTCATGTCCTTCCCCCGAATCATGCAAAGCAACGACGAGACAGCAAAACAATGGGGAATTCGGCAGATCTCGACGGCCTTCCAGGTCTTATCTCAGGTCCAGTCTGGGTCTGACATACTTACAAATAGCCTGGCGTCTGGTCTATGTGACAGTGTTAGTGCTGTCGTCAAATTCAGCACAAACGGGCCACAAATATTGGCCTCTACTACTCCGGAGAACCTGAACCTGGATGTCATTGGAATTGGGTCTCAATCGCTAAAATTCCCTCCGGTACTGCTGGAGCACCAAAGTCAGCAACAAACCTTGAAGGATTTGCGGTCTATGATAACCAGGCTCAACTTATCCGAATCTGGAAATGCGATAACTCGTTTGATCATCAATCGACTGCAGGCTACGTCAGATGAAACTGTTGTCGGCCCCTTCTGGTTGGCTTTGACATCTCTTCGCTCACAGTCACAATCCATGGCTGTCTTTGATGACTTCCTTGCGGATGACCAAGATCAGTCCTTGTCTCTTTCAAGGCGTGCGACAATGATAGAGGAGCTTTATTGTAATTCATTGATCATTTTGACTGAACTGCCAGCGGACGGATCTGGTGACTGGAGGACACTGGCTCTTGCTTTGGAGGCAGTTGCTCTTCAAGCCCAGCAACTCGGTGAAGCATTCCGACCCGAGCTTATGGATGCCTTATACCCTACATTACAACTTCTTGCATCCAACAACCCGGTTCTCCAACATCATTCCATGACATGTTTGAACAATTTGACCAAGGCATGCAATTACCCCGACACCAGTACAATGATTATCGAGAACGTGGACTATCTCGTCAACTCAGTTGCCTTGAAACTCAACACCTTTGATGTATCACCTTATCCACCGCAAGTCCTTTTCATGATGGTGAAACTATGTGGCCCACGGCTCATTCCCTACTTGGATGACGTGATCGATTCCATTTTTGGTATTATGGATCTGTACCACGGCTATCCAAAGCTGGTAGAAATGCTGTTCAAGTCTTTGGCGGCTATTGTTGAAGAAGGAGCAAGAAAACCATCACTGTTGACAATCGACGATGGCCGAGAGAGTGGACCTCACGACCACCGCAAGACTCAATACCAGCACCTCTCAATTTCCACCATTGCAGAAAATATCCTCGAGAGAAAAGCCAAGAGCGCTAAGCACGATGAGGAAGAAATGGATGCAGAAGGAAACATCCCTCATCCTAAGAGACCCTGGTCCGAAACATACGACAAACCTCCACCAGAGCCTGAAACCATTGAAGAACTCCTAAACCAAGCCGAATCCGATGAACCACTCCCACCACCGAAAGAGCCAGAGGACAGCGAGAAACCACTGAGCAAAACCCATTCACTCCTGCTACACATCGTCAAATCCATCCCATCCCACCTCTCGTCACCATCCCCCTATCTCCGACGCTCCCTCCTCACAATCCTCATCAACGTCCTCCCAGCCTTATCCCAAAACGAAAACAGTTTCCTCCCTCTAATAAACGATCTCTGGCCTTCAGTAGCCTCAAGAGTCATCTTCCCTTCATCCCTTGGCTCAGACTCAAACAGTTTAATTACCCAATCCTCCACCCCCAATCAACCAGATACCCACACGTTCCAAGAAGAAACCTTCGTCATAACAACAGCCTGCCAAGCCATTGAAGCCATCTGCAAAGGCGCAGGAGACTTCATGGCCTCCAGAATCGAACCAGAATTCCCCCGCTGGGAACGTGTCTACCAGCGCGTGTGGACAAAAGTCCGACAAGACGCCGAAGCAGCAAACGAACGCCGTGCTCGCCAAGAGCGGTTGGAACAGAAAGCACGTTCAAATACTCCGCTCATCCAGTCCGTGGAAACACCAGAGTTCAACCTGTCGCTCACATCCTCCCTTGCACTATCACCTCTGACCGGATCCAAAGTCTTCACGCCGCATCATACACTCTGGCGTGCATTGATTTCACTATTCCTCACTGTCCTTAATCATGTCCGTCTTCCACTCGATATCGGAGATCGGATCTGCGAGATTCTGGGTGCATGGATTAGCTTGTTTGTTGGTCCGGAGTACTATTTCCATTCTGGGTTGGATGGGCTTTCCGGTGATGAAGCGCAGAGGAGTATGCTTGGGTCTGTTGATGATGCTATTCGAGCTATGGAGACTTGGAATGCGGATTTGACTTGGTTCATCTTTGAGAGGCAGCGAAAAGACCTGCAAGGTTCTTCTTCTGGAGTGGTGGAAATCAAGGAAAATGATGTCTTGGAGATTGATGGAGTGGTACTACAGTTTGCGAAGGTTGCATTCTAAACGCGATTCCTACTTTATGGATGTCGTGGTATGATACTGCTTTTCTAGCACATAAACATGATATGAACCTCATGAGATCGTTACATTACGTATTCAAGATCTAGATCATTTGGAAATTTCCATTAAAAGAGTGGCGATTGGTGAGCTAAACTAAAACACTAACTATTCAAACTGACAACCCATGAATGAGCGAATCAGAAAGACATAAAGCCACTGTAACGGACAGCAAAACCTCAAGAAACAAATTCACGACGGGAGGCATAAAGCCACACCTACTCGCTGTCTTCGTCGCTCTCATCCTCACTCTCCGCATTCTCAAGCCACTCCAGGAAGGGCTGGGCAGCCTTGCGAATCTTCTTGCTGATCGACATGTCAACGTATTTCTTGCTAGCCTTAGCGCCCCAGGCCTTGAGGGTTTCCTCAGACACAAGGTCGTTCTGGTAGTAGTTGAGAAGAATGGCAGGAACCTGAGACATCAGGTCGGGGTGATCCTGACCAACGAAGCGCTCAGTGCCGCCAAGGAAAGCCTTCTCGTGACGATCAGAAGTGATCATCTTCTTGAGGAGTGGAGCACGGCCCTCAATCTGCTTGACGATCTTCTCGTCGAAGATGCTCTGGGCCAGGACGGCGAGAGTCTTGTGCTTGGATTCGATACCAAAGTCCTTGGCCTTCTTGTAAATGTCAACATCGGAGACCTTGGTGACACTGCCGAGCTCCTCGGCGGTTTCGATGATCCAGCCGCCCAGCTGCTCGTAGGATGAAGGACCATCGGCCTCATCAGCATCGGCGTCCTCGATGACGACAGCACGCTTAAGGTCATCAGGGAGATCCTTGGCGCGAGCCTTGACAGCCTCCTCGGAAACGTCAACAGCCCAGTCATCGTCCTTGATCTCCTCCTCCAGCTGGAGGTTCTTGGCCTGGCGGACGAGCTCATCGTCACTGCCAGCCTCGAGAGCCTCATCGCCATTCTCCTCCTCGCCGTTCTCGGAACCGTTGCTGTCAGCGGGGCTGACATCTTCGCCGTTGTTTTGCCTCTCCTTCTTGGCCTCACGACGGGCCTTCTTGTCCTTCTTTTCTTTCTTACCCGGCTTGGGTTGGTTGCGAACAATGAAGGTGCTTAGCTTCAGGCGGGGGTCAGCGGTGCAACGCTGGCCACATGCCTTGCAGTCCAGGGTGATCGTCTCATCCTTGATGATGACATCGGTCTCGGGGTTCTTGCACTTCTTGCAGAGCACGAACTTGGAGATAAATCCATCCAGGTAGTCCTGGAGCTTGTTCGCGTCGTGGGCGCCGTTAATGATCCAACGGTCGTCGGTGGGTTTGGCGTTAGCCTGGGCACCGAGTTCAAAACCGAAGTATTTGATGACGTAGGCAGGAGGACGGCTGAGGGATTGGGCGACCGAGTTCAGGTTGACAATAACGGTCTTAATACCGTTGCCCTTGCCCTCAATCTTGGACTGCAGCTTCTCCATCTTGTAGCGGTAGAAGGGATCGGAGACATCCCGGCGAATGTTGACGGTGGCCATGTTGGCGATTGGTTTGATTTAATTTGGATCACGAGGATACGATTGGCTTGCGGAAAAGGTAGCGGGAGGAAATTTTGAACGGAATCTTGTCGACGGAACAAGACATGCGTGTTTGAGGCGGTTTAACAAACGGGTTGTTTTTTTTCTTAATTTGCAGGGGATACTCTGTTTGACTAAACAGTGTGATTTCTCACGCGTAGGTCAACGAGGGAATCAAGTAGGCCGAGGGGATTCAGCCACAAGAGCGAAGGTGTATACTGCAAGGTTTCGACGCGCGAAACGTTTGCAGCTTGAGCGGCAGGTGATGTTCGAAATTTTGCACGGAGGACGAATACATAGACAAGTTCGCAGTCGAAATCCTGGCTGGGTGTCTCTTAGGGGCGAGAACGACCGAGGTTGTTCTGGGAATCCGAGTCAGAGGCCGGAGACCCTGGGATAGCTTGCTGAAGAAAGTGATGATGGCGATACCGAAGTAAAGCTGATTTTCAAGTTGACGCGTAAACTGTATTCACAGCTAACGCAGGAGGCTTCGCGAGATGTCGAGGCCTAAGTAAAAGATGTGTGGGTTAAAAACAGAAATTGAGGGCGAAAACGAAAAGAGAAAGCGTTTTCAAGCGGGTCTGCTTAGCTCATCATGCACGTGGTTCCGGATGGCGTTGTCAAAGGTCTATATGCACGCACCCCAGCGGTACACCTGCATGTCAGAAATTAGCTAGTCGATCAGTATCAAGATGAATTCTCCCCAGATATGGAGTGGAGGGATAGTCGAATGGGATGAATGATCTTCCATTGTCAGTGCAAGAAGGACTCCTGAAGCTTTCTATGACAGTATGGTGAATGTTGACACGGGGAGGAAGGTGCGTGTATCTAATCAGATGATGCGTCGCTCTAACACGGACTTCCGGCCGACTCGGACTTTTCCCTAAAACAATAAACCCTGCTTAACTCCATACTTCACTAAGACAAAACCGAAAATGAAAATGAAAGAAATCGAAACAAAGAGAAGCAATGGAATCAAGAGTCACCGTGGATCTGATCACTTTTCTTTTCTTTTTATGTACTCAGTTACGTAGCCCATACAAAATAAACCTTACAAATCTGGCTGCAGAATGAGGTCAACCCCTCGGAGCCCCACCAAAACTTCCCCAACGGCGGGATCACCTGGTTCGTGATCGCCAATTTCACGGTACCTTTTTACCGATTGTGCGTAAAATCTAGGACTGCACATTACCAAGGATCCACACCGATCTTGTTGGTCACAATGCCCGTAGACTTGTCGCTATACCTGGTGACGGACTCGACCCCGGCAATCCTGAAGGGGCGAGACCTGTGCACGGTGGTCGAAGAAGCCCTAAAAGGAGGTAAGACAAAGATACTCCGATGGAGAATGCCGATCTAACCAGAACGTCCAGGTGTCACGGTCGTGCAGTACCGGGACAAAAAGAGCGACACCGGAGATTTGATCACCACAGCCAAAAAGCTGCATCAAGTCACCCAACACTATGGTGTCCCACTCCTGATTAATGACCGGGTGGATGTGGCCCTCGCTGTTGGATGTGAGGGTGTCCATTTGGGTCAGGATGATATGAGTAAGTCCCTTCACGCAGCCGGTTTCCCGCGGAAACTGATATCAACAAGCATTCGAATTGGCGAAGAAGCTTCTTCCTAAAGATGCTATTATTGGAATTAGTACCTCGTCTCTAGAAGAGGCTCGCAAAGCTGTTGCTGATGGGGCTGATTACATTGGGATCGGGACAATGTTTGCCACTCCAACGTATGTATGGCCCCCAGCGTAAGCGGAGAGAGGACTAACCAAAAGACCGCAGAAAAACGAACACCAAATCTGTGATTGGAACAGCAGGAACTCAGAGTATTTTGGATGCCATTAGTGATTCTTCTATTGGTACGGTGGCTATTGGTGGTATCAACCACACCAATGTTCAGCGAGTACTCTACCAGTCCAAGGCCCCGAAAAAGGGTCTGGACGGAGTGGCTATTGTGAGCGCTATTGTGGCCGCTGATGACCCCAAGGCTTCGGCCGAGGAGCTTGCCAAGCTTATCAAGTCAACTCCTCCATTTGCATTGGATTCCAAAGCTCCCCGGACCAACGAGACCGAGGCTCTGTTGGCCGAGGTGCCGCAAATCGTACGCAAAATGGTCGAGGTACATCCGCTAGTTCACAACATGATTAACTTTGTAGTGTCGAACTTTGTTGCGAATGTTGCATTGTCCATGTAAGTCATTGCTTTGGATATGTTGAACCATCCATATTAACAACCGCCATAGTGGCGCATCGCCTATCATGTCTCCTTACGGTGATGAAGCCAAAGATCTGTGCAAGTTCGACGGCGCTCTTCTCATCAACATGGGTACATTGACTAGTGAAAGTGTCCCCAACTACGAAAAAGCCATCAAGGCATACAACACACGGGGCAACCCTGTGGTCTACGATCCAGTGGGCGCTGCCGCAACAGAGATTCGCCGAAATGCAGTCTCTCGACTAATGTCTGGTGGATACTTTGACCTGATCAAGGGTAATGAGGGCGAGATTCGTCAGGTCTGGGGTAGTAATGCAGTGCAGCAGCGTGGTGTTGACAGTGGACCCAGCACCCTCGATAGCCAGCAAAAGGCTACTCTTGCCCGAGACCTTGCCCGGAGAGAGAGAAATATTGTGCTGATGACCGGAGCTGTTGATTATCTCAGCGATGGGGAACGTGTCATCGCCGTGGAAAATGGTCATCCATACTTGGGACAGGTGACTGGAGTACGTCCAACTCTCCTCCATTCAATATATTGATGCTAACAAAATCAAATTAGACTGGATGTGCCGTCGGTAGCATCTCCGGCTGTTTCTTGACAGCCCACCGTTCTGATAAACTGCTTGCCGTGCTATCTGGTATTCTGATGTACGAGATCGCGGCTGAAAATGCAGCGGCCAAGGAGTACGTCCGCGGTCCTGGCAGTTTTGTACCATCCTTCCTAGACGAACTATACGCCATCCGCACGGCGGCAGCCAAGGGCGACGATAGCTGGTTCGTTAGCCGGGCAAAGGTGTACGAGGTGAAGATGCAGGTTTGAAATTAGAGGTGTTTAGATGATTGAAAAATGAATACCCAATTTGAATATTAAATAGTGGAAGTAAAAAATAAGTAGCATAGATTCGGCATTCTCCGCAGCTCATTCCCCTCGGCCGATTGGCTTCCCCGCAATCTCCGATTTCCCGCCTTCAATTGCTCATTATTTCCCTTCCCCTTTCCACTGCACTTCATCGAAATATCCATCTACCTGTCCAATCCCAAGCACAACATCCATCATGGCTACTCTCTCCCGTGCAGCTCGAATCCGTAAGTACCACCCGAGCAACTTCCATTGAACACAACTAATATAGAACACAGGGAACCCCGCACTATTGTATGATTTCGCGCCAAAAGCCCATACAACAGAAGACTAACCAGTCCATCCAAAGCATATGCGACATCCAAGAGAAATTCCGCACAAAAATTTACGAATTCCCCAAACTGTCAGTCCCACCCCACCCAACAGGACCACAAACCCGAACACCCACTAACAAACCCAGTGTCTCCACAACCAACAAATTAGTCCTCGCAGCAAACACCCTCAATATCCCAATTTATATAACCACCCAGTCCCGCAAGAAACTCGGAGAAACCGTCTCTGAACTTTCTACCCACCTCCAAGGCCCAAACATCAAAGCCGATGTCGACAAGACGCTCTTCTCAATGATAACCCCCGAATTGAGTGCAAAGCTGCCCTCGGATCCCACTGTTATGGATGCTGTCATCGTGGGCATTGAGACGCATATCTGTGTTACGCAGACGACGCTTGAGCTGCTGGGGCGTGGGTATCGGGTTTACGTTGTTGTGGATGGGGTTAGTAGTGTTAATCCTGGGGAGAGGAAGATCGCGCTTGACAGGTTGAGGGATGCGGGAGCTATTGTTACCAGTAGTGAGAGTCTGTTGTTTGAGATGATTGGGGATGCGAATCATGAGGCGTTTAAGGCTATCAGTGGGTTGGTGAAGGATAGCTCGGAGGAGACGAAGGAGGCTTTGGAGGTTTTTGCTAAGATTTAGATTGTTTTACCTTGAGCGATAGAAAATTGACTCATCCTGCTGAAGAGTGTCAGGCACTGATCCCGATTCTGATGTTAATCCCTAATTACGTTTACCTTGATATGGCATTATGTTCGACAGCCTGGAATATTATGCTCGAGTTGATATATCAAAGAAGAGGTCACAAGTGTATGGAAGCTTTAAGTCAATAAAAATTTCATTTTTGCTGTCGGGTCATGACAATCCATACGGTTGTCTCGCTAACTGGAAAGATTAACTTAAGGCTGGATACCCTATCGGTAAACAGATCGATTGGGATCTGTAGTATTTTCAGGCCCCGATATCCGTCGCTAAGATGCAAAGTATGGTAAATCGTATTCGCAAGAGGCTCACTTAGTTCCAGTGGCGTGGGATGAATTCAACCATCCAAACGCTGAGGCGCCGCCAACGGGATTAGTTGCGGAGGAAGTGTTGCCGTCAGAAGTAGGAACAGCAGAGTTGGGCGCTGTGCTGTGCGACTCAGTGCCTGTAGAGACACTGGTAGGTGCTGGTGAGTAAGACACTGCGCGGGTAGACAACTTGGTAGGACGAAGAACTTTCATAGGACGACTCTGCGCAGTCTTATCTGTGGCAATAGGCTCGGGCTTTGGGCGACGCCAAGAGTTCCAAATAGTAGCAGGCTCGGTCTGGGAAGTAGTATTTGGATCCCGAGCCGAGGCTGATGTGGGACGCGATTCAGTATTCGTGAGAAGTTGGTCTTGCAGACGGGGCTTTTTCGCCTCATCCGCTTCGCCAACCGAGACGCGAGTTGAAGCAGGGGCAGAGATCGATTGTTGGGGAGCATTGGGCTGTCCAATAACCCCAACGGGTTCCTTCCCATTCACTGCGGGCTCGTTCGATTCATGATCGATCTTGATACCATTTGAAGCTGTTAGTAGGGTTTTGAAGACAGACTCCTTTTCGGGGCGAACAAGGGGGATGGAGATGAGATTTCGATCATCGTCACACATAACAATCTTGTCCTTGGAAAGCAAAATGTCTGCATTGTGTGCGCGAAGCACATCAACCCCGATTATTACTTCGATCGAATCATGTGCGGTATCTGTCTCGCAGACCAAGAATCGAATTGTCAATGCGGGGACCTGAGGCTCAGGGCTCCCGGAGCGAGGGGACGCATGGTGAATACTAGCTTCGGTGAGGTGAACAGGAATTTTGACGTATTTCATGCCATCTTCATGTTCTATCGATTCCTCCAATCCAAGATTGCGAATGGTTGAAATGCCCAGTGTCGACATATAGGAGCCCGAGCAGACTGCAGCGTAAAGGAGCGTCTCATTCGAAAATCTAGGCGTTAGCCAGCATCGGATTATGCAAGGCGCTGGCCCCAAGAGAGCCCATCCAGGTGGAGGGAGAAGTGGCGACGATCCACCGTACGCCGAGCCCAACGAGCGACTCGTTTCCAAGCCCATGCTATTTGTCCGGGTCGAATAAAGGGAGTGTCCAGAGGAGCTCAATCGGCCATCTGACCGATGAGAAAAAGTCCGCTCGGTCATCATTGAGCTTCCCACCCCACTACCGGTTCCCATCCCACTGCCAGTGCGGAGCGGCAGCTCAGTATTCGGCCGGCTAGCCTGCCCATACCCATGAATAGCACTCTCGTCAAACCGCACACTATTCGCCCGCGAGGCGGCGCCTCGTCGTGGCTCCTCATCACCTTCCATACCCATAGCTGAGCTTGACAACCCGTGATGATGCCCTTGATCAAAACCTTTGAAGGCGTCAGGCGGAGAGTTGAAAGCGGGTTCTAAGTGCAATATCGTTAGCAACAAAACCAAAATTTCAGCTGAATAAAGCGCATACCAGTAGGAATGGAACTCCCCAGCGGCGTGGGGAACGGCGATAGTGGACCCCAAACACTTTTCAGTCTCGCATCCTCGTCCCGGCGGCGCTCGAGTCGTGCGATCCGCTCAGACTGCTCGAACTGTGTAGCATGAAGCTCTTTCAGATCCTCGATTATTTGCCAGATTTCCCGCGGGGCAGAATAGTACGGCGCATCCATTGCCTAGGTATCTCTAACGCCCTGGAATAATCACGCCCCTTGCGCCCTTAGGACGTAAACTTCAAAAGTTTGCCACCTCGTTTTTCTTCAACTCCCACCTCTAGAACCACTTATGGCCTCCTTCGGCTTCCTCCCTCCTTGAGGATGTGTGACGGCCCACGGGGCCGTCCTCCGAGTTGTAGATTGCAGGGGCTTGTGGTTCCGCTGATGGCATGCAGTGAGGACTTGAAGCTTGGACAGGAAACGGAAGGTTGCGGTCGGTTTGACACGTGTCAAAGCAGGTGAGGTCGAAATAGGATGAGGCTGAAATATGCAAGGTAGACGATGGGAAGGTTGAGGGCGTTAAGGTTTGGGGTCAGTGAGAGTGGTTGGCGGAGTGATGACCGATGGGGGGTGAACGAGAGAAAGGGAAAGTGGATCAGATTTAGTTCAGAGGTTGAGATCGCACGCGACAACGGAAATTGATGTCAGATTTAACGCAGGAAGAATGAGATCTGGGGAGAAATACAGTGGAGAGAACAGCGTCATATGCAGGAGGGGAAGGAAGTTGATCTAGACCGCTCCCGTGCTACTCCACTAACGGCTTCAACTACGCGGCAGTTGTCATGGTCTGTGCGATTGATCATTTAGTTTAATTAATTTATCTACTGAGAATTGATGGAATTTGTCAATAAAAATTCTGGTTGGATCTACAGGGTCTAAAGGCCGTTTAAACTAGAGCTGTGGATGTATAACTTATTTGGGAGCCTCAGGCCACGGAGGATAAACCATCGGCAGGACTTCTGGATCTTGTTCCGGCCAATTAGCGCGGATTGTGCTCATCAGTTCAGTATTGACGATACGGTATCCAGCCGGTGTCAGATGCAACCCTAGTTCTCGGTTAGTGAGGCGGGAACTTGACGTCTTAAAGTGATACGCACCATCGGTGAAAAGACTACCGAACGCCTCATTGTTAGGCGCGTCTCGAGATCCAATGAGAGGTCGTCCGTCCTCCCAGCCAACCGAGGCCATGAATGCAGACCAAATATCCACGACTGGGATATTCAGCGATGCGCCTAGCTCCCTCATCCCCTCAGCGTAGGTCTTTGTAAGAGCAGCAGTCCGACTGGGGTGAACAGTGTTCTTAGAGTTGTCAAAGCCCTCCAGTTGATACTCATTGACTGGCGGGGGAGTAATGAAAATAATGTGGGGGTTCTGAGCAAGCATTGCTGGATGTTGGACAATATCCGTCAGGTTCTGCTTATATTGCTCCAGAGGCACATGCTGATTGTGCCCAGGGACCGCGGCATCATTGGCGCCGAAGAAAATGGCCTATAGGTTTTATGAGTCAATGAAGTATGATTAGAGAGCTGGACCAACACTTACTATGAACCGTACGGTAGCAATTTGAGGTGATGGGAAGAATTGAGGAAAGACTTTGATAGCATGGGCAGTGGAATATCCCCTGTTGTTTGTTAGGCCAATGGCAAGATTTACGGGTTTTTGCACGCTTACGAAAATCCACGGTTGAGCACGTCCAACTTGCGACAGTATACTATGGACATAGTTAGCAGAGAGTCACTCATTCTAGAACAGATTGACTTACCGTCTTGCAATGCTGGCTCAAAGCCAAATCCCAGGTCCTGATTACAGGACATTTGGGTGATCGAGTCCCCAAAGAGGAGGAATTGATCATAAGGCTTGCCGATAACGCCGTCAGATCTAGTCATGGTGACGAATCCGAGTGCAGATAAAAAATAATAATAAGATAAAAACCTCAATAGCAAAGTTTGCTCTGTTGAGAGGATATATGTCAGGTTTTAAAGCTTTGGTGAAAGGTGGTGGGGGTTATGCTCCGTGGACAAAACGGAGTGGACCGATCTTATCGTGGTTTCTCCACCAATTGCAGACTAGTGCTTCATGGAGCTTCTACGGAGTACACTTGACATGAATAGTAATCGATAAAACCACTTCCCTATCCCGATTCTACAATAAGTAGAATCGAACAGAGCATGGGCAACCCCGTATGTAAAAGCTGAGTAAACATTTCGGAGAACCAGGCATAGGAACTAGTACAGACCAATCACAGCCCCCACTAAAAGCGGTTACACATCGGCCAATAACACCCAGATTGGAGCGAATCACGTCGCTACTGCGTACGGATCGATCTTATGCACGTTTAATCCCCATAATCTGCCGAGAGTTGTATGGGTGCCCAAAGCTTATAAGCGACCAGCAGAGTTCCAATAGTGCATCACGTACCTACATCTCCAACCTACCAGCACCAGTCTATATCCACATTTGATGGCTATTCCCACACCAAAGCAAGTCTTTGCGCAAGCCACCGCCTCTTGAGGGGAACTTGAGCCCCACCGCCAAGTGATCGACTCGGATCAGGGTGGTCAGTCAAGTGGCGAGCATCACGCCGCACAAATGTCTCAGTGGTTCTCTTTTCCGGAGGGGATTTCGGCAAATGACCTATGGTCGCCTTTCTTCCGGGGGTCATTCACCGGCTTTGATGACAGGGATTCTGAAGTGTCTAAAAGCAAAGTCAGGATTGGTAGAGTCCCAAAGACATCTGTCATACACCGCTCAGGCCGACCAGTATAACCCAACGTCATGGGAGTATATTGGGCGTAGCTCCCCGCATCGGACCCTCTTCTTCAATACTCCAATAGGATGACGGGTAGGAAACGGGTTCCGTAGAATGGCATCCCGAGCAGGGGTCAAAGGAGCTTCGAAACGTATTAGGCATGCAGGAAAAAGCTAAACGGTTGACATATCAAATCAAATCAAATTAAATATGCATCCTAGGCCGCACAGAATGCGCAAAGAAATATATTAAACAGCGAATGATGTGGATTAAGGGATTCAATACGCGGTGGGTCCGTCCTCACCTGACGCGTCCCCATCATCTGCAACCCGCACTGGACTTCTTTTAGAGCTCTTGAGACCCTTGAAGTAGTGTGCGGGCCATGAATTTTGGTAAGTTCCAAGCTTCTTTCTTCTATATCCCCATTCTACACGCCCTCATGCAGACCCTTCCCATGGTGTCGCACCCGGGGTTTAACCGCATCTAACTGCATAAACATTAGGCATCGGCACTGTACCCCGAAGCATACACGCTTCTGAACCCCACGATGCCACGTTCCGTCCCGCAGTTGACCTCACATGGTGAGCCGGACGAAGCTCAAATCGATTCTCCTGCCTCCCGCACAGCGCCCCCATCACCAACCGCTCACCGCCGTCGAAGCTACCTCTCCGAAGAGCACACGGGCTACCAATCGCTAGACTCGCATCTCGAGATCACCGAAGCTACCAGTCTCCTAGGTCCACCCGAGGATCCACAACGCCGGGTACCGCGGCGCTCATATACGAGTATCTCGGGGACTTCGGGTCCAGAATCTTTGCGGTATCTCCTGGGTGCAGGGAACTTGCGTCGCAGAGGCAACCACAGTCGAGCAGGTTCAACGAGGAAGCGATTTAGTCGGCGGAACAGTTTTGTAGATGAGGGGGAGATCGAGGATGAGGAGGAAGACCGCCCGGCCAGTTTACCGCCATCGACCAAAAATGGACTAACGGCATCGTCATTCTTGGATGAACGGACCTGGTATGACCAGTTTACTTCGACGGATTGGGTGCATGACAGTATTGCCGATGGAGCACGTCTGCGACAATTACGGCGCCGGAAGGATCTCCGCGGCCGGTTGCTGTCGTGGTTTGACGGCGCTCAGGGGTGGATTCTTGTAGCCTTGACTGGCTGCATCACGGCAGCGATTGCCTATTTTGTGGACGTGACGGAGGATAGGATATTCGATGCGAAGTTTGGATTCTGCACTTCTCGCTGGTTTGAGAGTCAGAGTAAATGCTGTGAGGGGGCGTCACCCTGTGACGACTGGCGACCCTGGACGCGGATCTTCAGGTCCTCTAGGCCAGATGATGAAGGCGTGGATTTTGTCATGTTTGTTGTATGGGTGGTTGTTCTCGCAATGATTTCGTGTGGTCTAACCCTGCTCACGAAGACTGTTGTTCCATCTTCAGTTTCTTTATCCACTCTTGACGAAAATCTTGGGGCCGAGTCGGGTGGGCAGTATAATTCTGCTGGCAATGGCTCGCCACAGTCTGTTACAAGTCCCCATGGAACATTCCCTAACGCTCCTTCACGCCCGGCAATGGTCTACTATTCCGCTGCTGGTAGTGGAGTGGCTGAAGTAAAGGTGATCAACAGTGGTTTTGTCCTCCACGGGTACCTGGGATTGAAAACCCTGGTCATCAAAACTATAGCTCTGATCTTTAGTGTTTCATCTGGACTGAGTCTAGGAAAAGAGGGTCCTTACGTCCACATTGCCACTTGTGTTGGCAATATTGCTTGCCGTTTATTTGCCAAGTACAACCAGAATGATGGCAAAAGGCGTGAGGTGCTGAGTGCAAGTGCGGCGAGTGGTGTGGCCGTTGCCTTTGGTGCGCCCATCGGTGGTGTTCTTTTCAGTCTGGAAGAAGTCAGCTACTATTTCCCACCAAAGACTCTCTTCCGAACCTTCTTCTGTTGCATTGCGGCTACTCTATCACTGAAATTCCTCAACCCTTATGGCACAGGAAAAGTGGTTCTGTTTGAAGTGCGGTACCTCACAGATTGGGAATTCTTCGAGCTCTTCATATTCATCTTCCTCGGCATACTTGGCGGTGCAGCTGGTGCCCTGTTTATCAAAGCCTCCAGTCTATGGGCACGCTCATTCCGTGGGATCCCTGCAATCAAGCGCTGGCCGATGCTAGAAGTCTTCCTTGTGGCAGTCTTAACCGGCGTGATCAGCTTTTGGAATCGATATACCAAATTGCCTGTCACGGAGCTTTTATTAGAGATAACCAGTCCCTGCGAAAAGATTTCTCAAGATGGCACTGGACTATGTCCTCGCGAAGAGGATATACTGCAAACCATCCAGTATCTCTTGGTTGCCTTCATTATTAAGAGCTTTTTAACCGTTGTTACCTTTGGTATCAAGGTACCAGCCGGTATCTACGTTCCATCCATGGTGGTCGGAGGTCTGATGGGCCGAATCGTTGGCCATGTTGTTCAATACTGGGTAGCGAAGAACCCGACATTCTTCTTGTTTAACTCCTGTCCCGCCGTTCGTGGACTCGAGTCATGCGTGACGCCAGGTGTATACGCACTGGTTGCTGCAGGTGCCACCATGTGTGGGGTGACTCGACTCTCAGTCACATTACCTGTCATCCTTTTCGAATTGACAGGAAGTCTGGACCATGTCCTTCCGTTTTCCCTCGCTGTCCTTTGCGCAAAATGGACCGCAGATGCGATAGAGCCACGCTCCATCTATGTAAGCCATGCCCGATCACGTTGCATGAAACACAGAGCTAACAATAAACAGGACTTCCTTACCGATATGAACGCCTATCCTTTCCTTGACAGCAAACTTCAGCCACTGAGCGATGCCGAGCTGGGTGATATCGTCCGACCTGTGCGCAAAGACCGCATGATTGATATCTCGAACTCACCCTTCGTTGCCGCAACGGAACTCCGTTTGAAACTCGAGCACCTTTTAATGGCCGGTGAACTGGATAGCGGCCTGCCAATTCTGCGAGAAGGTGTCTTGGCAGGTTTGATTCCAGCTCCAGATCTGGAGTTTGCACTTGACACCCTCGAAGATGAGGAGAACACACTTTGTCTGATGGCAATGGATGCTTCTATTGCCGTCTATGACAGTGACCACGAAGGTACCCTGCAGGAAGATTTTACGCGGTACATAGATCCTGTAAGTGACGATCCTCTACTACTGTCTTTCCTATGCTAACATATCTTTTTCAACTAGGCTCCTGTTTCCCTCGATGTACATTCTCCTATCGATTTGGTATACCAGTGCTTTGCCAAGCTGGGCCTGCGATATCTGTGTGTACTTCAGAATGGCCACTATGCCGGCCTAGTACACAAAAAGGCATTTGTGAAATTTATGAAGGAGAACGAGTAACAATCTGCCTTAGGTTGATTGCATTTGTTTTGACTTGAGCCTGGCGTTTCGGCCTGGCAGTTTGATTTTCCATTTCTTTGACATCTTGCATAGCATTGCACATTCTCTCGCTACTTCCTTTTTGCCTTGATTATCGGCAATGTTTATAGAACTCACCGTGCATAGCCAGTTGGCATTCTGATTTCACATTTTACGACAATTGCAGCATATTTGGACTCGACCCTCAAGAATGATATCATGATACAAATGCATTCCATATACCAAATTATGCCACGATATCCCCAGATACATATCAATCCAACTTCTCAAACCCAACCATCTGAACCTCAACTTCTCCCTCCCGCTTCCACTCCCCAGTAACTTCCTCTCCCACCCACTCGCTCAACTCCTCAGGACTAGCACTCCTCCACCCATTCCCCTGCATACTATCCAAAGGCCAAAAAGTATCACACTCATACGGCACCTCAGCTCCGCCTTCAGGCTTCCTCACAACATTAGTCATAACAACCCTAACAGGCCTTGACCCAAACTCCATCCGTAATGCAGCCCCATAAATCTCCGCACCACCAATGACAAAAATCTTCCCCAGTTTCCCCGAAGACCCATAAACAGAATCCAGCTCAGAGAGCGCCGCATCCAAGCTAGGCGTCACAAGCGCATCCGTAACCGGCTCTTCGCCCACAACATCCCCAGCAGATTCCGCTGCCTTAGCAGCAATCTTCGCCTTTCGCGCTTCAAGCTCTTGTAACACGCCCTCACGGACAGAACCAGTCGTATCACGCGTGATCACCACGCTGATACGCTTCGCTAGGGGGCGTAGACTCTTCGGGACAGAATCGTAGGTTTTCCGACCCATTATTATTGCGTTGGTGGTTCCAGGTACTGGGGGACGAGATGTTACGCGTGCGAAGAAGGACATGTCTGTTTTTATGCGGGGCCAGGGGAGGGTGCCTTTTAGGCCTATTCCGAGGCGGGTTTCGTGGTCTGGTGTTGACGCGACGCGGATTGGGGTTGTCGCGACGATTAGGGTGAGGGGGGGGGAATTGAGCTGGTGGCTTTTGGTGGTGGCATTTTGGATCTTTGATTTTGACTTTGCGTCAAGTTAAGTGCTGGTGGTTCCTGGACTTGAGGGGTTGGATGTAGGTTAATGGGGGTTGATGGGAAGAAAAGTTGATTATCTGATTGCTTATCGGGCCCCGCGTGGGGTTATGTGGTTTTATGCATTGTGAGACCGGGATTTAGAGTTGTAGTCAATGCATGTTAAAATGGAGTATTACTTAGCGTACATATATTTGAATAATCAAGTCAAAATGCTCAGGCCGATAAAAGTTTTAAGTGCACTATTAGTGGAAGCTAATCTACCAGACATCCTGCTTAGGAGTAATGAAATATGATAAAAACGGATGAATGCAAGGACAGGCACACAGCAGAGGCACGGTAGACAAAGAATAATGTAAGAGGAATGAATGAATCAAATAAAAATTGAATAGGATTGGTATACAAAATCACAGTAACCATAACGCCTCAAACCCCGAAATCCCATAGCTCCCACAAATGCTCCACATATGCTCCGTCAATAACCTGAAAACTCCATGGTCAAATACACGCAATAGGGCATTTTCACCATCCTACTTCTCAGGAGCAAGCTTCAACAGACTATTCTTCCTGAGAGCCTTCTCCACAGCAAGGACATCCTTGTCTAACTTCTCACGGCGCTCCACATCACGCTCGTCCTCGCCAATGGTATCAAGCTTCCCGAACAACCACATTTCCTTCATGGTACGGGTGAGGGAGAGAAGATCCTCGGCGGCACGGATCTAGATGAGGACAAGGAATGAGCAAATCGCCAGACAAGGGAATACTAGAAGTGCGAGAAGAAGGGAGTTTGGAGCAATCGCAAGCCATACATACCAAAGCGGTCGACTCCACGTCAATTTGGTAGGTCTCCACAGCAGTGGCTGTGTGACTTGGGTTCTCGACCTAGAAGAGCTGGTTAGTGACCTGGGTGTTTGCTGCGCCAGTGGATCCTTACGGTCGCGGTGGCCATGATATTCTCGTACCGCTGCAGCAGCTGGGAAATGTCGGCATTGATGCGGTCTGAGGAATTCCGTCAGCCATGGTTTGCTCATCAAAATGGGAACATTGGTGACTTACTGTGCAGAGCCTTGGCGGTAGGCTGGGAATCCATTTTGGTAGTGTTTCTCGAATGCTTTCCCGGGTTCCTTGAGGTCCTCGTGCTTGAGCCTGGGGTAACTGTGCTTGCGCTTTATTTTGCGCTTGTTGACTTTGGGTCCTCGAGGTCGGAATTGATGCCAACGGCTTCGGAGGGGAAAGCTTCGACCTCGGGGAAGACGGGCTGTTGATCTTTGGAGGCCATCGCGATAAGATAAACGGGCGGTGAGCGAGGCTTGAAAGTGGGGATATATATCACGTGAAAATAGCGAGTGGGAGCTCACATGACCAATAAGGTACATGTATCCGTTTTAAACATGTACCTGTACCATCCTGCGACATGACTACAGGAATAGAATAAACCTGAATCATAAATAATTGAGGTTCTTGTATTAGAGGGCTTGCTTCTATGCTTCAATTCTTTTCTTTGATTGGCATGGCTTGACTAGTATCCCAAAGCTGATGTCACTCCGAAGCAATGTTAATCCTAATCTTCAATCTCATTTGCTCCCCATTGCAGTAATGTAATTGGTTTATCGAACGTATTTAGACTGTGGAAAGTTAGTAAATGTTTATTTTGACGTTGCGTGTATTGAATACGTACCATGAATCTCTTGTGGAAATCAGAGCGCAGCAGATCCTAGAAACTATGTTAGTATGCGTAAATAAGGAAATTAGCATTTGTAGACTCACGTTGACAAACTCCTTGCCATCCTGCTTCTCAGTGCCTCGAGCCTGGTTCTTGAAAACAACATCATCGTCCCACCGGCGCTTCATATTGAAATCCTGTGTATTAAGAAGTGGGTTTCCCCGAGCAATGTCGACTTCTCTTTGCTCCTCTTCTTCAGCCGCCCGTTCTTGTTCCTGTAAAAAATTAGCGCCAGCCTGAACAGAATCCACCCATGAATAGAAGACCACAAACCTCTTTCTCTTTCTGCGCTAATCGCTCCTTCTTGATCTGCTCCAGCTCGCGCATCAACGCAGCCTCATCATCATCGTCATCGCTATCCTCCTCCTCACTACTATCCTCTTCTGACCCATCAGAATCTGCATCCAGGTCACGCGTCTCTTCTAAAATCCGCCGCCGTTTCGCCTCAGGGTCCTCGGATTCGCCCTCCCCGGCCTCCGCATCGACGGGAGCGGACTCGAGCTGTCGCTTGGGTGTCTGCTCTGCAGCAGCTGTGTCGTCAACGGGAACACCGTTCTTCTTGGCAAAGTGCGCGGCCTCGGCCTTCAGGAGCTCTGCGCGCAAGTCACGGACTTCGGTATCGGCGTCACCACCTTGTCCGGGTTGTCTGGGCGATGTTAGTAGCTGGAGGTGCGATCGCGATGGCGGGTTTTGCGTACCGGACTTTCAGATGTGTGTGTGCAGGGAGGAGACGCTGGTGATATGCTGGGCCTCTGAGGGCCTCTTTGCCTTGCGCCTGGTTTCATTAGTATTTCATTCGGACGGGAGTTGGAGTGGTCGTACAGGATCAAAGGTAGGTCTGTGAGCTGGAAGGTGTTAGTTTCCTAGAGACGGAAGTGAAGATATAGAGATTGACATACCGGTCGTCATATTGTGAGTGGTGTGAGATGTGAGGTTGAGAAGTGATCTCTGGAAGGTTGATCTTGAAGGCTTGGCGCCGGAGCTGGCGATAGGCCGCCGCCAACTGGACTGGTCATGTGATGATCTGGGAAATTCACCGCAACAAAGTAATCCCGACCCGAGGTATACGAAGATTTGGTCGTGGATGTGAGCTTTTTACTATGTTCTGAACCACGTCCTGAAGAGTCCAGACGTTCATATGGTATACCTATAGCAGCAAGAAACTCAGTTGATCAGATGAAATCTATCAATGTAACTTCAAGGCGTATCTCCAACACGAATTTGTGGGGTGTAACTCCATGGCCCACAATTTGGTCTCTAATTTACACTTTATCTAACTACTCAGTACCTCCTTCCTAGATTATCGCAACTTCCTGTTATCCTCGGGGATGGTATGCTAGTATGTGTTGACCCGTGATCTCAAACTCGGCACTTGCCGTTTCAAGGCCGAGCCCTCGGGAGCTAGAGGGTCACACCGAGTGATCGTCGCTCCGCTTTGCTTATCCGTCCAAACTACTACTACTTCATCCTCGATGCATTTCTTAAATATTTTATCGATATGGCAGATATGAGCCCATGATCAGCAGAGACCGACTCTCAACTTTTGTCCGTTCTACGCTTTAACTTTTCTGCATGTCCACCATGAATTCATTATCTGAAAAACCAGACGCGCCTCCAGAAGACTGGACAACCGACAAAGAGAATCCCCGAAACTGGCCCAAGCTCCGCAAGGTAGCTACAGGCCTGATCGTCTGCGCAATCGGCTTCACAACAACGCTCGGCGCGTCGATCTACTCACCCGGTCACACAGAAGTACAACATGAATTCCACGTATCAGCAACCATATCACTCTTGCCACTATCGGCATACTCTCTCGGCCTTGCCTTTGGTCCTATGATTTCTTCACCATTATCCGAAGCCTTTGGTCGCAGATTTGTGTACCTGGCTACCCTCCCGCTGTGCGATATCTTCATCCTCGCCACGGGATTCTCACGCGGGATCGTTTCGTTGACGGTCTGTCGTTTTTTTGCCGGTTTCTTTGCTGCTCCTGGTGTTTCAGTTGCCGCTGCTGTGATTTCTGATTTTACGGCGCCGGAAAAGCGGCTTGTGCCTCTTGCGGGGTACTATGCGATGCCGTGGCTTGGAAGTGCGATCGGGCCGTTGATTGGGGATTTCATTGTGCAGGCTAAGGGGTGGAGATGGACTGCTTGGATTATTTTGTTTATGGCCGCTGCTTTTCATCCGCCTGTGTTGTTTTTGAGGGAGTCGTATAAAGCGACGATTTTGCAAAGGAGGGGTAAGAGGAGGGGTTCGGAGAAGTCGGGGGAGATTTCAGATGGTGAGGATGTGAGGTTGATGCAGACTTTGCGGAAGTTTATTACTTCGACTATCGTCAGGCCGTTGCACATGCTCATAACTGAGCCATTGGTTGGGTTTATCTGTTTATATACGGGTTTCCAGTTTGCGCTGCTATAAACCTTCATCGTCGCCAGCCCGTGGGTTTTCAAAACCATCTATGGATTCTCTATGAGTGCGCAGGGCCTCTCATTTCTCGGAATGGTAGGTGGATGCATGGTTGCGCCGTTTATTCTCATTGCGTTGGACTATTTCCTGCGTATCCGGAACAAGCTACGATCAAGCTCAGAGCCATTCAGCCCCGAAAACAAACTCCGCAATGCACTGTATGGGAGCTTCATACTTCCGATCGCTCTATTCTGGTTTGGCTGGAGCGCCAAGTCTTCCGTCCACTGGATATGTCCGATCTTGGCGCAAGCACTCGCCTTCGTCGGCAGTTATCTCATCTATGTGCCGTGCAGTCTGTATATGGTGGATGTTTATGGCGCAAAGTACAGCGCTTCATCTAATGGAGCTTCTTCATTCTCCCGGTATACGCTTTCGGCTGCTTTCCCCCTCTTTGTGACGCAGATGTATGAAAAGCTGGGCGTGGGGTGGGCATCGAGTCTTCTGGGATTTCTAGCATTGGGTATGGCACCTATCCCTTGGGTATTCTATCATTATGGGCCTGTTTTACGGAGTAGGAGTTCTTATGAGCATGGTACTTGATTGGTACCGATACACAAAAAGATGTACCACTTGGTCTAAGACTACATGAAGATAGAAATACAGGGTTAAACTTATGCAAAACACTTGTTTTGGTCATTATCATCTCGTCATAATCTTCATTATTATACAGGAAATGGTCCATCCTCCATCAAGTAGCTTTGGCATCACTGGAATCGAAGAATGCTTCGTTGCGTCCAGACAGGATGATGCAAGCTTTCCAGCAATACTCAGTCTTAAGACTAAGGGTCATTGCAATGACTCAAGGGCACAAGCCCGGAGTGATGGATGGCAGCAGACAGGAACTTCATGTGAAGCCCTGACTCAAGTGCCGTATAGTGGATTGTCTTCAGTAAGAAGAAAGTAGATTCAAGGCAAGAAAACCCGAAAAGCTCAAGCCACCACATAGACAGTAGCAGAAGGAGTCCACTGAGTAACAGTAGGCTGAAGTTCATGAATATCCTGCGCAACCAACATATTCCACTCATTCCTCGTAATAGGCGTAACATCCGAAGCGGACAAAGGCGTCTTTGGGCCCCGCTTCGAATAAAACGAAGACTTAGCCGGTGGCGGGTTCTTTCTCACGCGCACCAACCGAATAGGCGAATTCTTCGAGTTCTCAGCCGTAACCCTCGAAGGCAAAATGATCGCATCAGTCTTATGTGTACTCTTATACGCAGAAGCAATGGCGGTGAGTAACTCATCCCTCACATCCAATTGCTCATAGACCCGATGAAAGAACGCTTTGCTGAACGGGCGACCTTGGAAATCGCCCATTAACCGGTGCAGAAGCGTTACGGCCGAGATCATGGCTTGGTCTTCTGGACGGGGATTTGGTCTGCTGGAGAGGACGCAGAGACGACGTTTGAATGTGTAGATGCGGTCCATGTTTAGGAGAGTAAGACCTTCTTGGCTGAAGAGGACTTCGTTTTGGAGAATGGATTGTTGGACTAGGTATTCGTTTGCTAGGCGTTCGTGGTAGCTGCGGTCTAGTGCTTCGCTCCAGCTTGTGCCTAGGGAGTATTTGCGGGCGCCTTTGGCAATTGCGCGTTTGAGGATCTGAGTGGAGTCTTGGTCGAGGTTTGTGATTGGGATGACCATTAGGTCTGAGGCTTGGCCGGTTGGGAAGGGTTTACCACGGCCGACGAGAAGAGTGACGTGCATCATTCTTTGTTGGAGTTTTGAGGAGATGTATTCCAGGGCTGGGAGGATTGTTGGGAGCACGGCTTCGGAGTCGAAGTTGAAGGATGGGGAGAGGGGTGGAGAGATCATTTCGGTTGTGAGGCGGATAGGGGAGCTGGGGACGTAGATGCCCGATGGGCGAGGTAGACGCATGACGCCCATTATGAAGATGTATGAGAATGCCGAAAAATCAAAGGAGAGTGGATTATAATATAGGATTGTTAGGGAGTGGATTCCCTTTCGCTGGAGAGAATATAGAACGAGAGGCGACTCAGACCCTGATATAGTTGGCGATGCAGGGAAATCCCCGCATCTAAGCTGATATCTTAACATAGAAAGCTCCTTAATTAACTCCATTTTTAGGTCCGCAATGTTGCTAATCATAGTAAATTCTGTAACAGCCGAACGCCAATCACAGCCCTCAATGGATCTCAGGGAGTAGACTCCTCCAATCACCCCGCGTGGATATTAACAAGGGTATTAATATCTCTAACCGCTGAGGCGTTCATCCGCCAACCATCGTTCAATCCTTGACCCACTCACCACGAACTTATGCAAGCCACCACACGCTAGCACAGGGCCACAGCACCCACTCTTAAAGTCCAACAATCCACCCGTCCTCCGGCTCGTAATCGTTTATTGTTGATAGTAGGGGGCCCTCGCTCAAGCTAATTTCCACTAACCAGGATCCTGGTGCCTCAAGCTCCTAATGATAGGCTAGAATGCCTTCTTTTTCTTGACTGAAGGTCTTTAATCCTGCTTGAAGGATGGAATTGGCCCCGCTTCCAACCTCAATCATGTATATCCCGGAGATGATGCCATTATCTCGATCCTTGTCAGACAACGCACTGTAGAGGGTCTTTCGTACTGATGAGCTACGCTATTCTGAATACGAATATTCCTGCAGGATTCATCAAGGCTGAACGGTGCAAAAGCCAGAAGTCGCACATTTTCTTCGAGTTACTTTGGACATGTATCTTTACGATCAAGGTCCAATTATCTATGCAAGTGTCCTCTGTGGTGCGTCCATTCTGTGGCAATACCGTAACCTTGGATAATCCCTTCCAGTTCGATTACTCTTGCTACTGAATCAATAGAACTTTGTTTTCGGTGGAAGCCCCCTTTTTTGGTCCTCACGCTAGGAAGCGAATGTTAGAAATGATACTAGGTCTATGACAACAAGCAGAATGGACCAGTGCATCCCCAAACCGTTCCACCAATCTAATCTCATAATCACAATGCGCTTACCATGGTCATCGCGTATGGTTTTCCATGGAAGCGGATCTTGTAGATTTGAACTCAGGTAGTCGTTGTCATTCTGCGTACCAGGTAGCAATTGTCGAGTTGTCGTGGAAATAGCACTTGAATTCCACCCATAACAATCGGCCAGGCCAGTTCTAAGTAATACCACCGTTCCAAGCTGAAAGCTACGAGTAAACCCATTATCCTGGTAGGTGAATCCTCTGAGAATTCAATTACAATGCGAGAACCCGAGTACCGCCACTGATCCAAGTGTGATCCTTCCCCGTCTGGAATCTCTAGATCTATCACATACCGCCGAGAGGCCACGAAGAGAAAGACTCACCGAGATGGCGTCCAAGATGTGGCCACGTCAGACTCTTGAGCCGTATACATCCAGCGGCGTAAACGATAAGCCCGTATTTTCCTCAAGCACGAACCCATTCTTCTAGACCAAAGACCAGGTCATGAGCTCATGCTACCCAAGGCATAATCGCGTGGCTCTCCACAATCAGCAAACCACGAATGCAATGCGGTCAGCGGTAAAGCTCATTGGGCAATACTTTGCCCGGGCGTTAGTCGATTGGGGGCTATCTCTGTCTGCATCGCTCATTCGAGCGATACGCATGAAGAGCCGCATTTGACCACACAATTCCCTGATCCTTGTCTGGAAATTGATATTATGAGAAGGGTGCGTATATCCGCTTCCTTGGGCTGTCTTGTGCCCAAGTGTTGGTTGGGGGCCGAAGTGTGTTGGCGCTTATACCCCCGCTCGGTTCGAAGGCATAAATTGGATTTCGTGTTAATTGTCCTCTTCAAGAATTATTCTTGACTAATGTCTCCTAAAGGGGTGAGGATTTGAAAATGCTTTACAAGTTTGTGTGGAATGCGAGCTATTGCTGCCACGATTGATTCGATCCTCTTTAAACGCTAGTAATCACCGGAAGGCAATAATGCAGGGCTCAAATCGCATCGAGGCTAAACATAAGTGACAGGTCTCAAGTAACTCGTGTAAATAATCATTTCGGCTCGCAGTACAAAGTTTGTCCAGCCCCGAAACTGAGCCCTTGGAATCACACTCAGCCGATCTCCCGGCTGGAGCTCACCAAGCCATTTTAAAGGATCGGGCCTCATATGTGACTGCCAACACCAGTCCACCAGATCATCCGTCTCCTCGATGATCCCTCGAAGGTCATCGTCGGTGTGCAGATTGCGAGATTTGGTAACCTTGCTTTCGGACCAAGAGACTCGGTGTGTTCTCCATGCTGGTGAAGCATGAATATTGCAGAATATTTGAGGACCGACCATGCCGCCTCGTCGGTGACGTTCGTTAGTCCCGTTGGTCCCATGGTCAAGTTCGCGACAGGCGTCGAACCAGGTATAAGATCCAAGATACTGTCCATGTTTCGCCTCGTCGTCGCTGAAACCCTGATCGTGACTGGTGATGGAGAAGTCGATTCGTCTGACTGGGTGCGCGTGATTCCCGACAATCGGGGCGCTTCGCAAGTAGTTAAATGTTGCGGCTTCGGATTCAGTAATTACAGACCGCTCCGAGCGCTCGGTATAGCTCCTGAGCCAATATTCCGCAAGATCAAGGATTTTGGAAATGACAGACGAGGAGAGTCGCTTGTTGGATGCCTCTTTGAGATAGAAACAGACTTCAAACTGATCTGACTGACTTTGTGGAATATACGCTAGATGAGTATGGTGACTTGTACGGACTGAATCATCTACGTCCGTTTCCCCAGATTGATATTCATCATCATCGATCTGAGACCGCAACCAGGTCAGACTCTCAGAGGCGCGGGGGATTTTTGAAAGCTGGGCCCCTGCTGTTAAGAGTAGCCTGGAAGCATTTGAGGCCCGGTGCTCTGCCGCAATATGGAGAGCAGTTTTGCCCTCCGAATCTTCAGCATCAATATCGATAGTTGAATTGAGGAGAAGTCTAATCACACTCGCCATGTTTTTTTTACTGGCCAGATGCAGTGCAGTCTGGCCATGTTCATCGACTGCATGCGTTGCAGCTCCTCGCTGGATCAAATACCTCACTAATTCTGCATGGCCCCTCTCAGCTGCCAGGAACAGAGCTCTGTTTTTCGCACCTTGGGAATTTTTATAATGTGCCCATTCTAGAATAGCTTTGACGGTCTCAACCGAGCCACTGCAGGAGGCATGATATAGTGCCACCTCAACTTCCATATTGTCAGAGACAGCCTGAGAATGATGATTCAGCAACATGTCTACGACAGTTGCTTGGCCATTGCCAGCGGCTTCGAGTAATGCACTTGCGATTGCTATAAGGGCTGCCGCAGAGAACGTTTCGCGAATCCAGTTGATCAATAGCTCCGTCACCTCGGCATGCCCGAAAAAAGCAGCAATCTCAACTGGCGTTCGACCCCTTGAATCCCTACTGGTCGCTAATCCGGCTCCGTACTTTGACTGGAGAAGAATTTTGCTGTTATCGCAATGACCCGCTTCAGCAGCCCAGTGTAGAGGGTTTTGGCCCACATCATCTGTAAGCTCCACCAGGTCTATGCCCAGTTCCTGCTCATCAACGGCTTGTAAAAACATAATCAAAGCATCTTTTCTCCAACGGGCGGCTTCATGGATAGCAGTTTGACCCCGGTACAACTTTTTTAACAAAGTGGTCTTCCCGCTTTCTGTTGATAGAATCCTTTGGACGAGACCGATATTTCCTTTAACAACGGCGTTCCCCAAAGGTGTATTTTTGTAGTCTGCATAGGATATAAAATCTGCGCCGTGGTCCAAAAGCAAAGCCGCGGAGAGGTCTCGTCGATATTCCACCGCGAAATCGAGCGGCGGCTCGTTTTCATGGCCGCCTTGATCAATTATGTCAGGTATGTTCTTGTGAGTTAAGAGGAGATTCATAGTTGACAAATGATCGCCCATAGTAGCCCAGTGTAAGACATTTCCGAAGAACCTATCATGAGAATTGAGAAGAGCACCCGGGTCGTTCATGAGATCATCAAGGAGAAAGTCCAATCCGAAATAGGCGAAAATATTCACGGAATGAACCACACACTGGTTTTTCGCGAGAATAATCCCCACTTCTATCCCTTGGCCTGCAGCTATCCGGGCGAGTAGCACGCGTACTGAAAAGCGGAATTGACGAGTGCAACGTACGAATAGCTCGATCTTCTTCTTCAGCTCAGTTCGAGCTTCTTCATTATTCGCGGCTAAACTTGCATGCAATCCCCAATTTAATGCCGCGTACTCCAGAAACGGACAGTTGGAAATCATGTCAGAGAATTTTTTGGGGGTTTAAGACGTCAAGTTCGTTGCAGAGTATCTCCAAAGAGAGGAATTGGATGCAAGAATTTGTCATGCGAATTTGGGCATCAGAAAATCTAATCGCTTTGATATTGTCGATATATTCTTGGGTGGTCGTATGCACAAATCGAACTTTGCGAGACTCTCTCTCAATGGTCACAAGACCAGCGCACGTCGAAGTGAACAATTCACCAGGAATTAGATCAAGAATATTTAGCTCTGTGTCTCCTTCCTGGAGAGTCAATACGTACTGAAGATCCTTTAGGGTCAATGGCTCATGCGCATGAGAAATCCACATAATTATATCCATCCCTAATCTATGGTCCTCATAGTTTTGATCACATATTCGGGACATTGCGCTGTCGTAAGTTTTGTACACTGCATTCTTCCCTTCCGGAAGATCCTTCAAGGAGTCTCGCACACTTCGTACTGTGTGTTTTGTTGCCACAGATTCCACGTGGAATTTGGCCAGCAGGAACCTAAAGCTGTCAAAATGTGTTTCACAGCAGAAAATCGCCCGAAAAAAAAAAAAAAACAATTGACCTACATCCCAGCCGCCTTTTCAGTGATTACGTTTTTGATGTGCTCCCGAAGCTTGCGTTCTCGTTGTACCAAGGAGCGAAGTTGCTGTGAGCTGTCGATCCGACCATTGATGTAACTTTCAAGATCAGAATTACTTGCTCTGATCTCCAACTGACTTATGTTTTTGGAAAGAAAAGTCCTCCGGCTTTGGATACCTGGAAGTTATGAGCAAATTGTTTCTCGTCGGCAAGCGTTGCAAGAGGTCCACCAAGCGGTCTCTGCTATCGACCTTCAGCTCATCAAAAGCATCCAACAATATGAACACTTTCGAATATCGGCAAATTTCATCCGAGAAGATCTTCAACAAATCGTCTGTGCTGGGAGAGATCCTTTTCTCAACATATGTGGTCTCAAAAAATGCACATTCCGCCGCCGTCAAAATGCGCTTTCTCATCAGTTGTTTCCAAAGAGACCATATGATACTCTCTGGCTCTTGATTTATGCGGTCGTTGTAATCGCAGAAGGCAAACACTACCGCCACATCGCTCTCTGCTGAGAAGGTTTCTTGAAGATGAGCGATTGCAATAGCCACAAGTATGGTCTTCCCGGCACCTGGCATGCCGGAACACCACAGTGTTTGCCCTATATTCGTAAGCCATTCCTGGAAGGTACAGGTATCGAGAAACCATTGCCCTGTGTTGGCATGTCTCGCCGCGAATGCATCCCGATACCTTGTGGAGAAGTCAAACCTGACTAAATAATCCACAACGTTTTCGTGTCGATCGTTGTGTTGTTGCGTTTTCGATTGTCCCGAGCCTATAAACAGTTATTAGTTGATTGGGATCCCTATTCCTAGGTCCTATGGCACATACTGCTGTCAAAGAATATCGGGCCGTGATGGTGGGCCACCTGGACGCCCGAATTTGCGGGACCAAATGATATCGATGACATGGGGAACTCGAAGCACGGTTGGCCATCATGTATGGGGGGGGAAGCATAAAAAACGAGGCGGGGCACCTGACAGTGTAAGATCCGTCCTCATAGCCTCATCAGGTGACTGGGGCGCTACCTGCGTAAGTGCAGTCCCTCTCTGAATTGTGGTTGTTCGGCGAAAGCAAAGTCTTCTGCGGTCTGCCAGTGAAGTTTATTTCACACATTACGCTCTATATTAGTTGTAGATTTATCGTCTCATTTAAGATCTCACCCTTTTTGACCATAATCGCTTACTCGACTAGGGCAAAGATTGAATTTGGTACAAGCAAAGGAGATACAGTATTCATATTTTTGTTTGATTTTCATTCCCATTGAATACCCTACATCACTTTATCGCATATGTCACTGAGAATAGAAAGCCAGCTGCTTGGATTGGAGTTAACAAGATGAGCCAAGTGGGTAACAGCCCCATAGTGCTTTTCCTATGTCTTCCCACTTCATATTTCCAACTTCATGAAACAACATTCTATCAGGCTAGCTCTTTATCAAGCACTCTCTTCATACGATTCATTATTAGCACGCGACCATAGCATCAGAATTGTCCGCGCGTAAGGAGGGTTCTGAAGGTTTCGAGGTATGAGGTTTCATGAGTATACGTCTATTCTGTACTGGAAGGAGCAGAAAGAGGGTAAAAGCGAGAGTTCTTGATGAAGTAGAGGAATCTTCGAGAGTACAATATGACAGAATATGATTTGGAATCTCCAAAAGAGATACTAAAAGAGGCGAGCCTTTCAGAAGTAGGGGACAAATCTGCAAGGTTATAAAAGCGATGAACAGAAAAAGCATGCATTCCTGTATGAAATGAGGCGATAAAGAATAGCGGGATAAGCAAAAGTATTGATTTAGCCGGCGATTCGGTATACCCATATAGCTAAGCGTCTTCCATCGAAACTTTTTTTTGAGTGCGTCTTGGTTGCATATGGAGACGATATAATCGCCTGATGCATGATGTAGGCAAGCATGGCCCGCTACTTTTTGGTATTTATCCCCTTCCTCGTAGGGGTAGACTCTGACAGCCCACTCGCCCTGGTCATTAATTCGGAGAAAGCGCCATTCTTCGCTATCAGTAGCGATTCCATACATGGTCGCTGAGCGACCACTTGTTCGCTTACGCTCTTGATGAACGCAACCTAGAATAAACATTCAAACTTAGTGATTAGATTGAAAGGCGATGGTAGTCACATACCCATATAGGCTAGCGCCTGCACGTCTCCACTGCTAGCCAGGCCTACAAATCAAAGGAGACGAGACATGAAATTCAAACAATACAGCCCTGACTGTTTTCGCATATGGTACAGTATATATATGATATATCAACAACTCCAAGATATTCCATGGTTATGTTTCATGCCTTTAAGCAAGATCAAATTCCGTCTGAATAGCAAGCAGAGGCAGGACGAGGACCACGGCGATTATTGAGATTACTAGCAATATTAGCGCAATGGAGAAGGTTGGATACCTTAAAAGACATACTGGGAATAGCTCTGAAGCTCTCTAAATAAGTCGATCGAATAACATGTTGAGCTTGAGCCGGCAGTGATTGCGCAAATCGAGTATTGCTTAGCACATTTCGTATAACCTGCAGCATTTCCGATAGTTAGAGCCACAAATCCTTCAAATATTAACTCAAATGCACGGACCTGAAGTTCTTCTGCACCCGCGCCAAATTTTCGCAACAGACCACGTCTAAGTATAGCTCGGGATATAGTCGATGCCAACGTCGCCCCACCAACCATCCCAAGTTGCTGCGCCATATAGTAGACCGTAACGGCCGTTGCCGAGGTTCTCTCCGGCGCTGACGCTGATAACCCGATGAACTGTGCTGCGAACACTCCCAGCAAACCGATCGACGAGAAGAAAGTGTATGCGAGCTCCCAGTGGCTTGGTCCACTCGGCCATCGAAGCATTATGAGTAGGAAAGAAATCAAAGAAAGGCCCGAGCATAGAATGGAAAAGAACTTATATCTTCCACTCCTGTAAAGCGACTACATCAGTATTTGGCTCACAGTTCAACATTTGAAGAAGTCTTACCGTTTTATATACTGTCCGCCAAGGATAGAACCGGCAATCATACCAATCGAAGCCGGTAACATGTAAAGGCCAATTTTGCTAGTCGATGCATATTCAGTCCGAACAAAAAACACCCCAATATTAGTAAGGAGCTAAGAAATTGTCAGCAGGAGTGATGGAGAGGATACTATTGACTGACACTGGACATGGCAAGATTAAGCAAAATCTGTGTAAGCCATGCGAGACCTATGCCATTGGTCGTCGCCAACTCCAAAGGAATCAAAGGATCCTTAGCCCAGAACCTCTCGTTAGCAACAAACAAAGCTCCAAAGAGAATCAAGGCTGCCAGAAGTTCCCATTTGATCTCATTTAACTTTAATTCATCTGTGAATGCACTGCAAATGAGAATGAACGATGCCACGGTAATCCCCAAGAAGGCAATTCCAACAAAATCCATGCTTCTTTCCTCGGTATTATCATCATCGTCTGCAGGATGGAGCTGTGCTTCTTCGGGGGTACGCTTTGGAAGCATAAATGCGACCATGACGAGGCATGCGAGTAGTATTGGAGCCTGTCCCAAAAATGACCTGAGAAGTTAGCTTGAGACCGTTGATACTTGGAACGGGCATACCATCTCCACCCAGCTAGATTTGTAATAAATCCACCAAGAGGTGCTCCTGTCCCAACTCCAGTCATGGAAACGGCTGCCATGTACATTCGTAGCATGGCGACTTGGCTTAACGGAGCCATCTCTGACGGGAATTAGTAGTGGACTTGGTAACGATAGCCTGTGCAATCCTTACCAACAATAAGAACCGATATCAGATCAGTCATACCAGAACTTCCAATCCCAGCAAGGAATCTTCCCAAAACCGCAATCTGCATCGATACTGCTGTGCCACTAACATGTGTAAGCTCCTTCTCCAGCGCAAGGCCAAGAAAACATACGTAATGGTACACCCCACCGTACACAAGATGTATGCCGCAAGAAGCGTATTCTTCCCTCCATATATATCGTATAATCTTCCGTACTAGTCCAAGTCAGCGTCGAGAGGTTGATCATGGTGTTCGCTGGGTCTCACGATTGGCAAAGAGATTGCCCAACCTAGATTGAACCCCGTTACAAGCCAGTGGCTGATAGATAATTGGTTGAAACTAGATGCGATCTCTTCGTGCGTTGATATGACGAAGGAGTCATCACAAAAGGCAATAAATACTCCTAAAAATAACATTTAGTAGGGTTTCATAATAGGAAGAGTAATATTACCTAGGAGAGCGACCAGGAAAAAGCCCCAGTTAAAGTTAGAGTTTGCTGCTTCTGGTTTTGTCCAGACTCCGTCGACGTCTGGGGATAGAAAATCATCGCCTGGAGGGGGGGGTTATCAGGGCCGTATTTTCATCGGTCATTTTGCGAGTCCCGAGACTAGAAGACGACAATGGCAATGAAAAGCGCAGCAGCGATGCGGTTGAGGTAATCAGACATGAAGAGAGAAATGAAGAAGTAAAAAAAACACAGAAGAAAAAATCGGGTTGCCCTTCTGCAAGGAAAGATGGTGCATGATGATCTTCAGCCCGCATGCACTGATGATATCTCAATGCATCTGATTGGGTTGAGTGACTCGGGTCAAAAGGGAGCTGAGAGCTGAGTGCACATTAAGATTGCCATCTGTAAGTAACCCGTGGCTGGCTGTGGAATGTGTGACAGCGCAAGGGCCGGGTTTAGTCCCCAATGTGATGTATCATCCAGTATCCATAGTTAAGATGTACATAGTCATATTACAAGACGGCAACTGAATTGCTATAGTTAGTTATGTCTATCCAGGTGAGCTACTGCGCCTTCACCGAAATGTTTATACATTTAGTGGCCAGACGTGAATTGAGCGCGTCGGGCATCTCAGGTGCTCTTATTTGCTTTTGTCGGGTACGATATGCCCCTTTCTACATATGCACTATTCGGCCGGGGAAATGAGCAAGCCTACGTCAACATCCTACATACGAGAGTATCATATTTATCTTCATGTCCAATTGAAATCAAGCTAGAAACACATCAACATATGTCACAAGCCTCCTCCGACCCAATAGCCGGCTATTGAACCAAGCTAGAGGAAGAAAGTAAAATGAAAAAATAAAAAATACAATACAACCAACATTGATGCAAAACATGGCAAACCGATGCAAATATTCGCCAGATCATAACGGAGTCCGTGAGCTAGCCATCTCACCATAACGTCCACGACCCTGGGTAGTGTCATACGCATTCAAGACACGCATCTGACCACCGTCGTCAGCCTGCGAAAAGGCATAACCTCTTTGCTTGCGCATACGCTGCACCTGCCGGACCTTTCGAATGGCTTTTTGGAACTGCTCCATGCGAGGACGGTAATCCTGTACGTTATACTTCTGAATCTCCTGGACGTGGTGGTAATGCTGGGGATAGTACATGCGCTTGGCGTATTTCCAGGCATAATCACGGAGAAGACAGAGGCAGGGGAGGACGATGGCCATTAGGTAGAAGACGGGGAGTTTGAAGAGGACGGGGATTGTGCCGTAGTATTCGACTGAGAACCCGAGCGCGGGAGCGGCGTAACCGTAAGCGGGGAGGAAGATGAGCCAGAGGAGCAACGATCCTGGAATGGCGATGAAGTGGTATTTTGTCCAGATGTTTGAAATTAGGGCTGCTTTGCCAAGAACAGTTCCCAGGACGGCAGTGTACAATGCTTCGCCCCAGACCCAGTGGCCGGCGACGTGGCCGTCGAACATGGGAAGATCCCAGAGGAAGATCAACTCGGAGGCGATGTAGAGGAGCAGGGAGTGGAAGAAACCATTTAGAACCCACGCCCAGAAACTGTGTTTTTTGAAGAAGAGGCCCTTTTGACCCATCTGGTACAGTTGAGGGTATCGGTCCAGTAGCCGAGCGGAGATGTACTGGTCGAAAACTCCCATGGCAAATGGGGGGAGAACGGTGAATAGCACGTTGTAGTAGGAGAGTGTCCACGATTCGTAGATGACTTCACCGGAGAAGGCATTTTGGAAGGAGTACTAAGAATTGTTAGATTTCATCTTCTAGTGCGAGTGTTGATCAACTTACCCAGAACTGCGTCATGTATAAAGTGATGTTCTTATAGAACGAGTACAAAATGACTCGACTGATACGAGAATAACTCCAGGCTCCATGGACCAAAAGAAGCTTTCGGAGGAAACGGAACTGGGCAATTGCCACATCGGCCGATCGAGCAGCTTGGAGTCCCTCCATACCGCTGATACCGACACCAACGTGAGCGGCCTGGATCATGGACACGTCGTTGGCACCATCACCAATAGCTAGGAGCAGGGACTTCAAGTGTCTTTTCACAAGCTTGACGACCAAGGCTTTCTGCAAGGGAGAAACACGACAGCAAACCACGGCCTTGCACATGACAGCAAGATCCAGAAACATCTTCTCCATGTCTTTCTCCAAGGCGAATGTCAAGGATTTTCCATCAATCACCAAAGCCAGAGTCTCAATGTCGCCAGAGCTAGCTTGAGTCTTGACTGCTTCCAGTTTCGATTGCAAATTGGCACGTGTGGCTTCTGCGGTCTCCTCATTGACAATAAGAAGTGTCATGTCTTCAGATATGAGTTTACAGGACATGCCAATATTAATGGCAGTCTCCTGGCGATCGCCAGTCAGAACCCAAATCTTGATTCCGGCGGTCTGTAGCGTGGAAATAGTCTCGGGTACGCCGTCTTGCAGTCTATCCTCAATAGCGGTGGCACCGAGAAGGTAGAAATCCTTTTCAATCAGCTCGGCGGCCTTATCAAGTTCATCGGCACGGTTTCCGCCCACGGTAGTGTTAGCCTTGTCGAAGATTTGCCACCATTGGCGGAATTCTTCCTCGGGAATCTCACGCATGGCAAGGCAAAGAGTACGCAGGCCCTCCGAGGCATACTCTTCAAGATGTTGAAGGGTTGCCTCCACGGTGGGGTTATCTGGGTGAAGCCGCTCAAGGATGACCGTGTCGGCACCCTTGCAGTATATCCGAACCTTGCCATCTGGGCACCGGAAAATGGTGGACATTCTCTTTCGAGTCGAGTTAAACTCACAGACTGCTAGAAGCTCGTATTCGAGTTCCTGACCGCCGGTTTCAAAAAGGACAGATCTAGGTTTGCGGTTCGTGAAACGGTATCCCAGAGATGCAGCGCCATCAACCAGAGCACCTTCATCGGGCGAAGCTGCCTGGTACTTGATATCGTTGGGGTCACTTCCTGAGCGTTCGGGAATCACCGTGTGGCAGGTGGCCAGGAGTGTAAGAAACTGTTGAATAGCATGCTGACTAGGGTGCGACAGGCAATTTCTCCGAAGAGCCTTGAAGTCGAGAATTCCATACTCGGAATCCTCATCCGAATTCGCCCGTCGGTCTTCTGGAACATCATCACCGTACTGGATACCCGCAATTGTGCACTGCTTGAACTCCATCTGGTTACAGGTCAAGGTTCCTGTCTTGTCCGAGAAGATGTATTCAATCTGGCCAAGCTCTTCGACCAGAGAAGATGTGCGACATGTTGCAGGGGTATCCGTCTCGACGTGGTAAATGTCCAGATCAGAATTGATGAGGTAGGCCTGGAAGTATTTGACGATTTCGATGGTGACAAAGAGAGAGATAGGAACCAAGTTGGAATACAACACCCAATAAGTGAAAACGTCCAAGAAGAATTGGCTGACAGCATTGGTATCACCATAATCCAGGTAGGCAAGATACTTGCCTCTGGTTTTACGAATGACCAGGTCACCAACAGAACTGATAACACTTAGGGAAACAAGGATGAACACAAGCATCAAAATCTGGATATTGACCATACGTTCCACAGCAGTACGCTTAATCGGTGTCGCTGTTGCATTTCGCATCAATTTGGTTTCGTGTCCGGTGAAAACGACAATACCGTGGATCCAGGGCGTGTTTCGCAGAGTTGCACCACGAAGAAGCAACTGGTCCGGAGCGAGAGCCAACTCTTTCTCACCACCGCCCGCGTTCATGGTCAAGGTAGCTTCATAAGTATAGAGGCTGCTGTTGGGTTGTTCCGAACGAACTCGTCCACCCAGCCGACCCAAGTCACTAGGGCTAACCAAATGAGCAGTTTCGGGGATGGCTTGCTTGATCTTCAAGTTGGTCTCGCCATCCAGATTGGCCGTTTCGATATAGCATAATCCCTCCGGTTCCGATGATGCCATGAGGACCAAATCCGCCGGGAATGGCTGCTCAGATTCAACGCGGACGATATCACCAACCACAACATCGACCCATTTTGTTTCGTGGAAAGAAGAGCCGCGAAGTACTTGCGTTTTGGAATAATTCAAGCCGCGATCCGACATTCGTCGCTTGTAATCTTCTACCAATTCCTTGATGGCAGAAACTGCCAACACGATAGCCAGCGGCACAATAGTGGTGTACCTGCTTGTCGGCGAGACATTGGGGATTTGTTGAAGAACGGCGGTGAGCAAGAAGAAAAGGTTGGCGTATTTGGAGAATTGCTCGAAGAGGAATTTGGGAATAAAGGTGATGATGTTGTACTTTGCGGTCGACACATGGTTGCTGACGAATCTATGCGTAGCATTGGCAGGGGGGTTGTTGACCTGAATGATGCGAGGGCCCAAGCTTGCAGGATCGACCTTTCGTCGGCCAAATATGGACGTGAAGCCAGATGCGCCCTTCTTTTTGGCCTTCGGGGCAGCTGTCGCATCGCTGCTATCAACGGTTGCTCTTCTCGCCCCAGCCTCCGTTAACGGCAGATCCATTTCAGAATATTGCGGTCCCATCCCAAACATGTATTTCGCCTTCCCCAACATGCCACCGCCCAACCCCATAATACTGTTCCGCTCATTCGCCTTGCGAACATGAGCGGCGCTCGGTATCCGATCTTCATTCGTATCAAGGTCATAGTATCCGGAGTGCGAATCTTCGAGTTCGTCAAAGGAATACCGCTGGTAGTTGTCTAGGCCAGAGGTCTGCGAGTAGGTCCGGGTGACCGGATCGTCGACGTAGGGATCACTTCCGTACACGCCCGAATGGACGACATGCGCAGGACCCGGAGCTGCATTTTGATGGGCTCTGGCTTGCTGCGCACGGCTGCCGACGAAACTATCGTAGGATACGGAAGGGCGCGGCTGCGCATGGGGCTGGTCGGAGTCGTCAATGTCGTAGTGTTGAAGCAGGTGCTCGTCGTTCACGGGTGGGGGTTGCCCAGAGTTATAGATTGGACCGGAGTCCAGAAGTAGGTCGTCATCGTGGCCAGCGGCTTGATGCGATCCGGGGGGGCCTACCGGCCATGCTGCCGCGGGGGGAGCTAGTACCCTCACTGAGAGCAGTCGTGTTGCCCCTGAGGCATGGATCGGGAGGAGGAATCGAGCTATGCGGACGTGCAGCTGGTCCTTAAAGCAATATGTCCAAGAGGTAGAGAAGCGTTAGGGAGAGCGAAATAGGCGATCAGACGGTGAGTTGAAAGAAAAAAAGTACTGAGAGTAAGAATGAGGTGGCTTAGCGGGCGAAGGCAGCAAGTAACTGTTATGATCGTCCCGCTTTTTTTCGGGCGGTAAAACCACCAACTCTATTATGATTCGGGCTTCTTCTCATGATATCTGCCATCAATTAAAGTTGATCTAGAGTTCTTATTTTTATTTAGCTCGTTCACTACTTGTTGATAGGCCTGAAACATTGCGCCTAAGAATAGGAGGGTGCTTGGCGTCGCCGCAGTCGGAAATATATTAAGCAGGCGCCAAACATCCACTCTGCGAACATTTGGAGAATGACGATCATCATTTCTGAAAAAATAGGGTGCTAGCCCTGGAGTCATGCACATAGGAGACTTTGGAAATTATCTATTATTTCCTATGCTATCTGATTTTTTGAGCATGCTAACATGCAAAAGGATTTCAAATGCTGCCATTGGTCTTCAGAAATAGAAAAAGCCATGCGGAACTCCAGCCCAGGATCATGAAAGGTCGCGTCATACAATAGTCGTGTAGAGTTGAAAGCAAATTAGCGGTCATTCGCCGCCCGCGATTCATCAGCCATGCCCACCTTCGCCCGTTTCGCGAGATCGACTTGCAACACCTTGTCCACCTGAGCATTGAGCGCCTTGACTTTCTCCAGCGCGACATTGACCTTGCTCACAATCGCTAGCGGATCCAAAGGCGCGCCCGAGTATTTGGACATGAAGCAGACTTCTCCGCCGCTGTTGATGCCGATGACCAGCTCTCCCTCGGCTGCTTGTTCTTCCTTGCGGTTGGCGTCGACAATGATGTTTTGACCGTCATTGAAGGAATTGAAGGTAACGGAAAGAGGCTTGTGGGTGATGTTGAGGGCGACCGGGACTCGATCCTCCACTTTGTACACGATAACATGGCCATCGCGCACCACTGCATCCGGCCGGCGGAAATGCTGCAGTCCAGTCATGACGGCGATACAGGCGGCATCAGTCAGGTTTCCATCGTAGTCAATCACATGTATGTCGGCTCGGATGCTCCAGCAGCTGACGCCCTTTACGATGCAGAGCGATTCGGTGTCGAGGGCATTAGAGTGGCGGATGACTCGGTCAAGAATATGGGCGACAGAGGCTTCTTGGTCACTGCTTCTGTTTTTGGAAGCACGTGTATGAGTAAGGTAATTTCTCAGGGCATGTAGAACATCATTGGGGCATACCGTCCATTTTCCCAGGCTGGAGAACCCATTGCAGTCAATTCGATGGAGATGTCGAATAGGCCATCGAAGGGGCGATCCTCACGGGGCTTTGTCACTGAAGCAGAGATTCGGGCAATAACACTACTGCACGTAAGCGCTTGCAAGGTAAGTCAATTGCAGGAAAGCTTACCTGGTCTTGCCCAGCTGCAGCTTCACATGGCCGTATTCCTCGCCGAAGCTAATACTCAGAGGTCGGTATTGATCAGCCTCACGGCCATCGAGGCGCGTATCCTCTTGCAGGGCCTTGAGGATAAAATCGCGCTCAGCGACCGAAAGGGGAGCTTCTCTAGACATGTTGGGGGTGTGGTGAGAAGCCTTTTAGATTCGCGGGGATGTCATTTTTTTGGCCATTTTGCCGTGATGGGCCTCATCTTGGAGCTGTGGGTTGACCAATGACCGTGTGGGGAACTAGGGCGGTAAGCATGCGTCACGTGCAAAAGAGAAGGTCAGCCCCACTCATAACATTGCACTCTATACACACCACTGCTGTGCCTTCCCTATTTACTGAACAATGGATTTTGCTATCATTTTCACAATAAAGCATGACCCAAATCCACGTGTGCAGTTACAAGTGGACTGTATAGCCTTCCGTCTTCTCCAACCCTATTTTAAGTTTGTGCAAGATATAACCGAGGGTTAAGATCAGACATTGTACCTCAGCTCAAGCCTCAAAGTTGCAGCACCCTCAAATAAGTGATGTCTTTCGCCTTCCAGAGTTTCTTTCCGAGGCTCCAGGCCGGGGCTGGTTTTGGGTGATATTCCAACTTTGGAAGGTTAAGGGCGAGGTGGAGAACTTGGTACTTGGAGCGGTATGTGGGAATATATATCTACTTTTGCTTGGTAGCGATCTTATCGGGCGCATCACGATCCTCCCGAAGGATGGCCATTCGAGAGTAACCTTTGCTGTTCAGCCCTGGAGGGCCATTTAGAAGGGTTAGGTGAGAGTTGAATGGATTGATTGAACGGTTAGTATCAACCTATCCGTGTATATACCCAGGTAGATACCACTGCAAGATCGAGAGACTCACCTTACCTAAGCTTTGGAGGGCGGCATCTTATACCACCGGGCAGACGATAACTCGGGATAACATTCCCTAGCTCTGGTTCCATGGATAGCTTAGGTTTGACTTTTCCAGAAAGTTTCCTCTTGGGGCTCCATGCCGAGGAGAACACTCGCATGGGCTTGTCAAAGCACCCTGCCAAGACAAATCAGTTGCGCTTCTAGCCGGGGTTTGATTTGTGCATTCCCCATTGGTCAAAGAGGACGTGGCGGAGGTTCTTGGCGTATAGAAGCGGGCCGCCAAGCCACATTCTGGTAGCCTTTTCATTGTTTTCACCGCACGAGTGGCCTGCACAGAATTGAGGGGTAGCTGCAAGGCTGACAGGGTTTGTCCAACTCATGAAAGGTGGCATGGTATGTCAGCAAATTGACTACGCCCTGCAATTGACAACTGAACCCAAAGATCAGCATTAAGTACCCAAGGGTTGAGAAAACACGATATCACAATTAGGGAGAGATACTGGGAAAAAGAAGATTGAAATGTTCCGATGGAAAGCGAGCCGTGTTTCTCTCTAAAGAAACTAAAGAGATAGGTCAAAATGGAATAGCCTTCACCCCCCGAGATCTTGGCGTCTGGGCGCTCCGCTTGAGAGCGGCTGGATCATGCTTCTTATCATCAAAGTTTGACTAAGAGAAACGCCAGTGCTTGATACTGTATACAGCAATAAGCTATCCTCCTCCGCCCAGGCTTAGAGTTGTGTTGCAAATACGAGGCTGTTATGCAAAGTTCAGGTGACACAGCACAGCCATTGCCCTGCAGCTGCATCCCAGTCATGTCGCCAGGCAGATTCCGTATTTGGAGAACTTTGTTCGAGGTAATCTCTTGGCTCGGGCTTTGCGTTGCAACGCTGTCCAGCTAACCATGTATGTCCAGTTACTCCGCATTCTCAAGCCACGCGACAGAGAAAAAAAGCCGGCTTGGCTCACCAGTCAGCTTATCGCATTTAAATAATATTAGACTAATTTTATACTTAAGTTTTCTTTCCTATCTTTGCCAGCGGGGGAGGTCTACACTATAAAGTGTAAGGTTCCGACTCCCAAAAGAGCCGCCCTGGCACGTCCCTTTTGACCCTCACTTCATCTTGTCTCGGTCCCATACGACTTTCCAAACCCCAGACTTCCACTAATAGGACAAATCGTGCACTTGAGGACACTACAGCTTGAACCGCATTGACGCCCCGTCAAACAGCGATGGCGGAGGCTAAACAGGAGGTCTTCCCCTCCGAAAGCCCACTCCAGGAGGAATACAGCAAAGGTGATGTGACTACTGCAGAGGAGGGTGGTCTATCCGACCCTAACCATGTCGACCTTCACCGTGCACTCAAGGCGCGACACATTACGATGATTGGTATGAGAAGCTCACAACGACGATAAAAATAATCTAACGGGTACAGCTATCGGAGGTGCCATCGGCACAGGACTGATCATCGGAACCGGCGAAGCTCTCGCAAAGTAAGTCCTCATTCACATGAGATCTACATCGGTATTTTTCTAACATTCTTTTTTTACTTGTAGGGCTGGAGTACGTATCCCATATTATCTGAGTGTTTACACGGACTGACCGTTATAGCCCGCCGCTATTTTGATTGCCTACGCCTGGGTGGGATTCATCGTTTACCTCGTGATGTGTGCGCTTGGAGAAATGGCTGCTTGGCTTCCACTGCCATCCGGATTCACAGGCTACGCGGTGCGATTCTGTGATCCGGCACTTGGATTTACCTTAGGCTGGACGTATGTACCACCTCAAAACCTACAATGGCATACTTACTAATGCTGCTCATAGGTACTGGTTTAAGTATATCATCCTTTCGCCGAATCAACTTACTGCCGGTGCTCTCGTCATATCATACTGGATTCCTGCGGAAAAGGTCAATCCGGGCGTATGGATCACCATCTTCTTGATTGCTATTATCTGCATTAACTATTTCGGAGTCCGTTTCTTCGGTGAATTCGAATTCTGGTTGTCTTCTTTCAAAGTCATCGTCATCCTGGGTATTATTCTGCTTTCGTTCATTCTCATGTTGGGCGGAGGTCCGGATCATGACCGCAAAGGATTTCGGTACTGGAAGAGTCCCGGAGCTTTCAACACCTATATTGAAACTGGAAGTGCAGGCCGATTCTTGGCATTTTGGTCTACGATGGTATCCGCTACCTTCGCTTATCTCGGAACAGAACTTGTTGGTGTGACCGTTGGTGAAGCACAGAACCCAAGGAGGACAATTCCCCGGGCGATCAAGTTGACCTTCTGGCGAATCTTGGTCTTTTACGTGCTGTCAGTTCTGCTCGTCGGTACCTTGGTCCCGTACAACGACAAGAAGCTCGCCTTTGCCATCGGCGCCAGTAGCTCAGCTGCCGCATCGCCGTTTGTTGTGGCTATCGAGCTCTCCGGTATCCCCGTGCTCTCCCACATTATCAACGCATGCATTCTGCTCTTCGTGTTTTCCGCTGCAAACTCTGATCTTTACATCGCAACTCGCACGATCTACGGCCTGGCCCGCGAGAACAAGGCTCCTAAGATTCTTGCTCGGACTGACCGTCGTGGAGTACCCGTCTTTGCCCTGGGAATTTCCTCGGTGTTCGCACTTCTTGCTTACATGAACGTCACGAGTGACTCCAAGGTGGTCTTCAAGTACTTCGTCAACCTCGTTACGATCTTCGGATTGCTCACCTGGATTTCGATCCTGGTGACCCACATCTGCTTCGTGCGGGCACGAAAGGCGCAGAACGTCCCGGTTGAGAGCTTAGCATATGTTGCACCTCTGGGCGTAGCAGGCTCTTATGCTGCTCTGGCTTTCTGTATCCTCATTGCCTTGACAAAGAATTACGACGTCTTCACACACAACAAGAAGTGGGGAGACTTCGATTATAAGAACTTCATCACGGCCTACCTCGGCATTCCCCTTTACCTGATTATGATCACCGGATACAAGCTTGTGACTAAGTGTAAGGGTGTTGATCCCGCAACCGCGGACTTGTGGACTGGAAAGGACGAAATTGACCGCGAAGAGGCCGCGTTCATTGCGAAGAGAGACGCGGAGATTGAGAAACATGCTCAGTCGCACTGGTTCTACCAGAAGTTTGTCTCATGGCTATTCTGAGAGAAATATCTCCTCAACACTTGCTAAATTCATGCATCCATTTATAGCTTGTTTAGCAGGAAATTCACGAATCTTCTTTCATGCCTTTTTAACACCAAAGATTATCATCCTACATCATGTAACAGATCTACGAAGTGGATCTGGGCTGAGATCTGCATTTCAGCACACAAAGAAAAACAAGATCTATAAAAGCTAGTCAATATAGCGTATTTGAGCGTCAGGGGCTGCAGACTTTTCACGGCTATGCATAGCATAACCACGTGCTATGACGGACCCACCGTCTCATAAGCTCCGATCTAGTTAGAAGCTATTGAATGACATGACGATCCTATAGCACATGTTCATAATGAAGAAAATAATACATTGAATTAACAGGGCATACGGACCAGGGCTACAAACACCACATGAATCGTTGGGTCCCTGTGGTTGGGTAGAAACGGTGGAATGAGAAGTTGCCAAGTCATGTAATAGGCCATGCAACTTAGGCTATTATGATTAGCCAGGAGTGGTATGTTTCTATTGGAGGTTCTTTCTTCATAGGAAAAATTCTACGAACGTTTCCTTGATTAGTAGCATGGGCGCAATACACGACGAATCCTATACAATTGACAATTGAAGGTATCATTTTGGATTCTCAGGGTCTGCTTGTGGGTAATAACGGCTTGAACCTCTTTAAATCCCCACAGGGCTAATTTTCCCATAGGCTATAGGGGTAAATCCACATTCGCTTCATAGGCAATTTCCCCACATCCGGCAATTATGAAAGGTGGGTCCATTGAACTCTATTCCAATTTCCGTCTTTACTCTATTGATCAATATTCTTATGTTAAATGTGTTAAAACTCACGTTCGTAATTACATCCAGACCTCACGAAAGACTTCTTTCAGATAATTCCAGTCATGTAAAAGTGCGGAGTCTAGAAGTGTTCTAAAATGCGGCAGTTGCTTTGTTCAATACCCCGCGTGGCCCCCCCGCACGCACCATAGAAACCAGCCGCCTCAACCCCGTCCACTGGAATAGGGGCGAGATGGTCAAATAGGAACCCGTTTTGATAGCCATGAAACTTTAATCCAATGCCGTAAGGATTATCAAGACAGCCTCGCTTGCTATTTTGTGCCGGCCCCCACTGACCCGATGCGGGCGAGCCGTGGGGTGGGCAAATGTTTATTGTGGGGTTTCCCCTATAAAGGATGCCGAACCTTTTTATTAAAAGTAGGTCAATAAATCCAGCTTTGGTCACTTAACAATTCACCTACGCTCTACGCGTTACTGGAATTGAGCAGGTGGTCAGCATACCATGGATCCCGAGAAGCCCGATTTCAGCCAGCGAGAGGACCTCAGAAAGCCCGACTTGGAAGAGATTGGCGAGCGGGAAGGATATGTTCTGAATGATGTCTCGCTTGCTCATGAACGCGGCCTGAAGACTACGGCCGATGGACAAATCATTCTTATCCCTCAGCCAAGTGACTCACCTAATGACCCGCTGAACTGGACTCCATTCCACAAGCACCTTGTCCTCATCATTATTTCATGTACGGCGTTTTTGCCTGATTATGGCAGTGCCACTGGTGCCGTGACGCTAACGCCGCAGGGAGAGTAAGTTTCCATGACCATGTTTGTGAAGCAAGCTAACGGTTCAGGGAATGGAACATGAATCCTAATGTTGTCAATCATTCTCAGGTTGGCAATGTTTTCATGCTCGGCGCTGCTGGTCCTATCGTCGTGGCTCTATCAGCTTATTTTGGACGATATTCTATTCTTTTCTGGTGGATGCTTTTCGCTTTGGCTACGGCGATTTGGTGTGCTGGTGCACAAAGCTTTGAGTCTTTCATGGTACGCTACTCAGATCAATATTTCACGAAGCGAAAGTAACAGTACCAGGCTGCTCGGATTCTCAACGGGTTTTTCTCAACGGTTGCTCAAAGCGTAAATATGCCGCGCTCCTAACGACCCCATTCCTAATACTAATGATCTCCAGGGCGGGTTGATGTTCATAAAGGACATGTTCTTCCTCCACGAACACGCGCGCAAAATCAATATCTGGTCCGGTTTCATCATTCTCTCACCCTATATGGGCCCGCTGCTGGGCTCATTCATCGTCAACACCCAAATCTGGCAATGGGCGTTCGGCGTCTACGCCATCGAAACAGGTCTCTGCCTTATAGCCATCATTCTCTTCGTGGATGAAACATACTACGACCGCAAGACCGTCCAGCCGGAACTCGTTCCTAATGGTCCGCGTTGGCAACGTATGCTGGGTATCCAGCAGGTTCGGACGAAGTATATTAAGAACTCGTTCAAAGATGCATGCATGCGACCTGTTACTATGCTTCGCAAACCTGTCATTGTCCTTATCGTGATTGCTTACATGCTTATGTTTGCGTGGGTTGTTGGTATCAATACCACGTTGTCGATTTTCCTTGCGCCGAAATATGGATTTGGGGCTAAGGCTATCGGTATGTACTCCATCCCAAAACCTTCTATGTACCTGGGCGGGAGTCTGAATACTAACAATTGTAGGCTACTTCTACTTCACTCCTATAGTAGCAGCTATTATCGGTGAAATCACTGGGCATTGGCTGCATGATTTCATCGCGAAGACATATGCCAAACGAAACAATAACCATCTCGATCCTGAAGCCCGACTTTACGCTATCTGGTTCGCCATGCCTTTCCTTGTACCCGGTCTGGTTTTAGTTGGCTTCGCGCTTGAGCGACACTACCACTATATGCTTGCTGCACTGGGCTGGGGCCTCTACGTCTTTGGTATTATGATTGTTACTGTGGCTGTGAACTCGTACGTACTTGATGCGTATCCCGAGGCGAGTGGAGAGGTTGCGGCTTGGGTAAACTTTGGACGTACGACGGGTGGGTTTATTGTGAGCTATTTTATGATTGAGTGGGCAGAGAAGGAGGGGACGATCAAGCAATTCGGGACTATGTGCGGGATTGTGGGGGCGGCGTTCTTTATTGTGGTCGCGTTGCAGGTTTGGGGGAAGGGATTGAGGGCTTGGAGTGGGCCAGCGAGGTTCAAGACTGCTTAGATTGGTTGCTTATGAGACTTATTAAATATATCTATGTGAATGGAATATACCAAGGTCGTAATTATATGCCATTTGAGTCATATCTCGTCATTTTTGACGCTTTTTGTACATCAGAATATCAGTCGTATCGTGCCAGAAGCCAATATGTACTACCTGTGCTCCATTCTTACACCATCAAAGGAAAACACCAAACGCCTCGGCAAACTATGCAGCATATTATCAAGATTCAATCCGAAGACAAGCTGCTTCACGAAGAATGGCTTTTCGATCAAGCCAGTGGCTGTTGATCAGTGGTCAAAAAGTCGAAGTCAGTGGAAGAAAAGATGGCCCCGTTCTTGATGAATCTGCCAAGTGCCAACACAGCGTGGAAGATCTCCTCGCCAGTGGGAACAATGTGTTCAGATGGAAGCAAGAACCCGTAGCTACCACGGTCTCGCAGTTTGATCTGATACGAGTACGTGGCATGGAGTTCGTGATAAAACCAGTCCAAGGCGCTGCCACCCGAGGTAATGAAGTCAGCCGAACCTGAGGTCAGGATGCCCTCGCAGGCGGACGTCACATCATATGGTTCCCCAGATGAGTGTCGAATGGCCTTCGCCAGACCCAAGGCTAGTTCCTCGAGGCTTTCGAGGGTTGGAGGCACAGAAGAGCACGTGTAAGAATAAGGATAGAGAATCTGCTGTGAATAGGAGTGCAAATCTAAGAAGCCCACAATATTCGCACGACCACTGGAGGTCTCATTCTTTGCCCACTCGGCGAGTCGATGCGATTCGAGAGCCTCGAAAGGCTCTGAGCCAGCGTAATTCTCGTTGCATGGGTTGGACCGTGTTGATTCCCCATCCCACTCAAAGTCCCAGGCTCGGTCCAAGTCAACCCCGGGACAGAATGGAAGACCGGTTGGTTGCCTGTTCTTCCGCCATAGACGGTCCGACTCCCATGTATAGACGTATCCGTCGGGATTGAGTGTTGGGACTAGAACCCAGTCATATTCATTCAAGAGTTGCGTGACGGAGTTGGACTCGCCATACTGAGTTATGAGGCTGTGTGCAATATAGGTCACGGTTGATGTGCTGATCCATTCACGAGCATGTAGGCCACCGACAATCACGATCGTCTTTCGTGGTCCTGCTGCTCTGAAATTTGAATTTGAAGCGCCTAGTCGCAGGGCTGGTATTTCACGGTTCTCATACGACAGTCCGATGCTGGTGAATTGAACATGCGACGGAAACATCGTTGCCATTAATTTCATCCATTGCTCGATAACCGTAAGCGGCTGGTAGTCGCGGAAGAAGACATCGTCAACCGTAGATACTCGGCCATCCCCCGCAAACCCATATCCACTTTTCCAGCTCTCAGGATGGTGTCTCGGATATGTACTGTAGATCATATCTACCAGATCATCCATGAGCGGGGTGTGGGCCGTGCGGAGCGAGGGGGGCAGCAAGTCGAGTAAGGAGGGAATCTGTTCCGTGGTACTTGTTAGACTACAATTGAGACAGCGATTGAAATCGCCCAATGATTGCCGCAGACGTACCATGTCATCTGTCAGGCGAATATCGACATATTCCGCCGTGATAGCCCAGACGTCTAGGATTAGTGCCTGTGATGCCGAGGCCAACGCCTCTGCCTCCCCCGGATGACGCAAGTGAAATCGGAGAACGACGTCAGTCTCATAGCGTTCTCGTACATTGAGTGGTGGGCCGGTGTGTTTGTGAGAGGAACAGCGACCGGTTCTCCAGACAGATTCGATGACCCAGTCTCGGAATCGGGTCCATGGGCGTGGCTCGGAGGCATACGTAAGGGCGGGTTGGGGTTGGGGAGGTGGCACGATACTGGAGGCCGCGGGGATGGCGGAAACGGAGGGAATCAAGGCCCCATAGAGCAGAAGCGCTGGTAGGAGACGCATGACGGTGATGAATGAGGACAGGTGAGAGTGCGGAGAAGAGGGGAAGCGATAGTTGATAGTGGAGAGCAGATAAGTGGAACCGGATTAGGATCTCTACAACCCAGGTTACATACATCCATGACAGTAACGGGTGACCTAGCTGACTGTAAGGTGTAGAATAGTATCTACTTCAGTATGTGTTCTTTTAATTCTTTAGGTATTTAGCTATCATCATGTTCAGATTATTTATTCCATGTTTTCATCTTGGACCTCTACCCCCGGTACATACTAGGTAGCAGTATTCCCAGGTGATACTATATACGCGTTTACGCCAGGCATACGTGGGCCAGGATTCAAGGATTACTCTACAGCAAGTAATGCGCGAATATTTTATAATTTATGACAATCACTATGATCTAATTGTAGCGAACTGCATCGGCAGCGTAGACCCTGTTTAACATTCCCCAGAAGTTCTAGACTCCGGTTTCCAGAACCAATGAAACCATGAAATCACTGTGTGCTCTCATCCGCGCTCAGGGCACCTTGTTCATTTACCATAACTCGTCTGCCTTACCCCTCCCTCTATTTTTCGAGCTGGATCATCTCTACCGGTTTATCCGTGTTCAAAAAAAAAAAAATACGTGCCGAACTAGTGGTGTGGCGCGCGAAGCCCAGAACCATCCCCCTTCCCGCATTCCCCTTTTTTGCAAAGCTGACGACGGGTCTCTCCACCTCCGAAATCCCACCGCGTTCTGGAACACTCCACGTCGCCATGCTCTCCTAGTTTCAGGATCTTGCTTTTGAATATTCTCAGATTTCACTGCACACTGCAAGGCACCGACCACGCATGGGTCTGAACGCTTCGGTTCTTCGTCATGCATTGGAAAGGCCTGCGGCTTGTGGCCGATAGCTCCAAACGTCAAAGTACCATTGAACCCCAATCCCAGTCCCGCCGCAGTGAACATTTGCCACGTCCAAGCCCACCGGTGTCCGACCCAAGACTCTCGGAGTCTACTGCCCGCGGTCCAGGGCTGCCCCCGATCGATGGAACCGACGATTCGAGACTCGGAGTGCCCACTGATGTTCCAGACCATGGGGCTGAATCGGACTTCGCGGGCCCCTCCTCTGCAGATACACCAAGCTTGCGACGGAATCGATTCAGCTTCATGAGGTTACGACATGCATCCGACCCGCAGCTGTCCAAGAGCTACGCCAAGGCTGGCCAGCAGGAAGCTCCACCAGTGCCCTCCTTGCCGCGTAAGTCGATATGGGGATAGGAACATCGTGATGGATGTACAGGAACGCATGGACGGCTAACGATTTCTTGTCTCATACCTGCAGCCCCTAAAATCATCACCACAGCCCCCACCAGCCACGATCTCGATCAGCCCACCAAAGAACTACCCATATTCAACAAGCTTCGACCTTCATCACGAAAACATTCCATGGAAGAGCTATCCCGGAATTCAACAGACCAGACGAGGATGAAACCATCGCGAAAGAATCAAGGGTCAACCGACTCGCAGGTCGATTCCAGCCTCTCGACATTCCAGGGTAATATGGAGGAACCGGGGCGACTTTCAACAACGTCATTACGCAGTGGAAGTCGAGACCAGATGAACTTGAACGATTCACAGCGCTCTTCAGTCACAGACCCCCGCTTCTCGGAATCGTCACGCTCCGACCAGAGCTACGGTGACCAGGCCGCATATCGCAGCAACTCCCCACGAGATGGCTTCGGATCAACGTCAAGCGCCAAGCGAGGATTCCGTCTCCCACGACTGAAGCGGAATCGCAGCCCTCTATTCCCCCTTCCTCCGAAACCCCCACCGGGACAGTCAATCCTGAATGGCCCCAAATTCCCACCAGCAGATACCCCGAAATCCGATGGGTCTGGAGACCATGATCAAATCTCGCCTCTCCCCTCACCGTCTCGCTCCTCCGTGGGGCTTGGTACCTCAGGTCAACCAACGCTATTTCGCAATGATTCGACCAATTCCAATCACTCCACTCGATCCAATCCCTCACATAAAGGTCGAGGCAGATCGTCCACCATGGGGTCCGTCGCCGAAAACCAGGACGACTTGTCTCCAGTTCCATACTTGGTGTCATCGGGACGCACCTCCACTTCAACGACCGGCCGCAAGAGCTTTGGTGATCTGTTCAGTATCTCTCAGCGATTGAGACAAAACTCGGAACCCCCAATTCCCCGCCATGGGTCACCTGGCCTAGGTGGAGCATCAACTCCGATTTCGAAGCCGGATTTGCCGCCGGTCCCGCAGAAGGAAGAGGGCGACACGCCAGCTAGCTACCTGACAAGACTGGAAGAAAATGTGCCTCGAGGCATGGTTGGTGGGATACTCTCTCAATCAGGCGACGAGTTCTTTAAAGTTGCTCTGCGGAAGTATATGCGGTCGTTTTCTTACTTTGGTGATCCAATGGACATGGCTATTCGCAAACTCTTGATGGAAGTCGAACTGCCAAAAGAAACACAGCAAATAGACCGGTTTCTGCAGGCGTTCGCAGATCGATATCATGAATGCAACCCGGGGATTTTCGCAACCACAGATCAAGCTTACTTCATTGCTTTTTCAATATTGATTCTTCACACCGATGTCTTCAATAAGAACAACAAGCGGAAGATGCAGAAGCCAGATTATGTCAAAAATACCCGTGGCGAGGGTGTCTCTGATGATATCCTGGAATGCTTCTATGAAAATATCGCCTACACGCCATTCATTCACGTGGAAGATGCCAATTTACGCGATCGTCACCTTGCCAAGCCCCGTCGCGCGTTGTTTAAGAGCACCAGCACTGAGAATTTATCCCGGATAGCACGGGATCCCGTTGATCCTTACACATTAATTATGGATGGCAAGCTTGGGGCACTGCGCCCAAGTCTGGGAGAGGTGATGGATCTTGACGATTCGTACAATCATTTTGGAACCGCTGGCCCGCCGGATATCGATGACCTGCACCAAGCTTTTACCAAGTCTGGAATTTTGCAGATTATTTCCTTGCGTTCTCGTCCTGATGCCTTCATGCAAACAAGTCTGGATAATCCTGCAGAGTCAAATCCAGGTCTGGTTGATATCAAGGTCGCGAAGGTTGGCTTGCTTTGGCGAAAAGACCCGAAAAAGAAGCGGGCTCGTTCGCCCTGGGCCGAATGGGGCGCGGTTCTCACCTTCTCGCAGCTCTACTTCTTCCGCAATGTCAACTGGGTGCGTTCATTGATGGCACAACACGAGAACTACGTGAAGAACGACCGGAAAGGCACGCTGGTGTTCCGGCCTCCGCTCGCTGAATTCAAGCCCGATGCCATCATGTCCACCAATGATGCCGTTGCCCTGTTGGACACGAGCTACAAAAAACACAAATATGCGTTCAGTTATGTCCGCCACAATGCATTGGAGGAAATTTTCCTTGCGTCGTCTGAATCGGAGATGAACGATTGGATTTCCAAGCTTAACTATGCAGCAGCATTCAGAACGACAGGTGTCCGCACAAAAGGCATGATTGCCACAAACTACGAGGGTCAACGCTACCGTACAAGCCAGCGGATCGAAACCGCCTCGCTCAATTCGCAGCATTCACCTGAGAAGGAGCCTCCGTCGCCAAGCATTGCCACTGATATTGTTGCCGAGTTCGTTGCTGCCCGCAGACAACTAATGAGCCAAAAGATCCGAGAAGCAAACGAAAAGCTTTTCGTCACACAGAAGCAGCTCGAAGAACTCTTGCGGAACGCCCGCCACCTTCAAATTCTGACTCCAGTCAATCCCCGGGCTCGTGAGAACGTCATCATGGCTGCAGGAAGAATGGCAGCGAAACTCAAATGGGTCAGACAGGATCTTTGGCGTAACAAGTGCTATCGTGAAGTGCTTCTCCGGGACATGGGCGAGGATGAGAGCTTTGTTGAGGGACGGTCCAGGTCTGTTGTTGAACAGCCGGCATCTGAGGATGCAGCACGGCTTGCCTCCATCTCGGGGCCCTCAGTGAGATCCGAATCTGGCGTAGGTCGGGCTCCTAGTATTGTTCACACGGCTTCTAGCCATGATACACACGAGCCGCCTGTGGTATCCGTTGATCAACCTGTTGATCTTGGCCTCCTACACCAACCATCCACAGATGAGATGCGTCGCCCAAGTCTCCCGGCTTCGACTACCTCATCTGATGCTGCTCGTGTTGGTCGCCCACTTTCAATTGCTGCTCTGCCAGACAAGTTCCCGGACGGACAAACTCAGTTGGAGCGTGAGTCCTCTGTTCTTAGTCGTGGTAGTAGATTTGACGGGGCTAGTCTTGGCTCTCGAGCATCTAAACTCACCTCCCCGGTGAGCTTCGATGAAGGTGAGGAACGGCTTCTCAGAGAAACTGGCTTGTTGGATCTGAGTGGCTCGCCTCCACCACGGAAACCATCCAGCAATGTTGCCGAATCGGAAGGTGAGGGCAAGCCGGATGAGTCTGCGGAAGTTTCTCAAGGTGACAGGCCTAGCCGAGTGCGACGCAGTCTCCACCGCACTCTTCGTGATTCACACCACCACATGCCTCGCCATCACTCTCGTAGCAAGAAGAACCGAGGATCGGTGTCTAGCATCCCGACACTTGACGACGATGAAAGTATGAAAGATGGTGAAATACTGTCTCGGAAGACACCTAGTTTCACTGTTCATGGTAAAAAGGCATCCATCATCACCTTTGGATCCGAGTGGCAGAACATGCCCCCGGAAGAACGCCTGAAGCTCCGGAAGCCAACGCCTCACGAGGAGCCGCGAGCCTCCGAACCTGCTATACTTGGCAGCAACGAATCGGCCACTTCATACACACCAGGCGCGCGGCCCCACTCTATCCGAAGCGCGAGCACGACAACGAGGCTCAGTTTCTGTAGCGATGATGAGCCAACTCTCGACTACTTCAAGGACGCATACGAAACTTTCGGTGGGGAGCTGCCCACCCCCACTCGTGAAAAGGATTTCTTGGATCTCTCGATTCCACCCGAGGACAAAGACCCAGAACAACGTTCGGAGGAAAACACACTCCGTCCAGCATCGAGTTCTGGCTCCGCAATCTTCGGTCCCCGCCTCATAGCAACTGATGACAAACCTCCTTCATCCACCAATTCGCTCGGTGAACGAGCTGTGGACACACCCTCCTCTGAAAACCTACGGCAGCAAGCTGTAGGAGCATGAACGTGTGATCATTGTCTCTATCCCTCTCACTCCCCTATTTCCTTCCTCTCTCAGCACAATCACCTGTATAGCCATACCCTTTCTCATCTGCTGTTTTACGACTATTATACCCCTTTCAGCCATTGCGGTCTGCTTTCCCTGGGTTTCTTTTTTGCATTGACGGCCGCCAGCCGATCTCGGATTTCTGATGGGTTTCGGATTGAATTTGTATTCTCATTATTTTGGGAAGCATGGGAAGCATTCATTGATGCGACGTCTTATCTCTTGTTCAATTTACTAGCGTCATTCTCCCTGCGTGTTTGGGAGATCGACTCTTGCATTGTCCTGCCCCGTGAGCGCGAACGTCATCCACTAGTTCGCATAGGAGTGGGTGAATCTTAGACAAAAAAAACTCATTTACGATTAATCCTTTGACTGGGTCCCAACAGTATAGCCTTACAATAGCATGTAGAAAGTACCAAGATCAAGCTCGATTGAACTTCATGCTTCCCAACTGATTACAAAGGCGGTGCCCAAGGCGGTCGTCAAACCAACCAATCAACGTTCCACAACCGAATAAACCCGCTCAATTACGACATTCATCTCCAACTCTAATCCCAATTTCCCCAAACACCTCAGCTCTAACCTCAGCAACAATGGCGCACTCAAAGCGCAACACCTCCCTTCCACATTTCACCGCGTACGAGCGTGGCCTCCTCCGTGATAGCTGGGGCTCAAAACGCAGCGTAATCGGTCGCGACTCCTTCCTCCCCTTCGCATCCTGCAAACTATGTCTTCAACCAGCCCGCGCACCCGTCGTAGGCTGCGCAACAAACGGCGACCTGTTCTGTCGCGAATGCGCGATCAATGACCTACTCGCCCAACGACAAGAGATTAAGCGTCTCGAGCGCGAGCGCGAAGATGCCAAAAAGCGAATTGCCGAGGATGATAAGTTAGTGCTAGAAGAAGCTAAGAAGAAAGAGTTAGCGGATTTTGAGCTCGTTTCTATGGGGCTTGAAGCGGGTTCAAAGCCTAAGGGGATGAAGCGGAAGGCGGAGGAGGAGGCTGTTGCGGCGTTCAAGGCTAGGGAAGTTGTTGTTGATGGGAAGCGGAAGAAGATTTTTGAGCTTGATGAGGAGGAGATGAAGAGGGTTTCGAGAGAGGAGCAGGAGAGGCTGAAGGATGAGTTGAAGAAGCAGAAAGTTTGTTGTTTCCAACTCAATTAGGTTTGTGGCTGGAGTTGAAGCTGATTTGATAACAGTTCGAGTCGAGCAAGTCTGCGTTGCCGTCTTTTTGGGTGCCGTCTTTGACACCGAATACGGATGCGGATGAAATTGCTGCGAACAAGGCTGTGAAGCTGGCGCCTATTTGTCCTGGGTCTTCGGAGACGAATCGACATACTTATTCGCTCAAGGCTCTGGTTGAGGTGAAGTTTACGGAGGAAAAGGGTTCAGATGGATCTACGTCTCGAGTGTGTCCGAGTTGCAAAAAAGCTCTTAGCAATGGGCTCAAAGCTATGCGTATGTTTTTGACAATTCATGAGTTGGGTTGGGCTAACTTTTCTAGTCACTAAACCATGCGGCCATGTCATTTGTTCGCCTTGTGTTACAAAGTTTATGACTCCACAGGATACGCCTGATCCCCATGCTTCCAAAGAAGAACAGGAGGCTCATCGACGGATATTATGTTATGTTTGCGAAACAGATCTTACGCCAGATTCCAATCTAGAGAAAGCGGACGGAAAGAAGAAATCCAAGAAGAAGGATAAGGAAGGCATCAAGCCGGGCATGGTGGAGATCAATTCCGAAGGCACGGGTTTCGCAGGCGGCGGCGGTAATGTGGCTACGAAGAAGGGAGTAGCATTCCAATGTTGAATGCTAAGAAAAAAAAGCTGTACAAAAATAAATGCGGTCTTTCTATCGAGGGCTCAAAATACCCATGACTTGCCCGAGGGCCAAACGCCCGAAATATGCACTGACCATGTCCTTGATATGTATACACAGAGCCATCTGGCTAAAAATATCCTTCAGCCCCTCAAGTTTAAGCAAGCTTCTTCTTGGTATTGTTGAACTCGCGAACGGTGATATCGCACTTCACCTCCTGACACAATCTCCGCCGACGGCTAAGATCAAGCTTAGCCGCAAACTCCAACCCAGAAGCGCGCTCCAACACCTCCAAAGGAACCTCAAAGCTTGACAGACTCGTCTGGTTGGCAATCCGAGCATTAGGCAGCACAAACGCACCAAGCGCAACCTTGCTATTGGGTCCACCAGATCCATCCTCACCATAGATGACCTTGTAGAAATGAGTCGGCACAGCAACATTAGGCGGGCTGCCAATCACCTCATAGTTCACTCTCCACTTTCCATCAGGGTCCCGATGAGGCAGGTACAATGGTCCAGTCACAACCCGAACAGAGGGGTACTTTTGCGTAAGATTCCGGCAGAAATCCTCAAAATGGGCCCAGTAATCGCGGTTGAATCCCTCGCCGACTTGCGGACACATGTTGCTCAACGCGAATGTGCCATCCATGGCCTCCTGCGACCATTTCGCGTCCGCGGCTGGCACCTGGTGTCCGCGGTCATATCCAGAACGGAAATAGTCCGATAGCTTTGCGCGGAAGATTGCCGGGATGGAGGTATCTTCAAAGAAAGTGCTGTGCTTACGGTCGGCGTTCTTCATCAACAGGGATTGCGGAGTGATGTGTTCGGCGACCCAGGCGGGATTGCGAGTGCGACGATCGTAAGCGCCGTGGAGGGGGAGCGAGGATATTTCGTCAGCGATGGGGCCTGGGAAGCCATATTCGAGCACACCAGCTGGGTCGACGGGGCCAACGGCTTTGACCTTGGCAGCGAGAGTAGGAGTTTGAGTGGTCGTGGGGACTGGCACGCCGGCGCTTGGGGGGAGTTGTTGTTGTTGTTGTTGCTGCTGGGGGCGGGCAGGCTTGGAGTAGAGGAGTGCGGTGACACCTGCGCCGGTTGCGGCACTTGCGGCCGCGATCACGGCGAGGGTGGCTTTGGACATGGTCGCAAAGTTGGTGATGGTTGGAGATGGGCGCGGAAAGAAAAAAAAATGGAGAATTGGCGCGGATAAGCTAAAGTATGGGGAACATAGGAAGTCACGGGCCAATCGATGGACCACATGCGTGTTTACTTGTGACCTGTAGATCTGGATCAGATGATTATCATGCGTGGTATTATTGCATTATTGGCTCTCGTGAGTTCGTAAGCAAATCAGATGCTCAGTCACCAGTTCGCATCTGCAGTGTTGCCTCAGGAACAAAGTTTGGGCAGCACTTGCATCTCAGCATTTGCATTCATGATGTACTCGGATATAGAGCTTCGGAATCGGATCAATGGGGTAGCTTGCCTTCATTTTTATGTTTCAATTAATAAGAGTTAGACACAATATTGTGTAATAATAGGATAAAGAACGGTGCCCAATCTGACTACTTAGCCTACCCCACATGCCATTAGTACGTGTAGTATTCCGTATAGATAATCGACTTCACCGGGGAAAAGGCTGTCAAATGCTGTATGCAACTGCATAGTCTATTTCTGGATTGTCATCTCAGTCCTTCAGTATCGTCCCATCTACATGCTCAGCTTTCATAGACTTTGATTGGTTCATAGGTTCGAAGGGGATGGGGGGTCAAGGCCTCTTGAGGACCTTGGGAGGCAGATGGCCTGAGTCGCTCCTGCAGATTATTGGGGAATAAAGGTGCAAGGATCTGGGGACTTGGGCTCTTCTCTCTTTCTTTCCCACTTCTCTGGTTTGGAATCGAAGGAAGAGGAAAGAGGCGAAAGAGCTTGACCGCCAACAGATCGAGTCCGGATTGAATGCCACTTCATTACATCACTTCTTCCAACAAGCAATGGCTGCCAGCAACGACCTCCGGGGCTGGGTAATGAGCGGTGTCTCCGGCGTGGGTAAGGCTGTTCCATCCTGCCAGCACATTTATGCGAGCAAATTAATTAACAGTCGGTAGCTTGTGTCCTCGGAGCCGCCGTCATCTGCGCCGATCTGGTCGTGCGGCGGGTCACCAATGACAAGACCTTTCAGATCGCCAACAGCAATAATTTCCTGTCGGCCTCACTATGTCTGAGTGCTGGTGTGATGGTGAGTTGCTCCAAGCTTGCCGATGCTGTGTTCCCCCAGCTTGCTAACCAATCGCAGCTCTTCACCTCGCTCTATAGCATGCTCCCCACCTCAAAGGAATACCTCACGCGCGCCAGCTTCTCCCCCTCCGCATCCGCATATATCTTGATCAGCCTGTTTCTAGCCGGTGCTATTGTGATTAGAGTTGTATCCGGCTTTGCCCACCGCTTCATCCCATCTCATGTGGTCGATTGCGCCCATACTCATGCTCCGGAACAAGACCCCGAGCGTGGCGAGGGTCAACTGGGTGCACGCAGTGAGCATGGCCAGGCCAACGGTCAAGGTCACACAGAGAGGACTCCTCTTCTGCGACCGAAGCAACCCCAGACTTTCAAGTCCACCCCTGCCGTTATACAACGGACGGATCCTTCAGCGAGAGCTCTCAAGCGGGAATCATTACGCGCGATCCTTTCACGGCGGGTCAGCTCCCTGATGGGTGGTGTCAAGGATATCGGTGATGAGGGTGGACCGTGCTATGGTATTTCCCAGACATGTGGTCAGGAATGTATCAAGGTGCTTCCCAAAGCTAGTCTGCCACCCACAGATGAGTCCGTGGAACTGGGTTCGGAACGAGATCCTGCCGTGGATATGGCCATTGACTCTATTCGGACCGCGTCTGATACGGGGTACTATGACGCTATTTCTACCCAGCATCTCGTCGGCCATGCAGGAGTTAGTGCTGCGGACTCTTCGGCCTCATCCCCGGCGCATCTCCACCAGGATGACTCTAGTCATCAGCATTCCAAAAATGTTTCTCAGCCTGATCATGACCATGATAATGCCCGTGAAGACATCGATGACGCTTCTAAACCTGCCGAGGATGGTGTACATCACCACCACGTTCCACAAAATGCCTTTCTCTCCATTGGTCTTCAAACCTCATTGGCCATCGCCTTGCATAAACTTCCAGAAGGTTTTATCACATATGCGACCAATCATGCTAGTCCAACCCTTGGACTGACTGTATTCCTCGCCTTATTCATCCATAACATCGTGGAAGGCTTTGCCATGGCATTGCCTCTATACCTAGCCCTTGGCTCCCGTTGGAAAGCCATGTTCTGGTCCAGTATTCTCGGTGGAATCAGCCAACCGGCCGGCGCTGGCCTCGCCGCTCTGTGGATTTGGACCTCGGGGCACACTGGCCATGAGAAAACGGGGCCATCCTGGGGTGTGTATGGAGGTATGTTCGCCGTCACGGCCGGCGTGATGACCTACGTCGCGTTGTCGCTGTTCAGTGAAGGCCTGGGATTGACTCACCACCGAAATATGGGCATTGGGTTTGCAGTTCTTGGCATGGGAATAATGGGTGTGAGCTTTGCCTTGACGGCTTGAACGGTTTCTTCTGATTGCACATTCACATTCGTTTTGTTTCTGCCCTGCTTGATGGATAAAAAGATAAGATCGGCCGGCGTTCTGTATTTGTCATTTGGAAGACCTTGCATAGTGCATGATGCATAGAGGGTGTGACACATTGGTATATTGTTAATCGGTGTCTTTTTCATAAACAGCACTCGATCCAGAGTTGAATCCATGTTGGCAACCATCGGACAAATTACGAAGACTCTCCATCCCCTTGTAGCTGATACTATGTTCCTACAATCGTATAGAAGGGATAAGAGAAAACTGATATTGACTGAACTCAACTATCGATACAATTTGGTCATAATGATCTCGTCTTTAAAACAAACCTAAGCAATAAATCCAATCTCAATTTGTTCCATCTCAAAGCGCTTGTACCGAGATCCTTCGAGCCCCAGAACCACCCATAATCCCACTGCCACTCGACTCCCTCAGATGATTATGATGCATCTGCCCCTGATCATCCAAATCCTCAATATCAATGCTAAACCGTCTAGGCTTAGACCAAACCCCAAACGACTCTCCCTGCTTCTCCCCAACCCCCTGAATCTGTCCAGACTTCAATCCAAATTTCTCCGTAACCTGCGCAACCAAATCCGCATGCGCACCCGAACGACTCGAACTCAATCCACTTCCTCGACTCTGAGCCCGACTAAGCAACTCCATGTGCTGCATAGCCGTATCGGCTGCCTGCGGATGGTTCTTCGCATCAGAATCACTGAGCAAATCATGAAGAACACCTTCATGCAACGTAGCTGCAGAAGCATGATCTCCCGATGCAGTGTACAGCCCCGAAAGAAGCTTTGTCATTTCCAGCGTGACGTTGTCATAGCTTCCCCAGACTTGGCGCAGATTGTAGCAGATATCGCGGCAAAGCCGGATCGAAGAGTCGATGGCTCCGCGGCAGAAACGGGTTTCGACTAGGCGGCGGCCTATCCAAACGACTACGTCTGGGGTCCAGGTTCGTTGGACGATTCTGGATGTCCAGAGTTGGGTGAGGATGGCTTCTAGGTCCTCGAACATCTCGTATTCGCCCAGTAGGGTAATAATGTCGTTTAGCTCGTTGAAGGGGAGGTCGACTATTTCGATTCCGAGGGATTTAGATGCGGATAGGAGTTCCTGGAGGAGGTCTTTGGCTTTAATGGACATCTCGCTGTAGAGCTTGTCGTCTTCGCAGCGGGTTGCTTGGTGTCCACTTAGGTATAGACAGAGTTTCGTGGCGGTTATGATGCTTTCGTAGCTGTTTAGACCGTCTGTCAAGTGTAGGAATGAATGCAGGACACCTGTAACGTCACTGGCGTCCTGGAACATGCCTGCATTACAAAGGTCGCGGACAAGACTGGTAGTCGTGTTCAAGATACCCATGTTGTAGTTCTCGGTCCGGACCTCGCGAAGACAGATAGAATAGAACTGCTTGACGATCTTGCGGTCTGAAATCGCAGTCGCGGATAGAGTGGTGCAGAAGTACTCGTACAGTCTTGTACGGGTCTCCGTCGCGACACGCGTACGCTTCTGCTCTGTCTGCAGGTATGCGAGACGGTCTCCGGACACGAGGGTCGGGATGAAGTCGTGACCAGATAGGTTCTTGGTAAAGGTCTGCTGTGTCTGCATCTCGCGGGCCATCTCGCTCATGATCTGATCATAGGTTGCGCGGCGACCGAATGCTTCCTCGAATGCAGCGACGAATACAGCATCGTGTCGGTCTCCGAGTGTCATGACCGAAGTATCAGAACCATAGACTACACGCTGGCGAAGCTCGTCCAGCATGCTGTTGCCACCGTCGATGAAGCCGCACTCTAGGTAGATTGCGGCGACCTTGCGGGCCCAATTTTTTATTGAATCCGACTCGCCACCGGCATGGAGGACGTCCGTCACATATGTGTGGACAATGGCGCAGCCTTGCTGGACGGATGTTGGCGTGCCCTGGCGGGAGTGCGCGAGGGCTAGCTCACGGAGCCAGGAGAGCGTTGTGGTGGAGAAGTAACCTTTTGTCTTCTTTGCCAGCTGGAATTCTTCTGTGTAGAGGGAGCGGGCTTCCATTGTTGAATCGCGCTTGCGGACGAATAGCTGCGCGAGCTTGTGCTTGAGCGTGATGGGTAGTGGTGCAGTCATCTGGTCGAGACCCTTGGAGGACTGAGAGGTTGATATCCACTCGCTGGTCTGGAAGGGCTTCTTGTAGAGCGAGATAGCTTGGTCGATATGCGAGTCGGAGGTCTCACATAATTCGGCGAAGAGCAGAGTGGCGCTCAGTGTCTTCTGGTGCGTGGGACCGTAGACGTTGCGACAGGTCATCACGTACTCTGAAGCGACCTTGTACTGCTCAGAGAAATCGACACTCTTGGAGTGTGTAGTGAGAATAGTCATATAGCCAATGTAGGTCTTTTCCAACATTCTCTCGACTCTGGTGCGGTCGTATGTGGTTTTCATGTTGTCCTCGATGACAACGGTAGGCCACATGTGGCGGTACACATCCAGAGCAGCATCCCACTGAAGTTCCTTTTCGTATAATGACACAAGTGCAAAGGCAGCTTCGAAGCCCTGGGGATCAACCTTGCCGTCGCGGGTTGTACACTTGTAGATGCGCTGGTACGTGCTCTTGGCCTCGTGGGTCATCTCCAGACGGTTGGCAAGTGCAGCCTCGAGATAAAAGTTCTCGATGGTATGCTGGTGAGTTTCGCCTAATCGAGTGGTCAAAAATTCACTGACAGAGTGCAGGAGAGCCAGAGCTCTGGTGAACTGGAAGGTTGTTTCGTAGAATTCGACAACGGCCTTAGCAACAGCCAACACCGACGGTACCGGGACTCTATCAGAAGAGATGAGAGATCCGAATGCATTCTCATAGACAATGGTAGCCTGTTCTAGATGCAGTCTGCGGATGTGGCAGTATGCCAGAACCAAAGCCAGGTCTGCCACAGGAGGAGCCAACTCGGTCGTGAACGCCTTGTGGGATCCGGCCTGCTCGACTGCGGGCCACACATGCTGCAGAACAGCTTTGGCACAGTCACTGGCCTCAACCCAGTCCTCTTCGCGGACATAGATGCTGGCCAAATTATGGCACAGGATCAATGTGGACACGGTAAGATTGCTGGAAGATGAGGTGATGGAGTCCAAAAGCTCAACCATCAGCCTGCGGTCTCTTCCAGAAAGAGAATGGCTATCCTCAATAGAGACAGTGTTAGCCATGCTCTCGGCAAGCGACAAAGCCAGCACTCTCGCCTCGGCGGAATATTCCTGGTTCATCTCCTTGTAATAACGCCACATCAGGATAGACAGAGAGCGATCCAAGCTGTACATATGCATTTCGCGCGTCTCGGCACGAAGGAGCTGCACACGCTGCATCATTTCAGGCGAGTGAACCCCAGTGACCTCGAGGTCTGCGACAAGCTCACGGATAATGACCTCGGCCTCGTCATTTCTGCCCTGGCGGCGCAAGAACTGATAGTAAACAAGGGCAACGTTTGCCTTCTTGTCCATCATGTCAACGGAGTCGATGTCCCGGGAGTTGAGACCAGCCCACAGGCTAGAGAGCACACCCTGTGCCTGAGCCTTCTCACCCTGCTGCTCGTACAGCTGGGCCATGAACAAGGTGTACTTGATGCGACGCTCGTCGGTAACCTCCATCGTACGAACCACAGTATCGTACTTGGTTCGCGCAATATCGCGGCTCATCTCGTCGCTACCAGTAGCAGAGAACTCGCTGGTCAAGAAATCTGCAGTCTCAGAAGACTGGCTCGAGTTTGAACCGTATTTCTGGAGAATCTGCTGGTAGAACTGCTTTGAGATGGTGAGAGCAGACTCTTGCTCGCTACGGTACTTGTACATGCCAACAATCATGCCGAGGTATTTCAAGCGCTGATTGAATTCAACACCGGTGATCTCCGAGTCGGTCAAGATCAAATATTTCATGATGTCTTCCTGTTGGGAGGTCATTGTACCTCGCTCGGTGAACGACTGGGTCATCATCTCGGCACATGTCAAGGTGATCGTGTCGGACTGACCAAGGAGCTCTTGGCTGAGCTTCCAGGCCTCGTAACAGTGCTCATCAGCATGGCTAGCATGGGCGAATTTGGACACGCGGGCACTGAGTAGCAAGCTCTGTAGTAGTGCCATTGACTTCTCGCCTAGGACCAAGCGGCGAATGTCTGTCGCTAGTCGGTAGAGTTCGACAACACTGGATCGGGTGAACTGCGATTCTCGACATGTCAATTCAAGACGTGCAAACAGAACGGTCACGGGGACCAGCTTTCTGAAGCTTGCGTTGAAGGAAAATTCGCCCTCGTCTGTCACCAAATGTGAAGATAGAAGATGCGAAAGCCAATATCGTGCCGTGTACTCGAGGACGACGTGTTTGTCGAAGAGACGATTGCGTTCTTCCATACCCAGTTTATCCATAGAGATATCGGTCTCCTCTTTGACGTTAAGCTGTACCCATGCAAGGGATCTGGTGAGGAGGTCGTAATGAGCCTCCTTCAGATTGAGCGGTGCTTTGGCACTGGCAGACCTAGCCTGATTAATGATGTGGTCGCGAATGCAGGTGTGTGCGAAGGAAACAACCCCATCGCGAGTCATCACAATAGGGCTCAAAGACTTGCTCCATCCAGTATTTTCGTGACCGAAGCTAGACTTAAAGGTTATAGTCTTCGTATCAACGGCCAAAAGTTTGTCGACTTCTTCAACCAGCAGTGGTCGCTCAGCAACAGCAAGCCACGACAGGACATATTTGGCCTCATTCTTACTGAGATCCAGGTTCTTCATATGGAAGTCAAGCAGCTCCTGCATAGACTGAGGCAGCCCTTGTACAGACTGAATAGCCTGGCCAGGAGTTCTCTGCTGTCGAGCATACTCAACAGCCATTTCCGCCCAGCTGAAGGAGCCTTGGGATCGTTTGACGATGGTATCTACAGCCGTGTCGAGCTGACCACTCTTTCCGATTTCAGAGTCAAATGCAGAACAAAGCTTCTTGTGGACATAGGCTTCCATATCAACTTGGGTCTTGGATGTCGGTACGGCGTAATGTTGAATACTCTTTGAGCCCATTCTCGATTTCAGAGGGCGGGTGAAGACAATCATCTTTGAACCCTCGTTTTGCTCAGCCAAGACTTCGCTGAATTTGTCCATGAATTCAGTGGCATCGGGGTCTCCACCCTTTATTTGGTCGAGACCATCAACCACGAACATGTACTGGATATCAGACTCCAGTCCAGTGCGAATGCCCTTCCACAGGCTGTCTTCAACCTCTGCTTCTCCGGCACCATCAAGTGCACTCTGAGCAGCCTTGGCGACATGGAAGAGAATATCCTCCTGGATACTTTTTTCAATGACGCAGTGGTCCAGCATCTGGTGCAAGATACCTTTCAAGATACGTAGAGGTAAGGTTGCAACAGGAACATCGGCGCCTGTGTCTATTAGTATGATTATTTAAGAAAGAGTTCTGTACTCACGAATAGTGTAAGGAATCACATTCCAGCCCTCGTGGTCGGACGATTCTTGCATTCGGTCGACGGTCCACTGTGCCATAGCACTCTTTCCACAACCGGCACCGCCAGTCACCAGCATGACAGGATGCTTGCCAACAGTGAAGTCGTACAGGGTGTTGTTGAACCACTCGAACGACCCCTCAGCCAGAGTATGACTACGGGAGTCAAGGATGAACTGCAGAGGACGGTCCTGTACGCCGAGGAACTGGCGAAGGCTACCAAGCTCCTCACTAGACCAGATCAATGAGCTCTGCATTACAACATTGGAAGTTGCAGCCTCGACGATAGCATTCCAGTGGGTCGAATAGCGGGTAGCATAAGTCACGAAGGCCGCATCAACATTGTGACTGATGACTGCATCAGACTCCTTGGCCTTGAAGCCCTCAACACAGCTGATGGTAGTAATGCAGACCATCTCCAAGAGATCGGCGAATACAGCAGCGGCTTCTGGCTGCAGCTCCGGAGATGGCTTGTAAACACTCTCATATTGGAGGAGCAGACGAATGCTCACAGCAACACGCCCGTACCGGCCAAAGACACTTTCAAACAGATCTGTGTTGTCGATATCAGACTAATAGCTAAGTTAGTTAATTTTCCCATACTTGCCTAGGTACTTTTAGCTTACCTCCAGGAGCATTGTTTCGAAACCCCAAATCAGCTTCGCGGCTTCGTTTGCTCCAGGAGCGAAAGCACCGATTGACTCCCGTAAATTATCAACTGCATATGCCAGCCGGGAGGCCCATCGAAGACAGCAATCAAGTCTACTTCCATCGGGAGGCATCCAGCGGAGACGTTCTGCCGCCACTGAATCGAAGAAAGCGTCCACAGTAGGGCTGCGCTGACTGACCTCGCTGGCAGAGCCACCCAATTGGGTTTTGCACTTCTGCGAGACAGCATGAACCTTCTCTTGCAGGACGGTCACCTTGTGACTAGAGCTACCCAGGGGCATCATGGTCCGTGAAGTCCCCGAGGCCATTCCAGCATCCTCGACTGACCTGGTCGCCTTGGTTGGCATGGGCTTGCGACGGGTCATGGGGCCTTGGTTCATGCCACCCATTCCACCCATTCCATTTTGGCCTAGTCCTTTGCGGGAGGACCTTTGACCGATAGCTTGTGTAAGACCTCCGCCAGGCACGCCCGACATGCGAGCCTGTGTTGTCATTCCTTTGCCTGTCTGTCCTGTCGTACTAGGCTGTTGGCCAATGACACCCTTGTCGGTGCTACTGGCGCCACCCATGTTGGCACCACCGATAGCAGCACCACCGATAGCAGCACCACCGAGAGTTGAGCTACCAATAGCGCTTTGGCTAGGTCCTCCTCCCTCTCGCATAGACTTCTGTTTCGTATGGTGTTTGCCTTCTGTGCTTAGTCTCCTCTTCTCAGAAAGCTTTTGTTCGATTCCTGGGGAGGTAAAAACATGTCCACCTGTCGAGGTATTTTGAAGACCGTTCTTATCACCAAACACATCCGAGCTGATATGTGCTTGATTGTCGAGTTCCTGGTCCATTGAGTTTTCGGTGAAAGTTCCGCCAGCAACATTGGGGTTTCCCATCATGTTTTGGCTTCCGGTCGTTTCTTGACTCATGCCTCCAGTACCAGACATATTGGTATCTTTGGTATCTGATGCAGTAGACTTAGACATACCAGTTCCTCCGGTAGTAGCTCCAAGCAGACCAGCTCCAGTGCTTGTGCCCATTCCTCCAGCTCCAGATGTAGTTCCAGAGCCAGAGCCAGTGGCACCCATAAGCTCCTGACCTGTATCTCTCTGGTCCATAACCATACCAGATCCCTCCGTAATAGGACCCTTTTTGATGTCGCTATTCGGTCCAAAAGTACTTCCCCGATGGCCAAAGAGTCGCTGGCCAACGTCGTCAATGCTCTTCTTGCTGATATCTTTGTTCAAGCCGGTTTGACCAATCGCCTCCGCCGCATCACCTTGGCTAGCGGTAGTCTTAATGTTTTCCTCCTTCCCAGTCATGTCTTTGAGATCGTTGACATCTCCAGGTGTCAGGTCTTTATCGACCTCCCCTCCCTGATCCATGGCATTCTGACCAATACCACTCTGGCCAGTGGCCTCGTTTGTTGCTTCACTTTGCCCAGTAGTATATTGTGCCGTTTCCTTGGGGGAGCGGGTCAATGACAATTTTCTGCCTATTTTCTTCGTAAACCAGGAGCTGTTACCCTGGCTCACCTGTTCGGGCTCGGGTTCGATGTTCATGGGATTGGACATGATGTGTGCGTAGTCGGATAAGATGAAAAATAGAATAGATTCGTGAAAGGTGTGACGTCAAACAGTATAGATTGAAGTTATTGTAATTCGTTGAGTTCAGTTTTCATAGTGATAAATCAAAATGGAAGGAACAAGCCAGGCTAAGCGGGAATAAGTAGTAAGTAGCCAAACTCAGCACCTCCTTCCCTTATTGCATCATAATCCAGTTCGGCTTCGCCGAAGATAGCCCCCATCATCGAGGGGGTCCATCCAAAACAGACACTTACAATGCGGTTCGAACCGGCCGGCAGTGAGCCATGCCATGATTTGGTGCTGTTCCAAGGGCTGCAAGCGGATCAACTGAGCAATTGAGAGCTCTGATTGCATCGCTACCAGTATGGGAGTAAAGTCGATGATGCGCTAGGATAGTTCTGAAAAGCTGAAGTGGGTATTTCGACCAGGTGATGTCCCCACATTAACTTTCCGTCTCGTCACTGTTTATCTCGAATCTCGATAGCTAGAACAAAGATAGCGTGGCATTACGCTCGTCTAGATTTTCCATAATCTATGTTTACAATTGGCCTCAATTGCTAACAGCAAATAAAAAAGCGCGGCCATTGGGGTTGACGTCGTCTCTTAGGAGGGCCCATGACACCTGTAGAGTTGACCTCATTAATCAATTGTATGGATGTGGGGTAAAGGTGAATGTTTTGGAGACAATGGAGCCCGAGTGGACGGATATGCCACACGAGGTCCTCTGGGTGACGTAAAGACTTTCTTGTTCTTAAACACAGCAGCTGCGGTTCGAAGGTGGTCGTGTGGCCCTTAGTCATCTCAACACCTTCACTCCGATTTAACCTTATCCCAACCCCGCGATCCATGGATACTGCTGCTGTGAGATCATTACCCCCAACATATTAGTTCTGGACAGATGTCAATCCCGAAGGTCCCGGGTACTCATGAGATCATGTCTCTATTTGGATGCCAGCATTTTTCTCTTGTGCGACGAAAAATATCAGTCCTTGTTGTCGCCCATTATTTTTGTGGGCCATTTATGTCATGACATTGACGGGAAAGAAAGAAGATCTATTCCTAAAGCAAGAAAATTGGTCGAATGATGCATATATTGACCCCCATCGAGATCAGCCTTGCTCGATCGAATCGATCTTTAGAACTGCTTCCCAAATAGTAGTTAACCAAATATCACCTGTCACTTGAATCATGCAGCCTGCAGTCATTGCTATTGGCTATTGCTGTTTCCGACTTATAGGCATATCCGCTGCCCAGATGACCTTTATATATTGTTTGTATTGGATGCTATATACTATGTATCCCTATCGCAGACTGAGAGATACCTGGAAGCCATCCCGACATCGGGACTATCACCCGGACATGGAAATATAGAAGCATACACATACATATATCTGCGTCTGAAGGGTTGAGTAAATACAGTATACTGCTGGCATCAGTAGAAGAACTAATTTTGGAAGTCGAGAGCATCTCGCTACGTATGCTTTCTCAGCGTAATATATTTCGGAATCAGATAGGTACGAATCCATCGCTACAATGTTGTCAAATAAACATGCATCACGACCCCGTAAACTGTAAAAGGAATGTTCATCTGTCGTCATGGACGACTTCTAAGCTTGGATTTCATTTGTGCAACCTTGGGAGCAAGCATCACGAGGACCTGAGATTGAATGTTTATCGGAACGCATATTCCCGGGCATATATACCATATATACCCTGGATACTTAGACATTTCCTTAACCAGGTTGCTTGTATGGATCCTGCAACGTTGGAAATGGTGTAAACCTCGGAAAATGGCTGTTCTACCAGGTATGCTCTCGAAGGATGTTGGTTTCGTACGCTCTACATTGAATTCCTGGCAAGGTTGAAGTGAAGGGCCCCGAGACAAGACTCTCCAACCATGACAGGATACAAGATCCTCTAAACAGAGGTCTGGTATAGGTATACAAAACTACAGAGGTCATCTGGGGGCCAGAGCACTGTAATCCAGAAAAACCCCGAGCCCCATTCCGTTCGAGATGCAGTGCCTCAGAGCAAAGTCTCCAGGTCTAGACACAGTTGTAAAGCAAGATTCCACTTAAGGATCGGAAATGCAATGCATGGAATAGCCTATGTACGAGTCAAAAGCGACCATCCCAAGCGCAGCCTACCAATAAGCAGCTCGCTTCTAGCCAGAACCTTTCATCCTCAGGCAACCATGTGGTATTCATCCATTTCCCATGTTCCACCCCTCAAAAAACCGATCCGTTGCCGAAAATTCAAAATGAAACGCAGCATGATATCATCCGTACAAGTAGCCAGCCGTATCTGGTGAGCCTTCGTTTCGGGGCCGTAGCGGTGTCGATCGCGAATGTCTTTCAAAATCGTAGAATCCGACCTTCCTCCACGCCTCGGGGTTTTTGTTTATCAAGATGCGTTGATTTAAGCAGCACCGGGGTTGGGGTTCATCTATTGGGCGATTTGTCAGCCTTTGTTCCTGCTTCTAAGTTTCGTGTGTATGTGCGTTTGCATGTTGGCGAAAGAATGTGACTTTGAGTCCTCGAAAGTGTTTTTTTTTTCGTGGGGGTGTGTTGTGGGTAGGATCAATCGGTATGTACCTTGCGCTTGCCACCGGTCATGACAACGTTGACGAAGCGGCGGGTGTAGAGAACACGCTTGTAGGCGCGGCCCTTGGGCTGCTTCTTCTTCTCCTGGGGCTCAACCTGGATTCAAAATATTCGTTAGGATGGCGGTTCTGTCGGGCGTCCTGGCGGCGATGAAGATCGTGGTGGCGCAGAAGTTCGGGATTTCGATGGATAACTGACCTTGGGGGTGGCAGCCTTGACCTTACCGGCACGGGCGAGAGATCCGTGAACCTTACCCATATTGGATGATTTTTGGCGATGAACGGACTGGGATGAACGATTTGTTGAAGGGGGATGGAGACAATTCGCTCTTTGACGATGGAGTTGCAAAATTGGGAGTGCGACCGTGTGGGGCGGGCTTAGCGAGTGTGCGTGTGGACGGCCGGATAAATGAGTTCTTCCGCGGATTTGCACGTGAGATCATGTGACCTTTGACTCATTGCTGATGTCAGCCGGCGTTAGGGGCCTTTCCGGACTAACTCTTTTGGGTCTCCGCTGTTCACCCATTACAGTGAAGTTGATTGGCTGATTCAATACTCTGTCCTCGTTTATTACATCTAGAATATGAGGACCTGTGAAAAGGACGCTGAACATGACAGCGTTTGACGCCAGAAACGGCTGCCTTTCCACCCGTAACTTTGGAGGGCGAGCGAGCGCTTCACCGCCCGCCGTCCAGCACCATGTGACTATTTTATTAAAACGTACCTTATTTGTCGCGATCATTTTCAGCTACCGGAATAGAATACCATCGTAGTTGTTTCGACCTTTTGATTGATGGGTCATAATAAAATCGGCTGCACTCCTCTTTTACTCATCTCAATAAACCTAATTACTTTTCGTGCCTTTCTTCACGCGAGTAATTCAATTTCATAGAATGACAGAACTGGAGGCCCATGGTCTTTAATACCCACTTACGTGGCCATAGGGGATTCTAATCCCAATTGGCTACGTGTTTGTTGTCAAATGGCTGTTGGGGTGATGTAACTATGGTCTCTGGTTGATAAAGGTGACTGGAACAATGACCAAGGGTCGGTAGCATTGGAATACATACTAAAGACATCTAGTCTAAGACACTGGGCCCACGCACAGCGACTTTAGCCCGAAGTTCCAGGGTACAGTATTGAAGACAGGCCGGGTCCGGAGACCGGCTGACCAGCAGACCCTCAACTTATATCATTTACGATTCCTAGTACGACAGTGTTTCAAGTTCTAGTTTGCGTGGCATGTAATGCCCTGAGATACAGTTACAATAAAATTTAGGTCAGTAGGAGTCTCATGCAGTAGCAATGCACGCTTCTTGGACCCCGCATTCACTTTGGCGCCTCGGCAAAGACTTCGGAACGCACCGCCTGGGAACTCTCCATCCTCTTTTCATTTTTGCGCGCTGTGTAACTCACCAAAAGGGAAGAAAATAACATGGGGGCTAATGCAGCATCTATAACGGTCCAAGACGAAGCTGCTCATCAATCCTACGAAGGGAGAAGCGGAGGGGAAGAGCATTCATCTAGGACATGTGCGTTCTAGAGCCGAGAGACGTTAGTATGTCAGTATTGAAGTTGGGGATGGATGCTGACTGCAGTTTTCATAGTTTTACTGGATCCGCAATCTTCAACCTACTTGCCTTTGCCCCTCCCGCTGTTTACAGCACCCTAAGCAAGCTATGGGTCGCCAAGTTGAGCTCCAGCGAGGTAGTCACAACTGATGTATACACATACATCGGCATTATTATTGAGGTAATGAATGATGGCATTCCCCGTTCTGCGTGGCTGATTATTGGGGACAAATCGTCGCGAAGCCTGCACTCACGGCTGAACCTTGCCTGGACCATGATCATTGTTTGTGCAGCACAAGGGCTTATGATGACTGTTATATTTCTTGCAACGTCGACCAAGCTTGCAGCCGCCTTTGTCCCGGCTGAAGTGCGACATGCCTCGCTTGCCTACGTACGCTGGTCCTCTATCAAGGCCTGACATCTGCGACCGAAGCGGCGATCTCTTCATCAACAAGAGCCCTGGATAAACCGGACATCCCTTTGATAATCAGCGCGAGCAAGTTTTTGATCAATATCATGTTAGACTTCCTACTGATATCAACGTTCCGTGTTGGAAAATTTACGCCAACCATTGTAACCCAGGCTATTATTCGATTAACTTGCGACATATTATCGGTGATGGTCGGACTTTTATACTTTGTTTGTGTGGTTGTGAAGCGCAAGAAAAGAGAAGCCGATGGCCACGGAAAATTGAAAATAAGCATCGATGCACTGAAAACATTAGTTCGGCCAAGTTTATACACATTCGCCGAGTCGGCGATCAGGAGTTCCATCTATCTATGGCTAGTCAACAGAATAGTTCAGCTTGGAGATCTCTATGCTACGGCCTGGGGAATTTTCACCACAATCCGCTTGGGGCTCATTATGATCCCTGTTCAGGCTCTTGAAGCGTCAACTTTGGCTTTTGTCGGACATAGTTGGGGTCATTTTCGAGCAACACAGCAAATAAAATACCCTAAGGCCACTAGAGCGGAAGTTTTTGGTATGTCTGAAGCTCACGAGTTCTGGATAAGCTATTAACATTACGAAAGCTATTATTCTACCAGCGCTTTTATCCTGCGGAATTGTCATGGTTTTCGAGACTACCGTGTGCATTGCGCTATCTGTACATGGGATACAATCCTTCGCACTTTATTTATCTGCTTCGAAGGACGTGGCGGCTGTCACCCAAAGAATGTAATAACTAGACGGATTTTGTGGTCTAGTAACAGCTTGGGCAAACAAATTTGCGAGGAACCCTACAGTGTTTCTTGGTAGAGCGTTACGCCACATCATGTACTTGCGCCCAGTCACGATCGAACAGGCAATAGAATATGGAGAAGCGACTCAATCGGCACGGGGTTTCCGCATATAGGAAAAACCGTGGCCTGTCGCAGGAAATCGCCTGTCTGGAGAAATGAGCTGTCTTGGGATATGGAAAACCGCGGCCTGTCGCAGGAAATCGCCTGTCTGGAGAAACGAGTTGTCAGGATATGGAAAACCGTGGCCTGTCGCAGGAAACCACTTATCCAGAGAGGGCAATTCTCCAGGGATACTGAAAGGATTGGAAAACCGTGGGCCATCCCATGATCACCTAGCTAGTTGGGCACTTAGAAAATTATGCCGCGTCCATCGGGAGTCCTGCCATTGCTTGAGTTGGAAGTCAGCGTGCGTGCATCATCGTCAATCGCGCGCGCGTAGAGAACTCCAATGATTGGTCAGTGCCTTTGCTCCTAGTATGTGAGTTATTAGAGGAACCTTGTATTTAACTACATGAGTGCCATCGATAGGTCCTACTATAAGCTTTTTTGAGCACCACGAATTTCGACAGGGTCAGAAGACCACCAGACAAGTTTAACGTTGACTGAGGAATGCCTTGATTTTTTCCAGGTAAAGTAGACGGAACATGTGTAGCAATTCCACATAGGTCTTATATACTATGTTGACCGATCTATGTATTGGATGAACTTGAGTTACATACGTGGGAAGTCCTCACATGTGTACTTGCATGATCAAAAGTTTGTTGATTAATAGGTAGTAAATATGGGCTGCTTTCTTATTTATATGTTATGGGAAAAGAGACTGGTTTGTGGTAACTTGTAAATGTGTACATAATTGCATTTTGGGCTCTAGGGAACTACAGGTGCGTGAACCCTTTGGGTTGCTATCTAGGGAACGAATATGATCCAGCGACAAGTGGAAACGCAAAAAGTGAATTTAAAACAAACAAATTTTTATTGATTTGAGTTTCTCTGCCCTATGCTCGTTTAAACAGGAAAAGTTGACCATAGTCCTTAACCATAGTCCTTGTGATTGATGCTCTTGTTTATGCTTGAGGGCGTGAGATCTGACCTCGCTAGATCTTCGGGGTCTGATCTCTATATGCGCTGCTAGCCCGACCGCCAAAACCGCTTAAAATAGTCCATCAAAGAGTTGCGTTCAGAGGCACTTTTCATGCCTCTCAAGTGGCCTTGGATAGTAAGAGCCCTGAAAGAGTTAGAAAACTTGTGATCTCCCATTCTCACCTGAATTTACTAATTGAGAGCTTAGGAACGACCAGAACCCGGAGGCGCCTGCGGAATATAAGAAAACTTTCCCTGATTGTCGAATGCGTATGCCCAAGCAGACATCCGCCCCGCACATTCTGCTATACTCCCGCGCCTTTTTCTCTAGGCATAACTTGCGCTGGCCTCTCTTCTATTGCAGTAATTTCTTCTCCACGCTGGCGTTCTTTGATTGTTTTGAAATTCTCGCCATTATCTTGACTAGATGGATATTCCTGGCTGAATGAATGGGCAAGCTCGGTTAAATATGATCGTAAAATGGTTAACATTGGCGTTCAAGATGATGTGACTTCATTGGAGGGAGAATTAAATTATGTTCCGAAACGAGAATAGTATAATTCATGGGCTAACAGCCTGGGGTCCCAAGTCAGCTGTGGAGTGCCTGTCGCCGGCTACGGCTCGATAGCTTCTCTACCCATCACCATCACCGTCGATCATCATCTCCTCCAAGAGCTTCTACCCCTCCACCATTAGTAGGTCCCCTGGGATCCAGCAGCTACCAGCCCGTGATACCCGGCTCCATTATTTTTATGCGGCCAAACAAGCACCATAATGGAGACAGTATCTTTTCATTGAAGACAACGGCATGTCTGGCCAATATTCAACATCCATCTATCGCAATGAGCATTGGCCATTGTGCACCAGGATCTGAGACAGCTTGGATCGGGTCTAGCGCCTAATAACTGACAATCCACATTTGTGTTGAGAGAATTCAACGCGGTCGCAGCAAAAGTACACTAGAGTCGATGGTCGTGCACCCAAAGAACGACGAACTATTGGCACAATGCATCTTCAGATTGCGGAGCATCGATGTACTAAAAACCAATCAAAACAGACAGAAAAAAAGGCGCTATATTCATTGACGAGATTGAGGTACATTTCATTTCCCACAATTAAATTCCAGACAAGTGGATAGCAGTATCATTGGCCATTATACCTCACAGAACGGGTCCAGTGGATCTACAATTTAGGCACTTCGACCAGCAACAGGCGCATCATTTCCTAAAATTACCCGTTCATCGGGTGGCTTTTATGCACGATGAGCTGAACGGAGCTGAAAGAGTGGAGTTCGACTGTCATGGCGATTCTCCCAGGGGAGAGCTGCCCACCTCTGCCCTTTAGTTTTTATTCACAAATTCACGTCTCTACGGTTTCGGTCGAAATATCGCCCCAAATGGCAGGTTGTTTCACTCGACTCACGAGCAAATTTAAACCAAAGCCCAAGCCGGAGACATCTACGACCAATAATGGGTCTGGTGTCACCCCTGCTGGCAATGGACCCTCAGGTAATCCCGCGACTGAGTCCAAGCCCGGCGAAAACCCGCCTATTTCTTCTGCCGAAGAGCCATCACCCGACTCAGAGACCCCCGAAGTAGAGTCAGCCGAAGATCAAACACCCGCGCCGAAAGATCGCTGGAGGGAAGCTTTCAATGGCTTGTCCGAGAAGAACCAGAAAGCTCTGGAGAAGCTGGGGTTCAGCGGCTCCAAGCCCGGTCCCATGGGCCCTAGTATCTTGGGTTTGGTCGATACAGTGGAAGCAAAACAACAGGAATGTGAGAAAAAGTTTTGGAAGACGAAATTTGGTGGCAAAGAGATTGTTTTCCGAGAGTATACGACGGAGATCGTGGGATGGTTGGAGAAGGCCGGCGACATCGCCATCGAATTTGCTCCTCCTCAGGCAAGTCTGCCATGGGATCTTGTGAAGAATCTCATGAAGGTACGTTGCTGCTATTCATATCCTCCCAAAAACTTGGAGTTGAAAACTGACGTCCCCAGATTCCTGTCAACGAAAGTGACCAGATGGGTGCGCTACTTGTTGTCACTCAGGTAGTTGTGAGCATCACCAGTCGCTGCCAGGTCTATGAAGATATCTACCTCAATAACGCAGATACACTGAGTACGATTCAGCGACAGCTCGAGGAGAGGCTGATATCCCTTTATAAGGCAGCGCTGGATCTCTTAGCACAAGCAGGGAGCCTTCTCTCCGCAGGCACCCCTAAACGAATCCTGAAAGCAATCATCAGCCCAGGCGAGTCTACTGATAGTCTCGCCGGACTTGGCGATCAAGAGGACAAGCTTCTCAAGGATGTGAATGCGTGTGAAGTGAATCGCAGTGCGACAGCAGACGCAAAGGCGAACGAAAAGCTGGAAAAGCTCCAAGCCCCCATGGCCCGTGTAGATGCAGGTGTCAGTCAACTTCTCGGCCATGTCGATCAACAAGAGCGCATCAGACTTCTAGAATGGATTTCACCCATCCAATTCGGCGCACACCACGACGAGTTTAACGAGAAAAGAACGCCTGAGACTGGCGAGTGGCTGGTGGAGCATGATGACTTCACTACATGGAGAGAAAAGGACTCGTCTGTTCTCTTCTGGCTTCAGGGAGATCCAGGCAGTGGGAAAACATATCTCACATCCAAGGTCATTGATACTGTGAAAGACCGAATCAATTATCCTCTCAAGAACGAAGGCTTAGCATTTTTCTACTGTGATCGTGGTGATAAACCTCGTGACCAGCCTCTGGTCATTCTCCAAAGCCTTGTTCGCCAACTTTCTACTACAGCAAGAAACCCTGAGTCTATGCAAATTAAACTCAAGGAAACATGCAAAATGGCTCGTGAGAAAGGCACCAATTTCCGCTTTGAGCAATGCCAAGAACAGATTCTCAGTTCGTTGAACATTTATAAGAAGACAACAATTGTAATCGATGCCCTGGATGAATGTGATCCCGAATCGCGGTACGACCTTGTCCAGGCCTTGCAAATGTTCCTTGAGAAGTCCAAGAATCCTGTGAAGATCTTCATATCCAGTCGACCTGACCCAGTCCTTAAAAACCAGCTCGACAGCAGTCCAAATGTCTATATTCAAGCAAGCGACAATCTAGAAGACATTAGAAAGTTCATCGATGTTGAACTTGACAAACGTGCCAAATCCAGAACATTTCTGGAGGACCTCAAGCCTCAGATTATCGCAAAGCTACTTGAGCGCTGCCAGGGAATGTTCCAGTGGGTAAACCTACAGGTCCATGAGATCGGGCAGTCGACCAGGGAAGATGCTGTATACGAGTGCCTTGAAAGTCTCCCCGAGGGCCTGGAGGAAGCATACAACAAGGTCTGGCGTGGGATCGAGAAACAGCGAAAATCCGACCAAACACTCACGATACGTGCCCTTCGTTGGGTAATGTCTGCGTCCAAGCCACTGACTAGCGACGAGCTCCTTTGGGCTGTCCGAGTGGATACAGCGAAGGATGTTTTCTCATTGAACGGCAAGATTGATGAAGATGGATTGTTATCTCTTTGCGGTAACCTACTCGTCGTTGATTCCAAGTTGAAAGTGTGGCGATTCTCTCACCTGTCGGTCCAGGAGTATATTGAGAAAAAGCCAGATTGGACCCTGCCACAAACTCATCACGAACTTGCTAGCGCTTGTCTATTGCTTCTCAATGACACATATGAGAAGATTGATCCTGACACCGTGTCGAGCCCTCCAGAAGGATCGAAGGCATCTGCCGACTTATTCGATCTTGCAAACCCTTTCCAGTTTTACGCGAGACATCATTGGGCTCTGCATGTCAAAGCGGTAAGGGATACTAGTAATGGCATGCTCAAGGCCCTTTTGAAGACCCTTCTCGGGTCTCCAATGGAGAGCAGTCCACGATATAGGAGGTGGATCCGTCAAATTCAGAAGGACGGCTCAGAACCATCAACATCTATGTTCAGATCGGACTCAAGTGAAGGCACTTCTGACCTTGAGCCAGTTGAGTTCGCTGTACTCGTAATGTGTGCTTTTGCGTTCGACGATATTCTGTGGGACTGGTGGCAGAACAAAGATGTCCAGCTTTCGCTTGAGGCAGCATCAGGCGATAACCTCCTATCACTTGCTGCGAGGGCAGGCTCAATGCCAATATGCAAGCTTCTGTTGGAACGTGGTCTAGATGTCAACGCAAGACTTGCAAAAGAGACCACTCGCAGTGCTCTAGCGGCGGCTGCGCGACAGGGTCAATACGAAATCGTCAAATTGCTAGTGTTTGACGCACATGCTGATGTGAACATGCCACTTTCGGAATCCGCTGGATCCCCCAGCGCATTGGAGGCGGCAGCATCTGCGGGAAAAACTGAGATTGTCAAACTCTTAGTTCAGGAAGGAGGCGCTGATGTCAATAGGGAGTATAAAAACAAAGTATTTGGCACTGCCTTGGTATCAGCAGCATTTCGGGCACCTTTGGAAACAGTTCAGTACTTGGTCAAAAAGGCCGGAGCTGATGTCACCAAGATTGTCACCACTGGAATGTTTGCTACTCCCCTGGAAGCGGCAGCATTCGAAGGGCGTCTCGATATTGTCAAATATTTGATTGAGCAGACTGCTATTGACGTTAACCTACAGTATTCACATGGGAAGTACGGAAGTGCCCTTTCAGCAACTGCTAATAGTCACTATGCGAAACTCAATTTTGATGTTATCAAATACCTTGTCCAAGAAGCAGGCGCCGATGTCAATGTGCCATTTGCTCGTGGGAGATATGGTAGTGTCTTGGTGGCTGCAATAGACAAGGGCGACGAGGAGATTATCAGATTCTTATTGCATGAGGTCAGAGCTGACATGAATCTTCCCCTGGTCAATGGGCGTGGCAGTACTGCCTGGAGCGCACTTTGGTTGAAGGCCTTATCAAAGAGGCATGGAGCCATGCAAATTGCCAAATATATTATTGGCGACGCAGGTATTGATCTAAATGACCCATTGGCGCTTAAATCATTCGGACATGCACTGGTTAACTTTTCAAGTAACAAATCGATTGAAGGTGTCAAATTTCTCACCGAAGAAGTCGGTGTTGATGTCAATATGCCAGTTGATCATGGTCAATTTGGCAGTGCCCTCGCAGCGGCCGCGGCTGGAAACTCGATTGATGTTGTAAAATATTTCATCCACGAATGCAATGCGGATGTGAACATGCCACTCGTCCATGGAAAATGTGGCAGTGCCCTCGCAGCGGCCGCGTCTGAAGACTCGATTGATGCGGTCAAATATCTGATCCAGGAATGTGGTGCAGATGTAAACATGCCACTCGCTCATGGACTTGTTGGCAGCGCGCTCGCAGCGGCGGCGGGTGGCAATGCGATTAATGTTGCAAAGTACCTCATCGAAGAAGTCGGTGTGGATGTGAACATGCAGCTTCAGCACGGTGTTCACGGCAGTGTCCTTGCTACTGCCGCCTTCTTTGAAGATTCACTTGATGTGACCTCATACCTAGTCCAAGAAGCGGGGGCAGATGTCAATATGCCCCTGAAATACGGTTATTATGGCAGTGGTCTTGCCTCTGCGGTGGCTGCAGGGGGCTTAGATTCCGTGAAGATTCTTGTCGAGGCCAAAGCCGATGTCAATCAGCGCCTCCAGTATGGCAGCTATGGAAGTGCCCTGGGAGTTGCCGCCGCCCTTTGTGACGATGATTGCGCTGAATATTTGATTCAAGCCGGAGCCGAAGTGAATCTCAGGTTCGAAGGGAACGCACCTTTTAGCAGCGCTTTGCAGGCCACGGGAGACCATCTCTCAGAGGCAGATAAATGGCTACTGGGAATGTTCGGTGTCGACGAAAGTGAGTTCCTGAAGTTTCGAGTTGAGATGGCGCAGTTACTGCGAAAACATGGAGCAGAGGCTTGATCCAGACTCTCCAATTTCCTTTGTTTTCGCCTGTTTCATTGCTGTCGCTGTTGCTCCTGGCGGTGGCTGTGGTAGTAGCAATAACCACAGCGTTGTCATCCAGGGTGTGGCGAGCACCAGATATTATGCCAGATAGCTCAAGAGATATAAGTAGCTAGAAATGTGAAGAAGATCCAGAATCAACACAACCCACGGGGAAGGTAGAGATCCAGATAGACAAAAATATCAGAATGGTGGCTGTGTGTTCAGGATTTTGAAGGCTGCCACATAATGTATATGTACTGACTGAGTCACATTTAGGTTCTATCGCATCGAAGTGTAGGCCAAATCGTGTTGATGCCTGAGGCCTGAGCCAAGAATTGAGTAAACTGGTAAGGCTGGTTCCTCCGCGGCTGTTCATCCCCCTCGCCAGCCGGCGGACCCCTACTCTATTGAGTCGATTTGTTATCATTATATTATTGACTGAATGCTCGTTTAAGCAAGGATTGGATGATCTAAATGCCGAATCGCGACGTCGACTTGAGGAGCAATAAAATCTGTTGTCGATTTATGGAAAAGTATTCTGCCGAAGCCGTGTACCGCTGGCTTCTCGCTCGTTGTCAATATCCCGTGCATTCACTCCTTGGGATAAATGTTACTCCCATCCTAGAGATCGATGGCTGACAACAGCTCCCCAGATTACAAAGGTCTCTTTCTGCAGGCAGAAGAGAGACGGAAGCAGGAAGAGGAGAGACGGAAGCAGGCAGAAGAACGCGAGAGGCAGGAAGCAGAAGGGAGACGGCAAGCAGAAGAGCGCAACCAGCAGACCTCTTTCACCGAGCTCTTAAAGTACTGCCATGAGGTTCTCTCCCGCCAGTTAAGAGTCGAGACACCGTCTCGCTCAACCACTGGCAAGATTCCTCTTCCCACTGGAAAATACTGCCCAACTCGATTGGAATTTTAGGTCGACTGCCTAGAGCAGCTGCTTAGGGTCTATAGGTCTGTCTATCAATATTTCTAATTAGAACCAGGGCGGGCGCCACGCTTATTTTCGTCTCCACCGGAGTTAGAAGGACTTAGCCGTCGGTTTGCTCGTAAGCCACTTAGTAGTGAGCAAGATCTCGAGGCCTATAAGCGCTTTAGAGTAGGAGAGCATGTCCGTGATATAATAGCTAAATTATGCAAAATACCAGTGGCTTAAGATAAGTTCGGTCTCGGTAATAGAATCCAGTTCAGCAATCACTCAAATTCTTTAAGCAGGAACGAAACCTTCGAAGCGGATATAAGCCAGACGTCAAGCATACCTTACCCACGACTAGACTAGTTTTGCATTTATCGTGTCAACGGTAATACGAACACCCCCGTGACCAGTGTCGAGTACAAACCGCCTCATAAGCTACTAGTCGTAACTCTTCGTATAGGCCTACGACTAATAGATCTATAGAAGAGGATAGTTAGATCAAACAAAATACCTACTAACTAGGATGCGAAGTTAAGATATAATACAGAACAACTTATCTTCTCCGCTATCGTCTAAGAATAGCACGTGATGATTTAAGAAGGACTCAAATATTCCTATCTAATAAATAGCCTTACCCGTGTTCTACTTCGAGTTCTATAAGACGACCCCTCTACGCTCTACTACTTTTTCTACGATCCTTATAACAAAGTGATCGCAGAAGGCGATATTACTTCCTAACTATAGAAGACCTCTATCGCAAGGGTATTATGCCTCTATTCAATAGTATTTCGTTCACCCATCCATGGGCAAGAATAGAGAAATTGAGTGAGCCTAGATCTTCATAAATAGAAGATAAGCTTTAATCATACGCGTTCGTAAATCCCGAGAGAAGAATTATAGTAGACTCCTTACTCTAATAGCACAAACCCCGATTTTCTAAGTCTAGAGTCTAGTTCGTCCTATAGACTACCATCGTCATCTCCGCTACCGTCTCCCTTAGAGGGCCGTCGAGTGCCTACACAGTCTTAAAATAGCTATACACCTTCAGAGGTCCGATCACGCTCGCGGTCACCTAGCTCGTCCGGGATTAACACAAACCAAATAGCTGGCCATAAGCGGAGGATTAGCTAAGTCACATATTCACCGTCCGCTCGGCGAATAAGTCACTAGTAAGAGGTAGGGTATAGTTAAGAAGACCATTCCCGACGCCGCGCTACACAATTTTGCACGCAGCGATGTTTACTCGGTCTTTAGATAGGGGAATTTCTAGATAAGTTATGTCCAAACGTGAACCTCCATCGCCAGGATCAGGATAACGCGACTTAGTACCCTATCTCGGCTAAAGATTTAATGTCTTCACTAAAAAGCCAATTAGACGAGAATATTGATCGCTACATTCTTCTTAGTGGCTGTGGATCCTATGGTGCGCCCTTCAAACTTACTTACACGAGATATAGTTATACAGTTATCGGCAAAGGCACCACTTCAGGATTATAGAGAGAAGTTTCTCATGAGGCGCAGATTGTTAAAGCATGGGCCTTATACGGTTAGATTGGATATGAGTGATGACACGAACTGCAGCACACATAGTGCTGTTGTTATATTCATAATATAATCACTGGAGATCTCTCCTGGATCTCTCCAGTGAGCCTACTTCTGTTGTGCGGCTTATCTAATCAGTTACCCGAACATATCGGAATAACCTTTCTCCAGCATATCCAGCTGGTAGTAGCATATAGAAGTGTTCTCATGCGCTTATACGCCTGTTCTCTACCTCTTATATGCCTCTTCTGTAGACGTGTCGTAACATTCATCCATATTATATATCTTAGATAGTTCATATTGATCGCATATTAGACGAATTTCTTCTATCTAATCATATATAGAAGATAGGACTAAAGCAGCTTCTCCATAGAAAATATGATATCGAAGATTATGTCGTTTTTTAAAGCGACCAACCTAGCTATCTAAAAAAGCAGGTTTTTATTAATTTTGATATTCAGGGATACAGGACCAAAGCTCGTTTACTTTTATCTAAATTAAAGGGCTAGTAATTGGATAACCGTTATTAATATACCCACTAACCCAATTAGAGAGTTTATGCTCTAGAATAGGCTAGAAAGATGAAGAAGATCGTATATTTGCCGTATTGGGCCCTATATCAAGATATTTATAATGGGATGAAAGGATTCTTGAGACCGATACACGACTAATCTTGTGGTTGAATTGGGATTGGAACCAAGCTACACACGCGGATTGGGTCGGTTTAGTGCTAGAATTAGACCAAAAGGCACGTAATGCCTGCTTCTGGGCATCTGATATGCCTAATCGAGCACGCTTTGATGGAGCTGGAGCTGGAGCTACAGGTAGAGCAGCTCGTGTAGCTGGTCTTACGGTCGGAAGGGGTGGAAGATCGGAGATTTCAGGCATTCTGATTGGTCTATATGGCTGACTAAGCGGATGACTCAGCAAAGATGGGATGAAAAATTGTGTACAAAGGCGGGCGTTCTAAAAGCGAATGTTTTGTATGGGAAACTAAGGAAAAGTGGGTCCATCCAAGCGAAAGCGGTACTATAAGCGGGCGTTGACTGTATTACAGAGCACATTATTATATATGATAAGCTACTGAACACTCGCAGAAAAGGACTATTAAAATGTTTCTCATGCTCTTGAACGGTGCCGAATCTTGCAGGGCCAGTCATATGGCACGCAGAGATAATGATTGGACCATTTCCACTCTTGCTTGGGATCTACTTGCTCAATCTCGTAGTCCCGGAGCAAAGTTGCAGCGACCTTGGATATTTCGAATTGAGCAAAGTTTCGTCCAGGGCATGCATTATATCCGGCGCCCCACTAGAAGAGGAATGGTCGTATGAGCGTTGCACGTTAAGTAGCTGGAGGGTATACGTACATGGATTAAAAAGGTATTCATTTCTGTGGTGTCTTTCTCAAACCAGCGGTCTGGATTGAATTCGTCACAATCTTGGCCGAAAATTTCCGGGTTCCGGTGGAAGACCCATGGATTCACGCTAAGGATGGTCTGGGATATTTGTTAGACCCAAGAACTTGCATGAAACCACCAACTTTGGATGGAGGTTTATAAGGCAGGACATTACCCCTTCAGCAAAGAACTTGTCACCAATCGTCATTCCCCCCGACGGAGCGACTCGTGGATACCCCATACCAATAGCGGAATGGAAGCGGTACGTCTCTTTTATCTGTTCCGTCTAATTAGATCCATGTCCCAAATCGAATGCGTTGAACATACACAGGCTTGAAGGAAAGGCAATTTCTGGGTCTCGGCATATTGAACAATAGGCGAAAGCTCCCCACGGGCCTGAGCAGCATCAAGTTCACTCCGCAATCTCGTCATATAGTGAGGATTCCGAATCAAGTTATAAAATAGCGCCTGCATCGTTGTTCCAACAGTATCTCCACCAGCCGCAAGAGTCGAGACCGCAGCGGTAAAAATCTCAATTTCTTCCATGCGGTCTGGATGTTGCGCGCGCGTATCAAGCCACTTCTGCATCATATCAATTCGCTTTGCAGGATTTTTCTGGCGTGCATCAATTGCCGCATTACAAGTGTCGAATATATGAGATGTAGGCTGGATACCTAATCGACTGAGAAGTGGGTTTCCTAGCGTTAAGTTATGGAACCAGACATAGTAACCCATAATAGCCACGTATGGAGCCAATCGTCTCGTGTTTCTGATAGCGTCTCCGACGTCTTTACCTTGTTCCAGGAATCCAAATGATTTGGAAAAAATGACTTCGCCCGCGGAGTCATATGCGAGAAATAACAACCATTGGTCCAGTTCGACTTGCTCTTCGGATTCGCAGAAGCTGTCCAAACGGGAAGTCAGGAGTTGGAGAACTGCGTCGAAATGTGCTTCGTGTTGAATGATGTTTGAGAGAGCGTATCCCGAGGCGACATTGCGTTGTTTTTGAATGTGTCGTTCGGGATCTAACTCCGACATCTGATTCACGTGGAGATAATCTGGAAAACTAATGATTTCATACCATGGACCCTGTTTCATAGATGGTTGGTGGCATGCTCTTGCATGTGTAGATGTAAAGGAGTCTCGATATGACATCATACCTTGGCAATTGGTGCATGAAGAAGTTGTCGAATGGCATCTGGATGGGAGACGCTAACTTCATTTGTGGCGATGCGAACAAAAGGACCTTATGTGCAGGAGCATAAGTATAGGTAATTCGATATTGCTTCCATGATTCCGAATTTATTGGAGTTTGGACTCACTCACCATGCTTTTTGTGTAAGTTAATTGTTTCAGCCTCGGTATGTCCTTTGAAAATTTGCAATACTAGCCAAAGATTCGAAAAAGAAGCCAGGAACGGACCTGGGATATCTTTGATCGGCGACCAGTATCGCCTAGAGAAGGCACGAACGACTACTACCCCGGCAAAAGCCAACGCCAGGTGGCCCCAACTATAAGCGAGTACCATGAGAGATATCGATATATGCCTACCCAGAAAGATAGCTGGAATTGTGGACAAGTGGGGATTCTCAAGGTCAGAATAAGAGAAGACGAGAAACAGGGATTGTCGAAGTGTAATTTGACGGCCTCCTATTTGACGTAACTACAATCTTGATAAGTACCCGGGAAACCTCCAAGTGACAGGGATTTGCCAATCACTGAAGAAACAACGGGGAACGTGCACCGGAATTGTACACTACCCTGCCGTCCCAAGAGCGCTGGTTGGCTACCGGAGTCTTGGTCCTCTTAAAGTCTAATCCCCGCATATTACATTTAATTTCTTCACGACTAATTGGTTGGCAGCTTGGATCAGGGGGTGTGTTCTAATGTTGACTTTTGAAATTGCGTATGAAATAGCATGAAAAATTAATGCAATAGACCCATGTACATCATGTACATGCCAATCCGGAACTCCTTAATATACAACCCAACTCATCTAGACGCCACAAATGTAGATTCGTATACACCGCTTATCTCCCTTGGTATAGCCAGTCTTATTTGGTGGCCTTTTCCTTCGCAGCAGCTTCTTCCCGTTCTCTTTTCCGGGCCAGATATCGCTCTTTGGCGCTGGAGACATCCACTGCTGTCTTGCGACTGCGATTCTTTTCTGCCATCTCCTTTTGTTTCGCCGCCTCCGCTTCCTCCTCTTGTCGCGCACGCTCCTCCAGTTGCTGCGCTACCATCTCCGTCTGACGGGCCCGCTGGGCGCCACGACCAGCCTGGTAGCCCGCAGGAGGTCCAGTCCGCACTGGTCCGCGAGGAGCCGGCTTTGCGGCGGGGCCCGTTTTCGGCTTCGGTGCCACATTCAAACCAGCAGATAGTAGTTGACGCTTGTCAACAACCTGACCTTCGTCGTTGACCGTAATATGAGCGCCCTGAGCATTGAGATCCGCTGCCTTTTGAGCTTCTGATTGTTCTGTTGAGTCTGCCGCAGTGTCCTCGGTGACCTCGCCATCTTTAACCCGCCGAGCAGCTTCCTCCGCAGCTTTGACAACCTCGTTGTGCTTGGCCTCATCCCGTGACAACACGTCCCGGTAGAAGCCGACCATGCCAGAGCCGCCATTCTTTTTCCGTCGCTCCTCCTCTTCTTTCTCCCGTTGAGCCTCCTCCTCTTCTAACTTGCGCATCTCGATCTGTTGGGCCTTATAGGCACTCGTGACAAAGCTTTCCTTGTCTGCAAACTCGTCGCCCTCCGCTTCACGCTCCTGTGCCAGTTGTCGATCGCGCGCTCTGAGCTGGTCCCGTTTGCGAATCTCAGCGCTGCGTAACAAGTTCTCCATGTATTTCGGCACATCACTCTTGTTCTCGGTTTTAGATGTATCGGGTTTGGCATGTAAGCTATCGTAAATGGCATCGTAGGAGTAAATCGACGGATCAAGTTCTTCAGCTTCTTTGGCATGCTTTTTGCTGCTGTGTAACGCAGAGAGATTGGTGAAGTCCTTGGGAGGGCCTGCATTCTTGGACTGGTTTAATCCAAATTGCACCCCACCCTGGCGTTCCTTGTCCTTTTGTTCGTCTTCCTCCTCGTCGTTGGCGAAAATCGAGTTCTTGCTTAGCGGCTTGGAACTCGGCTTGCCCATACCCATTTGCATCTTTCGTTTGGGTGGCGGTCCTGCTTTTGATGGTTTCGGGGGTGGAGCTGGATCGCCTAGGCCACCGAGAGTGGATAATTCGACTTCGCCGTTGTCATTTTGTTTGCTTTCCTCGTCGGAGTCGTCATCGAAAATGTTCTTGCGCTTTTGCCCGAGGGGATTTCCTGGCTTTGGGCCGGCTTTCTTATTCGGCATGTTCAGCCCGGTAGAGAATTGTGGCGCCATATTGGCTATTGATTGTGTTTGACCAGCCAGGAGGCGTCACAGAGCAGGGTGTATGTATGGACAGAGCTAAGTGTCGCGCGCAGTTCCAAACGGGTGACGTGCACAAGTACCGTGGACGCCGCGATAAGCGATAAGAACTATTATGTAATATCCTGCCTCGGGCAACAAGAACCCCATGTCTATAGCTATGTAATTATTATGGTATTATGGAAGTAGCATCTCAGGGTTCGTGGATATAATCCATACCTGCTTTGAGCAATAAGAAGTCAAGACAAATTTTTATGTAGATTTATATTTTTTCAAATTACCCGCAGCTACGTCTCCGGCCTGGATATCCCTTTATAGTCCAATATGCTCTGCAGAACCTTTGGTAATTACTTGCTCTTATTTTTGGTCTTCTCGCCCTGCTATAGTGGCCTTGTGGACCCTTGATACCCTCATCCATATCGACCAGGTAGATTCCACACATAAGCTGATCGATTACAAAGACCATAAAGATGAACTGGATTCTATTGAAGATGCTCTAAAGGAGAAATGTGTGGAAAGAAAATACCGATACGATGCCATGCGTGAGATTCGAGCCAGACAACTTGCAGCACCTTACCTAGTCTGCGCAGCCCACAAATGAAGATAACACTGTGACTGCCCCACTACCGCCTCCTCGACGACTTCAAGAGTGTTCTAGTCGTACCTCACGCTCCCCCAAATGCACAAACTGAGAATTGAGATTGATGATCAGAGAAAGGCGCGAGTGGGAATTTCTACCACAAGCTATGTGTGTGATCGTTCAAAGACGGAAAACTTTGCTTTACTAGACTGACTCCGGGCCGGATATAAAGTATCCCGATCAGTGATCCGAATACGAAACCAAAAGTAAGATTTTGACGAGCACAGAGTACCTCTGAAGTGATGCTTTTCAGCCTTGGGTTGCATGTTGTATGACCATTCTGCCCGAGTCCTGCATACACCAAAATTAGAACACTAGAAAAGCTCGATTATGGCTTAGCAAGTGCGGCTAGCACTAGCACGACCGAGAAATGAACATAAATCCGAGTCAATAGCAAGGTTTCTTGAGACATCTGTCCCAGTTCTGGTTACTGGGAAGCAAAATCCGCTTACTTTTGCTTATTGTTTTCCCACAAGGTCCGTGCACCTCACGTGGACGACATCGGCACTCGCCTGTTGACATTTTCTCTGCAGTTCCCCCGGAGTCCCCGTAGGATCCATAACTCCACTGGTGGCGCTCCGTTCTCACTGTACTCGGCATTCTTTACCTCTCTCACCACAATTCCTCAGCCCGGTTACCTTGCCACTTCTTGGTTACCCGTCTATTTTTGAACTTTGGAAAAAAGCGGCTCCACGGCTGCGGGGGATTCACAGTGATGTAATTAGAGCAAAAAATTTACTAGCATGTAAGCTAAGCCGACGATCTGCCCGAATTTCGATAGTGGTCAACTGCACTAAGGCACGCATGTCTCATCCGGTAGGAACTTCCTAGGTATTTTCAGTTCACGCTAGTCATCCAGGGTCCTGCTATGCAGGACACTGTAGCCGGGAATCCGATTACATCCATGAACCTGCTGAGGTATAAATAAGACACCAGATCACCACCAAATTCTACTTCCCAAGCCTGCTATTCATTCCTCCAGTCATTAACCGCACAACTCATCTATAACAGTAATCAACCCCCCAACACACCACAATACTCGAGATGAAGTCCTTTTCTATTCTGTCTTCTCTGCTGCTGCTCGGAGCTGCCGCCGCGCAAGAGATCCAGTCTAAGCCCTTCCATCTGGTCATCACCCAGGCGGCTAAGAAGGCATTGAACGGCGAGCAACTTTCCGCCTGTCACTCCGGCGCTGCTATCGAATCACTTTGTCTGGCCGGCAATTCTGGTGGTCACTTCTACCTGAACCACACTAAGGGGGTAGAAGCTCCTATTAAGGGTAACGGCGTTCCCGGTGCTCTTATCTGGAACCTGCCATACAATGGTGGTAAGTTTATCTCAATCTTCTCTCATGCACAGGTCCATCTAACATGTTATAGATCTTGTTGAGTCTGAGCCTATGAGCTTCTACTCTGACCCATCCACCAATGTCGCCATGCCTATGTTTATGCCTAGCTATGACGAGCAGGAGGTCTTCTTCAACAAAGACAATATCATGGGCATCTACAGCTACCTCAATGATGCTGTTACTCCTCCTACTGGCGACAAGGTCAAGGTGCTGAAGAACTGGTATGTCTGTGAGACTTACTACGCCGCATACACCTACAAGACCTTGAACTGGGTTATGGGCAATGGTTCCCAAAAGCCCCAGAACCCCAGCTGCGTTAAAGTTGAGGTTGAGCGCAAGTTCTTGTAAGAATTGCCGGTTGTTGTGGACGGATTAATGGGCTATGATTTGATTGACTCCGAAAGTGTTTTTAATGAGGATGATGTATATACGATATGACTACCTTACCTTAATAATATGCGATCTGCCTTAATACTCCTTCCTGGTCCATCGCTGGAATTTTCACATATGGATGGTTGAATGCCTAAAGGCTTTGAGGTCTCTCTATTCACAATCTTATATCTCCCGGACTCGCAAAATACTCCATACCCCGTGATCGCAAATTCTTCAATTAACAAACTGATTCCGTTCCTTCATCATTTATCGCAAACATAGCACATCAATCATCACAGTGAACACCTAAACAGAGACATGCTCATCCGTTCGCTCCTTCAGACGAACAGGGATATTCTCCTGTCTCACAAACCACGAGTTAATAACCTTCCACTGATGATCCTGACTCGGCAGCTCCATCTAAAAACCAATTAGTCAATAAACACCATATCAAAAATTATCAACTCACATCAAAAGTACTGAAAAGCGTCGCAATAAGCTTATAGCTCTCGAACTGCGACAAATACCTCCCATAACAAGCACGCGACCCAGCACCGAACGTAAAGTCCGTACCCTTCATCTTCGCGAAACGCGCCTGGAAACTCTCATCCGATTCACCAGGCCCTTGAAGCCAGCGCTCAGGGACGAAGTCATCAGGATTCTCACCAAAGACTTCTTCGCTCTTGTTGATAACCCACGGGTTCATTCCGACAATCGTTCCCTCGGGAACAAAGCGGCCATCCGGAAGACTCAAGCCGCCCTTTGGGACAATTCGCTCAAGCATTAGGCCAACACCTGGGTGCATGCGCATAGATTCTCTCATCACAGCTTCGAGATACTTCATTCCTTGAATATCTTTGAATTTAGCCGGGAGGGGGAGATTAGCAGCCTGGAGCTCGGCGCGTAGTTTCTTGTATGTATCTGGGTGCTTTAGGACGTGGTAGATTACTGCGCACATGTATGCTCCCGTGGATTCACTGCCGGCTAGGACGTTTGAGAGGAGGTAGAGGATGACGGTGTTATCGTCGACTAGCTCTGGGTTCTTCTGTTTGATTTCGAGGAATTTGGAGAGGAAGTCGGTGTTAGCCACTGATTTGGTGCCTTGTTGGTAGCGTTTTTGGAGTTGTTCAACGCTGAAGATGTTTGCCCAAACGAAAGTTGGGGGTCCAATGCGCATGATTGGGTTTTTGTCGAAGATCATGTCTAGAAGGGGGATTTGGCAGATCTGGTATGGGATTAGCTTGGGCTTTCTCTTTCAGGTAGCGGAACATACCGAGGCAAAGTAATCGAGGGTCTTGTTTGATCTTCCGACGAACCCTCGATCGTCACTGCCGGCATTCAGAATTCCGAGGTCTTGAGAGAATGTGGCCTGGCTCATTGCATCCCAGGCAACTATAGCGTATTAGTCAATGGATTTTGCGTGTATAGAAATACTCACAGAAGTTAATCCAATCAGTCATCTCGCAAGGTTTGCCAGTCCCAACGAACCGAGCCCGAAGCTTCTCAAGCAGCAAATTGATTGTAATGTCCACATTTGCCTCGACATCTTGCACCTTAGTCAGAGAGTACAGATTCTTGATCGGACGAATATAAGTCGAGTGCCACTTCTCATCCTGGCTCGAGAAAAGATTTTTCAAACGAATGCCCCCGACAACAACATCATTGACATTGTACATGTCGCTCTGTGACCAGATCAGAATGTGTGGCTTCTTATCGTATCGCTTGCACTCACCTTTAGCCATGGGTCCTTCGTGTTGAACACTTGGCTGACCAAACGCGGGTCGGAGAGACTGAGGACATTAGGGCCCATGCGAACAGCAGGTCCATACTTGCGGTGCAGCTTGTTATGGGTGATATCGCAACGTCCCTTAAACACATCTATCATTCGCCAGAGGTTGGTAAAACCGGCACTAGCGGGGCCAGGGAAGGATTTCAATGGGGAGCGAAGATAATTCCACAAAAAGCGGGAGAGGAAGAGAATCGCCACAGAAAGGGCTACATTCGTAGCAATGTCCACTGGCGAAATCATGATGTTTGCTGTGGTTTAACTTACGATTCCTGGAGAACTTGGGAGCACAAAAACGCTCAAATCCTGTGGGTTTGAAACCCTGTTTATCTAGTCTTTCCCTCTACATAAGTAAGAGATTGGAGCTCTTCGACTGGCTTGCCTCTATCTCCTGGGCCCACATAGATGAGGGGGTTTCGAGTGCATGGTGACGGGAGGCACTCGCACGGACAGGTTAGCGACGGGTGTGAGATCACTAGGCTTTCGGGCTAAGTAGGTACTTGGCGTGGTTTGCAAGGGAGATCAGCGGTTCTAAAGTCCGGGAAGATGAGGATCAAAGCTCAGTGGTCGGGGTCGATACAGACACTATATGTTAGCGGTTGTGCGTCGGGAGACCTAGAACTTCCCAAACCACGCTAGTGCTGCAAGGTTCTCGTGTATAGTGTGATGGCGTTGGGGTTGTGATAACAGCCATTGGCTCCCTTTCCACAGTGGCCATCCTGACACATAATCAAGAGCACAACATTCGTAATCGTGTACCATTGAGAATGCCCACCTCGATCCTGGGGATTATTTGAGATTGCCAGTTTCCGGGGAATGAGCACTATGGTGGTACAAACTATGTACGAACCATGCAGAAGATACGGAGTACTTGTCGGCCCGCTAGTGGATCCTAGAATTATTTTCCGCTCAGATTCCAAAGGTCCGTTCCACTTGGATGTGATCATGTTGGCATTTCGATTTCTGCAGTAGACCCTGTTGGCAATCTGGACATTCCACACTACGTCACGTTTGCCTTGAATGCCATTGTTTAAGCTTCTCAATTGTCAGAGGACGTGCGAAGGCCACAGATGATAGGTATTTTCCTTGGTCGGGTAGTACATGAAATCCAATTGAGTTTGTGTCGTTGCCCTGTTTATCATTGTGATGAATCTGACAGATCATATTTCCGACCCTTTTCTGCAGAAGTGGGTTTTTTATTTGAGTTCAGCCATGAGTGGAGAAACCAAGAGGGGGCCCGTTGACTGCATCCATTGTTGGATTTATCGAGCGGGAAACTAGAAGCCGAAAAGCAACGTTCTATTCAGATTTCGCATAGCCGGCTTTCTACTCTATTTTGACTGCTCAACTTCAAGGGTGATCGCGGACCAAACCCCGGGGCCCAGAGCTGAGGACAGATAGGGCTCGTTCCACCACAGCGTGCGACATTAGCTAAGCTTAGGAAGTATTTTCCATCCAGTATTAGTTGTCGCAATTTCCAATATTATGCAAGTGTCGCGGGGCTTGCAGGCAACCCCATCGCCAGCATTAGCCTCATGTCGGGCAAAGCCCGTCTGCACAACATATACCAGGGTCGAACGCCTCCGCATAATTAAAGCCCCGAACCCTCGTTCAATGCAAGGCCAACACGTCGTACGGTCAAGTACATAATTGCTTTGTTCCGCACGACATCGCCACGACTGAACCCTTTTCGTGTAGATCACTACCATATTGCTGGCAGGTCGAGATCGGCATACCAGATCTGTCGAATATACTACTTATCCCTAGCCTAATGATCTTTCTGTCAATACTTGGAATACTCATTCTGATTTGCTCATCGAGCAGTTTCGGGGACATTGATAGGTCAAATTTCTCCTAGGCCGCCTACCAATATCAGTTCCTCAGTGGTCATTCGAGTATTAAAGGAGCAGCTATTATGTTCAGACGCAAGGTTGCACTCCCGCGCGGCAGCGGGAGTCGATAAACATCTTACTACCTGCGTGTCAATTGACTTATCATATTCAAGAAGATTTGCCTTGTGAAATAATTAGTCATTTCACGATCTCTAACTAGATCGAGTCGTTCGGGATGGTTGGACCCCCTGTGCTCCTGTTTAACACTTATTAACTGACTTTTGCTCCTATCGATTCAGTGTGTACGATATTCATTTCTTTCTTTACTCTCGTTCGAATTTCACACCTTGGGAACGGCTGTTCTCACTTGAATCATGGCAACGGACACTGCTGCTCTGCAGGACCAAGGTCCGACCATTCTAGCTTTATGTTGGATCTTGGTTATGATCCCCGGTCTGATCCTTGGTCTGCGAATTTGGTGTAAGACTGCGTTGAGTGGCAGAGGATTTGGTTTGGATGACACAATTGTCACATTCGCATGGGTTTGTCTTGCCTTGAATATAGACTCTACCTTCGCTAATCTCGATATTAGGTATTGCATCTGATTTACACGGTTCTTATTACAAGAGCTGTGAACTTGGGAGTAATCGGTAAACACGTATCTGCCATTGAGAATCCTGAGAACATCCCAGAGGCTCTCAAGTTGGTCTACATCAGCTTCACGATTCTTATCCTGGGTTGTGTGTTCAGTAAGACGTCTTTCGCCTTTACACTGCTGCGCATTGTGACAAAGACATGGATGAAGGCTCTCCTGTGGTTCATCATCGTCACGATGAACGCTATCATGTGGCTTTGTGCGGTGAGCTATCTGGCTCAATGTACACCGACTGCTGCATTGTGGAATCCCAAGGTAGCAGCTACGGCTAAGTGTTGGCCAACCAATGTTTTTGAAATTATTGCTATCGTGGCCGGATGTAAGTGGACTCCTTTGGGGCTAAGAATAACAGATACTGACTGGACAGCAGCTTACTCCGGATGCATGGACTTTGTTCTTGCTCTTCTTCCTTGGATGATCCTCTGGAAACTTGAGATGAAGAAGCGAGAGAAGGTCGGTATTGCTCTCGCTATGAGCATGGGTGTTTTGTAAGTCTACATCATCAAACAATGAAACCTACCTAATAATATCTCAGTGCCGCGATCACATGTTTCATCAAGACGTCTAAGCTCGTCAATGTCGCTATGGTCCAGGACTTTACCTGTAAGAGGAGCCCCTTCCTTGAAACTATCCGCTTTCACTAACCAGAAACACCTATAGACTTCTGCTCCAGCATCGCCATCTGGGCCTCCGCCGAAACCGGTCTCACAATCTTTGCCGCCTCAATTCCCACCCTCCGAATCCTCCTCGTGCGTATTCGCTCCAGCTACCAGCAGAGTGAAGAGAATGAAGGCAACTACCCTCTTAGCAGCAAGTCCGGTATCGAAACAACGCAGGAGGTGACGGTTGAACGTAACAATAGCGAGGAGAGGGGTATGGAGGAGGCTCATGAGGCGCGTTGATATCGAGGTCACCAACCGGTACCTTGTGGTAAATCCGTGACATTTTCTCCCTTTTTCGATTCTTGGACTATAGTACTGAAGCGGGCTATGCTCAGCAACTGTGTTTTCTTCCCCTACTATGCTATGCAACGGCAGTTGGATTCGTCCAGAAACCAACTTTCATCCCAGTGGGTACCTTCTTATGTAGCTATATAATTATAATCTATGTTGTGAAAATAAATTTCGGGTTCTTTAGAGATGATAAGGTTAGATTCGTTGTGTATACTCTTGTTAAACTGCCCAAGTGGTTTACAAAGATATCCACGCCCGCACCTCCATAGCCAGATTCATCGCATGGATTTGAGAATATTATTCCGTGTCAATAAGCCAACTCTACTGATTGAAAATGTTCAAAAGTCAAGTTAAGCTTATACTCACTTTGGACATCCTAGCACATAATGGCTCCGCATATACATCGCAAATCACGTGCCCAGTAAGCGGGCACGCATTGTTTCCCCCTCAACTCCCCATCCATACCTCCGCACTCACCAATCCCGCCAAGATGTCATACTACTTCACCATCCTCTCACCAACCGATACGCCGATATTTAACATCGCCTTCGGCACATCCAAAAGTGGCGGCGATGGCATTGCCCGCTTCCGATTCCCAGACACCGCGCAGTACATGAATCAATTCATCATCCACTCGAGTCTAGATATCGTCGAAGAAGCCCAGTGGACAAATGGTGGAATGTAAGCTTCCTTTCCCTCTCCAGGCTTCATGCTCTTTGTCCGAAACCAATTCCACCTCGCCCCCACCAGCTCCTCCAGAACTAACCTGTAAACAAAGGTACCTCAAGCATATCGATACCTACCCCCCGGCCGCAGCCTATATCTCCGCCTTCCTTACCCCCCAGTGGAGCGCGCTTCCTTCTCCTACACCAACCCCCACAACTTCCCGCCGGTAACTCAAGCGGCCTTGGTGCGTCTTCGCTTCTGGGCTCTTCCGGCTCAACCACCCGTGCTTCGTCAAGCTCTATCGCTGCGAACCCAACCTCGCCGCAGACTGAAGAGGCGGTGCGCCAGTTTATGAATGAGATTTATGAGAGCTATGTGAAAACTGCTATGAGCCCTTTCTATAAGCAGGGAATGGAAATTCGGAGTCCAGTCTTTCGGACGAAGGTTACGGCTGCGGGGAAGAAGTGGCTGTAGATGGGAGGTTTTTTGAGTTTAATGTGGCATTCCTTCATATTGTGGCTTTGATTTGAAGCGTGGCGTTTGGGATTGCATTGTTGGTTTTTTTAAACTCGTTATTTGTTGCACCTCGTGTTTGCGAGGTAGACTGGGGGTGCTATCCGATACCTCTAGATTATGTTTTGATACTAGAAGGTAGATGGGAGTGCGGATTGTATGATACCCATATGAAAGGCTGAATAGAATTGGGCGAATGCATACTATGCTATGTCCGAATTTAGATCCTCGAAAAACAAAAGGTAGTCGTGTTTTCAGCGAAAGCAAAAAAAAAAAAAAAAAAAAAAAAAAGAACAAAAAGAAAGAATCCCGAGCTCGCTAAGTCCGATGAAACACCCTGGAAAGCAGGTTGAAATGCGCTTTCGTGCCACTATCAAAAAAAAGAAGAATCAAAGATCAGCTATCCAGAAACGCCGCCCGAATTCCTCCATCACAAGGATACAATCAAAATTATGCGCTAAAAAAGACAATGTGAACTGAATGAACGATCATGCCGTCATCTGAGGAGCAAGCTTCTTCATGGTGACGGACTTGAAATTTTCAAGCGCATGCACCACGTCTTCGATCTTGCTGACGGCTCCGAATATGCCACCTTCCATCTTCACGGACTCGATCGTGCTGTTGTGGAGCGCTTGATCCGCGGCAGAGGTGCCATCTTCGAGAACCACACAGTCAAACCCGCGGTCATTGGCTTCGCGCATAGTGGAAGATACACAGACATCCGTGGTGACGCCCGTGATGATAAGGTTCTTGATCCCTTTATTGCGAAGGAGAAGCTCAAAGTCGGTATGAGCAAATGCGCTGCGTCCGGGTTTGTCGATGACTGGTTCATTTGCAAAGGGACACAATTCGTCCACAATGTTCCAGCCACCCTCACCACGAACGAGCAGGCGACCTAATGGTCCCATAGCGCCAATGCCAAGGCCCGAGGCATTATTGCGGGACCGATGCGATTCCCGGCTAGAAAGAGTGGACAAATCCGGGCGGTGTCCTAGATAATGGATTAGTTAATTAGTCCCAAGACGATTCACGGAGGCTGGAAAATACCTTCTCGGGTGTGATAGACTGGGAAGTTGGCAGAGCGAAATGCCATTAGCAACCGCTGGATCCTTGGGATCAAGGCCTGCGCATCCGAGATATCATAACCCTGAAATTCCATGTACCCTCCTTGTGTACAAACTAAGAGAAATTAGTTCATATACCACATGTCACAATGCCGGTATACATACAGTCCTTTTGCATGTCAATAATCACAAGGGCCGTGGTGTACGGACTAAAAGAAGCATCATGGGGCCAATCGTATGGCATGGCAGGGAGTTGGCCCTTGCGGACTTTGTGTTGAGGAATCTGACGAGGCTTCTCAATCATGGGACCATGGTTATGAGTGGCATTGAGGACTGTCAGAGTCCAAATCCCGGGAGACCCAGCTGCGACCAGCATGAAAGGACAATCCATGAGACGCGACGTGCGCCGGCGCTTGCGTGTCTCCTCAGTAAGCCCATTTCGAGGTCGATAGTGCCCACCACGATCACATCGCAACCAGACCTTAGCTGTGCGACCTGGTTTTTTCTCGGTAGGGGTACTAGACGATTTGACGACCACATTATAGCCATGTGTCTTCCCATGATCTTGGACGGCCTGGAGCAGAGCATTCCTACAGCGAAAACGGGGGTTAGTATACGCTGTTGCCTTCACGCAGCATTACAATTGGGAGACTGACTTATCTGGGTAAGTTCCTTCTGGCGGGGGTATCAATTGCATGGCCAGTTCAGGAATGTCCTGAAGGTCGCTGGGCGCGTCCAAGTTCAGATCGGAGGGGCTCGCCATGACGGGAGATGTTGCCACGATCTCAACGGTGTCTATATAGTGGGTTCGTCAGTACGGTAATCGCATGCCCCAGCCAAGCCGGCAGGCCTCGCCGTTCGGGTTGGTAGAGGTGTGGGAACCAGAAGGGGATGATAAACAAGTGCGTGGAAGCAATCCCGACGATCGGTTTGCGATCGAACGAAGCCGTGCGTGGGCATAGGGATGCTTGAAGGGGGTGAATGAGACGAGAGAGATGTGGGATATTGGGACACGGACAGATGGGGATCACATACGCACACGCCTACCAAGTACCGAGATATCTCACCGTCTTTCGCACGAAGCTCTGGGGTATACCTCCGGCTTCCAGGTCAATCGAATGGATCCAGATGCGATCGAGATCCACGACCTTGAAGCCTGAGGCTAAAATGTTACGTAATATCGCCTATCTCGTCGGAGTAGGCGGTGAAGATGCTTCAAAGGAAAGGTGTGAAGAATATGCGTGGAAGGAAGGGAAGTGGGATAGATAGGTGCGTGGAAATGAACAAGAAAGGACGTGATGTGAGAAGACACTAGAATCAATGATGGGGTAGCGCTTAGTGCGTGGCACGGAGGTCCGTGGAAACAGTCCTGATGTGGAATCAGTACGCACCTTTGTACCACGCAATAGTCACATGACCTGGTACATAATCATTATGCATGGACATAGCTTTGGACCTCGGGAACCTTGGCCAGATGATTTGAAGGAGTAAAGCTTGAATACCGCACTTACCTAGCATTTGGCCTTCATATGATCTATCTATTCGGTGTTTTCATGACCTTGAAAAAGTTTACCGCTTTTGATTTCACTGAAGGAAATGTACGTTGTACCTATGGCCATTATGATCATGCATGTACATAGTACTGTACTGTACGATATTGGCGTTCATGAATTCAATGTTTAAACCTCGCTTTAATTTCTTAACTCGATGCCCAGATTCAACAGGTATATATCCCATCTTGGAGTGTCCTAGATAATAGATGAATATTACATATTTTTGGGAATCGCATACCATGGGGTAGGTACAAGGCAGCTCAAGCTCAGAATGAATATATATTGAGCCAAGCGTTTGGTGCCCAAGTGTCCGATCGTTCAATAGGTACCAGCAAAACCCTTAGATTGATGCATTTCTTCAAATCCTTCACTAAGTATATTCAAAACTGAAATGGGTTACATGTTGGTATACCCAGGCTTCACCTTAGCTTTTCAGGTATATGCCAGCATCGAAGTACGTGCAGTACGTAGATCATGAGAACGTGCGTAGATGCATGCGATTACATAACCCATCGTGGCACGGCTAAATGTGGACTAGCGCATGGGGCCCCTGACGACAGGAAATCAACAATCTAATCAAGCCGCTTTGCTACGCATCACAACAACATCGTGCCTTCCACCGTGAGAGTCCCCTCCCATGAACGGGGAGCAATAAGGTAAGTTTATTTACTCGGCCCCTCTTTGCGTTGGAACCTTCCTTTTGGCGCATACACTCTACGGTGGAGGGTGCTCGGCCATCACATTCCCGATCGCCATCGTCACCGCCTCGACGAGGGGCTCTTATCGAAGACTCACGGACCGGGTTCCGCGCACAACACCGGCACATGAACTCGAAAGGAGAATTCTCCTCGGGTTTGAATTGCGCTGAGTTTTGACTTGGCCTTGAATTTACCATAAATTCGGTGAACCGGATCTTGCGGTCACTTTCTCTGTGACCCACCCGCCGGGTGCCCAACGCGGGAAGATGCCTGCCGCCGATGAAGTGCCTTCTGAGAAGAAGACCACCAGCAGCTCATACCGAGACGAGCTTGCACACTACAAAGCCCAATATGAGCAATTAGAGTCCGAGCTTGCGGATTTTCAACTCTCCAGCCATGAGCTCGAGGCCGAGTTGGAGAAGGACATTGAAGCTTCAGAGAAGCGTGAGCGCCAGCTGAAGGAAAAACTGGATACCCAGCGGTATGAGGTGGAGGAGTGGAAGGTATGTGGCTATCATGGGGATTGATGTCTGATGCGACGCGACGACTCATGTGTTTGCAGACGAAGTATAAGCAGTCTAAAGCCGAAGCCAACGCCGCCCAAAACAACCTACAGAAGGAGATTACTGCTCTCCGCGACACAAGTCGTTCCCTCCAGCTGAAGCTACGTGACATTGAGGTTGCAAACGACGACTATGAGCGACAAGCCCGGAATACCACATCGTCCCTGGAGGACTTGGAATCCAAGTACAATATGGCCATTGAGCGCGGAGTGCTGCTGGAGGAGGAGATAAGGGCAGGTGACCAGGAGCGCGAAAGTCTCCGGATCGATAACCAACGCCTGCGAGACGAACTGTCCGATCTTAAGGTCGAGGCCGAGATTGTCCAGGAGAGACTGCGACACGCCGAGGGACATGGATACCGTCGCCGCAAGCCGACACCCCTATACCGCAGCCCCTCGACCCCGCAGACTTTTGAAATCTTCGACCGCTCACCTGGCACTGCCACATCGTCACCTGTTTTTGCGACACCACCAGCCAAATCTTCATTAGCATCCGCTACTGCGACTCCTCCGTCGCCTCCCATCTCCGAGGCCTCGACTAACTTCCGCAAGTCCATCAATGCTACCCCTACCTTCCCTCGGACAAGAGTTGCGGGTGCAGATGCTGTCAACTCTCGGACTCTACATCAAGCAAGAACCCAACCCCGTCCGAATCATTCTCGGGCCTCGTCCCTCGCCTTTAGCACTGCCAGTCGCTCCACTCCCTCTGTTGCCTCTCGCACTAGCATGACCAGAATGAATGCGCCACGCACGTCGGGATTGCCCAAATCCGGGTCCTTGTACCAGATTCGGGGCTTGATCGGGAAGATGCAGAAGCTTGAAGAGCGAGTGCAATCTGCCAAGTCACTACTTCCTGCGCCTTCTGACACTTCGTCTCGAGGCTCTCCTCGTTCCGGATCTGTTGTGGGCGACAGCCCAGTCCCATCGACGGTCACCGTGCGGAGAAGCTCCTCCAAGCGCTTGAGTGGGAGCAGTTATGGTTCCTCGGTGCGAGACAGCGAAGGCAACCCGTCATATCTTCCCCAGAATCGCCAGTCGTTTGGTGCAAGTGCACGGACCGGGGACAGTCGCCCCAGTAGTCGGACTAGCTACTCGAGCCGCAGTTCGTTCAGCCAGAGCGTCCACTCAGGCGTACCCATTCGCCCCGAGAGTCGGCAGAGTCGTCCCGGTGCCAAAACCCCGCTCGGCCATTATTCTACCAACCCCACCACCGAAAGCCGACGCCCTCGCTCTTCTCTGAGCAACCATAACGGACAAACCCCTTCTGTGGGCAGTATGTCCAACATCGATGAGGATCGAGACATTTCGAGCCCGACGACCCCGACGTCCCGCATTCCACTGGATTTCCGACGGCCATCGATCTCGGCCACCCCAGGATTGAAGAAGCGCACCACTAGTGGCGTTTCGGCCATCCCCACTCCCCGAAGCTTTAAGACCAGTATCGGCCCGGGAGGGATGCCACCGCCCGACCGGAAGCAGGCCAATGGGCTCGGCGAGACCTTTTAGAAGTAACGTCTTCCTTGTTTCATATTGGATTTCTAGGAACATGGATTCTTTCTGGGTTGGATTTCGTTTTTTTTCTCTTCTACTTGGATCGTGCTTTTTTTCCGAAAATTTGCCTGGAAGCAAGGGAGATTTTTGTTGCGTTTCTTTGCATTTTTGCATTCTGCGATCCACCTGGATGGTGGACCTAGACTCCCCTTCTGCGCATTTCCTGTACAGAGCCCCCTTTTCCGCGTGGAGGTGTTTCTTACGGGGAACCCAGCCGTTGTGCTGAGCTTTTCTCATTTATTTGTAGCCTTGGATGGAGTCCCAGGCGTCCCAAGCTGTGTCTCAGCACCTTCCTTCTCATACTTCCGTCGCGAGGCGTTTACAATACCCACGAACGATTTTTTTGTCGCATGCTCCTTGTAGACTCTACGAGAGTATATTTTCTTAGGATATCCTGTTTTTAGTGGTTCTGATTCAGGTCCAGCTGTCATGTTCTCCATGGAGTCCGGAGTTCCTAATCCGGCGCTGAGTAGTTCGTTCTCGACCCCACGTTTCACTTGTCCCTTTCCCCTTTCAGGTGAACACGTCATACTCCTGTGCGCCCTGAATTTGGCCCTGGACTTGGCCCAAAGTTGAGTCTAAAGGAGATCCGGGAGTTGAGCTGACCGGATTAATGGAAACCAACATTTCCGTCTTTGGCGCTTTGTCTGATAAACTTTGCTAGGGCTGTATGCTTCACATACCGGAGTTTCTATGGATTTACGATGGATGTACAATGCAGTCACGCCTTAAAAGACCTCAAAAAGCCACCGATTTCGGTATCCGAACCTGACGGAAACGAAAGTGTAGAGTCCAGTCGAGTCCAATAGAACCTCAAGTGGACTCCGATTGGTCGGAACAAAGTGGATCCGCCCAACACGACGTTGGTTGGGGGCATTTTGGTACCTGGGATCTCCATAGTGAACAACACTACCAGCAGGTACCTGGTTGGGACTGCGACTCCACGGGCCCAAACCTGGTGGGGCCAATTCATTCTCAGCGTTAGTAACTCACCAAAAAAAAAAAATTGCTGAGATACTTGATCATCACGAACCCCGGATCACTTCGAGTCCCTTTTTCTTTTTTTTGTTTAATCTATTTCTCTTATCCTCAATTTCCCCAAGGGCTTCAAAAGTGGTGGCTCTTTTGAACAAACAGGTAGGTGTACAGAGGAACCATCCGCTTGCAGCACTTCCCGCCCCTACTTTCTTTTCCTCTCGGCATTTCTCCAACGAAAAACCCCGAAATTTGGGCTTATTGCTGATTATCACAATTAACAGTTTCTTACTCCGTGACTGGCCACCGTCCGGACCTTCCCTGTATATTACTTCTAACAGCAGCGCTGTTTAATACTCCGACACACTTTTTATCCTTCCCCCCGCATGGTCGCTGAGTCGGCCTAATTGATCGATACATCATGGGTGTCCCAAACGGCAATTCAAACGGTAGCAGTATCCCGGACAAAGATACCATTCCTTCACATTTCATCGGTGGCAACAACCTGGATGTCGCTCCTCCAAGTGCCGTCAAGGACTTTGTGGCCAACCATGGAGGTCACTCCGTGATCAGCTCGGTGAGTACTCAATTCATCGCACGACACAATCTCGGGTGGTGGAAAGCACCGAGAATGAAAGGAAGAAAAAGAAAAAGTGGAACTAACAAGCGAGATCTTCTTTTTCTAGGTGCTGATCGCCAACAACGGTATCGCCGCCGTCAAGGAGATCCGCTCAGTGCGGAAATGGGCCTACGAGACATTTGGCAATGAGCGCGCAATTCAGTTCACCGTGATGGCTACTCCCGAGGATTTGCACGCCAACGCCGACTACATTCGCATGGCCGATCAATACGTCGAGGTGCCGGGTGGCACAAATAATAATAATTATGCCAACGTCGAGCTCATCGTCGATGTGGCAGAGCGCATGGATGTCCACGCCGTGTGGGCTGGTTGGGGTCACGCTTCCGAGAACCCTAGGTTACCCGAGTCGCTGGCGGCGTCGCCGAAGAAGATTATCTTCATTGGTCCCCCGGCCTCGGCCATGCGTTCTCTGGGAGACAAGATTTCCTCCACCATTGTTGCACAGCACGCCGGAGTTCCCTGTATCCCGTGGTCCGGAACTGGAGTTGACGATGTGGAGGTCGACGCAAATGGAATTGTGACGGTGAAGGACGATATCTACGCCAAGGGCTGCACAACATCTCCCGCCGAGGGTCTGGAGAAAGCCAAGCAGATTGGTTTCCCCGTTATGATCAAGGCCTCCGAGGGTGGTGGTGGTAAGGGTATTCGTAAGGTTGACAATGAGGAGGACTTTGTCTCCCTGTACAACGCCGCCGCAAATGAGATCCCTGGGTCGCCCATCTTTATTATGAAGCTGGCTGGAAACGCCCGCCACTTGGAGGTGCAATTGCTGGCTGATCAGTACGGTAACAACATTTCGCTTTTCGGCCGTGATTGTTCCGTGCAGCGTCGTCACCAGAAGATCATTGAGGAGGCTCCCGTCACCATTGCCAAGCAACCTACTTTCCAGGCCATGGAGAAGGCCGCTGTCAGCCTGGGTCGCCTGGTCGGTTACGTTTCTGCCGGTACCGTTGAGTACTTGTACTCGCACTCTGATGACAAGTTCTACTTCCTCGAGTTGAACCCCCGTCTCCAGGTCGAGCATCCCACCACTGAGATGGTGTCTGGTGTCAACCTGCCCGCCGCTCAGCTCCAGATTGCCATGGGTATTCCCCTGCACCAGATCCGTGACATCCGTCTGCTGTATGGTGTCGACCCCAACACCGCCTCTGAAATCGACTTTGACTTCTCCAGCGAGGAGAGCTTCAAGACGCAACGCCGCCCTCAGCCCAAGGGCCACACCACTGCTTGTCGTATCACTTCTGAGGACCCTGGCGAGGGTTTCAAGCCTTCCAGCGGTACCATGCACGAGCTGAACTTCCGTAGTTCCTCCAACGTCTGGGGTTATTTCTCCGTCGGTACTGCCGGTGGAATTCACAGTTTCTCTGACAGTCAGTTCGGTCACATTTTCGCCTACGGTGAGAATCGTTCTGCCTCGCGGAAGCACATGGTCGTGGCGCTGAAGGAGTTGAGTATTCGTGGTGATTTCCGTACCACTGTCGAGTACCTGATCAAGCTTCTTGAGACTCCTGCCTTCGAGGACAACACCATCACTACTGGATGGTTGGACCAGCTGATTTCCAACAAGCTGACTGCTGAGCGTCCGGACCCGATCGTTGCCGTTCTTTGCGGTGCCGTCACCAAGGCGCACTTGGCCAGCGAGGAGGGTCTTGAGGAGTACCGCAAGGGCCTTGAAAAGGGTCAGGTCCCCTCCAAGGATGTTCTGAAGACCGTCTTCCCCGTCGACTTCATCTACGAAGGTGCTCGTTACAAGTTCACCGCCACCCGCGCCGGTCTTGACAGCTACCACCTGTTCATCAACGGCTCCAAGTGCTCCGTTGGTGTTCGTGCCTTGGCTGACGGTGGTCTGCTCGTTCTGTTGGATGGCCGCAGTCACAACGTTTACTGGAAGGAGGAGCCTGCAGCCACCCGTATCAGTGTGGATGGCAAGACTTGCCTTCTTGAGCAGGAGAACGACCCTACTCAGCTCCGTACTCCTTCTCCCGGTAAGCTTGTCAAGTTCACCGTCGAGAACGGTGAGCACGTCCGTGCTGGTCAGCCCTACGCCGAGGTTGAGGTTATGAAGATGTACATGCCCCTCATTGCCCAGGAGGATGGTATTGTGCAGCTCATCAAGCAGCCCGGTGCCACTCTTGAGGCTGGAGACATTCTCGGTATTCTCGCTCTGGATGACCCCTCCCGCGTCAAGCACGCCACTCCCTTCTCTGGACAGCTGCCTGATCTTGGCTCGCCTACTGTGGTCGGTACCAAGGCTCCCCAGCGCTTCACTCTGCTCTACAGCATCCTGGAGAACATTCTCCGTGGTTTCGACAACCAGGTCATCATGGGTGCTACCCTGAAGGAGCTCGTTGAGGTCCTCCGCAACCCTGATCTGCCCTACGGAGAGTGGACCGCTCAGTTCTCGGCCCTGCACTCGCGTATGCCCCAGAAGCTGGATGCCCAGCTGCAGGCTGTCGTTGACAAGGCTCGTGCCCGCCAGGCCGAATTCCCTGCTAAGCAGCTCCAGAAGACTATTGTCCGCTTCATTGAGGACAACGTCAACCCCGCCGATGCTGACATCTTGCGCACCACTCTTCTGCCCCTGGTTCACGTCATTAACAAGTACCTTGATGGTCTCAAGGTGAACGAGTACAATGTCTTCATTGCTCTGCTCGAGCACTACTACGACGTTGAGAAGCTCTTCTCCACCGGCACCAAGCGTGATGAGGACGTTATTCTCAAGCTTCGTGAAGAGAACAAGGAGGACATCACCAAGGTTGTCCACACTGTTCTCTCCCACAGCCGTGTTGGCTCCAAGAACAACCTGATCTTGGCCATCCTGGACATGTACCGCCCCAACCAGCCCGAGGTTGGCAACGTTGCCCCCTACTTCAAGCCTATCTTGAAGAAGTTGACCGATCTCGAGGCTCGCTCTACTGCCAAGGTCACTCTTAAGGCCCGTGAGGTCCTTATCCAGTGCGCCATGCCTTCCCTGGAGGAGCGTCTGACTCAGATGGAGCACATCCTGCGTTCTTCCGTCGTTGAGTCGCGCTACGGTGAGACTGGCTGGGAGCACCGTGAGCCCGAGTTCGCTGCCCTGAAGGAGGTTGTTGATTCGAAGTACACCGTCTTCGATGTGCTTCCTCGCTTCTTCGTCCACCAGGACCCTTGGGTCACCCTCGCTGCTCTGGAGGTTTACGTTCGCCGTGCCTACCGTGCCTACACCCTGAAGGGCATCGATTACCATGCCGGTTCCGAGTCTCCGTTCCTGACCTGGGACTTCACCCTGAGCAAGGTCGGCAACCAGGCTGAGTTCGGCTCTGTGTCCTCCACTCAGCCCTCCGCTCCCGGCACTCCTACTGCTGAGATCCCTAGCCCCTTCAAGCGCATCAACTCCATCAGCGAGATGTCCTACATGGCAAATGACCCATCTGGCGACCCCGTCCGCAAGGGTGTTATCATCCCCGTTCAGTACCTGGAGGATGCCGAGGAGTCCTTGGCCAAGGCCCTGGAGGCCTTTCCCCGTGCCCCGCTCAAGGCTGTTGGTGGTAACGGTCTGATCGCTAACCTGGAGGGCAAGCGCCGTCCTACTGTGAAGCTTGAGAACGACAGTGAGCTCACTGGTGTCTGCAACATCGCCATCCGCGACATCGAGAACCTAGATGACGCTGAGCTTGTTACTCAAATGCAGACTCTGCTTGCAAGCTGCAAGGATGAGCTGCTCGCTCGCCGTATTCGTCGCATTACCTTCATCTGTGGCAAGCAGGGTGTCTACCCCGGCTACTTCACCTTCCGTGGCCCCAACTACGAGGAGGATGTCAGTATCCGTCACAACGAGCCTGCTCTCGCTTTCCAGCTTGAGTTGGGCCGTCTCTCCAAGTTCAAGATCACTCCTGTCTTCACCGAGAACCGTAACATCCACGTTTACGAGGCTATTGGCAAAGGCCCCGAGAACGACAAGGCTGTCGACAAGCGCTACTTCGTTCGTGCTGTTGTCCGTCCTGGTCGTCTCCGTGATGACATTCCTACTGCCGAGTACCTGATCTCGGAGGCTGATCGTCTCATGACCGACATTTTGGATGCTCTGGAGATCATTGGCAACAACAACTCTGATCTTAACCACATCTTCATCAACTTCTCCCCCGTTTTCAACCTCGAGCCTGCCGATGTTGAGCAGGCTCTCGCTGGCTTCCTCGACCGCTTCGGTCGCCGTCTGTGGCGTCTGCGTGTCACTGGTGCCGAGATCCGTATCCTCTGCACTGACCCCACCACTGGAATGGCCTACCCTCTGCGTGTTATCATCAGCAACACCTACGGTTTCATTATTCAAGTTGAGCTGTACATTGAGCGCAAGTCCGAGAAGGGAGAGTGGATCTTCCAGAGCATTGGTGGTACCACCAAGCTTGGCTCCATGCACATGCGTCCTGTGTCCACCCCCTACCCTACCAAGGAATGGTTGCAGCCCAAGCGTTACAAGGCTCATCTTATGGGAACTCAGTATGTCTACGATTTCCCTGAGCTTTTCCGCCAGGCCTTCCAGAACAGCTGGACCAAGGCTCTCGCGACCATCCCGTCTCTGTCCTCCCAGCGTCCCCCTGTTGGCGAGTGCATTGACTACAACGAACTTGTGCTTGATGACACCGACAACCTGGTCGAGGTCTCCCGTGAGCCTGGTACCAACACCCACGGTATGGTCGGATGGATTGTCACTGCCCGTACTCCTGAGTACCCCCGCGGTCGTCGCTTCATCATCGTCGCCAACGACATCACCTTCCAGATTGGTTCCTTCGGTCCCCAGGAAGACAAGTTCTTCCACAAGTGTACTGAACTGGCTCGCAAGCTTGGTATTCCCCGCATCTACCTATCTGCCAACTCTGGTGCCCGTATCGGTATGGCTGATGAGCTGATTCCCTTCTTCTCTGTTGCCTGGAACGATGCCTCCAAGCCCGAGGCTGGCTTCAAGTACCTGTACCTTACCCCTGAGGTCAAGAAGCGCTTCGACGCTAGCAAGCAGAAGGAGGTCATCACCGAGCTCATCCACGAGGACGGTGAGGAGCGCCACAAGATCACCACTGTCATTGGTGCCAAGGACGGTCTCGGTGTTGAGTGTCTGAAGGGCTCTGGTCTTATTGCCGGTGCCACTTCCAAGGCTTACGAGGACATCTTCACCATTACTCTGGTTACCTGCCGCTCCGTTGGTATTGGTGCCTACCTGGTCCGTCTTGGTCAGCGTGCCATCCAGGTTGAGGGTCAGCCCATTATCCTCACTGGTGCTCCTGCTATCAACAAGCTGCTCGGCCGCGAGGTCTACACTTCTAACTTGCAGCTTGGTGGTACCCAGATCATGTACAAGAACGGTGTTTCCCACATGACTGCCAATGATGACTTTGAGGGTGTGCAGAAGATTGTTGAGTGGATGTCCTTCGTTCCTGACAAGAAGGGCGCTCCCGTCCCCATCCGCCCCTGGTCTGACAACTGGGACCGTGACATTGCTTACTTCCCTCCTTCCAACAAGCAGACGTACGATGTCCGCTGGCTCATCGCTGGTAAGCAGGAAGAGGAGGGCTTCCTCCCTGGTCTGTTCGACAAGGACTCCTTCGAGGAGGCTCTTGGTGGCTGGGCCAAGACTGTTGTTGTTGGTCGTGCTCGTCTCGGCGGTATCCCCATGGGTGTCATCGCTGTTGAGTCGCGCTCGGTTGAGAACGTCACTCCTGCTGACCCCGCCAACCCCGACTCCATGGAGATGATCACCCAGGAGGCTGGTGGTGTCTGGTACCCTAACTCCGCCTACAAGACCGCCCAGGCTCTGCGTGATTTCAACCACGGTGAGCAGCTGCCCGTCATGATCTTGGCCAACTGGAGAGGTTTCTCCGGTGGCCAGCGTGACATGTACAACGAGGTCCTCAAGTACGGTTCCTACATCGTTGATGCCCTCGTCAAGTACGAGCAGCCCGTTTTCGTGTACATTCCTCCCTTCGGTGAGCTCCGTGGTGGATCCTGGGTCGTCGTTGACCCCACGATCAACCCCGAGCAGATGGAGATGTACGCCGATGAAGATGCCCGTGGTGGTGTCCTCGAGCCCGAGGGTATCGTCGGCATCAAGTTCCGCCGTGACAAGCAGCTTGACACCATGGCTCGCCTTGATCCCACCTATGGCGAGCTCCGCCGTTCCCTGGAGGACACTTCCCTCACTAAGGAGCAGCTCTCCGAGATCAAGACCAAGATGGCCGCCCGCGAAGAGCAGCTTCTCCCCGTCTACATGCAGATCGCCCTCCAATTCGCCGATCTTCACGACCGCGCCGGCCGCATGCAGGCCAAGAACACCATCCGCCAAGCTCTCAAGTGGCAAAATGCCCGTCGCTTCTTCTACTGGCGTCTGCGCCGCCGTCTCAGCGAGGAGCTCATTGTCAAGCGCATGGTCACCGCCGCTCCCTCCCCCTGCTCCCCGCACCGGTTCCGCTGGTGCTATCCCCGCCTCCGGCGTTACTCACCCCACCGTCGAATCTGCTCGCGCTATCCACCTCAAGAACCTCCGCGCTTGGACCGGTCTTCTCGATGACGAACTCGAGCACGACGACCAGAAGGTCGCTATGTGGTATGAGGAGAACAAGAAGCTCGTCCAGTCTAAGGTTGAGGCTCTCCGTACTGAGGGCGTTGCCTCTGAGGTTGCGCAGCTTCTTATCGGAAACAAGGAGGGTGGTCTTCTTGGTGTTCAGCAGGTTCTTTCTATGCTTCCTGTTGAGGAGCGTGAGTCTGTGCTGAAGTACCTCAGCTCTGCGTAAGCAATAAGACGCAAAGCAAAATAGAGTTATCTTGATGAGTGATGTTGATGTTTTTTTTTTTTGTGTTTGTTAACCTTGCATCGGTGTTTTTCGGTTTTTTTATGAAATTTCTAGTCTAGTATATTTAATTTAGTTCTACTAAATGTCCTTCAACTGGCAATGTTCCTCGGCCCTCTTGATGTAGTTGATCCTATGTTCTTAAGGATGGTATCCTGCCACCTGTGTAATTCGGCTCCTGAACTGCAAAATCTGCCCTCAACAAATTTCAGTATTACTTTGGGTACACCCTCGACCACCCCGGGTATCAGATTTGGAGCCCAAGACGAGTTTGGAAATTGATGCGAGGAGACAGATATAGTAAGACTCCGACCTCGATCCAAAAGTTGAACTCCATTTAGGCATTTGAGAATCAATTTATTGGAAATTGTTGCATTATATGGAGGCTTAAGTGGTGGGGATTTATAAGGACCAATCACCCATGACTTAACCCAGTACTTCTAATCATAGCTATCTCGCCATTATTTGGAATCAAGAATACTCCATCCGGAAGCAACGCGCACAATTCCAAACATTCCATATTGCGCCAATCGCTTGGGAGAAAAAAGTGTCGTTCAACGCGTTCAGAGTTAAAGTCGGGACTAAGGATCCAAGAGCAGATCCAGTAGTTCCTATCGAGAAATACAAGACGATTCCGGGAGAGAATCCCCAGTGGAATCTCGATTTGATGCTGAAGCTCGGCTGGTATAGTCACTGAATCAGACATGGCTGGACTGTGTGGTAATCGGAACAGTGATGTGGCAGTTTCTCGACCATTCGTTGTTGGAAAGACGATATGAACGAGGAAGTCAGAGCCTGAGTGAATGTTGCAGACTCGCTTAATCTTGACATTATCCTCGCGATGAAGATCAACCCTGGCGAGATCTAGCGAGATATCTGGACTTGATCGCAAGAGCAGGGACGGTATCTCCAGGTCGAGAGATGTGATTTCAGAAAGATCATCCCATCTGTAGATGCGTATATGACTGGTGCTGAAAGACAATAGTAATTCTGGGTTTGTCGAATGTTTTGTCCACTTCGTATTTGGCGATGTAATGTTTAATGGCTCTGTGTCAATCGGAGTCAATTGTACCGGTTGCACGTTGACCGAGGGCCCATTTTTAATCAAGACCATTGCCCCACTGCTGTCGAGAAGGACTTGTTGAATACCCCCGGGGCTCAAGTTGATTCTCACCTTGAATGCTACATCAACGGCCCAGGTCCCGTCGTCATCGCGATGAATATCCTTCACAACGACACTCCCCGCCATCTCAACGCAGGCAAGGAATCGTCGATTGGACGACCAATCTAAATGTGCAATAGGTAGCTCCAAAGGTGTCCTCCAGAGCTCGATTGCCTGATTGTTGCTAGTCGAGGAGTCTATCATGCTGACAACTCCAGCTTCGTTTCCAATTGCATGATATTGCCCTCCATCAGAAATGGCAATTGCGGTTATCTGTGGTCGTACTTCTGACGAAGCTTCAGAAACCAGGGCTGTTGGAATACTGGCAGCCTCACTTCCTATGTCGCTATTATCCCCATGATCCTCCCCTGAAAGCAATGCATTTGGTTCCCAGACATTGCACCATGCCCCGCGGAGGTCATATAGCCTTCTGCTGTCCGGGCTGAAACAGATATCCGTGATCATTTTGTCGCAGGAAAGCTTATAGATCATGCTGAAATGGTGGAAGTTGTAGAGCTTCAACGTGCCCTGACTGTCCCCTACTGCAAAAAATTTCCCTTCAGGACTGCATGCGAGAATCGACCCACGCGCGTCTAATTCCTGCTGGCTGTCGGTGTAGGGATTCCATCTGAATACCTGTCCTCCCATGTATAGACCAAGAACCTCCTCCGATTTTGGATGCCAGACAATTTGGTCCACAACGGTCCAAAGATTTCCGGCCAGTTCCTGGCTGCGCATGCATCGCCCCAGCAGCTGAGCGGTCTCAAGAGACCAGACACACATGGGAGAACCACGATAAGCTACAGCGACACAAGTCGCGTCAGGGCTGAATGCCATACGCCAGGGCATGTTGTGCACAGGTCTGTCAAGGGCAGCGTCAATTGTGAGTAGACTGCGATGCAAAACCGACCAAGCAGGAGCTGGATCCATCAACCGAGCAACTCTGAGAAGTCGATCAGCCGACCCAATGACGAGCTGAGTATCATTGGCAGAAAACTCTATAGCTTGGACTGTGCTGCCGATGGGGTTTTGAATCTGGTGCATAATTCGCCCTGAATCGACTGACCACACCTTCGTTGTCCGATAACCGTAAGTCGCAAGAAGATGTGAGTTGCGACTGAACTTCATCGCAGAAACCTGTTCCTCATGTTTGAGCACACGCCTTGTCTCAAAAGTCGTAGAGCTGTACAGAGTAATGACTCCTCCACTCGTCAACACAGCGAAGAGGTCTCCCGCACAATCAATGATGAGACCTTGAGTAGCGGGCTGAAGAGAGATCTTGGCTAGGCTGTCGTCCCATGTTGCTGTCGATAGTCCATCAACCACCAGAGAATGTGAATTGAATTGCCGGAATATCATCGAGCTCTTCGGACAAAATGGCGGAATTTGCTGGTAAATAGATGTCGGGCTTTCGGTCAAAGACAACCCAAACTTCCCAATGAGTTTAAGCAAGTCTGTCGCCCATGTTTCAACCAAATTAAGCTCTTGAAGGCGATGGGCCATTGGATTCGTCACAGCATAACGACCTCTTTTTCGTCGGGCGTATAGATTCATGCTCTTTGCTGAAGACACAAGCACTCGCAATCGCCTTGTTAAAGCCAGCGCCACAATCCAGTCTAGAACACAATTGCCCTTGAGAAATTTCGCCATGAGCAATAATGGCTCATCTGAATCAGGCGAGACTTTATCTAGGTGATAAGTCCACGATGTCATTGCATAATGAAATAGCTCTCCCTTCAGGACTTTCTTCCCAGTCTCGGGCTGAAGAGCCAGGTCTCGGGGCAGATGGTGTTTCTCCTCCAAGACGGCTAGACACCTGGCAAACAGCATCTGGTGTCCGTCTGCTAAGTGGACCCCAAGCTCCGAATCAGTCGCCAAGATATGATCCCTCGCAGTCTCGTGTACCATCATTAGTCTATTGGTGGCAGAGTCGACGATGACTAGCTGGCCACAGACACGGTTGATGACGAATTTCATATCCAGCATCAATGAATAGTTAGGCTCCAACGCCTGGACCAACTCGCTGAGGACTAGCGGGCGTCGGGAACATATCGCCCAGGTCAAAATACTCTTTCCCAATTTCCGATCCCGTGGTTTTGTATTCGCAATGATTGTACGCTCCAAGCGTTGGTATAGTCGCTCCATGCCACCGGGAATGCCGCTCAGCGTTTCATCAACATCTTCTTCGGTATTGCACTCCATTACCTCACGCATAGCAAGGCTGGCCCATAAAAAATTACCATCCGCACCTTTCGTCATTTTATCCACCAGCCGCGCTTTAAAGTCGGGAGCGGCGTGCAAGTATTCCACTTCCTGCTCAACATAAAGCCTGATGTCTTTTTTTGTGTCTTCGAGAGGCAGGTATGCGACCGAGAGTAGAGAGGACAGACGGTCAAAGGTTGTAATGAGCCCCGAAGTCTGGCGACTAACAAAAAGCACCTTGATGCGTGTGGATGAATGACATACACTCTGCATCAAATCTAGCAGCTGCTGTGGGTTGTCAGACTCATCCAACCCATCAATAACCCAGTAGATCGTTGTTGCGAGTCTCATTTTGAACAGCAGTCGGACGAAAATTCTGTCCCAGATGGTCTTTGCATCTGTTTTTTCCAACGTTTTCGTGGCAAATGAGATGTTTTTCAATGCGCGACGAAATGCTGGGAGCTGCTTTGCTATCTGAAAAGCGACATGTCTCAGGCAGTAAGACAACGAGCGCTTAGACTCGTCGCTGAATCGAAAAAAATAGTATACACAGAGAGAGTCCTCTAGAAGCTGGTGCGTAACAAACGATGATAAGACAGACTTGCCACTGGCTGGCAATGCGTGCAACCAGAGCATTGTCGGGGTGTTATCAGCTTGATCTATCCAATTGACGAAGGATGGATTAAAAAGTATCCACTCGCAGGTCCCAGGTGTCCACCTGGCACGAAAGAACTCGAGATCATCGTGAAATGTTTCTGAGATTGCTAGTAGGGTCTGTAATTGCTCGAGCTGGGACTTTTCTTGCTCTCCAAACAAAGATTCCCCTGATCATCCAGATCAGTATATTTAGAATCATTTCCAGGGTAGCAACAATAACGCAGTTCATACTCACCTGCCGAACGAATTGACGAGACCAAGGTTTTCAAAGCGTTTCTAACGCTGATGTAATTAGAATCCTGATTGCTATCGAACTTGCACACTGTGTGGTGATCGGCAAGGAGGGCCTTTGATATCTCCTTCGGGTAACCGAGAGTCGCTGAATCTTTTTCGACTACCATCTGATGGTAAGTCAGCATGTAAGTTACCTAAAAAGAATCCCTCATACCATTTTCTTAGGTCCAATGGAAGTCTGTAATGTCTCATAGAATGAAAGTATGTCCAAATTTGGAGCAATGTGACGAAACTGCTCGTTCAGAGCTGCGACAGTCTGCGAACCAACACTCAACTCAGATATGTATAGCTTGGGGCTGTGATTGAAGACTGAAACAGTCAAAATCTTGTTCAAGATGTCGGCTAGATTAGACCCGCGATGTGGGGTCGCCAAAAACAATATCGCACTGATCGAAGAGACAATATTAGAATACTGATCATCATTTTGGCCCATGATGTATGCCTGTTTGACGACTAGCCCTCCCATGGAATGCACAATGAATATAATCGGTCTCTATTGAGGCACAGTGTGAGTGACTCTTCAATAGAAGAGGGAGAAGACAAGAGATTACCTGGCCCAACTCGAGTTCATCTAAATTGTCATTTTTCGCAAATTTCATCGAATATAACAAATCTTTCGCGAAATCTGCGATGCCTGTGATGGGAGCCGACCCGGTGGCGGCCCAGCTCGCGTTGTAACCAAACGACAGAATCCTCGCCATCCGAATTCCAGGCTCGAGAGGAAGCCATTTTTCCGGCCAAAAATACTGTGGATCTCGGCCTCTTGCCCATGTAGCCCGGCTTGTTCCGCCAAGGCCGTGGACAAAGATGATATCCAGAGCAGGCGATGTTTCTGGCTCATAGACAACGGTTAAGCCAAGAGGATCGTTGCGCCGACTGTTAGGAACTGGCGAAGTTTCATGATGGAGGCCAAACGACGAGCTTGTTGAGCCTGCTCGAAAAGTCCTAGCCAGCGAGGGTTTTCGGTTCAGGTCTATCGGGGTTTGTGATGGATCTCCAAGTTGGCCAGGGGACCATACTATATCAGGGGTAGTGGATGATAAGGTGTGAGTTGTATTTAACTCTTGGATGGGCCTCTCATCAGGCACAGGCCGTTTCGAGCTTTTCTTGAAGGAAAACTGGGCAAGTGATGGTCTTCTTAGCTGGAATCCCTTGGGAACAACTTGAAGCCCATGTGGTGCTAACTTACCATTTTTACATGGGGTATGGTATACCCGTGCTGAAAGCCAAAGTATGACGGTCCTCTTTGTTAGGCCCCTGGGATTGAAAGGAAATGACCAGTGTGACTGACTGGGCTGGGGGCAAGTCCAGTGCCGCCCAGGGACTTGCGGCTCAATCGAACAGCCCTTCGTTCCTTTCAGCTTGATAGAGATGCATGCAGAACACTTCTGCCAGGATTGGTCAATTTATTTTGCTGTTTTCTTCGTATAGGTCCACGGGCCTCTGAGGCGGCTTACTTCGACAGGGATTCATTTCGCCCCGCAGCTACCTTAACCAATCCCACTATCCCCTTGGGCTGCGAACCCATGCTCGTTCTAGCGCCCCTACCGCCTACCCCTCACCGATTAGAATAGTTTTATTCCATATTGACAAACTGACCAGAGAGATGCTAGGGGTTACGTGGCAGGGGCTATGTGCATGGGGAATATCGTAGCTCCTCCAGTGATTGTACTTTACCGGCATATTCTCTTTTGACACTTGCTTGCCTTGCGTATTCGCTTCCAATACCTGTCCTACACTTTGAAAACTAGCTCATATAACTGAGTAGCGTTGGACACTCTGGGAGCGATCTAGAAACACCCCAACACTACGATGGCGATAGAAACTGAAAAGACGGTAACAAATCTGGGGCTTCAAGTGCCTCTGGTTACACCAGGAAAAAGCCAAGGTCAAATAATCGAGGGCGATTTTCCACTAGACCAGGCTGTGATTGACCGTGAACACCCCTTTGTGCTTATGTAGTGTGGAGAGTCTCATGCTAACGAGTGGATTAAATTAGAATTTCCTCTAGGGACTCGTGTGCACTCCTGCGAGCGCTACGGGCCATCGGCTTGGACAGTCACAGCCAAAATTATCACTACCCTCTCGAATGGAGCGCCGAAGATCTATTTCCTCAAGGTATGGATAGACTGTCAACACGAAGCTCCCATCATTTATTGATACGTTCGTGGGCAGTGTGCCAAAGACGACAAAGGGAGAGTCATGTTAGAGGGAGAGTTTCACTCCATGCGTGAATTATATAATGCGAATCCGAACTTTATCCCAAAGCCTCACGCATGGGGGAAATTCAACATCTCCAACCCCGACACTTATTACTTCTTATGCGACTTTATCGAGATGAGCAACATGACGCCCGATCCTGTCCAGTTTGCCACCAATGTAGTGCAGTTACACCAAGCAAGCAAGTCCCCCACCGGCATGTTTGGGTTCCACATCAATACCTGTCAAGGCAATCTCCCCCAGCAGACGGCGTGGAATCCAAGCTGGGTAGACTATTATGTTCAGCTCGTCAAGGGAGCTATGGCACTCAACAAAGAAAGAAATGGTGACTGGAAGGACTTGGAGGAACTAATTGACAGACTTATTACAAAAGTAGTTCCCCAAGTCCTTGGACCATTGGAGTCTGATGGCCGAGTCGTGAAGCCCACACTAATTCATGGCAACCTATGGGATGGAAATATTGGAATTAGCCTTGAAACAGGGGGGATTTACGCTTATGATGCCTGTGCTCACTATGCACACAACGAGATGGAAGTTGCTATATGGCGTACTAGGTCCTGCAAAATCTTGAGCAAACAAGTGTACCTCAGCTCCTATGTCAGCCAGATGGGGATCAGTGAGCCCATCGAGCAATTCGAGGACCGCAATCGTATGTACACCTGCTATATGGCTTTACATGCGTCGGCTTGTCACAACGGCTCTTACTTCCGAGAAGAGTAAGTACTCTTGCATACCTGGCCGATAAGATACTTTACTAAATTCAACGACTGTAGTTGCTATGATCATCTCACTTATCTTGTCAACAAATATGCGCCGCTCAGTTAACTGACTTTGTATCATTGAACTTCCAACTACGTGCTAGGTAGCCTCTATTCGTGTCTAGTTGCGCTAAGAGGAATTTCATATTTACAATGAATTCTTTTCTTGCTATTCTCCACCAATCTGACCTAGTGTCTTCCAGCGGCTCTCAAATTAAATTTCGAATTCATAAGCAAACTATTGCGATCAATCGAAATTATTAACTCTCGTCTGCAGTAAATAATGTTTTAGTCAATGATTTGACAGGACTCCCCAGTCGTAATTAAGAGGCGTCGAATACCCCTGCGAAAAATAGTCATTTACATAACGACACCCATAGCAATCCCTGCTTTGAGCATGGATTACCCCTCATTATACCTAATGTACTTCATAAATCCGGGTGCGGCTCTGGACACCTCCTGCTCCCCCCTCTCCCCGGCGTGCTTTTTGTGGGGGTAAACTCCCCCTACCTCATCCAGCACGCTTTCTTTCATCTTGCCAACAATACTCATCCTCACTGATGGCGGAACTTAAGGCAACTCATGAGAACACTGTACCAGAGCAGAACATGGCGTCAAATAAAAAACAAGAGGAAGGAAACACGCTTCAGCAGAAGGCAGAGGTTTTGCTCTCACAAAGGGATGCCGTTGCCCAGCACCAACTGCAAGCATATTCTGTCTTCAGCAAAAAAGAAAAATATATCGCGGTATTTTTTATTACCATCACCGCGATGTTTTCTCCATTATCATCGTTCATTTTTTTTCCCGCCATAAATGCCCTGTCGGATTCTCTGAAAGTGTCTGTGGAAAAGATAAATCTCACCATCACCTCCTACATGATAGTTGCTGGCCTCGCGCCGGCAATTGTGGGCGATATGGCGGACATAACTGGGCGACGAAATGTTTACTTGCTCACTTTATTCATTTATGTTATTGCAAATATAGGCTTAGCGGTGCAAAACAGTTGGATAGCGCTGTTCTTGCTGAGGATGATGCAAAGTGCTGGTGGCGCTGGTAGGTATTCTTATTGTTTTTCCTCTATTTCCTTTTCTCTTCATTTCACCTTCCTCAATCTCAAAACAAAGAAAAAAAAGGGAAAAAAAGACAAAAAAGGGATTTCATTCAATAAACCCTTTGGCCCCTTCAAAATGATCCATTTCAAATTCTTGGACATGAACCGCTAATCAAGCACCAGCGACCATTGCAATGGGATACGGGGTAATTTCTGATATTGCTGCACCATCCGAGCGCGGCGGCTATGTTGGCGTGGTACTTTTAGGGTAAGTCGACTCTTACACCCTTCTCATCCTATCAACCTGAGAATGATACATGTACTCATGCATTTTCCAGGCCAAACCTTGTATGTGCCATTGGCCCTATTATTGGAGGAGCCTTGGTTGAAGCTCCTGGGTGGCGCTGGATATTCTGGATTCCTGCTATAGCCGCGGGCATCTGCCTCTTGTGCATTGCTCTTTTCCTACCCGAAACAGCTCGCAGTATTGTCGGCAATGGGTCGCGAAAGGTCTCTACGCTGTACCGCCCTATTGTTAGTTACGGTCTATCGAGAGCACCCACCGATGTAACTGCAGGGAATGAGGAAGACGTAGCGCCACGAAAATTCCGGATCCCGAATCCTCTTGCGAGCCTAAAGGTACTTGCATCCAGGAGTAGTATCCTTATTACTGGAATCAATGGTATCTATTACATGGACTTCAGTTGTCTTCAAGGATCCATGTCAACTCTTTTTATTGACATATATAAACTGTCTGAGCTGAAGGTGGGACTAGTGTATGTACCGTTCGGAATAGGGTCATGCGTTGGTGCATACTGCTCAGGTACCATACTTCACCTTTCTTTCCGCCAGAAGAAACCCGAGCTAACGAGCTCGTACCTGGCCAGGGAAAGTAATGAACCGTGACTACCGTCTCACGGCCCGCGCCCACAACCTGGTTATAGACATAAGGCGCGGCGACGACCTTAGTCTTTTCCCTATCGAAAAAGCCCGATTTAGAAGTATATGGTATTCGATGTGCGCCACGGGAATTTGCACCACTGGTTATGGATGGGCATTGCAGACCCGCTCTGTAAGTCAACTTTCAAGTTTTTAAAGATCTATCATAACGCATTCTAATGAAGTTGAACCCTTGGTCACTTAGCATATGGCAATTCCCCTCGTTCTGCAATTCATAATAGGGTTTGCAACAGCAATGACTTTCAATGTAAGTATATGTCATGAATTATTTGATTCGCATTTTGAATAAGACTAAACTGTGGATTTTCGCATTAGTGTTGCAATACTCTTCTCACAGACCTCAACCCCAAGTCCCCAGCTACGGCGCAGGCCGCGAACAATATTGTCCGTTGTTCACTTGCCGGTGCAGGACTTGCCTTCTTGCAAGTTTCTTTGGATGCAATGGGAGCAGGTTGGACATTCACCTTATTGGGTGGACTATGCATGGGCTCCCTGAGCCTGGCATGGTTGGAGTGGAGGTATGGGATGACTTGGAGGCTCAAGTAGGTCTAGAGGCTGGAATTAGTTTGATTCCAAGTTCCCACTTTATATCCATCTCCAATGAGCACGGAAAAGAGCTTTGGAGGGCCTCCTATCCGCTCAGGAGGCAACTTAGCTAGGTACATAGTGTACTTCGTCATCGCTCTATGAGCCCGCATCGTACCTGTAGAGTTGAAGCAATGAGAGAATTGAAAGATTGAGAGAACAGGAGAGTGTCATACACATGAAAGAACTTGCCAAGGTTAATTAGTCTATCATCATGGGATGCTGAGTTTTGGAAAGGGGGTGATCAAGTAGCGAGAAGATACGTGGGAAGGTGAAGAGATGTGGGAAAGTGAAAACGCGGACGTGTAGTTCACCGCCGGAGACTCCCGGATTTTAAGGTCAGAGTCTGCGTGACTTGTCACAGCAGATTGAGAGGCACGACGGTATCCGAAGCTACTTTCCGGGGCTTTCCTACTCAGGGGAAGGTTGAGAAAATTTGGAGTATTTAGAAGACTGGGACTGATTCGAACGTGTTCTAATGTTGGATAGCTACAATCTTTGGTCACCTTCACGCGCATTAGCAATCAGTGTAGTTAGGCAATAACAAGTTATGTATTGACGGTTTAACTTGATACACAATCTGGCAGCTACTGATAACATCAAGAATTGCACCTTACGCCTCTCGCACGTGGCATTTGTATTAGAAAGCCCGTCTTGAATACGAATTTTATAGTTAAAGGCGCATGGTGGGAAAGAACAGCAAAAGGAATTAGCGGGTTCACTTGAGATGTGTGAATAATGCTAGGCTAGCCTCGATCCGCACTAGTATTCAGCTTTGCAACGAGGTTAGAGAATCGACCAACACTCTGCCCTACGATAGAACAAATGAGCTACCTTTTGGTGGTTGCCTACAGAATTCATGAACTCAAAACTGTGTTTCACAAAATGCCAGAAATATCAAGGTTGCAACTATGCGCCATGTCTGCAGCAAATTCCAGGGAGATACTCAGCGATGACTTCCACTGAAGGAAACCAGGCAGCAGAGTTATTCAACTGGCATGACCCACTTCCCTGCATTGGATCCTCATGAGGGGAAATGGAATTATGAAGGATCCTCAAGATACTCAAGAACGTGTACAAAGATTCCTGGTCAGGTTTTAGCCCCTGATTTTCGGACGCATATATCAAAAAAGGACACTTCTATTACACTCAAGAAAAAGACCGAAGCTATCCTGTATGCTAACCATAACAGACCAGACCAGCTGTCATACATGATAGATAATTTTCCTAACGCAGTAGCCTCAGCCTTGAACTTCATAATAATGTAGCTAGATGGTCGTTAACGAAAACGTCAAGCCGAAAAAAATGCCATCTTCATCAACATACTCTACGTTCGAGCATAACCTGCCTCCATCTGGCTCGGCGTGGCCACGTAACTCGGAGCAGCGACCGGATTAGCCACCGGAGCTGGCTTCTGAACCTTATCAGGATGTCCTTGCTCAGGATACGTCCATTGCATAATAGGCGGTGGATGAAAGCCTCTCTGCTGAACCTGCTTTTCTTCCTTCTTCCGATCCCGACGTATTTTGATGAGGATTCCGATAACGACGACGATGACGACGATAACCGCAATGGGAATGAGAATTACTTTGAGGAGAATCTTCAGGAGACCCATGGTAAAGATTCGAGTTATAGGAGAGGAGGGTCTGTGGGACGTTTCCAAATGTGATGTTTCGCGTAAAATGAGTCTTTCTGGTCCCAGGGCACAATAAGACCTTTATATCCCTACGAAGAACTTATCACATCCATTTGAGACACGTCAAGGTGAGAAATGCACCTTGACTTGATGCAAGGCCATCTTTGGCGGTTATGCTCGTGAATTGGTTGGGTGGGCATGGAGCTGACCCATCGAGACTTCGTGTGATGCCAGTGTCACCCGCGGGCCCATATTTAGATCACCAATCAGGAGACTCAGGGGATGGGGCATGGGTTGACTTCGCTGTAAAAAGATGTTGGTCAAGTTCCATGCTAAGCTTCAGCCCTATAGGGCTGTTGTGACTGTGATTGCTGCTGCAGGGTGGGGTATGTGGATGCGGGATTAATGCTTGATCCACTTTTTGGGGACTTGAGGGCAGATGACCATTGTTTGTTGTGTAATTGGTCGGCTTTGTGCCTCTAGGTCACACATTGAGCTTCCGCCTTCATCCCATCTCAGTAGCCAGCCATGCCTCTGCTTCTAGAGTTGTTTCAATCCCTCATTCTCTACTCTCACTTGCACGTCACCCGTTACAATCAACGATTTAGATTGATGTATCAGTAATAAACACAAAATAAAGATCTGCATCCATGGATACTCTTGGGTTGAGCGCAGCGCTCACAGTGGTGGTGAGATTATAAGTGCATGGATCTGTCTACAAGAGTCCTTGATCTCCTTCCTCTATTCCAGGAGACGGTAAATCTCCTTCAGTCCAATTCGGAAAGTACCCGTCACTGGAAGGCCATGCATCAGCTGCTGGTCATTGAAGCTCTTGCTATTATGAAGACTTTCTGATATTATTGCTAACGAGTCCGTATCCGATCAGTTGTCGAAGATTTGGCATAAAGAACTATTCTCCTAGTATAAAGTCCGCCAAAAGCAATATTTGTTGGAGAATGCCTAAATATACATATGGAAGAAATGGAAGAACTTGAAGAAAGGAAGATACATGACTAATTTACAATAACCTCAGTTGTTTTAACAATTCCATCTTCAACACCTTTACTCTGCTGATGAAGATCTCTAGGCAAGGGCCATGGCTCATCGTACGTAATCGTGGCACTATACTCACCATTTGGATGATGCTCATGACCACGATCACCAGAATCACGACTGCCCAATTCTTGGAGCGCATATTGATCGCCTCGATGCAGGGACCAGATGCGGTTCCCGCCACCTCCGCCCACTGTATGCGTGCTTCCTCCGGTGTTGGTCGGGACACGGCGAGATCGGGAGCGAGTGCCATATATATTCCGGCTTGGGGGATAGGAGTTTGAGTAATCGGAAAGCTTGAGCACGGTGCTCACGATAGGTTTGAGGGAGGGAATGCAGGCGGCTAGGATTCCGACGTTGAATTGGGCACTGGATTTGGAGTCAGCAAGGATCACGCATGCAGGCTAGAGAAAATGGAAGCATACGTCGCCCAAAACAATATCCAATCATCCCTGAACCAGATTATTAGCGCAATCGAAATCTGCGGATGGAGGGGCGGACATACAGGTACTCGTCTGTTGTTGAGGGAAACGCAATCTGATAAACGGCGTTCATGACACCAAAGATCACGGCGCTATTTTCAAAATCGGGGTTAGCCAACCCATTTTTCATCAATCAAAAAGGGGAGGGAGACGAACACATAGCCTAAACTGAGGATGCCGATGAGATAGAAGCGGACTTTACGTCGCATTTTCAAAGTCCAAATAATAGGAATTGGGATCGTCGCAAAAAGAACATCAGTGAAAATGTTGAAAGCTGTTTGATGAGATAAGTAAATTAGCTTTTTACCGCTCCTTAAATTCCGGAAATCTTTATCATTATCTTACAAGTGTTGACGAGGGCGAAAGTCACGAAAAGGCTCACTGGGTAGCAATGAGAGCCCGGGGCTTGAGTCCAGTAAGCCGACATAGGCGAACAGTAGAGAAAAAATGCCATGGCGCCAAGGAAGCAGTAGGCAATCACGATCACTAAAAATTGTCTCCTTTTAGCCACTGCAACCCTTAAATCACCGTGTTCAAAAAGCCGTTTTTCGACACCTACCGATGCTTCCCCATAAACAGTATACATACCACCTTGCTGGGCTCAATCTCAGCAGGTTCAAGGCAATGGAAATCTTGAGCATAGCCATACCCAGCGAAGAACAAACTATGGATTGCCAGAATGTTCCCTGTGTAATTTTCTGTTCATCACCATTTCCTGCATCGAACCACGCGTCGCTATGTCCCAACCCGTGAGCGGCCTCGAAAATATAAAGGATCCAGCCACCCAAAGCACACAACTGATCATGTCAGTGTCAGCTCAATTTTAATGTGTGGATCTCACCATCTTTTGGCTCAAAATTGGAGAGACGGTATTCTTCGGACTCAAGAAGGCAAGGAGGAACGAACCGCTGCAATGAGAATGGACCAGTCATCGTACCCAGGATTCTTGATCAATCTAAGGCGAACATATAGACGTAAAGCAACCGCGGTAACAGCTAGAAATGTGAAGACTGTCTGCACGACTAGGATCTGAGGAAGGTGATTTTCGCCGACGGATGCTGACCCTCTACCCACTATCAATATCGTACTGGGGGCCATGGTCGTCTTTCCAGGCGGACAGGGTAGTTAGTGACGCCAGTGGTCAAGACATTGAAGTGCAATATTTAGTTTTCCGATGAGTGTTCGATGGGGAAATCTGTAATCAGAAAAATTCTTAATTACAATTTGCAGAGTTTGCCGACGATTGGTTACATGCAATCGACGCACAGAAGGGCACCTTTAATTGAACACCCTGAAGCGTTAGTTGTACACCTCACTAACCAGATATGGTATCATGCAGTAATTTTAATTCAGATAAAATGCCACTTTACCTCATTTCCTTGACCATATGAACCCCCTTAACTTAAGTACACGGCATGAATAACGCGCCATTTGAGCCGGGATATAGGTCAGGAAGATGCCGACTCTGGGTCACACTTCTAAACCACCTTCACATTCGGTACAGAAATTAACTGTAATCAAAGAGGTACATGAGTAGGTCCTCGGTAATATTGCTACTCTGAATTCCAAATACTGCGCCTTGCCTAATACTTTTAATGCGGTATTCAAGTAATACTGCATGGTGTTCAATTATAATTGCCCACATAGAAACCCGATGCTTGCGCGTCGAAGGATTCTTTCCCTTCCATGGCTCTTGGTGGAAGGATTCGCCCCACGCCAAGTGAGTCCAACCCCTGTTTTCCCTGCAGTAGTCTTCAGTCACTTTTTGCCATTAAATAACTCAGAGCAAATACAATTGAATTAACTTTTCAAGAAACGACTTCTCTGACTTTGTAAACAGACCAGAAGGCTGCCTGAACATGACGCGTCACTGCATTACCTCGGACAAAAACAATTTCCCCATAGTGACGTGTGGAGGAATACGTGCCCAGCCCCTCAAATCTTAGTGTGGCGATACAGTGAATCTGGGAGTGAGTTGCAAGGCTAGACCCACAGGGTATCAGCGATTTCCCAGTCTTACTAGTGTATGCTTCATTCAGCCATCCGCCCCAGGGGGTGGCCCCCACGGGATTATATTGGGGGCTGCGGGTACCTGCGGGTCCTTGGGCGCCACAAAGCCATAGAGATCGAAGTTTTTGATCGTGATGCATAAAGCTACTGTAGTAACATGATCTAGCCCGGCTTGGTTCCACCTCTGGTCGCAAGTATATTGGCTAATTCGCCGCTGTGAACAAGCCGAGGCGATGCTCTGCGAACATGAGTTCCGACGTCCGAGAATTGTATTTTGATGGCCCCTTTAATATGAATAATTTTTGAGTTCTATGTGAAAATATGAACTCTAAGTGTGTTCTTAGCAGGATCTTCTTGAAGGGGGAAATTCTGGAGGGCACCTGCCTTTGGAGATACTAAAGTAAACGTGCTGTTAAATCTAAATAAACAACTCGCAGACTCCAAACAATAAAGATTAAATAACACCCAGAGTCATGTTTGTGTTTTCATGAAGTTCCAGCAGGTTAATGAAAACTGTGTGGCATGATTGGTGGGGAGAGTGCAGTGCACATAGTGGGCGTGGGCGTTTTAAGGTGCGTGCGCCATGTCTGTGGAGTGCGGATCAATTTGACTCATAATGCCACCAATCAGGCTTAATACCACCAACATAAATGTATTTCATTTAGCCGGCCAATTAAATCCCTGTCGACTGAAACTCTACTGTGCATGCTTTGCTGGCATTGCCTCCACAGTGGCTTTAGAATGAATGCTATTGCAGCGATTTGCCGACTTTCCCGTCCTGAACTAATTACTAGCTGCTTATACCTAGCTATGCCCCATTTTGTTTTTATTAATAATTCCACCCGAGGCTGACCGATGAATAGGAGAAGCCTCGGATACTTTAACTCTCGAAGCTCGGGCCTTTTTGCTTTTTTGTCAGCTCGCGCAACAGCTCTTTTGCTTCCTCCCTGACCTATCGGATTCTGATTCATTCTTCCAAATGCTGTCTTTGGCATCAATTGCGCTCGCACTAGGGGCTGCCTTGCCATTGGTTGCCGCTAGGAGCCCTGAAATCGTCCAAAAAGATGTTGTGGTCATTGGCGGAGGTGCTTCTGGTGCCTACGCTGCCGTCCGTTTGCGCGATGACTTCAAGAAGAGCATTGCGCTGATCGAGAAAGAAGCCATTCTGGTAAGACCAAAAAAATTGAGATCCTTCAGTTACCCCCTTTAAAGAGAATTTGAAGCAGGAATTTATGGAAGCAAGCGCTGACGTGAGCTCTATTTGCAGGGTGGTATGGTCGATACCTATGTCGACGAGAAGACTGGCGCCATCTACGACTACGGTGTTAACAGTTTCCTCAACATAAGCAAATCCATGGATTTCTTTTCCCGGTTCAACATCTCAATCACCACCAACTCAAGTACCTCCACCGCAACCACCGAATACTTTGACTTCAACACTGGCAAAAAAGTTGACTTCAATGCGCCTTCGGTAACGATCCAGATTGCCGCAATTGCAAAGTTTCTCAAGGTGATCGAGCCGTGGGAGTCGATGCTGCGCCCTGGCTACTGGAACTTCCCCGAGCCCAAAAATATCCCCGCGGACCTCCTGATTCCCTTTGGCGAGTTCCTGATCAAGCATGGCGTTGAGAAGGCTGCGCCTCTCATGTATACAAGCACCGGTCTCGGCGTGGGTAACATGAGCGAAGCTACAACCATGTTCGCGCTACAAGCCTTCGGTTGGGATATGGCACGCGCCATGGTTGGCGAAATGGCATTGTATAAGCCAGCATCTGGCGGCAACCAAGCTCTGTATAATGCCATCGAAAAGGACCTCGGCGATGATGTGTTTTATTCCAGCACCGTGGTCGAGAGCACCCGCTCTGACAACGGCGTTTTCCTCACTGTTCGCAACCACAAGACGGGCAAACTGACCCGTATCGCCGCGCGTCGCCTCCTCGTTGCCATCGAGCCCAGCGAAAGCAACATGAGGCCTTTGGACCTTAGCCCCACTGAGTGGAACACCCTATCAAAATTCGACTACTCCAACGAATTCTGCGGCTTGGTCGACAATGCCGCTTTCAACACAAGCTACCTATACTCCAACCTACCCTCCACCGCTGCGCCCAATCACTACCTCGTTTTCCAGGACGAACCTATGGTCCAAAGCTACGAGTACAGTGGCCTTGACCACCTGTTCCGTGTGATGATTATCGGCAACAAGAGTACGACTGCTGCTGATGCTAAGGTGTTGGCTCAAGATAGCTTTAACACACTGCTGAAATCTGGACGTCTGTCTGGCTCGACTAAAAGTCAGGAGCTGAGCTGGGCTGCCTTTGCTACCCACGGGCCTATGCACGCCCGTGTCTCTGTCGAAGAAGTCAAGGCTGGCTTCTACCAGGATTTGTACAAATTGCAAGGTGCTCGGTCGACTTGGTGGACTGGTGGTGCTTTCTCGGTGAACTTCCAGACTACGCTCTGGGAGTTTGATGAGGGTCTTTTCCCCAAGATCCTTGAGGGGCTCTAAAGAAGAACATTTTGAAATCAAAACCAGTTATATTGGAAATAGAAATGCCTTACCGGAGTTTAGTGTTACACGTTACGTGTATAACAAGTAGCAGTCTAATGTATTCTCACCTTCCCCTTCAAGATTTCTGTCTCGGACCCCTTGCTTTTTGGATGAAGTGTTTTAGGGGTTGAAGAGCCCCTGAAGTTCCAGTAGACCTCTCTGATTGCCCTTAATAAACTCTAGAATATGGCTTTGACATCGTCAGGTTTGAAAAAGATCCGCAGGTGTGGGTGCGGGAAAATGAGGCTGAAATTACAGCTACCTGCCCAGGTGCCTATTCAAAGACATTTGACGGAGTGACAGCACCCAGAGCTCCCAATTCTTTCATAAAATGGACGGCTTGATAGACAGTAAATGTGCTCCCAGCATAAAGCAGATAGAAAGGGCATAAATCTTAACTGCATATTAATTTGGTGTCTGGTTACTTTTCACGAAGATCTCAGATCTCAACATGATTCGAACTAGAGCATTTCAAACTCTTGAATTTGCAGAAAAATCATCTGTACCATATACTGATTCATGTATTCTACTATTAAACCGTCTCCTTTTGCCTTTTAACAAGGAAGCCTTCCAAGAAATCGAGTGCTGACTTAATATTGCTGACTGCACTGCTTTCTAGAACAGACTTTCCGGCAGTCATGATCATTCTTTCGGGAGCAGGAACGCTGAGATATGGATGTATTCGGGCTCGATGAGCTGCTCTGAAATTCTTCACAAAAATCAGGAATCAAAACTCGCAAAATGTTGACATAAACTTACCCGTATATGGTTCTTGATGCTCTCCATCTCAGTGTCAATTTCAAAGAGTCCCGCCAATCGTGCCCTCTGTCTAAAACTGTGCTTTCTCAAGGCCATACTCAACTTTCTTTGCGAAGAATGAATGTATCTCTGCAATGATTCCTCACTTAGATAAGGATCGATTCCCAAGAAAGCGTCAATGAAATGAAACATTGGTTGTTGATTGCCAGAAAGGCCATCATACTCGATATAGGTGCCATCTATAATCTCTCCAGCACCCCAAGCCTGAAATCCTTGCACGTAAGACAACCATAAACTATGAGGTATCTTAGAATCGACTAGGGTGTTTCGATATGTATCCAAAGCGCGTGGTAGATGTTTTCTGATCGTCCTGAGACAGTCAACGCATGCCTCTTTCTGACCTTGTTCGTAAAATAATATGGACTTGATGAGGTTGTAATATATTGGTAGTGCCTGGTCAGAGATTAGCACCACAACAATGGATCAGATATTCCAACACATACCAATTTTTCCATAGCGACGAAAATATGTGCGAAGTTGTACTCAGCTGATCTGATAGTTTCGGGCATGCCACTATTGATCTGGTAGACAATCTTTCCCTCTGTGTCGAAGTTACAAAGATAGTTCGACACAATGTTGCCTCCTTGTGACTTTATCCTATAGCGTTGTTGGATAAAACGCCAGGGCAGCTCAAGCTCAGGAGGAAAATCAATCAGCTTTTCCTCTTGTGCGACTTTGACGACAGGTATGGTGGCCCATCTGAAAATAAAAGTCAGAAAAAGTACTGAAACTATTGTCGCGCGAATTTGAACGAACCTATAAGCATGACGCGAGACTGCAATGCACGCATAAAAGCCATTATATGCCTTTTCCGAGAATAAAGAGCGATCCGTTGCTTTAGTTATCGAGAGAATCTCCTCTACGGCCGATAAATCAACGTTATCCCGCAAAAGGTTTCGCATCTGTGCCCGATACTCAAAACGTCGTCTAGAGAGGATTTCTTTCTCAAGTGGTACATGTGCCGTGGGCAGTGATTTGGCAAGTTTGAGATAGACGTCATGGTATGGACGAAGCGCTATGGGCCACGCTTTGCCATGAGAGGCTTGCGGAGGCCAACTGCCTGCACCGTCAAACTCAATCAAGTCCTGCAACAGATCAGCCGTCTCGTGATGCTTCCTCATTTCTTCAAATTCAGAGAGCATATTATCTTTAGTAAAGTTTCTTTTTTCCCGCTCTGGGAAGATGAAAGCCCTGGAAAAGAAAACAGCAGAGCAGATACTAATCACAAACAAGGTCAACCCAATGGGCCCTATGTGAGTGAGAACCGATGAGAGACTAGCCCGAATCATGGAAATCATGGTTGTGTTGATTCAAAATACTAGGTTGTAGTTCGGATTGTCTCAATAGGAACAATCTCATTAACGACACACTCCACTTAAATAAAAATATGAACAATGATCACTATAGGAAAACATCAAACTATTTGGAATACTTGGCTAATTCGGTGAACTAGGATGTCAGATTCGTCTAAATTAAGAATCGTGCTGACACTCTATCACCCGGCTATGCAGCGCATCAAATGCATCCTGGAAAGCTTAACTTTTCCCATAGCTACGAATGTATACTACATACACATGAAATCCGTGGCCATCATTGCTACTTGTGGAAATGTTAGGCCGCTAGTTTTACCCAGCTAATAACTCCGGTCGTGTAATGACCAACTGAAAACAAGCCATAAGATGTTAATTAAACTTATCTAAAACTTTGTTATGATCCCAGCAATGGCGAAGTACTTGAAGGATCGGATGTGGGAGACGGACCTTCAAGAGCCAACCAGTCACAGCAGACCTTCCCACTCATGACTTAACCCAAGACCCAATCGGGAACTTAAGAAGCGCCACGAGCTGCACAGCTGGGGGAAAAGCAATGGAATCTTATTCTAGAAAAAAGAGAAAGGAAAAAAAAAAAAAAAAAAAAAAAAAACAAGACGGTGCTTGAAGTCGTGCTGACAGCAACACTTGACACCTCGATCCATATCATGCCAATTTTGAACTTTGTGACTTAAAATAACTCGCGGGTTATTGCTTGGCCAATGGGGACATAGGAGCTAAGCGCTATGACAACCCACTTAACACGGCCCCCAGATGCTTAAACCTCACTTATTCGTTATTCGTATTTGATAAAACGTATCCTGTGTGCTGATATCAGCTGCGTCCACGGGCCGCAGCCAGTGCGTAGTGTGATTGGCGGCATTGTTCGGTAGCCCAAATATGAGATTCAATTCATCTCGTCTACTTGAAATTATAGCTAAAACTCACTAGCGTGCATCTCTGGCGAGATTTGATGATCGCTATGAGAACACATCTTCCATGCTCTTCCTCTAGGTATTAGTAGCGTAAAGGTGGTAGATGCGACCTAGGAAGCACCATATAAGCATTTGTTGCAGGGCTTGGCGGAGGAGGAATATCAATATAACAGAACTCATGCTTAGTGCCTGGCATATCAGGCAGACATGCCTCCATCACACGTCAAAAAGTTAAGAGGCATATGCACTTGAGTCACTCACGGATGTTTCCCCTACCGATCTTTTGTTTCACCGCCTGCTAACGATCAAATTTGCCCCGCGTGCTCAGAAGAGCATTTTGGGCCTTTCCCCCGTTCCCCGCGACACGCGTAATATCCAGACCCGCTTTGTGTATCGAGTGTGATACTCAAGTTGAGGACAGCGGGGCTGGACTGACATAAATGGGTTCTCCCAGTCGACAGAATGAGGGCCTAGAAATCCTTTTAATTAATTTCTCCAAAGGACATCATTTTCGAGATGGCCCTGAACCGTGAAACCACTCAAAAGTATTCGGGTTCCTCGTCGGGGTGGAAAGATTGTTTTGGAGGAAGCAGTCCGAAGCCCTCTCTTCGCTGCACACCAAGCCCATCCACCCCGCCCGGTAATCGAAGGTCTGCAGGGTCTGCTATTCAGTCCCGAATTCCTCGCCGATGTTGAGCTTAGACTGGACGATGTTAATCTACGACTGGAATCAATGGATCAATGCGGCATCTAATATGCCATTCTAAGTCTAACATCCCCTGGAATAGAGGGCGTCAGTGATACAGCAACCGCCATTCGATTCGCAAGGGAGACAAACAATACCATCCATCAGAAATACGTCGCGACATATCCTTCCCGCTTCGGTTTCTTTGCATATGTCGCAATGCATGACCCAGAGGACGCTGCCAGGGAGCTTGAAAGAGCCGTGACGCAGCTGGGTGCCAAGGGAGTCTTGATTAATGGTTTTACAAACCTTGACGATCGTGATGAGAAGCTGCGATACCTCGATGCGCCGGAATGTGAGCCATTCTGGGCAATGCTGCACCGTCTTCAAGTTCCTCTATACATGCATCCGAGACTCCCTCCACCCCACCAGCAGGTGCTATATGGCCAATATCCAAATTTGGTGTCGGCGTCATATGGCTTGGGGTGGAGTGTGCCGGCGATGCTCTGAGAATTATGTGTTCAGGTATCTTAGACAAGTATCCCGTGAACATCATCTTAGGTCACTGCGCTGAGGCTCTACCATTTATCATCCATCGCGCAGATCAGCGGATGCTTATTGGAACACCTGGGAGCAACGGAAAGCACACAAAGTCTCTCATGCATTATTTCCGAACCCATTTTTATGCTACATTGGCTGGTGTTCGTCGGCACAGTACATTGAAAAGCACGATTGAGGAACTCGGAGAACCTCGTGTGATGTTCAGTGTTGATTATTCTTATGAAAGTAATGAGGATGCGGCAGACTGGTTTGATTCGCTTGAAATCAACGAAAATTCCAGGGCTGCTATCTCGCACCAAAACGCCATGCGGCTATTTGGACTGAACGGGGAGCGAAACCCGGCAAGTCTTGGAAACTTGGGTCATCTGTAGCATTAATAGTCACAAATGAGACTTTCAACCCTGTGATCTTACTTCCGAGCTCTTTTTGCTGCTTCCTCGGCTAGTATATAGTGAAGGAAGGTACAATATAAGAGGACAGAGCAATACAAGTTGAAGCCCCTTATGTCAGCCAAACTGAAATCAGAGCGTCTCACTAGAACCAGGGCAACGGAGTTCAATAATAAATGTGATATAGATCAAGTGAACCTTTCAATTTTCCGACCCCTATGTCGGTGCAGCCTCTCGAATGGTCTGAAAATGGGTTTCCCGCTTTTCCATATGAGAAGGTATTTGCTTCCTTCTCAGTCCGGCGCGCATGATCCGGAAGCATGTCGCTTCTCACTCAGCCGATAATACCACTTCGATCGAAGTTAGACCAGAGACACTTCTCACGAAAAAATGTCGACGCATCTCAATTGGTCGGAATGATGTTGGGAAGATGCGACGGCACCATGGGGCGAAAGGTGCCCTGACTGCGAGCCGGATGGATCTTGCCAATTTAAGCTTAGCGCTCGTGGTATGGGAAAGGCAATTGCTTCAAATTTGCCGATCTACTTTATCTTGGCATATCTAGGGGTCGGTGTCAAGAGTTTGGTCGCAATGGGTCTAATCCTAGAGAAAATCTTGGCTGGAAAGGTTCAATGTACCCGGTCAATAGCATGAACCATGTGTCGGCCGCCATATGAATCAAGATCGGTTGTGATCCTTACAATGGCTAGTACTGTGTTGCCTGTACTGTAGTGGGTCAAATGTGGGGACTTACTAGCATATCTGCCACTGAGGGCCCGAGAAGATCTTGGGTAGATGGTAAAATATCGATCCCGCGATCGGTTGGCGTAACCATGATCTGCTGGTCCACAGGGCGGGGCACAGTGGGCATCGTTCGGGAAGACGGGCACACCAGAGATGATATGCATGACAAAAACTATCTTGGTCTTTTTTTGAGTGCGACTGGAGAAATGTTGCCGCGCAACATAAACGGTTCACAATTTGAGAGCGTCTACACCTATCGCAAGATGGGCCAGCTTGCGGATCTCAACACTATAGACGCATAGCAAGAATCCTTCGGAATTTTTCCGGCGCCACTATATCGTATTAGGGTTAACCAAGGGCGATCTAACGAGCCAAGATCCCCAAGATGATTATGATCGCCATCGACATAGGGGTTTCGTGATGTAAAATTCACAATGGCATAAGTCTATTATTCACAGTGTCTCAAATTTGTTCCAGTCTATGACTTCGACCATTGCAAGGTTTCCAAGGATGTGTTCGACCTCGCTATGGTGGGTACTAATCATGGGCCGTGCGAATTTCAGGGGATGGCACCTATCATTCTTTTTGCACTAAACTCGTTTAGTTCAATGGTCAAGACAAATACTTGAGAACCAACCATGTGTTGGAAAATTTAAGGTTCTGCAACGTTCCTGATTTCGTGCCAAAATGTTTAATTCCTGGGGTTCAAAATTGAGATCTCGTATTTCTCTATTGCGACCAATGGCTCAATCGCGGTGGGTCCTGATGTAAACTTTGAAAGGCATAGGTGGAGTATCAGTGGGTTAGACACGGCAGGCAAGAGAGACTTCTTACTGATCCTAAGAAAATCAAGCTGTGGGGAAGGATTCTCAACCCCTTTCTTGTGCTACGGAGCATATATAGGCGCGTCTCGCATTGGAACTGCCGTGTTTCTCTTCCGGGGCCAGTGATGACACAGTCGCAGTGGTCATTGATATCACCAATCACGAGTTCAGATGCGCCATCATGGTTGATACGAGCTCCAGTCAATTCATTGTTGAGGGCTTCTCCTTACTCGGAGTTTCCATTTTCTTGATCGCGCTGCGAATTGTGGCACGATGGGCTATGGTGGGATGGAAGAACTTCCAAGCAGATGATTATTTGATGGTTTTGGCTGGTGTGAGTACTCATTTAATAATCAAACATTTTCAAAATACTGACAGAATTCTACATATAGGTAGTATATGCTATGGAAACAGCTGCCGCGTATGCTGTAGTTGATTGGTATCATGGCCTTGCCAATAGTTCCATGACTGATGAACAACGTGCAAGCCTGTCTCCCGATTCGGATGAATACCGCTGGCGTGTCGGTGGCTCGAAAGTCCAGGTGATTGGCTGGTCATTATATGTCACGACTTTATGGTTGCTCAAAGCATGCATGGCGATTTTCTATTCACGCCTCACGTACGTATCGACATACAGCATCTCCCCCTCCTTTTTTTACACCTACCTGACATCAATACTCTAGCGACGGCTTACCCTTTATGCGAATTCGAATCCTTATCTCATATGCATCTATTGCAGTGACTTACGTTGTTGTGCTTGTTGTGATTCTTGCGGGGTGTCATCCAATGCACAGGAATTGGCAAATATACCCAAACCCAGGAAGTGAGACTGCATGGAACTGCTTTATTCATGTTAAGGAATTTCAGGTTTCGTTTGCTAACATAGAAGTACTCTTAGATGGCTGCCAACCAGCAGTCGCCAAGCTGCATATCTATTTTACCGTTATCCTGAACGCGATCACTGATATTGAACTCATGAGCATTCCTATCCCTGTGAGTCATTGTTTAGATTTTTTAATTCGCTTGTAATCTAACAAATATCTTTAGATGTTGATGAAGGCCAAAATGCGATGGCGAGAAAAGGCACGACTTTTGGTTCTGTTCAGCGGAGGCTTATTTGTTATGACGGCTGGAATATTAAGATGCGCTTTGATCTTAACAGTAAGCACACTTCACAAAATTACTTCATGCCCTCACAGGAGACTAAAATTTAAACCCGTAGGGAGGATCCAGAAGTGCTGCAGAGGGCGCTGCCTGGGCTCGACGCGAGTCCTTTGTAGCGGTCGCTGTAGGAAACTTCCCTATGATCTATCCTCTTGTCCGCCGCCTTGCTCGCAAGGCAGGATTGATTGTTAGCCAAGGCAGTTCCCGGGACTATCCTCGACAAACACAATCACAAAGTGCTTTACAGTCGCAAAGTCGCAAGAAGAACAGTTATCCACTTGTGTCTCGCAAGAACAATGAGTGGAACGAGCTGGATGACGAACTTATCAGCCTCGACACCGGCCGAAAGGAACCTACGACACACATTACGGCAAATAGTGACTGGGACAGAGACGATGTGAAAGGCCAGGGCCCTGGAATTTAGGTGGTCTCTGAGACGATGATTGAGAGGTCCGGCTAGGAAGTTCTTGTGGACGGTGAGATGTGCTCTAAGCCGTCACTCCCTGCGTTATGTCTCCTTACCCAAAAATATTACTATTAATTCAATTTTGGAACAATATCCCGGAAGAATCTCTTTTTCTACAGCCTCTGGCCATAAAACGTAGGATGGCGGATTATTAAGTCTATCTCTTTTGACCCGATAATAAACCAAATAATGCATATCGAAACTTGAATATTTTTGGCCGCATCAGCATCAAAGTAAGACACTGCATATGAACTGGGTAGCATTTCATCATGATCGGGCCAGAACATTCTCCGACGGGATTTCCCCGCCACCTCGTGTCAGCAATGATTCACTATAAAGACAAGGTAAGAAGTAAGAGTTTCTTTCTAAAATCCAGGAGCAATCAATGTACCAATAAATTCCTCTTGATTTCTAATACATCCCGATGTCCCACTTTTTCCCCACAGCCGAGTATGCCGAAGATCAACCTTTGGCGCGAACTATTCTCGCCACCCATGTTGCCAGTCGCGGTTTTCAGCTAGGAACTGCGCTAGGCTTGATAAGCTTCACTATTGAATCTGCGTTCAAACGTCGATCTATGACCATGCCTCTTCTCCTTCGCTCGGCAGGCGCCGGAAGCATCATTGGTGCTGGAATATCAACCGCCGGGATGATTGCCAGGATGTGGGGACGAGAGGATATTGAGTGGAGAGATCGCAGTTGGCGGCTACGATACAATACAGGGCAGTTGGCAATTGATAATTGGGGTGAGCCGGGGGCGGTCATAGGAGCTGTTGTGGTGGCCTTACGGAGGCCTTCTGTGGCTATTTTAGGGGGGTGGCGCGGTCTAATTGGCGGGGCAGGTATCGGGTCCTTGATTGGAGTGATCGGGTGTATCACTTTTGAGGAAGCATTCCAGCATAAAAGTAAATGATTTTTAAGGAAAACGCCTGTGATTCCTGTACTTTTGGTCGGCCCAATCGGAAATCGATAAACCTAACTCGTATAGCATTCTCTAGGCCTCACATCGCGATCTAAAGGACAGGCCTGGCTGATATGTCTAACGTCATAATCGCGTAGCAGCCAGATTTCAACTTTCTAGCTTTTATTGGAGAGTCTTTCGTTGAATTGTAGGCTGATATGAAGAGTTCTCTTCAATGTGTTGGGACAACGAGCACCATGATGGTGATCACGAGGTGAAGAACGATTCCTGATAGGAAGCTTTTGATTTGTGACACAACATTAAAGCTTTATTGGTCTCACTCAAGATCAAAACATGTGGATGAATCGGACCGGTAGATGCATTTTGATCCACCTTCTTAAATATGCCGTGTAACCTTCGACCGAAGTGCCGGGACTGGGCGTCGCTTGAAGAAGCTCAATAGGAACAGGCTACATATGCACCTGTCCCACTGTATGCGACACATATATGTCCTTGCATAGCAATGAAATGCAGATCATTCTTTATATTTTCCATGGGTCCACCTCTAATATTTCAATCTCATCTCGACCGGCCCACCTCTTAGATTCCTATCCATTACCGCAAGAAATTGCTTCCATGAAATGATAATGACAACAAATTATTGTACATATTCCATGGTGGTAAATTAATTCGCCACGGGCAGCCATATGGAGGAATTATTATTCGTAGATGCGCCTCGCTTAAGGACTCTTTCGAGCGGCAGACCTCTTGGTAGGTCGAAGGTTGAGTCATTTTCGTGGATACCTTGATCAGAACATGTTGCAGTGGCTGGTATGAAATGATTGGGTATGGACATGCCTTAATATTGGCTTCACTCTTCTACGTGGAGTCACTTTAGAGATCTGCTGCATTTTGCTCCGATTAACTCCTATTGCACTTTATATTTCATTAAAGCAAACTATGTAGTCAACCATTGAGTTACTCATCATAAAGGATGATCGGCTACATTTGAACCGCCAGCTGACGTAGTAGCTAAGGGTTAGGATATTGATTGGGTAGTGTGAAGTCCATCGCATCGTCGAATCTTGCCTCAATGTCTTACACACAAGTCTACATATGGCAGAATAATTGGGCTGTGTAGATCCTTGAGAGATGTATCTGCACTCACTATTTGTGTATCGTTGAATAACATGACAATGGTAGGAGGTGAATCATGAATGCCCCGGAATATGTTTGGTACACTTGCGAACGAGAGCACTTTAGAGCAAGAGACGCATCCATGTGGATCTTTCCATGCATTATCCTCACACTATGTTACCACTACCGGACCTTTGGGACCACCCCTTCCTTAAACTACCGCCCCTTTCAAAGAATGATTGTTTGAGGTAAAATTCCTGCTATGCAAGGTGACTTGCAGAGCCTGTCTTATAGATAGCCATAGTTTTGCCTGTTGTGAAGCCTCTACTTATATCAAAGGTGGACGCCCCAATTGCCAAATCTTTCTTCAACAAACCACCTGGGCAAGTCGAAAGCCTCGATTACATTGAGCATGATTATCAAACCTTGGACTACCTTCTCTCTCTATCTCGCCACCACCTGGGCGAAACAGACTCCTCTCAGCAGTGGATCATGTTCGTCAGATGATCCCGCAACCTGTTGCTCGGCGGCAGGCGTCAGTGGGGGTCAGATTGAGCTCGACGACTTTTCTGTCCAGTACACTTGCGGTAAATATGCGAACCCTTATCAGGGAAAGGGGTACAAAGCAGCAAGTTCCCGCGAATGCGCTTCCCTATGTGCTAGCGATACACCTTGCCATGCAGCTTCGTGGAACATCGCCAATACCAAAGTGAGATGCTACTTCGCGAAGAACGAATCCTGCGGTCTAGGGGAGAGTCCGAATTGGGTATTGCTAGAAAGGCCGACTGAAACCGAGACCGAGTCTTGCCCCCCTGGGTATATCTTTAATGGTGTGGAATGTGTGTTTCAAGACGAATGGGATCCTATCGACACCGATTGTCCTCCAGGAACGATCTTGGTTAATGGAATCTGCGTCTCTGGCCAAGAAGATTGCGATGAAAAAATAGAACAATGCAAGCAGGACAACACAATCCTTCAAGAGCAAGTGAATCAATGCGAATCCGAGAAAGAAGAATACACGACAAAATGAGCAGCTTCAGAGCGACAAAGAAAACTGCAATGCTCAACTCGCAATTTGCGACGACAACGCTACAATCTGTGAAGAAAATAGCGAAGCCTGTGATAACGAGGTCACAGCTTGCAATGAGAAGGTCACAAAAGAACAGTATCACTAATATGTCTGGCATAATGTCTACGGACAATTCAGCTTTATGTGAAATGCTCAGTTCCGCTGCACAGTGGCCTGGCTTTCAAGAGATGGATTTTCATGACTCGGTACCTGTATGAAGTTGGAATGAGTTTGATTTGAATTTTCCTGATTGGGTCTTGTAGTGATAGTCTACATGTAGTAACGGACTTCTGAGAGGGAGCTCGTTACAGATAATAAATTTGATGTTCTAACATCAATGCTAAAGAATAAGAAAAAAAGACCATCAATAAGAATTGGTAATTTTATGGTCATCGACTATGAACAATATGATTGGACCTTGGGATGACTATTTACTATCCATTTCGACCTGAGCTTCCGTCGCCGGTACATCATTCACCAATTCATCATAGGAGAAAGCCTCCTTTATCAGTCGGGCATCAGAAAGACCATTTTGCCACCGATCGAAGGCCTTTTTGGGGATACAGGTTGTTGACCACATGCCGTTCTGACGGAAAGAATTCGTCACGGCGACGACGACATCTACCGACACTCCGGGGAATAACTCGGCAAGCTCATCCTTATACGACTCGGCATCATGTTGCAGAACCCAGTCTACACCCTTGTTAAGAGCAATGCAAAACCGTTTCTGTAAATGGAGGACTTCCGGAGTGACGGTGGCCGTCTCTCGGTAATAGACACTCCAAGGGATGTCACCCTCCTTGACCATCTCCATTGCGATTGAAATTTCAGGGTTGTTGGATGTCATCGCCAGTGCAGAAAGATTGTCTGTAACGAAATAATCTCCCATGCCACCTTCAAACAAAGTGGCCAACATCGCACCATCCAGATCTTGAATGTAGCTGATAGAGTTTGGGTCGATTCCGTTCTCACGTAGCAGCATCTTGAAGAATAGCCCCACGCTGGCACCGCCACCTGATTTCATGAGAACAGTGCTCTTGGCAACATCCGTCAACGTGAATCCTTCATCGTGGCCTCGGCGAAGCAGAGCAAGAGGGCAGCGATTCGCGATCTGCGCAAACACGGTGTAATCTTTGACTCTGTCTCGATACATCGCCGGTACCCAAATTCCTCCGAGGGCCATGTCGGCAATGCCTTTTGCTAGGTCGTCAAGGACTCCGTCCCATGGAACTGGTATCTTCAGGTCGAAATCAAGTCCTTGCTCTTTGAAGTAACCATGGCGGCGGGCGATGTACTCAGGAAGATAGTTGAGATTATGGCCGGTCGCGGTAAGGTGGAATCTTTGCATGATCTGCATGATGCCAATGTTCATAAATTGGAAAATCGTAAACCGTGCAAGGAATCGAGAATGAAATGAATGCGTTCAATATTCGATGCCAATGCAGTAAGCCTGCAATAGAGGAAGGAAATCAAGGCTGTTAAATATTCAACGACACTGTGATTACCATGACAGCGTGATGGGCGCAGTATCCCTTGCCAAATCGACCTACATCTTTCGGGGATGGGATCATGATCGGAATCCTGCGAAAAGCCCAATGCCCGATCTTATCTCTCGGAGAATCCCGATGCTGTCGGATCATTGCTATCACCACGTGATGGAAAGTGATTGTCGGAACACGTAATCAGGGCGGTCAATCAAGGTTCTATGGGTGTTCGATTCAATATGTGTCTATCTGGTTGTTCTCCTATCTCTATGCGCACACCTTATGTGCTGGCTTACTAATCTAGCTAGCTTACATCATCAAAATTATGCCGACACACCCCCTCAGCTTAAGCACCCTGCAATTGATTAAGCTGGACCCATAATCAGCCAATTCCTTCAATTCTACAATCTTCCTAATCAGCCTCCATTACCTAATTAGGCCATGCTGACTTATCATTCCCTCTATCTCATTCCATAATTAAATGCTTAACGTCCACCAGGCCTAATAGTTTGACGAATATCTTATGCTTTTGCCTCGGCAGCACCTTGGTGAGTCTATCTACGACTATTTGTCTAGTTAGAACCCATCGGATCCGAACTCGACCTTCCCTAACCTCTTATCTTAGCTAGTGACCGTGTATATCCATATGTCGAAGCTTAGTGTTAAATAGCGTGTCTTCCGCGTTAATCAGGTTAACCGTACGGGTGTTATCGCATTCGATCGTGAGTTTATCTAGGTATTCGAACCTGATTCTTCTGAATAGTCTATCCTATTACTATAACGCTTTGCTAGCGTCCGAGAGACCTAATAACTCGGCCTCGGTAGTGGATATAGTGACTGTTCTCTACCTCGTCGCCTTCTAGTCGACTAGGCCTCTAAATATCTAATATATATATCTAGTAGAGCTCGTTCGATCCCCGTTATCCGTGTATGAAGCGTCGCTTAATATCCTAACCACGTCCCGGTTGTCTTCGACTAGCCTATACTGGATCCTTTAGTATCTCGTTGTGTAAAGGTAATATATAAGGCGTTCGATCGCGGCGTGATGCTTGGGCCCTAGGTTCTAAAGGAACTAGGCGAGGGTCGAAGCCTTCTTCGCTATATCTAGACGGGTGATTATAGTGCCATACTGGACTGATCCTACCTTCTACTAGTAATCATGTATGCTCTACGGACTCGCTTGCCCCTTAAATGGGTTAAGCTTCTCCACGGCCCCTAGTGTCTATATACGTGCTCGTCTGGTGAGGTTATACCGCTCCGTAACGCTCGTAAAGTAGCTATCTTGAACTAGCTAGAGTTTCCGTTCTATATGGTTCTATAAGATTCTGATCCTGAGGAACCATTTAGTATTACCTTGATCCATAAGCTCCTAATATTTCTCGAGCTCTTGCTTGAGCTAATGTGCTTATTCTCTTGCTATATGATGACTCGCTATAAGGATGTTATTAATATAGAAGAATATAATGATCCCTTCTCTAATGAATATATATGGATCCTCCGCGACCTGCTCTAATCTAAGACCTTTTAAAACCCTTATAGCGTCCTGCTGCTAGAGTCTTAGTGTAATTCTTAGTCTGTATAAGGCCCTAAGTAATAATTAGTATCTCCCTTGGGTCTTAAAGCCTTCTAGTATTAAGGTATATACTTCTATATAGAGCTTGCTGTTTAGAAACGCGGTAACTATATCTCGCTAATAGAGATCTAAGTCGTATGCTGTATATAGGGCGAAAAGCGTCCTCGCTATCTAAGTAGCGAGCGTTGCCGCCCGTTTTTCTTTAGCTAAAATAGATTATAAGTCTCTATGTATATATATCTATACCTTATACTTGATGAGAAACCCGTCCTGATTGAATTTATACGCGTATATCTATAAGAGCGGTAGTACTTACGTCCCTCGATCCTTTAGTATCTTAACTTCTTAGTACGTTTCCTTCGCTTATAACCTATCTAGTTCTACCCTTATGGCCTTAATAAATCCGTTACTTAATAGATACTTCTAGATGTCTTTATAACGTTCTGGCGGTAGTGGAAGATTATCTTAGTGTTATTAGTATAAGGGCTTCGGGGCGTATAGACCTGTTGTAAAGGCTTAGAGGGTTATAGACGTAGTATTATTATCTACTAATATCGTTGTGCGGTAGGCGAAATCCTTATCTCGTCGCTATCTATGTATCCTTAGTCTATTTACGATATTCCTGATATCTAGAGCCGCTCTATCCACGTCCTTAACCTCCTCTTCGTCTTTATCTAGGTCTAACTATGCGAGCTCGCTTATCTCTCGCATTGATATAGGAGTCTCTGGCGTTAGATCCCCTCTATACCCTTCGTTTTCCTTATTTATAACCCTACCTACCCCCTAATCTGCGGTAGAGTCGTTGCTAGGAGATCTTAGTGGCGTTTGAGACGGTTTAATATATCTATTTAGATCTATTTCCTTACTATTTAAATCATTTAAGTCCTATATCCTATCCTACTTAGGACTATCTTTAATGGTAGGTAGTGGTATATCTAGTATATCCTTAGCTAGGTCCTACGCGTCATCTATACCCCTTGCCGTTAGAGATAGTTCTAGAGTATCTCTTCCTGAATCTATACTCTCTACTTACTTATTAAGCCCCTATAGAATAGATTTACCTTTATATCTTACCTCTATGATCTCTAGATGCACGTTCTGCGGGAGCGGTATATGTACGACCTTATCTAGCTGGTTTTCGGCCGAAAAACGTCGAGACTTATTAAAGACGGTATCTCTTACTATATATATCTACCTATGGTATGGCATCTAGATCTTCTAGATATTTGATGCTATATATCTAACTAGATACCTAATCTCTATATGGGATCGTATCTTATCTAGTCGTGGAATAGTCGGATTCTGATAATATATAAGAGATCTATATAGACGTATATTCGCTAATAACGTCTTTGGTAGCTCTGATTTATCGACGAACTATCGAGCCTCTTCCTATAGAACTATCTAGTTCCTACTTTCTAACCTCATTAGTGTACGATTTAGTAGATATACCGCTATCGCGATGGCTTTAGGCTAGAGCTTATCTAGTAACTTGCCTTCTTTAATAAGCGCTCGAGCTCGAAGCGTGAGCACTCCTCTAGAACGTTTACCTAGACCGTTTATCTCTAGGGAATATGGGACCGTGAAGGTATAGATAAACCCTATCTCGTCTAGAACCTTATAGATCTAGTCATCCACGGTCTTCTTATTATCTAAGTGCTATACCTTAATTAGTAATTATAGCCACTTGATCGTAAACGCTATAAAGCTTTTAATAGCATCTTAATACCTATTCTTATTAATGTATATCATGCTCTAATAGAATTATATACCTTCTATATAGAAGTACGTGATCTAGTAGTGCTAATTATATCCTATCGTTATCTAGATTAGATCGAAATAGACTCGACCGTAACGTCTATAGTGTTGTCTAATAGGTCTCCGAGATATCTACTAGGGGGCATTTACTAAGCTATATACCTTATATAGCTGGCTATCTAATCTATCTAGTTACTCTTCCCTATCCTTGATCTTGACTCTATTGACGAGCTCTAGTAGCTACTAGATTGCTCCTTAATAGATATATCTAAGACGTCTATGCTATGTCTCTACTATTATAGTTAACACCTATGGTTATGCGGATCTTTATATAGCATATATATATTGTATGGTCTCTAGATCTATCATATCTAGCTATAAGAAGACGTAGACGTCTTGTTCCTAGTAGATCCTAAGTACCAACTCTCTATTATATATTATATGCCCTTTCCGTATATCCCACCACGCCTCTTTCTGCTCTAGTCGTCTAAGCGACACTAGGTTATAGTAGAAAGAGGGTATATAAAGATAATTAGTTAGCGTTACTATATAGGCCTTCTTTATAACTAGGTTAATACCTTCTATCACTACTGTTCTAGTTCTAACCACTAGCGTCTAGCTCTCTCTAGTTTAGAGCGAAGATATACTCTCACGATACTCCATAAACATAGACTAGTTATTATATATATATACACTCGTACCTAAATCTAGGATCTATTACGTATAGTAGTGCTCTTTAACCGTCGATAGTATAGTTACGAACGCGATCTAAGAGGTATGATTTACTATCTCCTTCTTAGACGTCTCACTAAATTATTCTTCTATCTAGATCTTCCACTCTAGCTCCTTTTTAAATACCTTTTTAATAGCTTCTTATCGCTTATAACCCACTTACTATCCTTCTAGACACTTCGCCTCATTAAATACCTAGCACTAGGTTATATAGTAAGGGCCTCTATATAGGTAGTCTATACGTTCTAAGAACTTAGTTATGGACTTTACTAGCTTCGCTTCTTAATATCCTTACCACTTTAACGTTATAAACATAGGCTTACTATTTCCTACTAGTACGGACGCCTTCTATAGGGTCTCCGCGTATATTACGCGGAAGGACTCTAGCATCAAATTCATACCTATAGTCTCCTTATTAATCACGATCTATTAGAACTAGTTCTCCCACTATAACGGTAGAACCTCTTTAATAGCTTTTATAAATAATAGCGAGTAGAACAATATATTCTTATAGTTTAAGCTAACGACTTCTTCACATAGGGATTCCCACTCGTCTAGCCACTTTAGAACGTCTTCCCCCTTCTTCGGTCCTTTTATTATATCTTCTCTCTATCTTAAGAATACCTTAACGCTATACGCATTAGTTCTCGAGAACCTATTCACAAGGAAATATATACGTTTATATAGTGTGTCTAGACGGTCGAGAACGCGGTTAAGCTTTAGCTCTATAGATACCATAATCGCTTAGTCAATCGTCCATAGACCCTTCTCTTATTTCTCGAACGCAGCTAATTAGATCTTATAGATATCCATTTCATCTCTCTAGATCGACTAGTTCTCCCTAAACTCTTCCTTTAGAGACTTTAGCGCTCTAGCTATGATCTCGTCGGGGATATCTAGAGTAGGTTATGCGGGCATATTCAGGGGTTCCTTTAGTTAAACCACCATGCTCCTACTTAGCTCCGGATTATATATATCCTATACTTATAGGCTTATTCTAAGGCGTCTTATGGCTATATACCATAAGTGCCACTAGGCAGGCCCCTTTAACTTCTCTCCTCTCCATAATAAGACAGATCTAATTAATTCCATAATGTCTTAATCCAATGCCGTCTAGATCCTAACGTGTGCTTTAGAGGTACGTTTAGGTAGTTACACTATCTAGCTTAGGGGTAGGCGGTTCAGATATCTTCTAGATACGTCTAAATAGCCTTAATTTCACCAATTCTAGTGTAATCAGAGTAATTCCAGGCTTATAACTATCGGAACACGTAATCAGGGCGGTCAATCAAGGTTCTATAGGTGTTCGATTTAATATATATCTATCTAGTTATTCTCCTATCTCTATGCGCACACCTTATATGCTGGCTTACTAATCTAGCTAGCTTACATCATCAAAATTATGCCAATAGTGATTATCGGAACATATAATCAGGGCGGTTAATTAAGGTCCTATAGGTATTCAATTCAATATATGTCTATCTAGTTATTCTCCTATCTCTATGCGCACACCTTATATACTAGCTTACTAATCTAGCTAGCTTATATCATTAAAATTATGCCAACACACCCCCTTAGCTTAAGCACCCTACAATTAATTAAGCTAGACCTATAATCAGCTAATTCCTTCAATTCTATAATCTTCCGAATCAGCCTCCATTACCTAATTAGGCCATGCTAACTTATCATTCCCTCTATCTCATTCCATAATCAAATACTTAACGTCCACTAGGCCTAATAGTTTAACGAATATCTCATGCTTTTGCCTTAGTAGCACCTTAGTAAGTCCGTCTACGACCATTTATCTAGTCGGAACCTATTAGATCCAAACTTAACCTTCCCTAACCTCTTATCTTAGCCAGTGACCGTATATATCCATATATCGAAGCTTAGTATCAAATAGCATATCTTCCGCGTTAATCAGGTTAACCATATAGGTGTTATCGCATTCGATCGTGAGTTTATCTAGGTATTCAAACCCAATCCTTCTAAATAGTCTATCCCACCACTATAACGCTTTACCAGCGTCTAAGAGACCTAACAACTCGGCCTTAGTAATAGATATAGTGACTATTCTCTACCTCGTCGCCTTCTAGTCGACTAGGCCTCTAAATATCTAATATATATATCTAGTAGAGCTCGTCCAATCGCCATTATCCATATATAAAGCGTCGCTTAATATCCTAACCACGTCCTAGTCATCTTCGACTAGCCTATACTAGATCCCCTAGTATCTCGTCGTGTAAAGGTAACATATAAGGCGTTTAATCGCGGAGTGATACTTAGGCCCTAGGTTCTAAAGGAACTAGGCGAGGGTCGAAGCCTTCTTCGCTATATCTAGATAGGTAATTATAGTGCCATACTAGACTAATCCTACCTTCTACTAGTAATCATATATACTCTATAGACTCACTTACCCCTTAAATAGGTTAAACTTCTCCACGGCCCCTAGTATCTATATACATGCTCGTCTAGTAAGGTTATACCGCTCCATAACGCTCGTAAAGTAGCTATCTTAAACTAGCTAGAGTTTCCGTTCTATATAGTTCCATAAGATTCTAATCCCGAGGAACTATTCAGCATTACCTTAATCTATAAGCTCCTAATATTTCTCGAGCTCTTACTCGAGCTACCGTGCTCGTTCTCTTACTATATAATAACTCGCTATAAGGATATCATTAACATAGAAGAATATAATGATCCCTTCTCTAACGAACACGCATGGATCCTCCGCGACCTACTCTAAACCAAGACCTTTTAAAACCCTTATAGCGTCCTGCTACTAGAGTCTTAGTGCAATTCTTAGTCTATATAAGGCCCTAAGTAATAACTAGCATCTCCCTTAGGTCTTAAAGCCTTCTAGCATTAAGGTATACACTTCTATATAGAGCTTACTATTTAGAAACGCGGTAACCACATCTCGCTAATAGAGATCTAAGTCATACGCCGTATATAGGGCGAAAAGCGTCCTCGCTATCTAAGCAGCGAGCGTTACCGCCTATTTTTCTTCGGCTAAAATAGATTATAAGTCTCTACGCATATATATCTATACCTTATACTTAATAAGAAACCTATCCTAATCGAATTTATACACGTATACCTATATAAGCGGTAGCACTTATATCCCTCGATCCTTTAGTATCTTAACTTCCTAGTACGTTTCCTTCGCTTATAACCCGTCTAGTTCTACCCTTATAGCCTTAATAAATCCATCACTTAATAGATACTTCTAGATATCTTTATAATATTCTAGCGGTAGTAGAAGATCATCTTAGTATTATTAGTGCGAGGGCTTTAAGGCGTATAGACCTATTATAAAGGCTTAGAGGGTTATAGATATAGTATCATTATCTACTAACGTCGTCATGTGGTAGGCGAAATCCTTATCTCGTCGCTATCTACGTATCCTCGGTCTATTTATAATATTCCCGATATCTAGAGCCACTCTATCCACGTCCTCGACCTCCTCTTTATCTTCGTCTAGGTCTAACTATATAAGCTCGCTCGTCTCTCGCATTAATATAGGAGTCTCTAGCGTTAGATCCCCTCTATACCCTTCGTTTTCCTTATTCATAACCCCACCCACCCCCTAATCTACGGCAGAGTTATTACCAGGAGATCTTAGTAGCGTCTAAGACAGTTTAATATATCCATTCAGATCCATTTCCTTACTATTTAAATCATTTAAGTCCTATATCCTATCCTACTCAGGACTATCTTTAATAGTAGGTAGTGGCATATCTAGTATATCCTTAGCTAGGTCCTACGCGTTATCTACACCCCCTACCATTAGAGATAGTTCTAGAGCATCTCTTCCTAAATCTACACTCTCTACTTACTCATTAAGCCCCTATAGAATAGATTCACCTTCGTATCTTACCTCTATAATCTCTAGATACACGTTCTACGGGAGCGGCATACATACGACCTCATCTAGCTGGTTTTCGGCCGAAAAACGTCAAGACTCATCAAAGACAGCATCTCTCACCATACGCACCTACCTATAGTGTGGCATCTAGATCTTCTAGATATTTAATGCCACGTATCTAACCAGATACCCAATCTCTATACGGGATCGTATCTTATCTAGTCATGGAATGGTCGGATTCCAATAATATATAAGAGATCCATATAGACACACATTCGCTAATAACGTCTTCGGCAGCTCTAATTTATCGACGAACTATCGAGCCTCTTCCTATAGAACTATCCAGTTCCCACTTTCTAACCTCGTTAGCGTACGATTCAGTAGATACACCACTATCGCGATGGCTTTAGGCCAGAGCTTATCCAGTAACTTACCTTCTTTAATAAGCGCTCGAGCTCGAAGCGTGAGCACTCCTCTAGAACATTTACCTAGACCGTTCATCTCTAGGGAATATAGGACCGTGAAGGTATAGATGAACCCCATCTTATCTAGAACCTTATAGATCCAGTCGTCCATAGTCTTCTCATTATCTAAGTACTATACCTTGATTAGTAATTATAGCCACTTAATTATAAACGCTATAAAGCTTTTAATAGTATCTTAATACCTATTCTTATTAACGTATATTATGCTCTAATAGAATTATATACCCTCTACATAGAAGTGCGTGATCCAGCAGTGCTAATTATATCCTATCGTTATTTAGATTAGATCGAAATAGACTCGTCCGCACGGCCTATAGTACCGTCTAATAGGTCTCCAAGATATCTACTAGGGGGCATTCACTAAGCTATATACCTCGTATAGCTAGCTATCTAATCCATCTAGTTACTCTTCCCTATCTTTGATCTTAACTCTATTAACGAGCTCTGGTAGCTACTAGATTACTCCTTAATAGACGTGTCTAAGACGTCTATGCCATATCTCTACCGTTATAGTTAACACCTATAGTTATACGGATCTTCGTATGGCATGCGCATGTTATACAGTCTCTAGATCTATCATATCTAGCCATAAGAAGACGTAGATATCTCGTTCCTAGTAGATCCTAAGTACCAACTCTCCATTATGCATTATATACCCTTTCTATATATCCCACCACGCCCCTTTCTACTCTAGTCGTCTAAGCGACACTAGATTATAGTAGAAAGAGGGCGCATAAAGACAATCAGTTAGCGTTACTATATAGGCCTTCTTTATAATTAGGTTAATACCTTCTATCACTACTATTCTAGTTCTAACCGCTAGCGTCTAGCTCTCTCCAGTTTAGAGCGAAGATATACTCTCACGATACTCTATAAATATAGACTAGTCGTTATACACATACACGCTCGCACCTAAATCTAGGATCTATTACATACAGTAGTGCTCTTTAACTATCGATAGTGCGGTTACGAATGCGATCTAAGAGGTATGATTTACTATCTCCTTCTTAGACGTCTCACTAAATTATTCTTCTATCTAGATCTTCCACTCTAGCTCCTTTTTAAACGCCTTTTCAATGGCTTCTTATCGCTTATAACCCACTTACCATCCTTCTAGACGCTTCGCCTCGTTAAATACCCAGCACTAGGTTACACAGTAAGGGCCTCTACATAGGTAGTCCGTACGTTCTAAGAACTTAGTTATAGACTTTACTAGCTTCGGTTCTTAATGCCCTTACCACTTTAACGTTACGAACGTAGGCTTACTATTTCCTACTAGTGCGGACGCCTTCCATAGGGTCTCCATATATATTACGCGGAAGGACTCTAGCATCGAATTCATACCTATAGTCTCCTTATTAATCACGATCTATTAGAACCAGTTCTCCCACCATAACGGCAGAACCTCTTTAACCACTTTCATAAATAATAGTAGGTAGAATAATACATTCTTATAGTTTAAGCTAACGACTTCTTCATATAGGGATTCCCACTCATCTAGCCACTTTAGAACGTCTTCCCCCTTCTTCGGTCCTTTTATTACGTCTTCTCTCTATCTTAGGAACACCTCGACGCTATACACATTAGTTCTCGAGAATCTATTCATAAGGAAACGCATACGTTCGTATAGTGTGTCTAGACAGTTAAGAACGCGGTTAAGCTTTAGCTCTACAGATGCCGTGATCGCTTAGTCGATCGTCCACAGACCCTTCTCTTATTTCTCGAACGCAGCTAATCGGATCTTATAGATATCCATTTCATCTCTCTAGATCGACTAGTTCTCCCTAAACTCTTCCTTTAGAGACTTCAGCGCTCTAGCCGTGATCTCGTTGGGGATATCTAGAGTAGGTTATGCGGGCATATTCGGGGGTTCCTTCGGTTAAACCACCATGCTCCTACTCAGCTCCGGATTATATATATCCTATACTTATAGGCTCATTCTAAGGCGTCTTATGGCTATATACCACGAGTGCCACTAGGCAGGCCCCTTTAACTTCTCTCCTCTCCATAATAAGATAGATCCAATCAATTCCATGATGTCTTGATCTAATGCCGTCCGGATCCTAACGTGTGCTTCAGAGGTACGTTCGGGTAGTTGCACTATCCAGCTTAGGGGTAGGCGGTTCAGATATCTTCTAGATGCGTCTGAATAGCCTCAATTTCACCAATTCTAGTGTAATCAGAGTAATCCCGGGCTCATAACTATCGGAACACGTAATCAGGGCGGTCAATCAAGGTCCTATAGGTGTTCGATTCAATATATGTCTATCTAGTTATTCTCCTATCTCTGTGCGCACACCTTATGTGCTGGCTTACTAATCTAGCTAGCTTACATCATCAAAATTATGCCGACAGTGATCAGCACACGATACATCACTTTTTAGTATGTAGTATGGTCTAGAGACTTTCCTTGTTACGAATTCAGTGTTCTAATGATCTCGGAAATCTTCATTTAGCGTGCTAGAAAGTAGTTATTTAAGGAAGTTGTGTGCCATACTAAGCTTTGAGCCTAGCATCAACTTAGGTCTTGATATATTCTCGGTCTACCTTTTGAAGCCCGTGTCCCACTTTTGCCCAGTATCAAAAACTTCCTTTGCCAATACTGGAATGCCTTCTACAATTACTCTCTATACTGCCCATCACTGTCCTTGGGCCCAGCGTGCTCAAATCACCCTTCGAGAACTAGATCTTGAGTTTGAGACAGTTCTTGTCAACATCAACATCCCTCGCACACCGGAATATCTCGCGATCAATCCACGTGGACTCGTACCGACTTTAGTTCATGATGGCCATATGTTGACTGAATCTGGTCTCATCACCCAATTTCTTGTTGACTTGTATCCCAGTCATTTACTCAAGTCCAGCTCTGAGCCTGGTGGTGCTTTGCAGCGATTCAATGTGGCGTTTTTCGATGAATCCTATTTCACCAAGGCTCATTGCCATTTCGACACGGCTATAATATCCTGTGACGAGGAAGAGACCACTGCCGCTCAGAAGTACATCGATGGGATTGTTAATCACATTGAACCTCTTCTTGAGGATGCAGCGCCATTCTTTGGCAACTCTAGCCGCCTTACGTTTGCAGAAGTATGTCTTTCACGGAGTGAAGTTACCTTTAACTCCCTCATGTATCATTATATTGAATTAATTCGTGATCTAGGTTCAGACAGGATCGTTTCTTCTTCGTGTGATTGAACTACCCAGGCATCCCGGAATTCTACCTGGTTTTTTTTTATCGGGGCGCTTGAAGATAAGGCACCAAACTTTTGGAGATGGAGCCATGCCGTAATTGGTGAAGCGACGGTTACTGCGGTTTGGGATGAAGAGGACGTCGTCAAGCGCACTTTTGACAAGATTGAAGCAGCAAAGCTGCGAGGAAAAGCATTGAAGTGAAACTAGGATATGATTCCATTTTCAGAAGAATTAAAATACTAAATTGAAAATCTCAGAAAGGAATACATATAATCAATAATTGTAACAGCGCGGAGTCTAGAGAGGACGCGGTATTTGGATGTTCGAGATTCAGGATAATAGTATGAAGTGCCCAGGATCCATATTAGAAGGGGAGACACCGCACATGGCGCAGCGCCGCTATGTTTAAGAGAGATTTCAGACAAAACCGGCAAACTGGCGCTGGGGCCAAAATGGCGCTAGTGGAGCTCTCACCGATCAGAGGACAGCGTTAGGAATTGATTCCGAAGAGTTGTGGGGCGTGGGTGGGGGGACCTGGCCCGTCGTAGCCCCGACATCCCCGGTACTGCCGTATTGAATGCCGAATGCCCCCGAGAATCCCAATTGAGTGCTGGAGTATACGGACAAGTAACCTCGGATGACGTGGATAAAATCACGATCAAGGCTTTCTCGAACCTCGAAGTGGAATCGTTCCGTGTTCACCCCACAAATTGCGACTTCAGGTGGATCGTCGCTCCAATGAAAGTGATACATGTAGGCCGTGGGTCACCAAGTCTCCAATATACTTGGGTAAGGGTCCTTTATCCGTATTGCGTATCACATACCCCACGGGGTAAACCATTTCTATTTGTATAAGTCTTGTCCTGGGACAACGAACGGCCCTTCAAGCGATATTCTGACCACCCGCCATTGCTGTATTTTTTCAGACGACTTTTCTTCATTTGATTTTGACAATCTGTTATTATTACAATATCTTGCAATTCAATTCAATTCACTTGTCCCCTCTGGTGAAACACCTGGTGCTCCTATGAGCCCAAATATCTCTCACAATGAAAGGTAATAGCTCTGAGGATTCAATCCACCTTGAGAACGTGGTGCCAACCCCTCCGACCCACGACGTCGAAGAAGACAAAATACGGGCTGCAACTTCACTTCACGATCCTCAGAGCTGGAGGCCATGGAAGAAGAATGCACAGATTCTGATGGTTGCTTTTCATTCCATGATAGGGTAAGTGCTACAAAGCGAATCTGAAGACTCGAACCTCTCTTCTCCTCTCAATTGATGATTCTATCTTGATAAGGAGTTGGAAAACAACGATGGCTAAGCTTATTTACCTCCCAGAACATTCATGGCAGCTGGTATCATTCCGGCTTACGACACCTTTGCTGAGCAGTATGATATCACGGTGGTGGATGCCAGTTACCTAACGTCTTTCCAGGTAAGTTGGTGAGAATCGAGCTATTGTCAGCTGCTAATCATGAGAACGAAACAAATTAGATCCTTCTTCTCGGCCTTGCTCCTTTGATTTGGTGCCCAATAACTGCTGTTTATGGTCGATACCCCGTGAATATCTTTTCAGTCTTTGCCAGTATGGTCTGCAACATTGGCGGTGCCAGATGCACCACATATGGTACGCAAATGGCTACGCGGGTCCTTACTGCATTTTTCATCTGCCCTCCGATCGGGAACGGAAGCGGAATGATTACAGAGCTGTCGGAACCGGAGAAGCGTGCGCAGAAACTAGGATGGTGGACTCTGATGACAACCATTGGTACGCCCGCAGGTCCCTTCTTCATGGGATTCGTCACCAAGCACATTGGCGTTCAATGGATCTTCTGGATATTTGCCATCATCAATTTCTGTCAGTTCCTGTTGTACATTGCAATAGGCGACGAAACTATTTTCGACGCGAGTCATGACCGTGAACACATCCAACGCGGGACTTTTGGTCGGATGATTCCTCGACGGATCACCGCCCGTCGATTTCATGTCCGAGATATTCTGGCACCGTTCTCATTGGCCAAGTACCCCCGTGTACTGATTCCCGCATGTGCCCACGCTATTACATTTTGCTACGCGAATATTGCATTGATCGTGGAAATGCCCATTGCATTTGGCGAGAAGTTCCATTTCGACGCACAACAGATCGGCTTGCAGTTCATCGCTATTGTCATCGGATGTGTCCTTGGCGAGCAAGTGAGTGGACCTATATCCGACTGGTTCTTAAAAACTGTGCGCCAGAGAAAAGGTCACTCCTGCCCGGCTGACCGGCTGTGGCTTTCATATATTGCTTTTGCGACTGTATTTGCGGGCCTATTAAGTTGGGGCTTTCAGCTACAGCATGCGATGACATGGAATGTTACACCCTGCGTTGGTGCAGCTATTGCCAGCTTTGGCAACCAGATGCAAACGACGATCCTCACGACCTTCGCGGTGGAAAGCAAATCGAAAAGAGCGGCTGAGGTTGGCGTTTTTGTCAACGTTTTCCGACAGATTTACGGCTTTGTAAGACCCACAAAACGTCAATGGTGGATTGTTCAAAGATGCTAATCCCTTCTTCAATCTAGCTCGGCCCCTTCTACTTTCCTGATATGTTCTCTGCGTTGGGTCTAGGCGGGGCTGCCGGTGTAATGGTTGCTATCATAGCTGGTTGCTCACTGTGTCCAATTATCGCCATCCAGTTCGTAGCTACTCGACATGACAATCGCCAGTGAAAACCAGTGGACTGTGAATCTGCCAGTGCTGGCATTTGCGATCCGATAGGCCATTCAAGAGGATGATGAGACATTTTAAATTAAATTGTTTTTCTTGAATAATATCGTATCAGGACACGTCGATAAAGTCAAGTCATTTGGGTTTTGTTACTTTCCCGCTCCTTAAAAGAAGAGAATACAATATTCCCGGATGAAGACGAAGACATTCAAAGAATCTTTTTAGAGTCCCTGATATTATAAATTGTTATTTGAGAAAAACAGGTTAAGTGCTCGGATCCGTACGTCCTCCGGGTTAGACGGAAAGTAAGATAGTGAGGCGAAAAGGCATAACAAACATCATGCACTGGAATCGATCACACCAGAATATTTAGCTTGCTATATTCTATTGAGTATGGTCGGTAACAACAGAAACTTCCTGCAGTTTGGACAATACACTAATTTACTCATAAATCCTAGACGGGGTTCGCGGGCCCAAATCGAAGGTCTCCATAGCCAATCAACATGAAAGATGCCCAATAGTAAGGATCAGACCAATCGATCTGCGACAGAGTCATCTTCCATGTAGACAAGATGAACTCTTGATCCGATACAAAGTCCGCGGGTAAATTGCCATTTTCATCAGGTGCAGTCCAGCCTTCTAGCATACTAGTCAATAAGTCTTCAGCTCGATCACTGTCCAGATGCAAAAATTGAATTTGAGCTTCTTTCATAGCCTCGGCAGTAGAGAAATTCGCGTTGCTCTTCAGGTATCGGTAAAAGAAAGTCATAATCATCATCGAAGCTAGATCGCTAACTTCCCAAAGTGTGCCAATGTATGCTTGGCAACCACTGCTCAAGACAACATGGGAGAAGCCTAAGACATCTGCGCTAGGCGTAGCCTTGCCCAGGCCGCTTAGACAGGCGGCGAAAACGAGAAGACGGGCTGAACTTCGGATAGTAGACATGTCTAGGACGCGGAAATTTTGGCCAATTGAGATTGAGGAAAGAAGAGGATTGCGAGGGTCAATATAGCCATGAGTTCCGATATGAATGATCGAGGATTCACCCTGGATGTAGTTGCAAAATTCCTGTCTGGAAAGATTAGATGCTTCGACAGGCCAAGTGGCGAACATACGGGCAATATTGACTGCCTCAATTGCCGCCATATGTAGGTTTATCCCGTTGAGTTCGTTTCGTGTGTTTGATTCATCTCCTGGTGGATTGGCGTTTGGTGACTTGGCGAAGACAGAAACAGCTCGCGCTTCTGTCGCGGACTTGCGCTTGGATAGATAGAACAAAACCGCCATGCTCGGGGTGTGAGATACAACAGCGTGTAAAATCAAGGGCTTTCCATCAAAAACCAGTGCGGAGAAGGGAAATGCTGTCAGAGGCTCGGAGCAGGAGATTATGATGTTCTTCTTTGATCGAATGATCATTGAGAATGGTGCTATCAGCACCGAGGATAGCTCCTCAGAAAGGTCATCGAGCATCTTTCTGCGCTCAAACTTATCGTCACCCGAGTATTGGGCTATCTCCCCTGTGATTTGCATGAACTTCATCACAGGCCTTCTTATATCGCTTCCACGTTCTGGCCCTTGTTGCACATATTGAATGCCATCTCTGGTCACGGCAAACGCGATGAACCCTCGTGCACCAAATGTTATTTGAATAACAACAGCATCGTCAGGAATGCATTGATATATCAAGCGAGGTTCGATCGGTGTGCTGGTAGCGTCAATAAAGCTCGTCGCAGGAGAAATACAGTCATTATTTTCCAATTCCTGAATCTGATCTTGGAGCTCAGCGATCTCGGCAATTTCTTCTGGCGTTGGGGATTGAAGGGAGAGTAGCGATCTAAGTGCCCTGAGCTTATGAATGGCCGTAGGAATGGAGGCGCTGCTTGGCTCGACTAGCCCACGTTGGCTATGCTGAATCTGTAACGAATCGAGTACCGAACATGTCCTTTGGGATTCTGTGAACAACAACGCATGTTCATCCCACGATATGCCAGAGGGATGGCCATGTTCGTAATGATCCAATACAGCAATGGGAACCCCGGAGTCACGACACTTAAGGCAGAGACTTGCCATATTGAGATAGGTTTCACCTTGCCATCCTGCCATTGAACTTCCAAATCGGGCATCTACATCACTGGTTTGCGATCGACGAAGCTCGGTAATTTGACAAGCCCGGAGGAAGGAAGAGAACGCTAGCTCGGGGAAGTGATTTTCCATCATAATTATTCCGTATTGAGCGAGGCGAAAGGCTAACTCGCGAATGCCATCGACTGGTCGTTCAAAAAAGTCTGGCAAAGCAGCCGTAATCAGATTCACCAATCGATAACCTCTGTCAAAGTCTTGGGCGAAAATGCTATATGTCACTGCATTCTGGGCCACGGTCGAGAAGGTGCTCCAGAATGGACTATCACTGTTGATTGGTTCCGTGTAATGCGCCAATCTACCATCGAACAGACAGTTATCATCGATACTATCCAATATCGAACGAGCTCTGGCTAAATCCCCAATGCGCTCGCAGGCTAAGATGCAATAGAAATGTCTCATGGAGACCTGCCCTAACTCGTTTGCGTTATCCAAAAACCGACGAAGGGCCGATTCTGCCTTTTCAATATCGCCTGCGTCTAAATGTTGATGGAAGTCAAGCTCGGCTGAAGCATATTTTACCTTGATAGCATCTTCTGCCATTGCATTCTCCCAGATTTCTGACCTGGGTGGGTATTGAAGTGTCAACGATGAACTGGGATTAGATGGCTGCGACCCATCTCTCATGATCTGAAAACTTGTGTCATGTTGGATAAAATTTGTGAGCCTCGATTGCCACGCAGCGAAGGCAGCACGATCTCCTACTCGAACATAAACGGCAGCTACTTGCATACCGAATGACCAAATAGTATTGAATTTGCTGCTCAAAAGAGTGCCCCTATCATTGTTCCCGGCTACTGTATCCGGCGCAAGTGCTATCCTGGCGTCGTAATAGTCCCTAATCTCTTCGAACATAGACATAGCCTTTTCGATCAGAACTCGCGATGCAGATAAGTTGAAAACCTCATTTTGCATTGATGCTTGGCACACCACGGCTTGGAACATGGGAAGAGTATCCCCGAGAGCCTCAAACATTGCCTCCGCAAATTCCAAAGCAAGCAATGACGAGTCAAGACGCGAAAATCTCCGCCATTCCCGAAGTGCGAACCGGGATGTCAAAACACCAAGGAAGTGAACCAAGTTCTCGTTCATTGCATTAAGGCCCCAGAGTCCAATATCTTTGCCGGCCAGTTTCACTCGGAATGTACTCATTTGTCCTTTGCTGATCGAGACCAGAATTTGGTGGACTTTGACTATTTGGGCATTTGCCTCGTCCCGCCCAAATAGTTTCAGGGCGTCTTGTAATTTTTTATCGGCTTTACCTAGTAGGTCAACTCGTTCCTTCTTTGTCACTCGCAGTGGTATTGCCAGAATATGCAAGCAACATCCTTGTCGAAGTAGCACGGCCGCTTGGCCTCGTCTGCAACCAGTTTTCTGGAACAGAGCCAACGCAGACTCATAGCACATACTGGCCTTTGGTGAATATTCAAATGGAAGATTGAATTCAATGGCATCCCAGACAGTATTATCCCCAATTGATGAGGACGAATCAATCACAGTGAGGTTTAAAGAAATTGGGCTGGCAAAAACTGGACTGAGAAGACTGTCGGCTTCCATAACTTTACAGTCCCCCATGCCCACAGTATCTCCACTCGTTTGATACATATCGAAGAGGTCTCGGAGTGCAACGCTTGATGTGGTAGAATCACCAGCTTGATGAAGCTCCACTATGAGGCGACTTAAATAAGATCCAATCTCGGGTTCCCCATTTCCCGATGCCATATCTCGATGTCTCACAAAGCCATTCGAAAGTTGACCCACTTGCGAAGCTGAATCTGCACTTGGCGTATGCCATGGACCCTTGGGGCTGAGAGGATGAAACTTGGTCGTCAGGTTCCGTGCCATTATAGGAAACCACAGAATGGAGCCAAGGGCTTCACAAAGAACCCGATCAGGCTGAGCTCCAGTTGAGCAATGTGTGTCAAAATTGGCCCTGAAAATTTGATCTAATTCGACCGGTCCAATCATTTCCTTCAGCATGCTTATGCTTATTGGCCTGCCGCGCTCGTGATAGAAGTGAAGTCCCGGTGCATAGCGACGATTGAAATGGGTCAGCATCGTGTAATTCGACCAGCGAAGGCCCCAAGAGTGGGGCAACCGGTCGAGAAGACCATGGAGCTTGTTCAAACTCTCATATGAACATGCCAACCTGCCTGTCAGGATCGAGTAAAGAGAAACGCATCGAAGATACTCGGCATGTTGCTCCGGCTCGATCAGAAAATCGTCAAATTGATGTTGCTGGAGCCGGTCCCACGCTTCATCAAAGTCGCCTCGGAACTCTTCTGCGAATGGAGACCTGCCACATATTCCGATAAACTCATTGAAATCCATGATTTTTCAGAGCGCAATGATAAAGAGGGCGCGGCTTCCTCTCCATTCTGCTGGGCTGACGGTGACCAAGACAATCGGAATCACCGAATGATTACTTGCTTGCGCCCCATCCAAATCAAGCCTAGTACTGTTTCATCAGCCGATAAAGCTTGACAGGCGACTCGCTGTTTGCTGACGGGTCTGCAGGGCTGACGCCTGAATGTTTTGAATGTTTAGCTTGATGCATTAATAACTTTCACAGTTCACGATGTTTTTGGCCGGGTTCCCCACCATTTCCCTTGTCCCACTTGTTTTTTACTTCATATTTATACAGAAATCAGGACGGAAACCTGGCTTTGAGACTCACAGGTGTATAATCAAAAGGGTATGAAGCCGTCATTTGTGGTATGATCATCATACGAGCCTCGTCTGAAGGCGATAACTATTGAGCCGACCGTTGCTGGAAATTGGATTGAATAAGATTCTGACTGTCAGCAGCACATGATAGACTACCGATATGCGAGCAATTGCCAGTGATTCATATCGTCGAGAGGGGACGAAGAGTGATACAACAAATCTCATCAGAAGGGAAATAGGAAAGTGAGCAAAGACAAAACAGAGCGAATGGTGGAAAGAAGCAGGCATAGACACCTGTACCCTCAGGCAGCAACTCTAAAACTGGTCACACATTTTGGCTTACTACTTTTTAAAGCACTACTCTGCAACTTCATATCTGATTGTAAGAACAATGAGCTTTGGACAAGGAAGCAAAACATTTAGTATCTATGGATTAACATGTGATCGCCCACTATGCCACTACATGACTGCTCCGTACCAAGTGCCCCTAGTGGTAGGGTGCCAAGAAGAAGGAAACTAAGAAAGGAGTTTGACGTTGGTGGATCCATTCGTCCCTGCCATGACTACATTATATAGGTGGGCAATTATTCACATCCAGCTGGGCAACTTGGGTAAAGGCACTGTGTTTTGCTTTCCTTTTTGGCACTTTTATAGCTGATAAAAGTGGCAGTGGAAACAAGAGCGGGGCATGCTGCGGTGTGGGTCCTCCATGTACCGTCGCTAAATAACTAGCCTGTTTGTAGTTTCCGTTTGTCCCAACAGGGATCCGAGATGCAGAACAGTGATTTTTAAGGGTCTGGAATTAGGGCGCTCGGCTGCCCCGACTGTGATGTTTTGTTGATGCCAGCCCACTTCTCCTCCACCTGGCATTTGCCTGAACCTTTCCTCAACCCGACATGATGACATCGAATTCGCTTCCAATCTTAGACCTCCCCGTGGAGCTGTTCCGTACAATATTGTCGCATCTTCCAAATCGCGACATCAGATCTTTACGCCTTGTGTCTAAACAATTCTGCAATTCAGTGCAGCTTCGACTGTCCAGAGTGTTCTTGTCGGCCAATTCCCTAAACATCAAAGTCTTCCGCGCAGTTGCAGATCATGAGAAATTACGCCACAAGATCACAGAAATCATCTGGGATGACGCGCGGTTATCCCATAACTTTTCAGAAGACGTTATTCATCCTGAGCAAGGCATCTTTCTGCCAAACACGGATATAAGCGACAACGAGATTGAAGAGCTCGACGATGAAGCCTTTGATCATGAAAGCTTGGAAGATAAGGAATTTGAACATGACGAGGATCTAGATGATTTTGAGCAATTGAAGAACAGCGAGAAATTCAAGAGGCAAAGGTGCCCACCCTGGGTTCAAGGCCGCGTGCATTGAAACTCTTGAGCGTATGTTCTACCGGCAATCAGGGCCTTCAAATTTGCCTCGGGACTACCCCGGTATATCAGAGCTGAGGTCAACTGGGCCCTCACTAAGCGAATGCTGGGAGTATTATCGTCTGTTGGTGAGGAAACAGGATGACGTGTATCAGTTCTTCTTCTCGACGTTCATCCTTTCTTCACTGTTACAACGATATCGGTCATACTACATGCGAGTTACGGAGTAGTGTACTCTAGGGTATGAAAGAGCAAAACTTCTTCTATCTCTTTAAATGTAAGCCTCAGAAAGTACTGTTTACGTAGAATTATCAACTAGCCCTTTGTCAACTCTTCTTATTAGACAATTGACCTGGCAGTTGATCCACATTTCCAGCTTTGAAGCGGAGGAGAAGCGGCACAGACAAAAGAGAAAGACGAGGCGCACGCAGTAGTGTAATATAAAGTATGATAGATGGAAATATCGAGCAGAAGATATCGGCACGTCATGTGCTGGTCGAAACGTTCAAAGGAGACAGAAGCAAAGGAGCGTACGAGTATGAAGTACTAATAAGCTGAAAGGAAAAGACAGACGAATCAAGATGGTGTATTGTGAGGGGGTGGGTTATTAGGGGGAAGGGAAGAAGGAAGAAAAGATAGAGAAGCGCTGATCGACACAACAGAGGGGCCGCTTGAACTTGCGAGAGAAAACAATCTAACATGGGATTCGAGAGAATAAAAAGAGGCAGGACGACTGGTCTAGTCAGGGAGGCGTATCATCATGTAACTATGTAAGTTACATCAGAAATCATAACTTCGAGCCTTGAAAGCATCACGGTGCCGTTCCGTGTCACTTATCATCGGTTAAGTGTACTCTTATCTCCTCTCACCTCGTCCTCACCTTCATCGCCGTTGTCTCCAACATTCTCAGCCATATCAACAACACTCTTCTTAACGAATGAGACGATGCTGTGATAAAGCTAATGGCTTTTCAAATATTGACCGCTTTCAGTATGCGGTTTGGTGCAGCTGGGCGGATGGGAAGCGCTGCTTTTCATGCCCCATGGTCAGATGTACTATATTTTCCGTATTAGTGGGATTTACGTCATTCAAGATGAACTCAGGAGAGAAGTTAGTGAGAGCCGCTTTCCAATTTTAGGCTTCACACGACCGGGAGCGAGAAAAATTCATCTACAACAAGATACCAATTTTGTCTTAGCTATGTTTGACTGAGCATCATAAAAAGATTATGGAAAAGCCTACATCTGTTTTGCATTACCAAAGGTTATATACATCAAAGGCTGAAGTTGCAAAAATGGTGTAGAAGACCCGCGCAGCTCAAAGATCCAAGCGATATTGGCTGTAGAAATCGAAAATCGTCGCTGTCGCATTGAAGACATAGTGCCCCCCGGGACATTTCTCCCTGCCAAGCGTCTCATAATCATCGTTGGAGTGCGTGGAAGGCCAACAGTGACCATTATCTCCTTCCCGATAGAACTGAACAATGTTCTTCTTTCCATCACAATCCCAACCAGCATGCTTGACAGTCGGGTGTTCATGAACAGTCACGTTTCTCGCCCACTTCGCATCTTCAGGACATCCGTTTCGTTCCGCCCAGTCCTGCAAGACATCAATCATAGGCACAATTTCGTCCTCCACGTCTCCATTAATTGGCGCGGTCTGATCCACCGTCCCGTGGAAGAATAAAAAGGGATACCCTTCTTCACGCATCGCAGGCTCGCAAGCTTGCAAGCCTGGGACACTACCCGTCTCGTGCCAGGCACCGCTAACAACTGAAAATGCGGCAAAGCGACTTCCGACCGTGGCATTGCAGGCGATGACAGCAGCAAATTCTCCGCCGTTTGATTTGCCGTTCGCGTATATGCGGCCTGGATCAATGCACAAATTCTCTTCCAGATGTGTCAGAAGGTCGTTAGTGAAGTCGAGATCGTTCGGATGGGAGATATTGGCATTGGAGTTGGATAGCCAGACGCCGTTCTCGGTGTCTGGGTAAACAGCAATGCCATCTGGATTGAACTCTGGGTTCGAGAACTGAGATAATTTCTCTTGCTCTTCTCCGCCGCGAGAAGCGCCAGAGAAGGAAAAGTATACCGCCGTCTTTGTATCATTCTTGTAGGTATCGGGGATATGGAGTCGGTATTTGCGGTCGCTGTCGGGGAGTTTGAGGTTCTTGCTCTCGCCGGGACTAGGGAAAGCGTCGGGAATGCCTTTCCCACAACCGCTGCCGGATATCGCGGAGGTCGTGCCCGCTAGAGCCGCTAAATAGTAAAGAGAAGCAACGCGCATATTGTCTTTCTGCACTCCGTTTTGTTAATCAAGATCTTAGAATGATCAAATACGAGAAATCAATTGAATCTTATATAAAACTTCTTGGTCCTCTGAAAGAGCTGATCAACAGGAGAGCTACCTTCCCTCGGTCTGATAGATTAGCGACGCAAGCTGCGAATCTTCTCTTCTGTAAGTGGTCGATCCAAGCATCTTGGCGGTAAATCTTCTCCGGTTTGTGACGATCAACGGCTGATCCGCGAAGATCAGCGGAGACTCCTTTGCTTCGGGTCCAGAGTTCTTCACATCCCCTGTAACTCACAACTAAAATTAAAGAGCTGTACGCGTCGATGACGTCGAAAACATAGGTTCATCGATGAGGTGATTTTATGCAACGTCATCTACTTTTCTATCAGGAGTATCACCTTCCACGACAATTCGCACGTGGCTCCGATACCTTGGTCGCTACCAATTGATCGTCTGACAACACCATCATGCACAATAAAGGCGCAAACAACTTGCCCACTGTGGAGTACACATCTTATCAATAATTATTCTCAGATAGCAAGAACGTAGCTAAGCGACATGACGTTTAGGATCAATGTTCAGAGCTCGGCATACGTTGTTCGTCAATTGATATTCCAGAAGTTCATCCTCAAAAACTTACAAGATTTCTAGCGATTTCTTCGAGGAATTGACCACGATCATAAGATCAGGTATCCATCATGCCATCACATCTTGGAAGACTCAATTTAAGGCATGCAGTGAAGATCGCGACCACGGATACGGCAATGATTGCTGCTCTGGAACCACGGGTCGGTAAGGATGGAAAATTGTGACGAGGGATATGGAGCACAATTCATCCACGCGCTTCTGTAATCGGATCTTCTTCCCCGAGCCGCTGCCAAACGGACTACCCGGGCCGGTTTTCCACCTCGAGGATCGCCATGGCGCCCACCAAACTAACTCGACATGGCAGTCTAAGATACAAATATGGAGGTTTTGTCTCTCTGAAGCTAATGAGATGAGATCTCCACGAGGGTTAGAAATTTAATAAGGGTAGCAAGTACCACGACCATGCCAAAATGAAAAGGGCAGAGAATGTCTATTGCAGGGTCGTCGAAAGAGAGACGACGTGCAGGGTTCAAGGGTCACACAACACAAACAATACAAACAAGATGGTCGCTAAGTCAGCGTTGGCCTCGCATTGGCGCAAGACAGCTCAAGCTCAACATTTCTTCGTCTTTTTATCTTTTTCTATACCTTGTCCTGGGTTAAAACAGAAAATGAAAACAACAGTCACGGTAAAATAGCATACCGCATTTGTCATAATACTGACCCGGAATCACAACACCAGCTCACTATCCCATGTGAAGCCCTGCTGTTTACACCCCAGACCATATGTGCATAATGCTTTTCACTGACCGTGAAGTATATAATAGAGACGTAATATTAGCAGTTCAATTATATCAGATAATAGGGAACTAGTGGAGAGGGGCGCTGAGCAGCCTTGTGTCCACACAAACGAATTGAAATTGGGAAAGGGGCAAACACAACCCGACTGATAAGCGATACTACCAAGAAGAAGCAGATCAAATCTGCCAGCAAGACCACCAAGCCGATAAAGTCAACTGTTTCAATTTCTTTTTTCCTTAGAACGAGCTTGGTTGAGCTCTGGAAAATCCAGGAAACTTATGGCAAGGCACCAGCCCTGAGAGCTACCTATGAGTTTCTCAGTAAGCCCATCAGGTCATTTATCATGTCGCAAGAATGCATAAGGTTCATTCAACTCACCTAGGTCCACATGGAACCAAATAGGAGCGACGATAAAGGCACTAACACAATTCAAATTCGAGTTTGAGCTTGAGCTTTAGTGCGAACAACCACATCCTTTGCAGTACGGAAATTGGAAGATTTCCTTGGAAACTTGGCTCCATGATTTTCGACTGCACCAACAGTCTAGCATTGGCAGGATGATGGAATATATTTTCTTGGCTGCAGTGGAATCCCGCGCAAACAAAGAGTGACAGTTCGAACTGACAACATTAAAGATAGCCACGCTAGTCCATTTCGTCACCAAGTCTTTTAGTGTGGAGCTCTCCTATCCTTAGTTCCGAACGTACAAATTTCGAAAAAATGACAAAATTGCATCATCCAAACTCCGAAGATTCTATAGAAAGCACGCTCTACAATTGATGTCACGTGATCTTGTCGTCGGCTCCTTCGTCATGTGACTTGGAAAGGGGCTAAACTTTCCGGAAGCAGAGGGTTCAATTTGCCACCGTTGGAACAATGATATCCAACCGCTATAAATCTCATTTCCTACCATTGTTTCAAATTGACCAGGTAACGTTCGTAATGTTTCTTTTCATGACCTCTTCATTCTGGTAATATGTCAGGGAATTGAGATATCTGAGTCTCCGATAATTTGTACAGTACTTGCGAAAATGGAGAAAATCATGTCTCACCATTTATATACCTTCTTCGCTCTCCAGGTCCTGCTATGATAAACCACCATCTCAAAAGTGAAAAACTAATTCAATTGCTCAAAATGGCCCTCTAACCGAGGTTATTGGCAGGAGCAACGAGGTTATATGTAGCGTGTTCTATAGAAATTAAAGATCACATAAAATCGTCAGAGGTTTTATGCGGCGGGGAATTAAATATTCCCCAGCGAAGCATAGACCACTGGGGACTAAATCTGTTAGTGCAGTGGGACTTGGGACTAGATTTAACCTAGCCCCATAGAACTTGAAGAGGTCTAGAAAGGGTCTTGACACAGTAAAGATGTCGGGTATATTGCCACTGTGATAATCACGACACTAACCGAACGGAGTAATTCCGAGTTGGGGTCCGCGACCGACCGCAGTCGCCTCCGTATCCCGTTCATCAACTTGGACTGCGCGATGGAAGAATTATCACATCCGATCTATCCAGAAGTCTAAAAGTTATTATTGCAGTCCTTACAGATTCCTGCTCTCGCGATAGATCTGGAGGTTGATCTATTTAAGGCGCTGCGCGCCGAAGGAAATCCGGATAATTGAACCGCGGCACCGCCACTTCTTCGCCTTCAACACGCTCCTTCGCTGTCAACACTGCATCACAGGCAAAATGCCTGCCCCTCGTTTCATTTCTCCTCCTGCGACCCCGCCTCCCAGTAAGGGTCTGTCGCTGGCGACTGGAAGAGATAATGACCTTGAAGGTCAGCGCCTCATCGGCACCACCCGATTTGAGCCTCGGAGTGACGTGAAAAACATTCTGATCACTGGAGGTGCAGGATTCATGTACGAGTATCTGAAAATTCCCCAGATTTATGACACTAACATAGTAAATTAGTGGAGGTTGGGTAACCCGACACCTGGCGGTGCAGTATCCCGAATATAACATTGTCTGTTTCGACAAGCTCGATGTTGTCGCCTCTCTTTCCAATATCAGCTGTTTGCAATCTTTACCAAACTTTGAGTTTGTGCATGGCGATTTAATGGATCAAGCAGCCATTGCCAAGGTCCTATCAGAGCACAATATTGACTGTGTGATGCACTTCGCTGCATGCTCACATGTCCAGAACTCGTTCAATGACCCACTAAATTTCACCGTCAACAATGTCATTGGTACTCAGCTGCTACTCGAGGCTATTCGTCATCACAAGGGTCCCAGAAGGGTCCACCGCTTCATTCATGTCAGCACTGATGAGGTTTATGGCGATGTGATGGAATCGGCGTGTGACGAAACCAAGCAATTTATGCCCACCAACCCATATGCAGCCTCCAAGGCGGCTGCTGAGATGTACGTTTGGTCATATGCCAAATCATTCGATATCCCGGCTCTTGTTGTTAGGAGCAACAACGTGTACGGGCCCGGTCAATACCCTGAGAGTAAGAATACTCACATCCCATTTCTCTGGTGATGAATGCTAAGACTATGGAAATAGAAATAATCCCTCGCTTCTGCACTCTTCTCATGCAGCAAAGGCCATTAACAATACAAGGCTCCGGCATGAACATTCGCCGGTACCTTTACGGAGCTGATGCTGCTGATGGCTTCGACACTTTACTGCACAAAGGTGTCATTGGTGAAGCATACAACATTCAGTCTTCCCAAGCAATCACCAACCTCGAGGTAGCCGCTCGCACACTTGAGCTATTCGGCTACAGTCCACGGGACTTCAACCGATGTCTGACTCAGATCCCTGACCGTCCTTTCAACGACCATGACTACTGGGTGGACGGCTCCAAACTGGCTGCATTGGGATGGCAACAACGCGTCCCCTTCTCCGAAGGACTAGAGGCATCGGTCAAGTGGTACCGTGAGAACTTAGATTCTTGGTGGCCTGAAGTCTCGAAGAATATCAGTGTCGCGTTGACCGCGACCCCTGAAAACCACCCCTGTGATACACAACCTAATGGCAATGGAGCCGAGGATGTGGGCTGAATTTCAAAACTTGAAAATTTGAACTTATAAATTAATTAGAGAGCGACCTAAATATACCGTCCGGGCATGAGAATGCTATTGTGTTTTATGTTTTGACAAAGAAATCCCAACATTGCGCTGCATTTTCTTTTTCCTTGGGTCCATGGCTCCTTTTTGTAGATATATCCAAGTTCCCCTGGATATGCAAAAATAATGAGGAAATTTGAGAAAAAGGTCGACTAGGAAATCTTTCGAGCTCGGGGCTCTTGTTCATTTCAAGTCACTGGGTCATGACATTTTTTTACCGAGCCGTAGTTGGGACTCGTCAAAGGCGCAGGATCCAAAACTCACGAATAAACTAACACTAAGCCAGGTTAAATTGGGTCCCACACAGGTTGCAGGGTTGGGCTGGGCCCGGAATTAGTACGGGTAGATTATATTATCCGGGGATATATCCTTTTCTACCGGTCGCATTACACTAAAAGAACAATAGACTCGATTCGTATAATCTCTTCATACCTAGTCAGGGTTTTGGCTTTCTAAACAGCACACATTAAATATGAAGTGGAGAAAACCTCATTTGCAGTAGAACGAAAACGAGTCGTGGACATTTTCGTTTTCTGCCTGTCCGGATGACATAGCCTCTTTGACCGCCTAGATCGTTCAGCCGGGGTTTTGTGTTGTCCAAGACGCATGATTAGTCAGACAAGTTTAGAGTTCGGGTTCATCCAATGTCCGTAAGCTAACAGATTGAACCCATATTGCAGCGCCTATTAGAGAAATTAGTAGGATGCCCATTCTGACCGGGGCCCTATTATGAAGACAATCGACCTTGAACTGTCAAACGAAGCGAAGAAATTGAAGAGAACGCTGGAAAGCATGTAAATACGGACCCAGGGTTTGGCATAGGCAGGCTAAAATGGGGTGCAAAGATACAAACCTGCGTTCGAAACACAAAGAGAAAGTGGCATGACAAACTCAAACTAGATAAAAGGTTGATGACCATTAGTGGTCGTATCTGTCAGGATAGTTGATGCCCCATCATACCACTCGGTGTATGCTACTGTGTTTCGTACATGTCGAGAAATAGAGAGTATTCTGGTCGAAGTCGTGTGAGTAGAGGAGAACGGAGAGATTAGGTTGGAAGTCAGGAAAGCACGGCGAGAAAATTCGAAAAGGAGCTATAAATAGTCATACGTAGAGATGGACTACGTGTAGCTGGTTGGTGCTGTTCTGCGAACATCTGGACTGAGCGGGCTGGGAAGAGCTGTGGTCGACCATTAGATCAGGAAGTCTGACATTAAACACGTGAGACTAACTCACACCAAGCAAAAGCTTACAATCTATGACATAGTGAGCAAAGGAAACCAGGTCAGATCGCGTCACAACGAATTTGCGGGTAGAAATGGAGGCGACGGAAGAATTACTAGAGCAGAGAGGTTCATCTAAGCAGTAGGGAACAATGGATTTAAGAAAATCAGAGTAGATCTGAATAAAGAATTCAGAGAGTTGCTCCATGAAAACCCGTCGAGTGTTTAAGCTATGCCAAGGAACTACAGAATTCTGTCTACCTCATGGAAGTTAAAAACGGTGGAACTGGTAGACATGCAGAACGAAAGGACTTTCTGTTGATTGGGGGAGTCAAATGTGGATGTGCCATGCAACAAAGTTCCGAGTCTAGTCACGGGAATCAAGCAAAGGGGTCCACGGCAGACGGAGAACGGGCAAAAGTAATGATGGTCTACCGCCCCACAGAACCGAGCAAAGAGCGACAGGCCCTGATTTTAAATAATCTACTCAAAAGATTGGTTATTAGAGAATATTTGCATACACAAAATAGGTGAATTGAAGCAATGTTGGGGCTTTTCGAGGTGCCACGGTAGCTCAGAGCCTCCTTTTTAGAAAGGAAGACTCAAATAATCCACGAGATAAACCCGGGGTGAGAAGGGTATAAGGGAGCGCACGTGATGAACTAGGGAACTAGAAAAGTCGCGCCACGCGACAGGTTCATGTCAGCCTCGGCGCTCGCTTGAATAATCTCAGATTGTCATTGCTTTGTCAGTCCCTGACTCTGAAACATTTGAGCACCCATAACAGCCGGTTGTGAAGCAAGGCGCTAGATTGCGGGGTTATATTGGTCACCTACTGCTCGCTAAAAGGTTCGAATGCTGATTTACCTAACAGGCCCTTGCAAGGATGAGAAAAAATAGCACCTGGTCATATGCAGCTGTTAACGGATGCCGCGTTCTAGCCAATGATACCCCAGACCCCACAAAACCATACTTTTTATTCGGTAATGATCGGCGCCACGCCCGGGGAATACGAAGCCACAAACCTTCCAAACAATCTAGGTGTGCTTTACAGCCTGCAATCATTAAGGAATATGGCCACTGGCTTCGAATAAGCCTAATTAACGTCGTAGCCGGCTTAACGCTAGCCGGTAAATAATGCAACATTCAGCCTAAACAGAATCCTACCATGGATGATCACAATATGCATATATTCGCCAATGGATGTCATTCCAAGTATCTTTTCTGCTTAGAAGAGGAATAGGTAAGAATTTGCACGACTATTTGAACCTCAAACTCCATTGCTAGTATGGCTGTCAGTAATACGGCACCTACAACTGGGGGCCTTGCTGCGGTCTCCCGGCGTCGCGCTGGGCTCGCTGGTCCCTCCGGAATCAAAGGTCTCATGTCAAATCTCCGAATCTTCGCTATCGCAGTTTTCGCATCACTCGGTGGCCTTGTGTATGGCTGTATGTACCTAACCCTACTATCTTTCCCAGCCATGGAATGTCTCTAGTGCGAGGGGACAGCAGGAGCCCTGTCACTGATTACAAATTTTCTGCAGACAATCAAGGAATGTTCGGTCAGATTCTCAGCATGACTTCTTTTTCCAACACTGTGCACCCGGAGTCTATCACAAACCCCACATTGAGGGGATTTCTCACCGCGTAAGTCGAGCCCCTCTTCCAAAGCTCTCCAGCGTTGCGCATTGAGTTGACAGAATTTTTAGTATCTTGGAGCTAGGAGCCTGGGTTGGTGTTTTGGTGAACGGAGTCCTTGCAGATGCTCTAGGTCGCAAGCAAGCAACAGTATCCGGGGTTGCAGTTTTCCTCATCGGTGTCATTGTTCAGGCATGTGCGAAAAACGCCGACTACATCCTCGGCGGCCGCTTTGTGACTGGTATCGGTGTCGGTATCTTGTCTATGATCGTGCCCTTGTAAGGACCGCTCCCCAACCTTGTTCAATAAGGCGCTAACACCACTCATTAGGTATAATGCTGAACTCGCACCACCCGAGCTTAGAGGCTCCCTTGTTTCTCTCCAACAGCTTGCTATCTGCTTTGGGATCATGATTTCTTACTGGATCGGTTCGTTTCAATCCAGATGCAAACATACCGCTGCTTCGTAAACTGACTTTCACATTCTAGGATACGGCACTAACTACATCGGAGGAACTGGCGAGGGCCAGTCAAATGCAGCATGGTTGGTTCCCGTGTGTATTCAGATTGTCCCCGCGATCGCACTTGGAGTTGGAATTCTCTTCATGCCTCCAAGGTCGGTTGGAAATTTCCCACTTAGTACTTCATAGATTGACAAGCTGATAATTTCTTGCAGCCCTCGCTGGCTGATGGTGAAAGGGAGAGAGGAAGAATGCCTGGCAGTAATTGCAAACCTACGAAGCCTGCCCACCGACAGCGAGTTGGTGCAACTGGAATACCTAGAAGTGAAGGCGCAAGACCGGTTCGAGAAAGAGACGTCTCTGGCAAAGTTCCCTCAGTACCACAGTCCAGGGTGGATGAACAAAGTCAAACTCGAATTCCATGAATATGCCAGTTTGGTGACGAACAGGTCATTGTTCAAACGCACTGTCGTGGCTGTTTTTATCATGGTCTTTCAACAATGTACGTCACCCTACCATCTTGAGGAGTCACATGCAGGGCAGCTAACATATCTGTGTCCCCATAGGGTCGGGAATCAATGCCATTCTTTACTATGCAGCGGTAAGTGGATATCGGATCTATTTGGATTGAAATATCGAAGTGCAGAGCACAAGCAAGGACTTCGTGCATCTTACCTCAAAATATTCAAATCAATTGCTAATTTGGCGTATCTTTCAGTTCATTTTCAAAGACTTAGGCCTCACTGGAAATACTATCTCTTTGCTCGCTAGTGGAGTGGGTGGTATTCTCCTATTTCTGGCCACCATCCCTGCAGTGCTCTATATTGATCAGCTTGGTCGTAAACCCGTCCTGATCGCAGGTGCCATTGGTATGGGTATTGCTCATTTCATCGTGGCTGGCCTTGATGGACAGTACAACACCAGCTGGGCTGATCATAAGGCTGCGGGCTGGGTTGCTGTTGTCTTCGTCTGGATTTATCAAATCAACTTTGGTTACTCATGGGGCGTAAGTTGCAAATTCTCATTGGATCCCAAGGGCTCAGGCTGACAGTCATTATAGCCAGGTGCATGGGTCATGGTTGCCGAAATCTTCCCTCTTGGAGTCAGAGCCAAAGCAATCTCAATTGGTGCTTCTTCAAATTGGCTCAACAACTTTGCTGTACGAATTCCAAGACCTCGGTTATTCTTTTGATATGCTAATATTTCATAGATCGGTCAAGCCACCCCTCAGATGGTTGCGCAAATGGGCTACGGAACCTTTATCTTCTTTGGAGCCATGTGTATCCTTGGTGCACTTTTCATCTACTTCATGGTTCCTGAGACCAAGAATTTGACCCTTGAGGAAATGGATGAAGTCTTCGGGGATGAAGCCGGTAGTGCAATTGAAGACAGAAACCGCTTGCTTCAGATTTACACTGAATTGGGACTCTTGGATTTAGGTTCCACTGAAGAAAAGGCTGAAATTGTCAGTCCATGATTGTGAATAGCCAGGGAGTAAATTGGGAACCCGAGTCTAAGCATCTCTAAAGCGAGCTGTGATGTAACCTATGCTGTTTTTTTGTTTCCGCCACCCGCCATATACATTAATTGATTGGCGATAATCTATGTTTACTAAATTCTTGTCCCAGCCCCAATGTAAGACTAAGACGATTTGTCCCGTTTATCCATGGACATCTGCTCCTTCATCTCATTGATAATATCGTCAAGCTCTGCATTTTGCTGTTGATTGGCAGACTTCATCGCATCATAATTCACAATGAGTTGGACGTCTACAGTAAGACCAAGCATGAGCTCTTCGACCTTGTTTCCTTTGCCGAGTCTGCGAAGGACTTTCAAATCTCGCTTTTCCCTTGTGTCGTTTTCACCGGGTACGGTCTCCTCGAAGATCCCTCTTAAATTCGAAGCGTTTGCGTCACCAAGCGTCAAAGATCGGCTCCAATGCTTCACACATGTCTTCGGGTATTGAATCTTTTCTCGCGTTAAGATTGCCTTTGTATGTCGTGAGGGTGTGGAGAATAACGAGGAGCGGTCGTTGAACCACTTTGAATGTCTCAGATAATTTGATGTCCTTCGTGCACTGTCGTAGATTTTGATCGAGGTCTCGACGAGGGCAATAACAGCCGAGATAGCGCCGATTACTTCTGCCATGTTGGGAGGATATAACAACAAAAATACGCGATGGTCTGAGTATCCTATAATCCAAAAGGTCTGCCCTAGATAGCACTAGGATAGTCGATAGTAGAGGAGAGGTAAGGCTCCCACTCCAAGATTTATAGTGCTCGTTCCAGATGCAGGTCATCCTCTAGAACTCGCGGGCGCTTCCACCGGTACATGTGTCGGTGGTTGATTCTTTAGATATGATCGCTTACGCATTAGTCCATTGTTCAGAATCCCTGCGAGCGCCAGCCACGTTGGAGCGGTGTTACGAGGCAGATAGAAAAACAATACGGGAAGATTCTTGCACGTTCAGCGGCTTCGGCAATGCAAGATGTAGTCAGTAATTTGGTCATCACAGATTATATCACGCCCCGATGGAGAGTGTTCGCACCGTGTTGCAGACGGTCGGCGGGAGCGTCAGGGTTCTGATGATACAAGAGCTTACGGAAGCAGGCGATGATGGAAATCGAGGTTATGAGTATCGAGTGTATGGCTACTTCATGTAATTTACGGAATAAGCTATCATGTGACAATGCCCTGGAACGAATGAAGTGAGAGAAAGAGAATGCCCTGAAACGAATTTGATATTGCTGTTAGCCAAATTCTGCCTTCTAATTCGCTACTTCACTTCCCCACTTTCGCTTTATTGGCTACTTCTTCTACGCACGCCCTATTCTGACTGTTTAACATTCCACTCTTTACGGTTAGTGTTGGCGGTTTTTATCCTTTCTTACTGGCTCTTTCCTCTATAACCCTAATAGCTGACTCCCTAACCCTAGTGCCCGTGCTTCATACTTCCTGCCTATTCGTTAATCGCTAACGTTCATTCCTCGCATGCTTTTGCTACGCTCTTCTTTAAAGTCTTCTTTTGATTTGGTTTCCGCCTGTATGCCCTTCGTGTTGGGCCTGACGTACCGTACTAATGGCAAGCTGGAAAGGAAGCGGGCGGGGTTAGGCAGCAATGCGTCAAAATCTCATTCTTTGAATATGGAGCAAAATCAACGGTCCCCAGAACAACCTACTTGTTTTAGCCCGCCGATCCGGGTTTATGGTCTGCCAGCTGCGATTAGAACTTCGCCATGAAAAAAAAAAAAAGAACAAGCCCTCTTGCTACTCCACATTCGAGTATCGCGACACTTACTGGGCCATGTATTGCTGATGATGATCTACCACAAATACTAGAGGCAGATATAATCTCGGCGAGAGCGATAATACTTAGAATCTTTCTATCTGGGGTGTTTTGCGTGTCTAATATGGATTTCAAAATCAGTGATTATTAGCCTTGCAATAGTCTAGTCAGATATTGCATTGACTAATTATTCTTTCAGCTGAATTGTTTCTTGCAAGCCAGATGTAACTAGGAACTGCTAAAGCGGATACCGCTAATCTTGCCTGAGTTGTTTCCTATCTGGAAACCAGAGTTAGGCCCTGAGAATACCACACTGTTGGTGTAGGTGATGGTAGACTGGATGACTTTGACGACTGCATCACTCAGCAGCTTGTCCTGGCCAGTAGTGACATCTTTCAGCAGCGGAAGGATGTCCTCGTTCGTGTTCATTTCAGACACCTCTTCCTCACAAAGCTTGCGTTGTTCTTCTTGAATTCCCGGGAAAAGACCGACCAAACCGTCCACCAATTCGCTAATGTCTTTGATCAGGCGGGTGAAATTCTTCTCATCGTACATAGTCCATTCGTCCTGTTCCACCTCGGACTTGTCCTGCCGCTTCTTAGCGAGATCCTCCATCTTCTGGTGAAGTGAGGCTGAGACGCTGTCTAGCTCTTTGGCGGGGTCCAGGACTGGCACGGCGGCGTTGCATTTTTTAAATCGTTTCGAAGCAGCCTCGGCATCCGCAAAGAGCTCCAGAATCTGGTTCAGAATTCCTTGGACCTGCTCTCTATCCTCGGGGGCGAGCTTCGTCATCTGGGGTGGTTTCACATCGTCCACCTTCGCCAGTCCGACGGACTGACCCCAACGGGTCAGCCGAAGACGGACTACGTCCAGTTTCAGCAGACTCGTCTGGAAGCTTTTGCCGAAATTGGCACCCATCTGAATATAGTCAAAACTCTTAACGGCGTCGTTGAATAGCCGGGATTGCTCGTTCAGCATTTCTATCATGGCATCCTGATTCGATTCCAGCTCCCGGCCTTGTTGGATAATCGTCCCCGTATCGGATTTGATGGCCTCCATTCCTCCGTCGATAACAGTGACCTTCGCTACGAGAAACTCGACGTTTCCATGCATGCTTTGAATAATGTCGTCCAGGATCTCCACAGTCCGAAAAGTGGCCAGACCAACGGCCTGGGTGAGCTCATTCGCGGCTTCCTCCATATTCTTGATGGCTTCCGAAAGAGCTCCATCCGATCCATCAACCAAACTCATAAACCACTTCTCTAGATGAAACACAAATCAACCAACAACCCCACCCAAACAAAGGGACATGATCAAGGGAAGTTGCTCACTAAATCTTTTTTGCTCGGCGTATTCCTGGACAACGGAACAAATAATCAGCATGCCTGAGAAGACACGCGCGACACAACGCTGGAACGGCTTTTGCTGTGGGGCTTTGTCCTCGATCATAGAGAGTCTGTCAAAAAATCGATGCGTGAAGTCGAAAAATCCCATGATCTTATCATAGTCGGCGGACACTGTGGCAAAAGTCTGAGGGCGTTAGCAAGTAAGGTCATTTTAAACGGTTGTTTTATTTATTTGGTTCTAATTTGGAGCACTGTACCCGCATGACCTGCGCAAATGCCGTGAAAATCAAGCTGGCCGGCATTGCAGGAGGAAAGGCCTGTCAATCGTCAGTATCAACGGGAATCAAAGGGCACTGCACGCTGTTAGTGCCAAGACGCACCGATGCAACAGTCCCAACCACTTTGACAGTATCGAGGACCTTCTGGATCAGCCATAGGTTATGTTTGAACGCGGTCCGCACATTGTCTGTTTTAGACCGGTCGTGACGGAAATCTTTGAACTCGTCTGACAGGCCTTCCGTGCCCTTCATGATCTGATTGATGTTGCTGAATTGCGCCAGTCGAAGACTCTTCTTGGTCCTTTTCTCATAGTCTTCGACTGCGCTTTGCCATAGTTGAGCGAGGTCGGACGCCTGCCCTGCGTCAATGCCCACCTGAGTAGCCATGCCTACAAAACGGTGTCAGCTTGGAACGGGCGTGAGGCGTGAGTACTAGAGGGAGAATGGATGAGCGAAGGAAGCTCAGGGATATATATTTTCGACACGAGAAAGGCAAGGTTGAGTGAGGGTCATCGTGCTTCATGTAATGCCCCCACCAGAGTCCAGCACCTCATTTTATTCGCAGCAGGGCGAGATGCAGAGAGGAGAGCTGAGAGACAAGACCTAATATTACGTAGAGATCCAAATGTCGTTCCACCAACTAAATCAGCCAACCAATTGAGAGCTAACAGGTGTCGCGGCCGCCAACCCTTCCGTCAGCCACTTAAGCATTTATCTCCGACCCCACTTGGCCTCAAGCTGCTGGAAAATACTGTGAACCACTTTACCACTTTCGGAGATCAATGGTATTGTACATACATCAATGAAGGTCTGATTCTTCCATCTAGTGGACTACGACATACCTCATACAATATTGGGAACGACTCCACCCTTGTGCTATCCAAATAGTACGATATTAACGGTTAGGTTGCAATTGGGCATCTCTGGCGGGATATCCTCTTGTGAATCTACTTTCTAGGTTCAAATTCTAGCTGAATATGCCGTTTTTAAATATCATCTAGATTGTAATACCTAACTCTACTAATGGGAGTTAAATTATCTTTCTCCGTCTACGGAAATACTCCTGCATTCATGACGTAGTACGCTGAAGGTATCAGAAATCCTCGAATGCCAGTTGCTCACTCGAGTAACAAAAATAGAAATGAAAATTAACCGCGTATTAACTAACTTCTTCCAAAGCTGAACCCCTTCAGGGTGCCTACATTCTGCCCAAGCTGCAAACCGGAATTGTGGGATCCTGAAAATGTCGCATGTGACACATTTTGCGCCCCTTTATCCTCCTCCGGAAGAACAATCTTGGATACCCATTGAGTAAGAACACGCAACACCTTCTTGAAGTCCTTTTCATCCTCGGCGTCATACTGGCTCAATCGTAGTTGATTGCGGGCCAGCCGCTCCGGGTGAGGAGCTCCTGGGCTTCGGGCCAACGCCTCATCGACGATCTTCACGTCCTTGCCGCCCAGCTTGGTGCCGGCTCCGGCGTAGAAACCCTCCATCTCGAACCTAGCACCGGCTTGCTTGAGGCCGGCAAAGGCCAGGGGGATAGCGATGAGCCGCTGTAACATGTCTTTCAAGTCCGACTCACTCGGAATCTCCTCCTGAGCCACTTGGAAATACTTTGTGGCGTCCGCCAGCGATCCAGCCTGGAAATGTGGTGTCCCTAGCAGTAATATACCGTGGACACAGCCAATGAGCTCTTTTTTCCTGGGATGTTCGGCAGCTCGTACTAGCGCCTGGGTATAAGATATCGTAGGTTAGTGGGGTTTTCCATGAGATTAGAGGCCTATATATACACACAGAGAGGGAGGGGATACGTACGTTCTCCAAAACCGTGCCACCGAGGCAATGTGCAACAAAAATGATCGGTCGTTCTTCCTATTCTCTTCTGTCAACCTGATGGATCAGAGGGGCACAAGGAGAGCGAGACTGGGGAACCTTTTGTTTCTCCGTTCGATGATCCATCAGCTCGTTGATTAAGTCGTTGGAAATGTCAGTAATTCCGTTGTCATCGTCGAAGAAAGAACCGATTGCTGCCTGATATTCAAAGGACAGGATACATGCGTCGGATACCTTGGCTGGGAGGAGTTTTTCGGGCCAGAAGACATTCGCTTCGGATGTCCACGGTGCGTGATCGCCATGCAAGCCGTGGACAAACACGATACTGCCGTTGCTTAGGGTAAGTACGTAAATCTAAATAGTATGGGCTATACAAGAGACTTGACCAATCTTACTCAACTTTGGCGTTTGCCGGTTCCCGAATATCCCTAATAGACATTGTGAGTATGGAGTGAGTGGACGTTCCTTCGCAGCTCCTAGATGAAGACCAGTGCAAGGGGAATGACTGGCAGAGTGGGTACAATGCACGGCCGAGATGGAAGAGTAGAAACGCGCCGGATGGAAAGATACGTCTCGAGATATCCTTTCTTTTTGTTTGTTAGTGTATCATAACTTTCTATTCACAGCCCCGCCAGAAACCATATTATGACATCCCTGCATTGAGCAACATACAACTGGTGGGATATGATTGTGGCTGGCTAAGGTCTTCGGCCTTCCCGGAGGTCTAGTGCTGACGAACACCCATGTCAGGTTCATGCAGGACACTCAGAAAGGCAAGGACGGCGCTCATGATATTGGACTGGCTCAGTCCTTTTTACCCATGCCACCGCTTCGCACGAGTACCTACAAAAAAGTCATGGCTAGGGCAGATTTAGATTACTCTGCGCGCTGTTGTGCTGGTACCGCGTCGTGAATCCACTGGTCTACGGTTCTGATAGTTCGTAAATTCGCGAATACACGACAGCTGCTAGGTTCCAGCGCAGGAGGATTTTAAGAATGAAGTACACATTCAGTCGCATCGCATTTTGAAACGAAAGCCAGGTTCTTGGCGTGCATTGACAGCCTTGGACAAGATTACCGCCCGTTCAATGCCTCCTCAATCTACATACACTCGCAGTGCATCGCACAACGACCGACGCTCTTCCTTTTCCAGCAGTTTCGTTCCCTCTGGAAGTCGCAGCCGCACTGGTCGGCTGACATGGAACTCGGCTGACATGTTCCATGTCAGCTGAAAGTCTCCATCGGCGACACAGGCCCCTTCCCCTATCGCGAAATGGAATGGACCTGCCCGTTTCAAAGGAGACCAAAGACGGATCGTCTTGATTGCCTGTCCTGTTCAATTTGGTTGACTATTCGTCTCCGCTTTATCCGTATTGAGCGAGGTTCGAGATCGATTAGGCTTGTAATTAACGAGACAAATTGAAGAATTCGCCCTGGGCTGAGGGTAGTGGTTTCTTTCCGGGGGACCTGCAAGGCCTAATTTCAACGCAGTTGACAGACATAATACTTTTGACATCTCCCTAGCACTGGTTGTACTGAGGGCCTGGCTCCTATGGAACATATGCCGATGGCCCCCCAAGTCCTCAATTATTGGCTGTCTGCCCAACCGCGTGATCAGGTTGGCTTATGTCGGGCAGCTGAACCATATTAGGCTCTCTGGGGCGGCACGAATGGTGGGCGCTTTCGCAGACGGTCACCTAAGGGCAATCCACATAGGGCAGTCCATGGTGCGATGTCGCACCCCACCATGGTATGGAGCGCCGGGCAAAACTATAATTAGAACGCGAGTGTACGTCCGACTTAAAGGGGGCATTCATGCTGACCAGAAACAGCAGCCTCCAGAAGTGATACATTTTCTAAATCATCATCGGTCGCCATGTCTCTTGCTGAGTACCAGTCCACGTTCTCGAACTCGCGCAACTATGGGCTACAAGTTGGCCATAACGCTGGGAATATCGAGACCCACCATCACTACGCTGCCGGTAAGCCGCTGTTTTATCCACCATGGAGCCGTCCTGACAATAGCCCCGATGCGTAGAGTGTGCCGAGACTCCACCCAGTCCGTCCCTATCGATCCCCTTTCTCCGCGATCCAGATTTTGTCGATCGTGGGACGATCCTGAATCAGCTCCACCACCGATATGCTGCATCAGGGTCTTGGACAGCGCTGGTAGGCTTAGGTGGTGTTGGGTGTGTACAACACGTATGCACTTCGCCGGTCACTGCTAACTTGGGCTACAGAAAATCGCAGCTTGCGATTGAATATGCATACCAAATCCACGAGCGAGAACCGGAAACGTGGATTTTCTGGATCTATGCCAGCAACGCCGCCCGGTTTGAGCAGAGCTACCGGAAGGTTGCAGACACAGTGAAGCTGTTTGGGCGGCAGGATCCCAAGGTCAATATATTTAGGCTGGTATATAACTGGCTGCAAAACAGTAAAAATGGAAAGTGGATTCTGATAGTGGACAATGTCGACGATGCGCATTTTCTTCTCGATCGCCGCGATGTTGTGCGAGGTTCGGCTGGTCATGAAGACGGCAGAGCAGATCGCCCGCTGCGAGAGTATCTCCCGCGGAGCCAGAATGGGTCTATTCTGATAACGTCACGGAGCAGGGAGGCCGCATTGCAGCTGGTTGATCAGCGCGAAATCATCGTGGTCGAAACGATGGTCCATGCCGACGCAGTAGCGCTGTTCGAGAAGAAATTGGGAGCACAGGGCAACCGCCAGGACATTATCGAGCTTGCCGCGGCGCTGGACCTTTTCCCGCTGGCGATTGCCCAAGCTGCAGCATATATCTCCGACCCGGACCGGGGTTGCTCGGTACGACAGTACCTCGACGAGTTCCGTAAAAGCGATCGCAAAAAGTTCCGTCTATTGGACAGCGGGGAGGGCCAGTTTCGTCGGGATTGGGAGGCCAAGAACTCGGTCCTCATGACATGGCAGATCTCGTTTGACAGCATACGCCGAAGCCGACGATCGGCGGCCGATCTGCTGTCGCTCATGAGTTTCTTCGACCGTCAAGGGATTCCCGGGGCCCTCCTTCAAAGCCGAAGCGAACAGCGACACGTGGAACAGAGTAATAGCGATGGCGACGACAACGATGACAACGACAGTCAGTCACTGTCTAGTGTAACCGATGAGTTTCAAGACGACATTCTTATACTGCGCAGATACTCCTTGATCTCTATCAATGTGGACCAAAGAACGTTCAACGTGCATGGCCTGGTGCAGCTGGCAATGCGAAGATGGTTACAAGTGAATGGCGAGCTGGAGAAGTGGAAGCGGCAGTATATCTGGAATCTGAATGCGGAATTTCCCACGGGAGACTATGAGAATTGGGCGAAGTGTCAGGCACTTTTCCCGCATGCGAAGTCGGCGGCCAGCCAGCGGCCCCAAGAACGAGACTCATTAATGGAGTGGGCTGCATTGTTGTACAAGGCCGCATGGTATGACATGCGGAAATGCAATGGGGCTAATGGGGGGAAGCTGTCGGTCCAATCAATGGAAGCTCGGACAAAGCATCTAGGCCCAGAACATGAAGATACACTAGATAGTGTAGAAATGGTGGGGTTAATATATTTGCTTGAAGGTCGATGGAAGGAGGCAGAAGAGCTGTGCCTGCAGGTGATGGAGACGAGGAAGCGGGTGCTAGGTGCAGAGCATCCTGGCACGCTGATAGGTATGGCCCACCTGGCGTTGACATATAGCAAACAAGGGCGATGGAAAGAGGCGGAAGAGCTGGGAGTGCAGGTGATAGAGGCAGAGAAGAGGGTGCTAGGTGCGGAGCATCCTGACACTCTGACCAGCATGGCCAACCTGGCGTCGACGTACTGGAATCAAGGGCGATGGAAAGAGGCGGAAGAGCTGTTGGTGCAGGTGATAGAGACGATGAAGAGGCTGCTAGGTGCGGAGGATCCTTACACTCTGGTCAGCATGAAAAACCTAGCGTCGACATATAGCAAACAAGGGCGATGCAAAGAGGCAGAAGAGCTAAGAGTGCTGGTGGTAGAGGCAGAGAAAAGTGTGCTAGGAGCAGAGCATCCTAGCACTATGATCAGCATGGCTGACCTAGCGTTAACATATAGGGGTCAAGGGCGATGGAAAGAGGCGGAAGAGCTGGGAGTGCAGGTGATGGAGACGAGGAAGAGGGTGCTAGGTGCGGAGCACCCTGACACGCTGATCAGTATGGCCAACCTGGCGTCAACATATAGGGATCAAGGGCGATGCAAACAGGCAGAAGAGCTAGAAGTGCAGGTGATAGAGGCAGAGAAGAGTGTGCTAGGAGCAGAGCATCCTGGCACTCTGGTCAGCATGGCCAACCTGGCGTCAACATATAGCAATCAAGGGAGATGGAAAGAGGCGGAAGAGCTGGGAGTGCAGGTGATGGAGACGAGGAAGAGGGTGCTAGGTGCGGAGCACCCTGACACGCTGATCAGTATGGCCCACCTGGCATTTGTGTACTGGAATCAGGGGCGATGGAAAAAGGCGGAAGAGCTTGAAGTGCAGGAGATGGAGAGGAGGAAGAAGGTGCTGGGTGCGGAGCACCCTGACACTCTGACCAGCATGGTTAACCTGGCATTTGTGTACTCTAATCAGGGGCGATGGAAAAAGGCGGAAGAGCTGGAAGTGCAGGTGATAGAGACGAGGAAGAGGGTGCTAGGTGCGGAGCACCCTGACACGCTGATCAGTACGGCCAACCTGGCGTTAATATATAGGTATCAAGGGCGATGGAAAGTGGCGGAAGAGCTGGGAGTGCAGGTGGTGGAGACGAGGAAGAGGGTGCTAGGTGCGGAGCACCCTGACACGCTGATCAGTATGGTTAACCTGGCATTTGTGTACTCTAATCAGGGGCGATGGAAAAAGGCGGAAGAGATGGGAGTGCAGGTGATAGAGACGAGGAAGAGGGTGCTAGGTGCGGAGCACCCTGACACGCTGATCAGTATGGCCAACCTGGCATTTGTGTACTGGAATCAGGGGCGATGGAAAAAGGCGGAAGAGCTGGAAGTGCAGGTGATGGAGACGAGGAAGAAGGTGCTGGGTGCGGAGCATCCTGACACTCTGACCAGCATGGCCAACCTGGCCCTCACTTGGAAAGAGCAGGGTCGCGGCGTGGAAGCCTTTGACCTGATGAAGGACTGTGTACACCTACGGTCAAGTATTATAGGCGTTGACCATCCTGATACTGTGTCATCCTCTGCCACATTGATCGGTTGGCAGACTGAAAAATTGGATATTGGCGTGTCAGCAGCCAATGGTGCTGTATAACAAGATTTAGTTCCTATGGAAAGTGAACCGTCCGGCTAGTTAAGTTTGGGCCTACGTGTATCCACAAATGACTCATGAAACAGGCCCAGCAAAAACATTGGGTGAATTCCAGCGACCTATCTGTGTAACTGTAGTCAAAATGTAATGCTAAACTTGATCACCCGTATGTCA